ACTGGGTTTCTATCAATGTGCTAAGATTATTAAAATATTATAAAAGTCATCAAAAAGTAGGTTTAGGAGTTGGATGGCTCCTTGTAGTGCTACAATAATAACTATTATGAGTAGGCCTATCAAGTAGATTCATATTTTTAGAAAAATTCATAATCGTTGACTACAAATGTGTTTAAGTACTATAAAATTAAGGAAAGTCTTTATCGATTCTTGAGAATGGGCATTTAGGTAATGATATATTCTTAATTAAGGAACCACATAATCAAAGAGTGTAAAAGAAAATAGATTTATTGGAAAGGTAAAATCATTTGTTTGAATATTTTAAAATCTACTTAGAATTATTCAAATTCATTAATCAAAAGGCTTTTGATTGCTTTAAAAAAGACTTAATTTTTATACACAGTTTATAAGAGTCAATTTCACAACTCAATTTTGGTGACTCATTTTTTAAATAGGTTCAAGAATTTAAACATAAAATTTTGATTATCTCATCAACACATGAAGCATCAATTCTGAATAAAATCTTTCTTAATAAAATAGATGAAATCTAATAATGGATTCAATTGATCTTGAAGATGGCGAACTTTAAATATGTTTATTATATAAAATATTTACTAGTTTCAAAATCATAATTAAAAAAAATAATTAAAAGCAAAAAGCTTTATGATCAGGTCACTATATTATTAGAAGAGGCTGAATAATATCAAGCCAAAACCTCAACCTTAAACACCCTTTACAAAGATGAAATACATAAGTTTGTATCTGAATTTTATCAAATTAAAACTTAAATTATAGAATGGAATGCTCGTCTAAGAGAAGATCCATTATGTCAATTGGTACTTGTATTGATTAAAATGAACCTAAGACTTGGGAGAGTAAATAAAAATCTTCAAATCATAAATGCGGTAATTTATTCTGTTCTAAGTTTAAGCTAAGAGAATCTGATGATTTTGATTCAGAACACCTATCTTAAGAAGTAGACATGGTGCAAAAAATGAACGACTAATTATTAATCAATAGCCATATTATCAATTAAATTAAATAACATCCTGATATCAAATATGATGAGTACATTTAATATTAGTACAATAAATTTATTATTTTGAAAGACTATTTTTAGAATTTATAATATGAGTTTGATGTTTAATGAGTATATTATTCTAAAAAGATTATTTGATTTTATGTAATATCTTTAAATCATATGATTTTTTTATTTATATATTATAATTATGCATGAACAAACTATTATAATTAAAATACAACACTACTTTTTAAATGCAATAAATAATTTAAATAATACTATATATTATAATTACAAACCCATAATTTAATAAATTTAATAATAATATATAAAGGAAATAAAAAGAGTATTAAATTTCATACCTTCTCGGCCTTTTGGCTAAGATCAAGTGTAGTATCTGTTCTTATCAGAGTGATATCTGATATCTCCTACGAGGAGAATGATATCACTGCAATTTTTAAATGGGGCTGGGTTTACTTGGGGCTTGCCCCGGTCCCAGCATAGTCGACCCTGACTTACACGACCTCGGGGAACGGCTAACCCGCTACTTTTTAATTTAAACAAACGAAATTTATTATTATTTATATATCAGGGTGACCATCGGAACTTCGGGGCAAAGATTTATTTGGATGAAGAACTGACTGTCCTTCCGGTAGTGGATGGAAATAGAAATAAATTTTGGAAGGAATTGAATATCTTGAAATTTGATTTTGATAATTAAATAATAAATAATTGCAATGTTCCGTATGTTTGATCCGATGTATTAGTCGATGAACTAGATCCTGGAGGAAAATGGTAATATCTTATGGTTGGGAGATTGCACTGCTGCATATGATAGAAGCTTGTTGGATGCGAGAGGAATTAAGACAGTTTTAACAGTAGCTGCAGGATTGAATGTGTCTTATCCTGAGGGTGGAATAGTGCACAAAGTAAAATAGATACATATGGCTAAGGTTTATCACATATTGGATATTGAATCAGCTAACATCGCACGGCTTTTTGGGGATACCTGTAATCAGATTGCAGAGGGATTAAAGCGAGGAGGTGTATTGGTTCATTGTGCAGCGGGAGTGTCAAGATCAGCATCTGCAGTGATTGCATATATAATGAAGACCAGAGGGCTGAGTTTTTAGGAAACCTTCAATTATGTACGAAAGCGCAGAAGTGTAGTATTCCCAAATTACGGATTTCAAAGATAATTAAGAAATTATGAGAAAGATCTCAAAACTATAAAAGTCAAAGAACCTCAAGGAATGGAGATGCCAATCAAATAGACGCAAAAAAAGCCTTAAGAAACTGCAATGGATAAGCATGAGTAATTCAGTATTTAGTATTTGGAATAGAAAGCAAAACTCCTCTTAAAACCTGCGTCAGGTAATCCAGCATTCAATACTGGTTATTCAACACCTTAAAAATAGTTGTAAAAGTAGAGGATGTTGTACCAATCTGCGAAGGTGGGGAGTCAAGAGCCAAAGTAAAGTTCAATCACATAGAATTCTACCAGAGCTAATTCCTCAATGAAAAACAACATATTTGAACCTTCATTCAATCAAACTTATCAAGGCCCTCAGATCGTGACATACTAAAGAAACAAACTTGTAGAGAAAATGCCAGACATCAAGAAGAAGACTTTTTATAAGTGAAGATTAAATATATTTAATTAATTTANAATAATATATAAAGGAAATAAAAAGAGTATTAAATTTCATACCTTCTCGGCCTTTTGGCTAAGATCAAGTGTAGTATCTGTTCTTATCAGAGTGATATCTGATATCTCCTACGAGGAGAATGATATCACTGCAATTTTTAAATGGGGCTGGGTTTACTTGGGGCTTGCCCCGGTCCCAGCATAGTCGACCCTGACTTACACGACCTCGGGGAACGGCTAACCCGCTACTTTTTAATTTAAACAAACGAAATTTATTATTATTTATATATCAGGGTGACCATCGGAACTTCGGGGCAAAGATTTATTTGGATGAAGAACTGACTGTCCTTCCGGTAGTGGATGGAAATAGAAATAAATTTTGGAAGGAATTGAATATCTTGAAATTTGATTTTGATAATTAAATAATAAATAATTGCAATGTTCCGTATGTTTGATCCGATGTATTAGTCGATGAACTAGATCCTGGAGGAAAATGGTAATATCTTATGGTTGGGAGATTGCACTGCTGCATATGATAGAAGCTTGTTGGATGCGAGAGGAATTAAGACAGTTTTAACAGTAGCTGCAGGATTGAATGTGTCTTATCCTGAGGGTGGAATAGTGCACAAAGTAAAATAGATACATATGGCTAAGGTTTATCACATATTGGATATTGAATCAGCTAACATCGCACGGCTTTTTGGGGATACCTGTAATCAGATTGCAGAGGGATTAAAGCGAGGAGGTGTATTGGTTCATTGTGCAGCGGGAGTGTCAAGATCAGCATCTGCAGTGATTGCATATATAATGAAGACCAGAGGGCTGAGTTTTTAGGAAACCTTCAATTATGTACGAAAGCGCAGAAGTGTAGTATTCCCAAATTACGGATTTCAAAGATAATTAAGAAATTATGAGAAAGATCTCAAAACTATAAAAGTCAAAGAACCTCAAGGAATGGAGATGCCAATCAAATAGACGCAAAAAAAGCCTTAAGAAACTGCAATGGATAAGCATGAGTAATTCAGTATTTAGTATTTGGAATAGAAAGCAAAACTCCTCTTAAAACCTGCGTCAGGTAATCCAGCATTCAATACTGGTTATTCAACACCTTAAAAATAGTTGTAAAAGTAGAGGATGTTGTACCAATCTGCGAAGGTGGGGAGTCAAGAGCCAAAGTAAAGTTCAATCACATAGAATTCTACCAGAGCTAATTCCTCAATGAAAAACAACATATTTGAACCTTCATTCAATCAAACTTATCAAGGCCCTCAGATCGTGACATACTAAAGAAACAAACTTGTAGAGAAAATGCCAGACATCAAGAAGAAGACTTTTTATAAGTGAAGATTAAATATATTTAATTAATTTATCCTCCCATATATATATATATGATTGAGAATGACTAGAGAGGTTTTAGAACATTTTTAACTGCTTGAAAAATCGATTGATTTAATTAAATAAATTCAAACAATTTCCACCACAAACTCATTCATTTTATTTCTATCTCATATCAGCAAGTACATTGAATACTTTAACCAAACCTTTAGCTGCAATAACTTTCAACTCTCTTTCTTGATCTCTATTGGTTGACACTCTTGGATCAACATGTCCTTTTTCGACTACAGCCCTACTATGTTTAATTTTTCTAACTTTTTAATGCTTTTCTTTATTCCAATTTCTTTTTGTTTTTATTTTTCATTGGTGAGTTCGTTCAATATTTTTTATTTGTCTGCCATAATTGCCTTCTCGCTCTTGACATCTCTCTTAATCACTCCAGACAACAATTATTTTAATGATTGTTTCGTTTATTATTGCACTTCTTCTTGTTAACTTTCGTGTTCCTCCTAATGCTCATCTTCATCCTCTGCATCAAATTTCTTAATCAGATTCTTAACCTTCTTAGATTTAATTTGTCTATTCAGCATTTTTTTATATACAATAATAATTTATCACAAATCATCATTACCATAATTAGCATCCTATAAAACTTCTGAATCAAAATTCTTCATTTTTGTTCCTTAAATTACTTAAGTATGATATTGCCCTGCTTCAATTTCTTATCTAGATTTTAGTCCCTAAAATTAATATCAAGTATTTTATGCTCTCAATTCTTTATCATTCTATTATGCTATTATTTCACTTTCTTATTAATAGATTTAATATTTCTCTTATTTTTAGAGACTTATTATTTAGGTAATTATTGTATTATCTTTTCTACTAGTTTCTTATCCTTATTTCTCTTTATTTAAGAATTGTTTTTTTTGATTTTTATCTAAAAAGGGTTAGAGTTTGGATTAATGCGCTATCTTTCCTTGTAGTTCTTAAAAGGAAGTGCTTTTTTGATAATTAATTAACTAAATTGAAATATTAACTTGAATTTACAGCTCTTAGCAACTGCGAATAAATAAACGTTGATTTGCCCTTTCTCTAATATCATTCTCAGTAGTAATTATTTTTAAACATTTCTCTTTCAACTAAATAAAATTGACACTCAAACATGAATTTGGCTAGTTAATTCATTTCATATTTGATATTCTATTAGATTAACGAATCCCCTTCTATTTTCAAATAATTGAAAATAGTTTCTAATTTTGCTGGCATCGCTTCATTAGCATTAACCTTTACCGATACTGGATTCCTTAAAACCAAATTTCATTAAGTTATGTATTTAGCAGATGATAATATAGCCGAAAATAGACCGGTTCTTCTCTATTTTGGTAAATTAGAGAATATGAACCTAATGTCATTTTAGTATTCAATACTCATTCGTCTACCTGCTTCAACGAATATCAAATATTCCAAAGTTTTGACATGAATTTGCAATTCATCATATCCAAAGAATATCTTAACACAGCAGGAGAAGCTCTGAGTATATTACATCTCTTCTCATTTAAATATTTGACATGCTGTTCATTCGATGACAAATGCAATCTTGTCTTAATTCACAACTTAGAACTTCTTTGCAAAATCATAAATTTATTGTGCCAATTCTCTTGTAGTTGACAATACCAAACCAAATAATAGATAATTGAGTATTTTTTTTAGAGAATTCACTAAACAATTGAACCAAAATTTTAATTTTTTTCCTCATCCTGTTTAGGCTTTAACAGCAACATCATAATTTTATTACGTATGGAATCGCTGCTTTTAAACAGACATCATGTACTAGAATTTAAACTCATCTGGCATTACTTTTTGAATTATTGGCTCTAGATTCAATTCAGACCATTAAATTGAAGTTGTGATAATTATTGAGAGAAGTGTATATAATAATATTCACTCATTCTCAACTGTGCTCCAATCGAAATCAACTCCTTTTTCTAAGAATTCCCCTAAACGATTAGCTTTATGTGCACGAGTCATCAATTCCATCCCTTAATGATATTATTCCACACCAAATTGATATTTCTCTGTCATGTCATGAAAGGTCTATTCTACATCCCTACAGAAATAGTTTTTTGTTATTTAAAATGACATCATCGGTAGAACTCCATATTAGAATAAGAACTTCGTTGGTTTGAATGAACTTCTTCTAAATAAGGTTCTATCCAATGTCAGCATTAGGCAACTCATGCTTAAAAAAGCACTATATGTACGCGCTTTTTCTAAAAATTCAGCTTGTTAACAATCTTGCATATCTTCTTGAGAAATCAAACCAAAGCAATTATTGTATTGATAGAAATACTTGAATACTTTTATTTTGTCATTTTCATCTAGATAGTTTTTTTTGAATTCTTCAAAGTTTGTAAGTTTTAAATTTTTCATATTAAATTAATGATTATCATAAATTTTTACAATAAATTATTCAAATATCATATAACTCGTTTTTAATTCGTCTAATGACAAACATTAATTAAAAAATTTTAGATATTTCATTTATTCATAGGTGAGCAAGTAACAAGTCAAATAACTAAACCATTTCTTAAAAGTATTATATAATACACTTATTTTGAATTTCAATTTTAGATACGAGCGATCTCAATATAACAAGAGCCATAGAAAAATATTGTTAAGAACTTGTTGAGAATCCAATCAAAAAACTTTTGGCTATACAATCGCATATATTACTAAATGAATAGGATATAATATTTTATACTAATATGATAGTCTATGTAATCTCTTTGATTAAAAACTAATGTTTACTTAAAATTATATCTATCTCAAGAATTCATATAAAGAATCATATAGTCTAAGCTTAAATACATAATATTATAAAAAAGAATGAGATCTTTTAGTTGATGTTAAACCAATTTACATTGCAATTCTCTAATTGTAAATTCTAAACGAAAAAAATTAAGAATATCATTTTAATCATGATAAGAATGGCTGTTACTAATATATAAAATTAGAGTTGAAAATATATATGAAGTACTTAAGATACTCAATTAAATTGAATAAAATTCAATTATTTAATAAATATTATAAATATTAAAAGATTTAATTTATCTTAGACATCCTTTTGTAGATATAATTATCCTTGTATCATATATTAAAGATATGAAATTATGGGAAGAAGAAGTATAGTCCAAATCCAAATGACAGATTGTATTTATCATCACAAGAGCGCAGGTATTTTCAATTATGGACAATATTGGTGCTTACTATTTGCCTATTTTTTGTTTTAATCATGTTTTTTCTCCTAATTGCCTAACTTGCTCTAAATCTAGAATCAACTAATGATTCATTTTGTGCAATATTTTTAATTTATTTTACATAAAAATGAAATAAGCGATTTAAAATGAATTTGATTTTGATTGTGCTTAATAGCATAAACTTCCTATATGTGCTATAATATAGGATCCAAATTTAAATGTTATAGATAGACTGTTATGCCAATAATGCATAATAGATCTAGATAAAGATAAAAGTGTTTTAGGTTGGAGAAAAGTTCAAGAGAAGGTTCAATCTCATATAAATGAAAAGTAACGAATTAATTCACAACTTATTTCTCTCATTTTACCGTTGGTGAAACAGGTGAAAAGTAATATTGAACTTTTAAAGGACACCATCATGAAAGAATTTATAATTTTAGAGGGAATGATAGAGGAATGGCAAGTAAGATTGTAAAAGGAAGTGAAATTATTAGAAAGTCAATAATTTATTAAAGAACTGGAATATGTTTTTGGAAATTTAGAAATAGAAGTCAGTTTGGATGAAACAATAAAAAGAGACTTGAAAAAAATCAACTCTAATTACATTTCTTAGGTTTAATCAAAATTAACATTCTTTAATGAGTTCGATTAATAAAAAATATGCAACACAGTTCTAAATTCTATTAAGAAAGAAGAATTTCAATCATAAATAAATAAAAAAATTGATGTGAATTCTAATGGACTAGATAAAAAGAATAAATATTATAAAAAAAATAATTGGCATCTCAAAGAAGTGTAAGAAGATGAACTACACTTCATCTGATGACTCCTTAATGGGATTAACATTTTAAAAAATTTATATAAATTTATTCGCAATTTATTATGTTTCCTTGTTTCAAGTTGTGTCTCAGACTTCTGGTTTTCAGTTTAGGATTGAGCTAAGTTCATCCCTTAAGCGAAAACTGATATGAAATTAAATTAACTATTAATCAACCACAAAAAAAGATAGAATAATTACTGATTAAGTAGTTAAATCAATATATTTCATCTATTTATAAGAAAGCAAATTTCATATATATATAGGTTTTGAGATTGAATTATAAAGAACACTTTTAGCAAATTAAACGAAAGAGATGAATCAAATGCTTTTTAATAATAGGGCAATTTATGATTAGCTGATGATCAAATTGATATTTTGATTTCAATGAATATAATACTTTAATTCTATTGACTATACTTGTGCACTTAGGTATTCACAGTTTAATCATTAAACGATATAGCTATCAATAGAGAAAGCAGAAATAATTAATAGAATTTTTATGTATGTGTAATTCAAATAAGTTAGTGCATTCAAGTATAAATCTTACTTTTAAATTTTATCATATAAATGAAATCAAAAAATATTTAGCAAGCAATGATTTGTAAAATAGCTATAATTTCTGAAAACTAAGGTAAGCATATTATAATATTAAGATTAGTTAGCTCCTTTCTTAAAGTTTATAACACTTAATATAAAGAGACCCAAGATAAATCAAATATTCAAATCATTCTATATATGAAAGATGACTGATTAAAAATAAAGAAATGGTAGTATAAATATTGATATTAAATAAGATATTTATGAAATTATTAATTGTAATAAATCATGCTTCTGGCTTAATATCTTCAGCCTTCCTAAAAGTAATATTTATATATAAAATACTTTTTAACAGTAATCACCAAAGCCTTTTCTTCATTGAAAAATCTTGTCTTAACTGGACCTCTTGACACTCCAGTTTTGATTGATTTAGTATAATTAGATTGTATTATTCCAAATTGCTTAATTTCTTCATTTGTCAATTCTCTGGGTTGTTATGTTGAATCTCTAAGGATCATCATTTGTCCATCATTTGTTATAAATAGTGGCTATGATCCCAATAGATAATCATCATTCTTTAATGGGATCCACTAATTATTTAATTAATATGTATACTTCTTCATTCAATAACTCATACCTATTGAATCTATGAACAGCAACTATTCTGCACACTTCTATATTTTCAGCTTTAATTCCAAACACTTAACTAAATTATTCTGCCAAATCAGCACCACTTTAGTTTCTGCTAACAACAAATTCGTATCTTTCTGAGAGATCCCACTTTTCTTAATCCCAGAATCTGGCATGAATAAATACGTCCTTAGATGTCAAATGCTACCATTCATCCTACAAATGTTCAATTGCTATCATTCTCATCTCTACAATTCCTTATTCTTTCAATGGCTTATCTCTATACACTTTATTCAAACGATCTGCAATCCTTTCTCTAAGTCTAATATGTTTAGAGTCTAGTGGGATTCCACTCTTCTCAGATGCCCAAATAGCCAAATCATCTATAAATTGACTGATAGGTTTATCTCCTGGAATGGAGTACTCTCCTAATTCTAAAAATTGATAGAAATTCCTATCTTCATAAAGATTTGGAGCAGATGCAATTGAGATTATGCATCTATATTCTCCTAAGTTTAAGGGAGTTCCTAAATCTAAATGAATAGAAGACCCTCTAACAAAATGGTTAAGTCCAACTTCAATTGTCATATCTTTCAACTCTAACCCAGCTCTTCCACCTCTTCTCAAGATCAAATTTTTAGGGGAAATACCTAATTGTTAACAGAGCTTTTCCTTCAGTTCCATCATTGTAGCTCTGTTATCAATTGTGCAAACAAGGGGATATAAATCCTCTGGCTGCCCTTCCTATATAGAAACTTAAACTGTTTTAGTAGGGTCGTTGAATTTGATAGTGATTCTATGTTCATCTATTTCAAATTCCTTAAGCCAATTGCTATTTTCAGTTTTGGGTTCAAGATAAAAGAAACTATTCTCATAATACCCATCAATTGGTTTGTCTGAACTCAAGATTTCTCCATATTCGCCATTCCTTTTTAATAATTAAAATTCTCCTTCTAAGTTATAGGCTTTCTTTGCTGCTTCGACTAATTCATGCACAAAATCGTTTTTGTTTATTGTTACTTTTTTGGGTTACAATGTTTTTTCATCTAGAGCTTCTAAATTTTCTTTAAAAAGAGCCACTCTGAAGGTGATTGCCTATTCATTATATGGCTTCCATTCTTCGCCTGGCTATTTGAATTCAATGGACACACATTTATTCTACAATTTGAGTGCTGCTAAGGATCTCATTTCTTTGCCCTCAAAAGTGTCTTAAAATTAATCAGTATATGGATTATAAATTCTAATTCTACAGTTATCTCTATCTTTAATTTGGAAATGATCAAGTACTAATTATCTGAAATTAAGAAAGCTTGTGTTATTTTCGAGAGTAAATGTCTTGACCTCTAATTTATAATGAGCCTTGATAGTGATAGGTTTCTGGAGTGCTAATAAATCTTCTGCTTATCCTCCTTGTTATCTGAATTCTTCTAATTTGATTCTTTCTTCTTGTAATTTTAATTGAACATATTCAGGTAATTCATTCTCTTGGAATTATCCACCCCAAGTTCCCCACGACTCTTGATTAGGTTCAACCTTCCTATAAAATAACATATAGGCACTTCCACCAGAATGACCTCCGAATGTTTTCACTGGAATATCATCTGGGTTAATATAAGTGACTGAACTATCATTAAAGCAATACCATTGTCCATCTTCATGAGAACGGATGTATGCAAAGTAATGACCACCCATGGCACCACCTGAATGATTGAGAATAGAGTATAACTAATACACATATGGACCATCCTTCAAATATTGCCTAATTTGAATATCTTATTCTAAAATTGAATCTTAGCATTTCTTCTTTACTAATTCAGCATATTTCTTCCTCTCTTCCGTGGTATCCAAAATTGGTTATTGTTTGTCTTTGTCTTCCTCCTTACTCTTCTATTATTACTCTTCCTAGATTTACCCCTCTTGTTTCTAATTGTTAGAATCAACTTTGGATGCATCCTAATAATCCAGATCATGATCAAAGACTGGTAAGGGAGGAGGTGGAGGAATACTAGTTTCAGCAGGTTTAGTTTATTATTAAGTTTGTTTGATGTCTTCTTAGATTTGTTAATGAATGATTTGTTGAATCTACTCATCCTCTTACATGGTTCCGAATGTATCGATAATGTCAACGTTACCCTATTGTTTTGCTACTTTCTTCTATTGTTTGATGAAGTCTTTTAATCCTTGATTGGGTCTAACCACTTTAGTTGCTTTTGCTGTTGTATGTGCAGTCGGTTACACTTTACTAGTTGCAGTTGTTTTGAACTATTATTTCTTTGGTTAGACCAATTCCTCAAAGTAGGATGGATCTGCCTCTTCAGACAGTTTATTTGGGATGTCATCATAAGTTCTGCTGTAATTATTCATGTTGAGAACAAATGGGAATGTCATTTTGTCATCCAACTTCTCCCTTCTCATCATTATATAATCGAATGCGAAACGATTGATGTGCACATTCAATATTGATGGCAATTTGTAAATTAATTGACCTCTGAGAGCATCTTGTTTGGCTTAACATGACTCACAGAAATATTAATTATTGCCTTCCAATTTCTCTGGTTTCAGACTTCTTTGGATGGCCAATTCCAGATTGTTATTGTACACCTTGCTCCATTTATCCTTCAGAATCACTGTGTAATCCATAAAGATTTCTTGTCTCTGGCTTTCGTAATTGCATTTCAAGCATTTCGTATAATGAAGATATGCGCCTTCCTTAATATCATAAAATATACCTTCGTACAACTCCTTTACAAAGTTACAATTCTGATCGCTCTACTCTATTGCGTCAAAGAGAATACGAATGAACTCCTGGATGTCGTGCTACTAAAATGCCTAATGAATGTCCCATTGAAATGATTTGGTCAGATCCCTCGTATCAATGTACTCGAAGATTTTAGTTTGGAGTCTTCCATAGAGCTTTTGAAGTTGAAATGGTATCGAATCAATCTCTTCCCCGTGTATTGAGTGCTCGTACTTCCACAAATACAATCCTCGGCGAAATTCAGGAGTCATGAACAAAGTCTGTAGAACAGAATTCATATAGCAGGTGGCACCTATGTTTTGAAGCCCCAAGTATGGAGCATCAATTTAATATGAATTTGTAGTCATTTAAATTTATTATTAACTCATTTCACTTGACCCAAATAATCAGGATTAAAGCACCCTTATAAAATGATTATTTATGAAAATCATTTATAAATTTACTCAACAAGTCCTCTATCAGAATAAGCAGTATTCAATCCTCAAACCATCCTAATTGTCCGTCCCCAAAGATGCTTTCATCGCCAAAGTCACCAACAAAGATGGCAGCACATCTCTCCATGATCTCAATAGGGAATTGAAACAAGATTGCACCATCGAATTTTTAGATTTCTCTAATCAAGACGCAAGGAGAGTCTTTTGGCATTCAAGTGCTCACGTCTTAGGTGCCATCCTCAGTAAATTCGGAGCTGAATTAGAATTCGGACCATCAACCGAAAATGGGTAATCCTATTAATCATGTCTCTTAGATTCTACTATCAATGCAAATTGGACAAGGAAATTGAATTGGATCAACTGAATCAAGAAATTGAGCAATATCTGAAATAGAAAAAGCGTCTTTTTGAAATTCAGACCATATCCCAGGATGAAGCATTATAATTATTCCACAAGAATGCATATAAGCTAAGTAAGATTAAGTAGACAGCCTTCTAAAATTATCAAATTTATAAATTGGATGACTTTGTAGATTTATGTAAGGGTCCTCATATTGATCATACGAATCGTATTCATAAATTGATAATCAATCATTCACAGCCCTTCTAAAATAGTTATAGATATCAGGGTATTGCATTTCCGAATTCAAAATTATATTAAGAATATTAAAAATAAATGGAATGTGATCATAGACATATTGGCAAACAGCAACATTTATTTGTGTTTAATAAATTAGCTCCTGGAAGTGCATTTTTCTTACCTCATGGAACCAAGATTTACAATAAGCTCATAGAGATGATTCGCAAAGAGTACAGGGAGAGAGGATATCAAGAAGTCATTACTCCACAATTATTTCATAAAGATTTATGGAAGCAATCTGGCCATTTGGATAAGTATGCAGAAAATATATACATGACTCATGATCATTAAATGGGATTGAAGCCTATGAATTGTCCTGGCCATTGTTTACTGTACAAGACATTGCAGCACAGTTATAAAGAATTGCCAATTCGATTTGCTGATTTTGGTGTTTTGCACAGAAACGAAGTGCATGGAACTTTGACTGGATTGACAAGAGTGCGTAAATTCACTTAGGATGATGCTCATATCTTCTGCACAATTGAACAAATACAACAAGAAATCAAAAACACATTAGACTTTTTGAGTAAGGTGTATGGTCGTTTTGGATTTACTTGGGAATTGACTCTGTCCACCAGACCTGATAAGTACATAGGTGATTTGTAGATATGGGATGAGGCAGAAAGGCAATTGAGAATTGCACTATCAGACACACAATATACAGAAAATCCTGGAGATGGAGCATTCTATGGTCCGAAGATAGATGTCTTAATCAGAGATCACAACCAAAAACAACATCAATGTGGAACAATTCAATTAGATTTCAATTTGCCAGAAAGATTTGATCTCACTTATCATCATGAAAATGATAAATTCTCAAGGCCAGTAATGATCCATAGAGCTATTCTTGGTTCGATTGAAAGAATGATGGCTATCTTGACTGAGTAATACAATGGCAGATGGCCTTTTTGGTTGTCACCCAGATAAGTATTGATAATTCCAGTGAGCGAGGTGTCAAAGTAGTATGCAAAGGAAATTTATGATTAATTGTATAAGTTAGGATTTGAAGTGGAATTGGATGATACTGAGCAGACTTTGGGGAAGAGAATACGCAAGGGGGAGATGTTGCATTTCAATTACATTTTGACTGTGGGAGCCAAGGAGCAGGAGGAGATGAGTGTGGATGTCAGAGAGAGAGGGGATAATCACAAACATTAATCAATGAAATTAGATGAGTTTATAACAAAAATTATTTAATTATGATTCAAAAACCTTAAGAAGATGGTCCACTTTAGCCTTTTGATTTATCATTTCGAGGAGATGACCAGAGGTTTATGGAATTGGAAAGAGCCTAGACGGTTCAAGAATTCGTAAAGTCTATTGAGAAACGGAATTTTGAATTCGAATTTCAATATCTTAGACAAAGCACTGAGACTAAGGAACACGACAAATAATTGATTAAGACTGTTCAAGTTCAAAGATTGAATCGATACACGAATATATTGCCATGTATGCTGAAGTACTCATTTATTCTTAGTTTCACATTCGATTGTAAAACCAGAAGCCCAAGCAACAAATAAATTTAGTACTCCCAGAGATAAATTTTACATCAATGCGAATTACATTAAGGGAATTAATAATGTTGAAAAACAATACATTGCCACTCAAGGACCCATTCCAGAATCTTTGGATGATTTTTGGCATATGGTTTGGACTAATAATGTCGGAGTCGTAATCATGTTGTGTGCTCTGTTTGATCGAGGGAGAGTATTCCTTTAGCTTTACTTAGATCCAATGCGAGAAGTATTGGCCGAGTCTAGGATAGAAGGCACAATTTGGTCCCTACGAGGTGAACACGATTTCTTAAGAGGAGGCTCCGAAGACTTTCTTTAAAAATAAGATCATCCTCAAATGCTCAGATGAGTAACGAGAGATTATTCATTATTAATGGGCTGGGTGGACTGATTTCGGAGTTGTTGATAACACATAATTTAAAGTTCTTGATATGTTGGCAGAAGTCTCAAACACGGCTGGTATATAAAACAAGAGACCAGTGATTCATTGCAGTGCAGGAGTTGGAAGAACAGGAACATTCCTCGCCATCTGCCATATAAAATAGTTATTAATTAATAATCAAGCAAAAATATCTGTATTTAGTATTGTGAGAAGACTGAGAGAGTAGAGAGCCTTAATGATCTAGACACCTGAGTAGTATCAAATGGTATATAGATACACAATGTGGTTGATAGAAAATTTGAAATATATCTGATATTTAGATGAATATGTCATTAAAATTTAACCTCTCTTCTCATAATTGTCTAACAAAATAATATATTGTTATTTTAATTTATTATATAAAAATTAAAAAATAAAAATAACAGCCGATTGAGAGAATTGAACTCTCGACCCTTTGCTTACAAGGCAAAAGCTCTAACCACTGAGCTAAACCGGCTCGGTTATTTAGAATTCCATTTATTCATTTATGAGACGCCCGATTCATTTCATATTATTATTTTAATTATACTTAAGACTATTGGGATATTAACATCTTGATGTGATTATCTTCATACTTCAGTTTCTCTCCACTCATAGTTAGCACTCATTCCTCTCCAGGTGTCCTTCAATCCCACTTATGGTTGAGGGTAAAGTGAGAAATTTAAATAAAATCAAAAATATGATAGAATAAGTGTGAATACAAAGATAAAGGGATATTTTTTCAATGATACTCCTCACTTGGATTTGGGATTATGTCAAAGATAGGAAATTCTTTCCAAAATATAAAAATGAAAAAGAAAGGAATTGAATTATTTAAATAAAAATTAATATATGACTACAGTGTCTGTGGATTTTTTGCAGCAGATTACTCTTCTCGGTAACCAATTTTTGTTAACTTCCATAGACCCGATGAATAGGAAGCAAACTATCACAGAGTTAAAGAAGGTCCTCACGAAGCCATTGCTAATTTCTGATTTTAAGAAAATTTGGAAGGCTCTCTATTATGGTATTGCACTCTTTAATTGTAAGCTATGTGGAGTTCTGACAAGTATCAAAATCAACAGATTCTTGCAACTGAAATTTCATAACTCACAAGAATGTTCTACTCTAATTTCACTGCATTCATCCAATTCTCCAGAGCCATGTTCCATGTGTTTATGCTCGAATGGGAAAAGATTGATTACTGGCGAATTAATAAATTTATGCTCCTATTTAGGGAAATCATAGAAGAACAAATCAAAATATGCAAGCATTTCAATTGGAAGACAGTTCCCCAACTTATTGCCCTTTACAACGAGACTGTCTTGAATCTTACCGAATTCCAGACAGGTATGATTCCATATCCTAACTCTTTCTAGTATAGGGAGCTACATTGCACTTCATCCAAATATTTGTGCAGTGTATGGCTAAACACATGAGCGATTCCACTGTTGGCTACGTTCAGGTTAAGGAACTTCTTGAGGGGTTCCTAGACATCCTTAAGCACAGTCCAAACAAGACTTTGAGGGATAAAACCATACAATATGTCTACGAATACATAGAGGAGAGACAAGCTTAAGAATCTTATTTGCCTGCCTTTGACTCCAGGAAGTATGGGAATTATGTCTTCAAATTGGCATCGTCAGAGTAATTTAGTATCTAATATCTTGTAGGAATGTCAATCCTTAGAATAGGAAGGCGCTTTATAGAGTGGCAGAGATTTTTAATTTTACAGAAGCAGGGGAGGAATCACCTAAAATTGAAATAGAATAGGTTCCCAAAAAGAAAAAGTAAAAAAAAATGTAAGAAAATCAATAAACGCAAAAACCATAAGAAAAACAATAATTTGAAGAAAATCATGTATAATAATAATAAAATGAAGAACAACAATTCAATTAGTAAGAAGAATAAGAGGAATAAGAAGAAGAACAAGTGATTTAAGCACCTTAAAAAGTTTAAAAAAAAAATGGAAAAGAAAAAGTAGCAAAGGAAAAGGAGTCATAATAACAACAAAATACAAAAGCCAAATAAAAGGAGGAGAAAGCCATTCTGAAATTACATAAGAAATAAGAAGAACAAATCAATTCACATTATATGCAAGACAGTCCGATTCAAGATGAAGATGAAACCATAGAAGGTGATGATTATAGCGAAGTTAGAAAGAATCCAAGCAAATTGAAAACCTTGAAGGAGATCATGAACTCTGTTCCTGTGTATTTGTTTATGAATCCAGCCGAGAAACGCAAATACTTCAAGTCTATCAATATGAGATTTTAGGAAGCTTTACAAAAAGAAAAAGGAACTCATTGCACACACAACAAGAGTGTCCGCTTCGACTTAGCAAGAAACAAAGTGAAAAGTAAAAATGTGAATTTATTTTATTAGCTTTCAAATAAACAGACAATGTGCTCAGAATTTCTAAGTCATGAATTTGATATTTTATATGTATAATAAATATGGCAGAGAATGTGAAAAAAATTACTCTTAAAAATTCACTTTAGACTTTTATTTGGCTAAAATTTGAAACGACTATTTAATTACATAAATTTACATACGCATTTACAAAACGAAGCTTAAGTTCAATGTATTTTCTTTCTATCCCTTCCTCAACCTCATTCATCTTTGCACTCTCCAAAATAGTTTCATCATCTCTCTTACAATGAGGAGATGAATAACTAATCTAAGATTTACGTTTCTTTACTCCTGTCAATTTATCTAAATATGGATCATGTTGAATTTGTTAAATCTTCTCATGAGCTTTAATCTCAGGAGTCAAACAAATATTAGACTTACTGTTCCTTACCCTAGAAATTGAGTTAAACGAAATCTTGCTCAATCTACTTAAAATGCTAGGCTAGATTCCCAACAAAACACTATTATTGAAGTCAATATCTGATATTGTGTCATTATAACTGCTGATTGATTATATACGACTCTTTTTTCTATGAATTTCAGGAGTCAAAGTAGATTTCTTCTATTCAGGAGTCCTTAATAAGGAGTTCATCTCTTATTCAATAGACTAATTTAATTAAGATCCCAAAATATTATTGGATGACAAATCTTCTTTGGTTTTTCTGAATCTAAAAGTATAATGCAATCTATATTACATCGATGGTTTGCTGTTGAATAAATTGCTACTTGTACTTTGTCCCTCCTTTTCTCCCTTTTAAGATATGTTCCAATCAAACACCAATTCTTTTGGGACATAATTGTGTTCATTTTATATTTTTCTAAACAAAGATTAACAGTATTTATAATTTGGTTCGGATTTAAAAGGTAACCCTCTAACATAATCTAAATATCTTCCAAATTCGATTGGCAGACCTTTGCATAACTCGCTCACTTCCATCTTCATTTTCATCTAGCCAACTTACTTAATTTTATTCTCTTCTGAAGTGAACTATATATTTTGCCATGGCAACTAACCTGTTACATTAATAATTCTGTGTACCTTTAAGTAAAAATATCAGCATATAGCCTAACGACTCCATATCATCCCTTCGGCTTAAGGAATAGCCTTTATGAGCATTTATGCTAGCATATCTAGTTGTCCCTATGAATGGTTATTTTTCTCTAAAGGATCTAAATTTGATTGAATTGAATTGATACATGTGAGATTCATTTTCATCTTTAAAGAACTTACTGATGCCAAAGTCTACAATGTACAACTAGTTTTCATCATCATCCTTTCCAACTAAGACATTTTCTGGTTTTATGTCTCTGTGCAAGACTTTGCTAAACTAAGGTAACTGATATACTTCTTATGCAAATTTTCTAATATATTGATCATCTATTCAGCTACATTAAGGACACATTTAAGTGAGAATTTCCGGAAAGTCTTCATATAATGAGTTAAATCTCTCCCTAAATGTTGTATCACTAGAACATGGGAATCCTGCTCTTTCCCAGCCCAATACAATTTAGGTATATGTTATAAATGTTATAGCCTTTTTAAAATTTCTGCCTAAAATAGATAATCTTAATACTTCTCTTAATAAGCTTGAGTCTTCTTTATTTTCTTTGTCCATCTTTATGGCAACAAGATTTCTTGTATTAATATCTTACCCTTAATAGACAACACCAAAGGACCCAGCAGAAATCCTTTTTTTTGTAATGTAAACATTGTTGATTATTTTCTGATTATTCATTTTGTGAAATAATAATAAGCGATGTTAAATGAAATGAAATCTATATATATATATTTAAATATCTGAGTTCTAAAATATACTAAAACAATAAAATTAATAAATCGTTCCTTCTTCCTAAATTTGAATTCAGACAGGACTTATCATTAATAAATGTTCCTGAATTTACTCCAAGATTCATTGCTTTTTGAACCTTTACTATTCTGAGAATTCTAATTTTAGAATTGAATTTATTTAATTTCAACTTATGATATTAAAAATTAGCTTCTCAATATGAGCACTCAAACCAATTCTGAAATTTTCATTTAGAAATTAAAGTAGAGTGAGTGATTTTGAAGAAAATGCAATAATGGATGCAGTGAAATATATTGAATTTAAGTATTTTAATAAATTATTTTTACTGCTTCACTTAACATTCATTGAAGGAAATACATGATAAGTTTGAAATATTCTATCACAGTAAAAGTGCTACAATATAAAGGTATTCCTGATCTATAATAATATCATTTAGACTTTTGATTGCCTTATTATATTAAATATTATAAAATAAATTTAATTTCTTTCTAATTGCTATTTTATTAGTATATATTATATTCATCAAGATTATTATTTTATATTATTAAATCTACAATTTATATGTCCCAAATCCAAACAGTTCAGGCACTTTGTTTCTGGAGATTACACATCAAAATTTAAATTGCCCTTTTCTAATTTTAATACACAATCATAAAAAGAATGATTTAAACTTAAGCAGATTAAACAATAAGGTTATTGTCCAACTTCGCACATATTCGTTTAATGCCCGTGTTATCTGCAATTCCAACAAAATTAGTAATATTTATAATCAAAGTAACGCTTAACCTTTTAAGGCTTTTTGTAAGTCCACTAACCTTCTTCACTTGAAGATGATGATTATTGAATTGGATCCGTTTCTGTATACAAATTCACCTCTTTGTTATTTTGAATCCCCTTCAGTTTTTACAATAATTTGGCCTCATTTGTACTTTTCTTTGTTGCATCAAATAATTCATAATATTGATTGATATCTACCACCTTAATATTTTATCCGCCTTCCTTGTCTAAGTTAAGCACTATAATACTTATAATTGGTTGCTTTTCAAATTGATATTCCTTTTCTTCTGAATCACTGCTGCTATCCTCAAAAAAATGAAACATCATAAGTTATTATAATTTAAATTTCTAAAATATTTTCTACTTTATGTTTTTAAAACAGCAAAAGGGTATTTCACATAACACAGAGTTCTTACATATAATTTTTAATTTCTATCTATGTCTTTTCATAAAATCAGAACTTATTTTACATGATTAAATTAATACATGCCTTTTTTATCTAGATATATGAATTTCTTGAGAATCTATTCAATATAGTATTTATTCTTTATAAAAGCTTATTTTTAAGAACATCTAAGGATTAAGTTTGATTAGAAATAAGGGTGGGTGATATTGCTTACCTTTAAAAAGATAAAATAATAATAAACTTTATTAGGTTAAGGATGGAATACTTAATTAGTATCATGTGCAAAATAGATAGGGATATTTGAAAATATGAATGTTTAGAATGTTTCTTTATCAATACTTCATCAACAGGCTATTGAGTAAGAGCGAATTCAGATGCAATAATTAAGATATACGTTACACAAATTATGTTCTTTTTTAATCAATTTTAATTCATATATATTACGAATAGGTATAACTTTACTAATTGGATTGTGCTGAATATTAATAGAGCGAATTTGATTCCAAAAGCAGTTTCAGTAAGGGTGCTGCATTAAATTATGCTGGTGTAACAATGATATTATATTTATATTTTTTTTTAAATTAATTTAAGATTATTGAAACAAAGATGGAAGAAGAATTTAAAGGAGCATTTGGATATTCTTAAAAATAATTCAGAATATAATTTACAATTTATATGGAATTAATATCTAATTCATACTAAAATAATCATTCTTACTCTATTTCTTTTTCTTCATTTTCCTTAACATTTTAGGAATTGTCCTCTACTTCTTTTTACTCAATTTGTTATTATTCTTATTCCTATTAATTTTCGATTTCTTATTTTTCCTCATTTAAATCTGCTTCCAATTGAATTTAATTTTATTGGTTCTCTTCAAAGTTATTTTCTTTTACAACATTTTCAGTGTTATCAATAACTTGCTTGATTTGTTCTTCTTCTTATGCTACCTATTCAATATTAGTGGGATTTTGTTCAATATGATTACTCTTTTCAAATTGTTCTTCTAAAATCATGAGTTCTTGATTTTGAGTTATTTAATTTTATTCAGGAGCTGGACCATTTGCTTGTTATTATTCTTCATCAGTTAAAGGTTATTGTTGTTGTTGTTATTATTATTATTATTATTATTATTGTTGTTGTTATTCTGGTTGTTAGAGTTTTATTTAACTTTAGGTCAATTAAGTTATTTGACTTTTTAATTAACTAAATATTGTTAAATGTCTTACTTGGTTATGGGATACTTCTTGTTATTTAAGGAGTTCAATACAACATTATCTTTGGTTAATAAATTCCAAAGAGTTTAAATAGAAGTTTATTCCCTAAACAAACCATCTTTTTCTGATGTTTTGGGTTTAAATAAGTGTTTTTGAAGAACTTTAGCAACTGAAATACGGACGTTCTTAATTGGATCCTATCCCAAATGTATGAAAGCTTCAAGGAAATCAACTTGAAATTATTCATATCTCATAAGTTTTTCACACATGATGACAAAACTATTTTGAATACATAAAATACCTTTATCTTTGATTGAACATATTACTATTGGCAAAACCTAAAATGTTTTATTTCAGAACACTGAAATATAATTCATTTTGACTTTTTTGAAATTTATCATAAAGTTCAAAGATTTGTTTGGCAGCCTAATTTAAATTATAATAGTTACTGCTTTTCTAACAGCATAAACATTATCATTACACAATTTAGTTGAAACTGGAAGTATGATAGAAAATACAGTCTCAACATCAAACACTTGAGCCAAGTGTGAAATCTATTTAGCAATTAATTCTCTGATTCTCCATTTCTTTTGGTCCTTCTATATAATCAATAAAATATCAATTAGCGATGCTCTCTTAGATTCTTCAATGGCATCAAAAAACAAGCTCAAGTTCTCAACTGCCCCGTGTTTGATTTCATCATTGGGATCTTGAAGCAATTGTTCCAAGACTTTAAGCAATTCTGAGTAGGCCAATTAGGGTCCCAACAATTTAGCTAGCACATGTATACTACAAGCCAAAGGTTTTTTGACTCTCAAAGAAATATGATGTATCTATACCTTATCTTTATGATTAATCAATTTCAAAAACAATTTGCTAAGTTGAGGCCACTTTTTCTCAGTGTACACTTAGAGGACAGCTGGGAAATACAAGGCGCATTCAATGACGATCTTCAATACATAATTGAGATTACTTCATTATCAATTCCCAATTCTCTGATGTCAGAATCATTCATCTTCAAATAGAATTCTAAGAGTTTATCATTGATATTTTCTGATTTTGTGATAATTGATATGTATTTGCCTAATTGTTTATATGCGTGTTATTTGACCCACTTATTTTAATCACTTTTTATATTTAATTGTATTATTTACTCTAATAATGCCAGTAATCTTCCAGTGATCAAATCAAAGTTTTCTGTATCTGTCTACTCAGCTAATTTAACTATGATATCAAGACAGGCCTTTCTTGTTTACCATGTTCTCTCTTCAGTTTTTCTTAATTAATCAATGCATCAAATTACTTAGAAAAGAATGGGATTAGTCTATGTTTAATAAAATCCTTAGAGAGAACTTTAGCTATGTTAGCCAATTGAAGAACGGCCTCTTTGCGTATTGGTTATTTGGCATCATCTCCTTTGGATAGGATTTCCAAAGCTATGAATGACTCCGACAATTCAGGTCCGAAATCTGCAGCCAGTTGGCCGAATAACTATAAAATACATCATGTTATTAACTTTAACGGCAATTATAACATTCTCGTCATTATTGTCATCATGAGCCATCTGAATAACTTGGGTCAAAATGAGATTTCCTCTGTCTCTTTCATTTAGTTCTTTGGCAACTATGCTTATAGAATTTCCAGCCTATTCTTTGATCTTATTATAAATCAATTGATTACATCGAAATTATTAGATTTCAATAATTCCTATAGAGCCTTAACTACATGTTGTTTTATGAGTTCTTAACTGTTTTATTTGGTCTTCAAAAGCACACAGATTTACTCTAATTGGGCAATAAAATTTTTCTTAATTTCATCAGCATCTTCTAACTACAAATTAACACTTCATTTTACTATCTACTGTATGATTGTATTTAAATTGTCAATTGCAGAATCTCCTATCCATGATAATAGTTCTCCTAATCTTTTTGTAAAAGCAAGTCTATCGTTATCACTTAGTTTACCTCTCTTTGTAATGGCAATCTTTTAGCTTCATGAGTTTCTCCAACACAATTTAAGGGTTTTCATCAATAAATACTGCATCCTCCTCTCTTCTTTAAATCTATTGAACTGGAATATATTCTTCTCTATAAATTTCCTAAACGATGCTTCCTGTATCTAAATTAATAATCAAATCATAATTGATACCAACAGGAGGATTTTCCTTTGGAGAATTTTACATATCCTTTAATATATATATTTATTAAATTTTAAAATATTGTTTGCCAATATATTCAATATCCATAATAGACTCTAATCATAACTCACTTTGTGATTCTAGACAACTGAAACCCTCTCTACTTCCTGAATGAGAACACTTGCAAAACATTAATAATAATCATTCAATTTTATACAATACATCAATCATCTTCATCATCATCGTCATCATCATCTTATTCATCTTCTTCATCAAAATCATCTTCATCCTCCTCTTCCTTCAAATCTAAATAATAAGCCAAAGATTATGGGATTATTTCTTCGATTATTGCTTCTCCTATTTCAAGATCGGCTGTAATTTTCTCTTCCTTTTGTAATTCTTCTTCATCTGTTTATGCAGGTGCAATGTCATCAAAGAATTTAAAGAATGATTTCAATTTCACTTCAGTCTCAATAATTCTGGTTTGATTGGTTTTCTTGTTTCTTTGCTTCTTCTTCTTTATTGTCTTTGTAACATTCTTTCCTTCCTTCCAATTTATTGATGTTCCATTGCACTTGTAAGGTAATTCGCTTTCTTCATTGTTGTAAATGAATTCCTTCTCCAACACCTTGTTATCAAAGTATTAATTTGGATTGAACTCAAATCTTAATTTAAAATCTCTGTCATTATCACCAAAACTAGCAGTAATACTCTTTAAATTTGCTAGTACATCTGCATCTTTCTAAGTGATTCTTGATCCTGTGATACCTGCATGTTATAGTACTTTTGACCAATAATCAGAGATTGGCTCAGCTTCCTTGATTGTTGAATCCTTCATTTCTTCCTCGGTTGGTTGTCTTGTTCCATTAGCCAAAGCATTTACTTCTGACAATTCTGGAATACTATTTTTTAAGTGATCTACTGTTGCTTTATTCACATTTTCGGCATATTGTTTTTCCAAATTACCCCATTTCTTAACATAATGAATTAAGGCAAGTGCTTTTGATAAATCTTCTGGCTTGAATTTTTACTTCACAGCTTCAATCACTCCTTAATCAATAATCATAAAAAATTAACCTTAATTTATTTTATAATTGGACTTATAAATTAAAGAACATTAAAATGATGAAAATATATTTTTATTGTAACTTTATAATTACTTTTTTGATCATTTTTAATAAATCAATCTTAAAGAATCTAATGATAACTAAAAATTAGGTATTACTATTTCTGATTTTTGGATATTCGTATCATATTAAAATTAAAACATTCTGAAAAATACACCAAAATCTCAACAATCCATTAGATTATTAGAATTATCATATACATAATAGAGAGTTCTTATTGATTTAATTGAGTCTAAAGGTAAGGTAAATTTTATGTTTACTTATTATATTAATTAAGTTATGAATAATAATTCAGATGATTAAATGTAAGGAAAATTATTATCATTTTGCTAGAGACATTTCAAATGAAAACCTAAAACCTTGTCCTGATAAAAAATTACACCATTTTGATTAAGAATGGGCAAATTATGCTAATAATCCTTCTCCTCATTTCACTCCCTCGTAATTCTTTCATGCTCCTCACACACACCTGCCTCCTTTAAATTTAGAAAAAAGTTCATAGTTCCCTTATATCAAGGTTATGATGATGGCTAAGACAAATAAGGTAAGAAAAATCCCTTTCGAAAATTTTCTGCTCATGATCCTCAACAAGATGGCAATGAAGAAGACCCCAAATAACATTATCCATACTACCCAACCTACTATTAACCCTATCCAATGAAATACCCTCCCCATCCTTCCCAATATTTAATGCCTCAATATCCGCATCCCATTCCTTATTGGTATAGACCACCTGTATACTTTCCCCAATTTGATGGATAACCTTACTAAAACACATTGTCTAAAGAACTTCAATCGAAAGTCAGCCAATTAGTTTAATACTAGAAAGTATCACATTTTGCTTGCAACTGCAAAAAGAGCAAGTGTCTCAAATTATATTGCGAATGCTTTGCCAACAATTGGGTAAGATTTCAAACTATATAGGTATGCTCATAAAATTGCAATTGCTGTGAATGCAAAAATAGGATTGATAATCCGAATGAAAGATCTAAAGCCATTGAAGAAGCTCTACTTAGGAATCCTGATGCATTTGCAGCAATTTTAACAAACAATGGATAACAACCACAAATAATTTAAGGTAAAACCTTAATTCTACCTTTAGAGGAGAAATCATAAAAAGAATCCTAAATAGATAATAACACAAGAAAAGGATGCAATTGTAAGAAATCTGAATGCAAAAAGAAATATTGTGAATGTTATAGCATCAATCAAAGATGTACAGATCTTTGCAAATGTGAAAATTGTCTAAACAAAGCTGAATCCCAAGAAGTCTCAGTTGATTAGTTATAAAAATTATAGAACCAATAAAAATAGACTATCTAACAAATATAATAAGTCCAAGAGCCAAAGGATAACCAATAGAATTCTATCAATAAAAAATCAAAAACTATTTAGAAAAAAGCAAATAAAGTTGGTGATCCAAAACAAGAACACTTTTCAGAATCTGAACAACATATACTCAAAGTTAAATTAACTATCACTGACAAATAAAAACGAAGGAAATAATGATTTGTTCATCTATTTTTCTAAATCTGTGTTTTAATTATCATTTCATAATTATAATTAAAAAAAAATCAAATTCAATATCTTTTTGGAATCAAATAACTTTCATTTGGATTTTAATATTGTTACTAACTCTTAGGTTTATCCTCTCTTTCTTAATATTGAGAATGTGATCTCTAATATTGAGGATCTCTGTTAATCATAAATTTTGATTGAGAATTTTAGTAGTAATAGGGCTGGTTTACAGCAACGTTGTATTGCTTTTGATCATATCTTGTGAGTGTGTGTAATTAGGGTACTCTGTAATTCTTGACATGTAAAGGAGTTCTTAATGGGATGGTTTTTTCGTATCTATCTCCATAACTTTCTGTATGTACTCTAACTTTTTAATCGAAATTTAGAAAGATATCATCTTTGTCAGGGCTAACTTCTCTTGAATCTTCTTAAGTATTCTATCTAAAAGTGTAGTTGCTAGATTAATGATGAGTTTAATTGCATTATTATTAATTCTATTATTGTAAGGCTTTTTACTATTATTATTATTATTGTAATTAGGATTATTACTATTAAATTAATAATATCTCTTAATAATATTATTATTTTTGTAATTCTTATTATTGCTAAATTATCTATTCTTAAGTTAGTTATTACTAATTTTAAATTTAAGAGAGCTATTATTAGTTTTAGATTTGAGGTGGCTAAGTAAGTACTTATGATGCTTTTTGATTTTATTGAACTTGATTAAGATTGACTTATTATTGAATAACAGGTTCCTAAGAACTTTGCTTTTATTATTGTAGGTTCTTGATGAAATTTTCAAGTCTCTCCTTTTCCTAAGACCATATTTTAGATCTCTCAGTTAACTCATCTTTCATTTGAGTGTTTTCCTACTAAATCACTTTGACCTATTGTTGAAATGCAATAATTTGCTAATTACAATAATGTTAGTATTATTATGCAATTGTTTCTTATTATTATTCAATTTCTTTCTAAGATAACATATAAACATTACCAAAAATGAGTTTCTTAATTCACTAATTTGAAGATTATAATTTTGTTCTAAATTGGCTATACAAGATTGATAAGAGGCCTGTTCCTAATAGAGTTATTGCATAAATTGTTATTCTTTTAATTAATATTCCTTTATTGAATCGACATACTATTATTACTATGCTATTAAGACTTATTTTTATTGTTCCAATACCATACACTTTCTATTATAAATATAGTAAATTACTCATTAATTGCCTTAATTTCTTCGTTTCTTAAGGCTATTTAATCATTTTTTTCTAAAAGTTAACTATTTAATATGTCTAAGTCATTTAATCTTGTTTAGAGCATTTCATTTAGATTTTTGTTTTCCAATAAAACTTGTTAGAATCTCTATTCTATTTCCTTTTTGTTCTTAGATTACTCATCAATCAATCTGCTGCTTAATTATTCATTTGCTTAAGTAAGTTGAACTACTTTTTATTAGTAATTCATTAATTTTTATTGAGACTCTTACACTAATAGTGTTCGATTTGAATAGTTGTTTTGTTTCATAATCTCTATTTCTCTCATCAAGCCAGAGTTGATTTCAATTAGCTTTGAATTTTCTGTAATGAGTAATTATATTTTTGATTGCATGGAGGTGAGGTTTTTTTCATTATTATCAACAGGTTAATCTATTAGTCTAAAACTGGGTTCGGATTCCTCCCTTTGAAAGGGTTTCCTTGCGCCTACTTATTTTGTGGAATTGTAATTATTTTCCTGAGTTGGAGATGTTAAATGTGGATCCGGTGTTTCATTTAGATGCATCTATAAAAAGTCTTAAAACGATTGCTTAGATTCTCTTTCATAATTCACTACTTTAAATGAATCTGACATTATTTCGAATTCAAATATAACTAAATGTTAAAATATTTAAATTTGGAATACTGTTTATATAATTATTAAGTGCTTTATAATTTATATTTTAATGATCAAACATATATCCTTATAGATGATTTTTCATTGATTTTATGCTGAATATTTGCTGCATTACCAACCAATGAAGGGAAATATTTAATAAAGAATTCTGCTTTAGAAATGTTTTTGTGTAATTAATGTATTGTATATGAATAATGTTTCAAAGTCCTAATTCTTTGAAATTTGGATTTGGTCTTGAATATTCGTTGGTTAAGAAGTATCTATTATGAATAACAAAATCTACTCTGGGAAATATTTCTTAGCCAATCCATAAGAAGCATTCATTCTGACACACAATTGGAAATAATTTCTTGCATCCAAACATTCAGGCACATAGGAGTCTTCAAAGAGACCAAATTGATTTTTGCAATGTGATGCCATTCTATCATAGAGATGACAAGCAAGTAATTGATTTGCCTAATTGATAATTTGATATGAATTACTTTATATTCGACAAACTCAAATTTTAGATTATCCAACAATTTTACATGATTCTTAGTCAATGTTTGAAGGTTGATCATATTTCTGAACATGAAATCTGTATAATAAGAATGTATGGTTACCTTCCTCTTCCCAAACTTCGTTATAAATTGGCATCTGTATTAATTTAGGATATATTTAATTATGAATTAAAAATATGAGTATTAAAAATTTATTAAACAAATCACATTTATTTTTTTAATTTTTTATTGATGATTTAAAGTGTTTTAATGTTATCTTTGAGAAAAATAAGACCCGTTTACCACTATTCCAATACTTCCTCACTATCAAACAATAATTCAATCCTACCATCATTTTAAGTAATGATTGACATAGGCCAATATACAATTCCACAAACAATCCTTTCTTCTTGACTTAAAATATATCTGTTCTATATTTATTTCTTTATTTATATACTCTGCTGAATTGTCTTTGGAATTATTACTCTCATTATTTAATCCAATTACAGCAACGAATCAACTTGCTAAATAATATAAAATTTCTTACATTTACTCTCATTTGGTTTTTGAATTCAATCTTATCCAAGTTTTATGACAATGTCATCATTCTAGGACAATAACCACAAACATTCGGATTCTGACAAGTAAAAGGATCAAATTCCATCTTTGTCATATTTGGTTTTGTTGAATTAAATCTTTTGAAAATCAACACACCTTTCTGTAAAGGCTTCGTAATTCTGAGTATTTCTTATTCGATTGGGACTAACTAATTAGATTTATTAGAGAGATATTGGGAATCCTTTGAATTATAATAGGTTTGTCCATTATTGGTTGAAACATTACAAAACAATTGCTTTTGCTAGATTTCTTTATTTAAGGTTGAATCAAAAGATTTAGACTTTTTGTGTTTTTATATCTATTCAGATAATGAATTCTGCTCCTTAAATCTAAATACTTATGGTTATTAACTCTTCTAAGTTTGTGGATTAGAGGGTTAATTGTTGAAAAATAAAGGTACGTATGGAGATGGTATAGAAATTTATTTCTATGTAACTTCATTTACGTTAGACATTTATAATTAAGAATGGCCTAATCTATTAGTGAAGCGTTTTGTCTATTCCGATGATGGAGCTGTGATGTTCTAGGATGAAGTATCAACAATTTTAACTTTATTCAGATTTAAGTAATTTTAATGAATAGGAGTTGTGTTGATTTTATTGGATACTTCCATTTTGGATTTATCTCTTTTGGAGCTTAGTTACTCTTCAGTTATAGTTTATAATCTAATAAAATCGATTTATTAAGTTTAGTTGTCTATTGGCAAATTCTTTTAATTAAAATAATTATACTATTATTATTATTATTGCTATGAGTATTATTATTAGTATTATTATTATTACTATTAGTATTATTATTATTATTGGTAGTATTGTTATTACTACAAAGGCAAATTACATAGACTATTTTTAGACTTTTCTGATTGAAGTAAGGTTAAATTTAATTCATTAAAATGTTACAACAAAGAATCATCAGCAGATAATTAGCATGCTGATGAACACTTAGAATTTGTCTCTCCATCTATGCTATTTATTTGTAAATACTACTGCAATTAACTAAAATGTAATGAATCATCTTTATTTAAGTGATTGCTTAACACTCTCTTAGTCTACTTGTTAATGTTGCTTAAAATATTGGCACAACTTTTATTTTAGGAATTACTATTATCACTTTTTTGATCATCATTATCAATTTATGATAGGCAATCAAAACCGGTTAATATTTCATTGTATATTTCTTCAGTTTTCTATTTATTTAAGATTTCTTATTAATATAGATCTTTTTTCATAGTTATTTCATTCAATTATTACTCTAATTGTTAGTTCTCTTATTCAAGAACTTCCACTCTTTTTAATAATTAAAATTTGGATTGATCTTCTTCCAAAAGGTTATTTCTAATATTTTAAACTTGCAACTTCTTTTAATTCATAGTTTGTTTTATTGCATATATATCTTCATTTAATGAATTGTCAACATAATCTATGTTTGATTGAATAGCTTTCTCTAATCTCTCGTGGTTTCTGAGTATCTGAATAATACCTTAAATTTTTTTATTGTATTAATGCGAGATTAACTGATTGATTTATTGATCCTGTTCCTTAAGAACCTATTGATACACTTCATTACCATATTAATTCTTGATAGTCTCAAATTAATGACCTTATATTTAGAAAATAATACTTTACCCCATTGTTACATATAAGTTGTCATAGCAAGCAAAGTTTCCTAATTGATTTTCTCCTTTAATATTTTGTGTTGCTACTCTCGATCTCGAATCAAATCTGCTGTGTTGCCTGATAATTTAAATGATGATGATTTTTTTAACTATTAAATTTGTAGGTCTAACTATTCAATTTTAGTTGCAAAGGTAAACTCGAAATTGCTTTATATTTTATGGAATTCTATTAATTCCTCTAATTCTTCCACTTGACCTATCAATTCGGCTCTTTACAATAATTTCCCATTCAAGTCTTCCATCAACATTGATGATTGCTCTTACAAAAGTTATTGATCCTATATGGCTTGTTTATACATCTTGTTCAAACTTCCAACAGTTCTATCAATCTTTTTTGCAGTGTTTGGAATATAGGTGGATTAATAATTTGAATTTTCCTTATTCATAGTATCATTAAGCAAATCACTAATCCTTGAATTTCTTCTTGAAATATCTCTTGACTTACATTCAACATACAATAACGAAGGCTTTTTTGATTTATTATTTAACATAATGCACTATTTTAAATAATAAATTCAAATACAAATTATATACTGTTACTTTGTATATAAATATATAATAAGTATAAACTCTTGAATTTATGTTCATTTCAGATTAACATACACGGTTCTCTCCTTTCCATTTCTCAAAACCACCATTACATGACTATCTGCATTTTCAGTTACTCCCAATAATTTTGTCACATCCTTCCCATGCTAAATAGTCACTCCATCAATAGATTTTATTATCTCTCCTAATTTCAAGCCCGCCTTCTCTGCGGGACTATCAGAATTTATTTTTATGATAAAAGCCCCTCCTTGATCAGAAGTCTTCAAAGTCAATCCCAAATAAGGTTTATTGACACTTTTACTATTTTCTAATCCTTAAAAGAAGGATGATGGCACCACTTAAGTTTTGTTTCTAAATTTTCCACTTATAATACCCAACAATTCTCCATTCTTATTTAAAACAGGACCTACACATTAATCAAATTCATCTCTTACTTCCTGGACTGGAATTGCATCCATTCATCAAAATAAAAGGAAATGTTTAATTCAAAGCTTCCTCACCTACTAATTTAATATCTAATGTGAAATTGCTATCAGTAATTGGACACTAATGAAACTCCTTTAACCCTTATTCATCTGTTCCTAAAACATACGCATTCTATCCTATTTCATATTTCGAGAGATTAAACTAAGATTTCTATTATTATATTTTTAAAATGGCAATTCCTTCTTCCACTTTTAATACTTCATAATTATAAAGCTAGCCATTGATTTATGCTGAGATTTATGGTTATTAATTTTCGAATACTTCAGAACTAGTAACTACAAACCCATTTTTTAGAACTGCTCCTTATCCAATAATTCTTCCATTGATAAAGAATTTAATGATAGAATTCTAAGTCTATTTGTTTAACATCTAAAAGATCTCCTCACTTTGATTCTTTCTGCTTCCCCAATATATGAAGGAGGCTGTTGAGAATAAGGCCAACTTAGTCATGTAATTTTACTTAAAAATTCTAGAAAACATAAAGTAATATTTAATTAAAAAAATATTATAAAATATATTTTAAATGTGCTTATAATTAGATTGATATAGAAATCTGTAAAATACATTGATTTAAATATATTCTCTATTTATGCAAATAATGATATTGGTTTTAGGAATCATAGAAGGAATCTATAAATATCAAATAAAAGCATTATCATTTAGATGGCATAATCCTATTAAATCCTCTAAAATGATATACTGATAAATGATGTTTTCTAATTAAGTGTTATAATTATTCTAACCTGTTTTATTCGTTAATCATTACAAGGAGGTTAATGATATGGGAGATAATAGAAATAATGATATAATGGAGAAGATTGAAATCTACAAAGTCCTAAAATCGTACAGAGTTTGCGTACAATCACTAACAATAAATATTGATTAATATATTTATTANTATATAAATATATAATAAGTATAAACTCTTGAATTTATGTTCATTTCAGATTAACATACACGGTTCTCTCCTTTCCATTTCTCAAAACCACCATTACATGACTATCTGCATTTTCAGTTACTCCCAATAATTTTGTCACATCCTTCCCATGCTAAATAGTCACTCCATCAATAGATTTTATTATCTCTCCTAATTTCAAGCCCGCCTTCTCTGCGGGACTATCAGAATTTATTTTTATGATAAAAGCCCCTCCTTGATCAGAAGTCTTCAAAGTCAATCCCAAATAAGGTTTATTGACACTTTTACTATTTTCTAATCCTTAAAAGAAGGATGATGGCACCACTTAAGTTTTGTTTCTAAATTTTCCACTTATAATACCCAACAATTCTCCATTCTTATTTAAAACAGGACCTACACATTAATCAAATTCATCTCTTACTTCCTGGACTGGAATTGCATCCATTCATCAAAATAAAAGGAAATGTTTAATTCAAAGCTTCCTCACCTACTAATTTAATATCTAATGTGAAATTGCTATCAGTAATTGGACACTAATGAAACTCCTTTAACCCTTATTCATCTGTTCCTAAAACATACGCATTCTATCCTATTTCATATTTCGAGAGATTAAACTAAGATTTCTATTATTATATTTTTAAAATGGCAATTCCTTCTTCCACTTTTAATACTTCATAATTATAAAGCTAGCCATTGATTTATGCTGAGATTTATGGTTATTAATTTTCGAATACTTCAGAACTAGTAACTACAAACCCATTTTTTAGAACTGCTCCTTATCCAATAATTCTTCCATTGATAAAGAATTTAATGATAGAATTCTAAGTCTATTTGTTTAACATCTAAAAGATCTCCTCACTTTGATTCTTTCTGCTTCCCCAATATATGAAGGAGGCTGTTGAGAATAAGGCCAACTTAGTCATGTAATTTTACTTAAAAATTCTAGAAAACATAAAGTAATATTTAATTAAAAAAATATTATAAAATATATTTTAAATGTGCTTATAATTAGATTGATATAGAAATCTGTAAAATACATTGATTTAAATATATTCTCTATTTATGCAAATAATGATATTGGTTTTAGGAATCATAGAAGGAATCTATAAATATCAAATAAAAGCATTATCATTTAGATGGCATAATCCTATTAAATCCTCTAAAATGATATACTGATAAATGATGTTTTCTAATTAAGTGTTATAATTATTCTAACCTGTTTTATTCGTTAATCATTACAAGGAGGTTAATGATATGGGAGATAATAGAAATAATGATATAATGGAGAAGATTGAAATCTACAAAGTCCTAAAATCGTACAGAGTTTGCGTACAATCACTAACAATAAATATTGATTAATATATTTATTAGATATTAAATATTTTAAAAATGAAGGCTCTTTTCTGTTTAGGAGTTGGAATGTTGATGACCTAATAGGACAACACTGTTCATGCCTGGTTGTACAGAGATGATATTGGTGCCTTTTGGGGTATCAAGGGATATGAAGAGCAAGTGACAGAAGTGGGTACACATAGAGGTCATATGTCATGGCCATAATATAGATTCTTGGGTACATTCGATTCTGCCAGTGTTAGAAGAGGGTATGAAAAATAGTGATAGTTTAGATTTCTTGTTTTCTCTAGAAACTGTGCCAATTGTCATGGTATTGTGTATAAAAAATATGATGTTTTATTGGATAAAGTTTACAAGCAATTAGAATTGGCTGCATTGGTAAGTAATTTTACAATTCATCCTGCTCATCATCACTTCAAACAATTCTACTATTAGGAATGGGACGAGAGAGATAGATATATCCATGACAGTAACAAATTAAATTAATGACTAGGAATCTACCCTCCCTACTTCTCTTAAGATTAAGCCAAAAATGCCAATGGTGGTGTGTGGCCAACAGACTTTTCTAAAATCAGACTTAGACCTGGAGGCATCAACTATATTTATAACATTTTGACTGGATATCATTACAAGCCTTACTAAGGTTTAGATGTTCCAAAAGGAAAGGCCTACAACCCTTACTTTGATCACATGATCATTGGTATGGTCAGATAATTGCATGATGGTACGATTAGCAATTAATTGTCAAGGACTTGTTGATTACGAGGATGGCACTCCTGCATCAACTCCACAAATGGCATTTGATGTCACTAATTTCATCCAATTTGTTTAAAGAAGAAGCGGTTTCCAAAGACCAGATAAGACTGTCAGATATTACATGTTCTTAACAGGCATTGCTTTAATTTATCCATTCGCCTATTTGAAGACTAGAGGATTCTACAGAAACAATCTTTCCCTCAGGTAACTTTTCATCCTAAATCTTCAGATGGGAAATGTATGCAGTGAGAGACGGTGTCTATTACAATCACTTCAAAAAAGGATGGAAGAATTCCAGAGCTATTCAATTCAGAGGTCAAGTCTGGGCTTGATTTATATACATTATTAAAAATATTGCAAATATAATATCTATGTACTCCAATATCAATCATTTCATGCCTCCCATATGAAATTCAAATTTATTTAATACATAATTATTACACACTTTAAAATGCAATCACTTTTCGTTAAATGCCAAAAGTGTCAACAAAGACCAGCCACGATCAAATGTACATAGTGCAGATATGGATAAACCTATAGACTCTGTTATTCTTGTGACTCGCAAGTTCATAATAGAACTGGCCCCATAGATCAACAACACAAAACTGAAATTATTCCATACCAAGGTATCTTATCTATCTTGTATTAGAAATGTACTTGAAAAATTAAAGCTTTGTTCCAGCTCCTTCTCAATCTGAATAGAGGAACTCTCATAAAAAAAATGATTTCAAAGCTTAGCCTCCAACTAAGGATTATTTGAGCCATGAAACTAGAAAACAGGATTATTCTAAAACAATAGATGTTAATAGAAAGCCTGAGTATGTTGAAAAAAAACATGATTATTTGGAGAAGAAACTTGATAGCCATGATAAAAGATATGATCAACATTAGCAAGGATTCGATAAAAAACAATATTCTTCAAACTAAAAGCCTCAAGAATTTGAAAAATCCAATTAGACTTTAATTAACCAATTAAAAGAAGAACAATAATAAACTGATCGATTAAAAGCAGAATTGAATTTAGTTAAATAAAGAGAGAAGGAATTTTAGAAAAGACTGTATCTTAACAATAATTATATTTAGATCAAAATTAGATTAAGATTATGAACAAAAACATAGAGATGATAGATAAAAATTGCAATAGGTTTAAGATGAAAATAAAAATCTACATCAAAAACTCAACTAAGTCAATAAGCATCTAATTGAAGAAACAAACAGAGTTAGAGAGTATGAATAGTATATTAAAGATCTTGAGTAAGCCTTTAATGAAAAAGCATAAGAGTAGAATATTGTATTATTTATGACTTAAAATGTTAGGAGGAGATTTAACAAATTTATGAAGAATCAAATATGAAAGACCAAATTATAGAATAGTTATAACAGTAAATTTAAGATATGTAAGCACAGATTCAATAATTTGCAGAAGAATAATAGAATAATAGTAGAAATATTAAAAATTAATTGTCTTCAAATAAAAAACTACCAAAAAGTTAGGATAATGAAAAAGATTAAGTGATTTAAGAATTAAATTAATAATTGGAAGAAAAAAATGAAGAAAATCATAAATTAGAGGGTTTTAATTAATTAATTATATTTTAGACTTGATTGAAAATTTTAAACAATTGTATCAACATATGAATGAGGAAAAATCCTAATTGTAAGAGGAAGTTGAGAAATTGGCAAATGAAAATAATTAATTTAGAGAATTATTTAGTGTAATTTAATATTAAAGAAAATTTAGTAAAATTTGCATCTTTTTGGGATTGACCCGGAGTAATTGGATGAAGAAGGAGAGGGAGAATATCCTGAAGAAATTGCTGAAGAAAATGATGACCAAAATGATTGAAATTTATATGTTACATTTATTACAATAACTTTATAAAATTAAGGTATAGATCAATATATTAACAACTGACCTTGTTTTCTAATTGAAAAGTTAAAAATTAATTCCAAATAATTATATAATGAATAAATACTCTTTAAGATTCGACAATCCTAAAATGGAAGAACTTTATTTTTAAGACCAGTACGAGGAATTATTTAATTTTTATACTTGGGCTTGTTGTTTAGGTACTATTAGTGCAATTTGTGTTTTTACTATGGAATTTATTATTCCATTTGGATTTGGTTTTTGGAAATATTCGTTGATTGTTATACCCTTAGGCTTTGGATTCAGTCATAGATTAATAAAATTGTTTCCATAATATTTTAATTATGTATTGGCTATGATGAACATTTCCTTAGGGGGCTTAATTTTCATTTTACTTTATTTTTTTTCCAACTCAAATATACTCTTTTTGGCAGGATAAACCGTCGCTATGATTCAATATAGTCTACTTTTGGGATCAAACATCTTAATTAACATTTTAGTTTTGTTAATAAATTAGATAGGATTGATGGTATTAAGTTCAATAGTGTAAAACTACTTTAATTCTTTATAATTAATGTTTATTTTTGCATTGGTACTAGTGTTAAAATCAATATGGAGTAGTGAAAAGATGAAAAGATCATTTTTTTTATTGAAGTATCAAAACATTCAACTACATAAATAATTAGATAATGTATTTTAATTAAAAATATTAAGATGCAAATTTGATAAGAAATTAAATCAAATTAAGCTAATAAATCTCAATAATTAAGCTGAAAAAATAATTTAAGATTAAAAACAATTCATTCAATTTATAAGACAATACACTATTGCATAAATAAGATCCCTAACCTAACCATTGTAAATGATAACAAGTTAACGTCTTATCAGTAGAGCATAAACTCTCGAATAAGTACTTTACAATATGTTAGTGGGAGAGGATAAGGAAAAATCCTCAGAGATTTATTGTGAAGCCACTAAAATAGCATTTAGAATTTGTATTTATAAAATTATTGAAAAAAACTAAGTTCATTTGATTTTGCTTCTCTAAGAAGATTCAGAGTACTAGAAGATACTAAAATTAAATAAAGAAGTAAGAAAGAAGAATCGAAATCAGAGATTATTGTTGACATGTCTTGAAAATGCAAGAAAATCTTTATAAATATTAAAATATTTGACAACAGAAATTATTGATAAAAAAGCAAAAACGCCTTAAATTAACACTAAGGTAGTTAAAATACTCTCAGTATCTTAAAGTATTTTATTTAAATCTGTTCATGGTTATTATAATGTTCTTATTCTTAATAAGATGCATCAATATTTATCAGAAACTATTAAATTTGATGTAGAGAAGTTGTTAATTGATGTACGAAAATTGAGGAATATCTTTAGCAATGTCAAATCATTGCCTATCAATTATGAAGGTAGTAATATATAATGTGAATCAAATTATGTATTAACATTACAATTAATTTTAAATCTACTCCAAGATTTGTTTAGCGAGCGAACCTATGAGAAGATTATAATCAAAGTAGAATATTTGTTTAATTTTAGGCTGAATTACAACAGTATGAAAATACAAAAGTGATTGACTATAGGATCTTTCTAATGATAAATGAAAAAAATGAGAAAGTTTGCATTCCGTTAAATAGAATTATGATCAATTCATTTAGTTAACTTAAAAAAGTAAATAAAAAGATATTGGAAATTATTGGTTGGAATAATTAAATAAAGATAACTTAGAATACAAATTTTGACTTAATTGAATATAGCCTTTTACATTCTCTGAAGGAATTTAAAGAAAATATGAAAAACTGATTGATAAAATGATTTTATTTTGACTTTTTTACAAAATATATTTAAAACTACACTAGAAATAAAGGGCTAAAAATGGAACCCTAATGGAAGAATAGATCAATATTAAAATGCTCTTATATCTTTGTGATTTTGTATGATAATTTTGTCAAATTCATATCTTCAAAATATATATTAATTAAATAAAATGTCCAGAGCAATACGTAGATATGTGAATTCAAAGGAGGAAATGGAATACAATAGAGGATATAGTGCTGAAGAGATGCAAGCAGCTAAATTGCGAAAAGCTTTTGTTTAAAAATACATTGCAGATTTTGATACAAACTTCTACAAGACATAAGAAGAAAGAGATTGGGGTTATGTAGTCAGAAGAGAGTACAGTTTTAATTAAGGATCCTAGGTATCGATATGATGTCACATATACATCACTTGTAGATGGATGGGCATGTGCTGCAGTAGTATCAATGGCTAGGATGTTTTAAACAAAAAGATTCTCTTGGGCACCATATTTTGTTGTCTGGCCAATTGCTTATCTTTACTTTTAGCCAATCTAATTTTTGAAACACAACAAAAAATATTTTGATATGTGCAATTTGGGAGAAACATTTTATCTTGGAAGAGAAAGAAATAAGGTTCTGGCTGAATGTAATAGAATCTTGGATAGAGAAGATTTCTGATCTTTAACATAATATACAAATATAACATTATCAATTTATAATTTTATATTATTTTTATTCATTCTTTTTAAAGAAATCTACGAGCTTCTGTTTCGACTAATTTCTGCATTGAAATATTTGAATGAATATTTCTTAAGTATTTATTTTTTTGAAGAATTTCTTCGGCTATCCTTTTAGCAATGGTCTCTAAATTTACCTCCTTTTTTTCTGTATTTTTTTGAAGCTAAAATTGTTTATTTTAATATTTTACTTATTCTTCTTCTTAAATAGTAACATGTTTTTTATTAGGTTTTTAAGCAGCATTATTTTATTTTAACGCTTTCTTTGTTGCTTCTTTCTAAGATAATTAAGGATTTTCTATTCTTATCTCCTCTATCCTCTTTTTTAAGGCCTCTACAACCGTTTTCACCTACATTAATAGTATATTTATACTTCTAAATCATTTATATACTACTCAAAATCTAAGTTTTTAGTGAAGTCTAATAATTCATTCAATTCTTAGTCATCAATTATTTCATCCTCTAATTCAGCGGTGGTTGCTTATAAATTTTATTTTTCTTATTATAATTCTTCGACTTTAGTAGATTTATTTTGCGGTTAAGATGTTTATTGTGTTTATTATTCAGTCTATTAATTTTATTTGTCACTATTTGATCTATACCTTTCAGGATGTAACCGAGATTGAACTTAAGAACAATGCAATGCAGTTTTTTTCTCCTTGACATGCTTTTGAAAATTTGACAGCCATTCTTTATGCTAACTCAATATTGGTTTGATTTCTTAATAAATCAGAAAGGTTTAATACATTTAATGGGTTAATGAATTTGCAGTTGCTTAACCGGATTGTAACCGAGTGGTTCAGCATGTGTTACTCTTGATACAAAAGGTCTTAAAATGTGTTGATATCTGTTTACTTATGATAATCTAAATTAATTGATGCCTGCGGTCTATTACAGAGCATTATCCCTTTATAATGTTCCATCATTTTACAATAATATTTATAATTTATTTTATTAATACAATTCATCAAAAATGTATGTTCCACATTTTTGAGATTTTCTTATCAATTACCAGAGGATTCAAGGTGTAATTTATTCTAGAATAAATTCCTAATCTTAAATTTTGTAATTTAAAAAATACAACGAATAAATTTATAAATAGTAGTGTTCATAAATTCCAACTTTTTAATCATAGTGAAAAGATTAAAAAGTCTTTAATTTTGGTATAGATATTTATAAACAATTATATTAATTTAGAATTATTTTAAACTAATTATTATTAAACAATTGCAGCCAAAAAAATGTTTTGATTCAAATAATTAATACAAAATTTATACTAAATGGAATTTTATAACTACCTTAAAATTAGATTAAACCATAGTCTTTCTCAAAATATTCAGATGATTATTAATTAGTTGATATCTACAATTGAAATAAATAATAAAAAGCAAATAGATTTTAAACATAAAAAATTTGAGAACTTATTTAGCCACTAATACAAAGAAATTAAGAACATCAATGAATTGCTTTTTATATTTTCTCTAATCAAAAGGTATGTATTCAAAACAAAGAATAACAAAAAGTCGATGAGGATAATGCCTATTTGATCCTGAATATTGGACTTCGAAAATATATCTTTATTACTATTTTGCATGAAAAATAGATAAAATAAAATTGAATCAATCCTTTAGTTATAATTCCTGTAGTTCCTTTTCAATTTATTAATATTCATTAGCCATTTCCTAATTTTGAAATCTAAATTCTTCTTCAAATGTGTCCAAATAATGAATTAATTGTTGTTTCTATTTTTCACTTGCTTCCTTGATTAGATAACTAGATTACTTAGATTCTGTTATCAATAACTCTTTCCAAATCATCCATCTTATAAGACTTACTTTTTTGTCTTTGATTTTTCATAGCAATAAAATGTGTCTGAGCTTAAATTGGTCCCTCTATATTGGCTTTTAAATTTTCTCTAAACTTTTCTATCGCCTAAATGCCATACTTATCAACTTGAAATTTGAAATCTTCTAATTTCTAATAGATTTGTAAATGCTTACTTTAGTCACGAATTCTAGGTCTTATTGTTTACATGTTCTTTGCAAAATGTGATCATTCACAACTTGTGTAGATGATTCAAGTGTTTTCTTCAATTCAACATCGATATCTCTTAAAAAAGTCAAATAAATTTAGTACATATTTTAAAAATAATAAATAAAAATATTATCAAATATTTCTCACCTTTTGTTCAGTGATTTTAGTTCCTTTTGTAGCAGCATCATAGTAAGATCTTTCAACTTCAAAGTAAATTTACAATCCATCAACTCTTTCATTGCTTAAGAGATATTACACCCATTTCTTCTGCCCAAAGAAAAGTTAACCTAGTTATCTACCTATACCTGAGTGTTGGAATAGATCATTAAAATCTTTGAAACTGTCATGATACCTAGGATTTTATTTACGTTTAGAAATGAATTTTTAAACCACTGGACATTACATGGGTCCTACTTCGGTTTCAATCCAATTTCTAAAATGTCGACCAAAAGTGTAGGGAACATTCTTGTAGCGGCCTTGTTTCTTCTTTTTTATAGATGGACCTTTTTATGCTAATATATTAGGATCGGTGTCAGCCTCAGCTTAACACCAGCGATTGGTTAGCTAAAATTCAACTTAATCACACTCACTGTGTTAATATGGCTGCTCTTCTTCACTAAAACTATCTCTTCTCAGTAATGGACACATTGCCTTCATTTCAATTATTTAAATTATTGGGCAATTAAATCTTAATTAGTAAATCATTTTATAAATTCTAGAGGCAAACTATAAATAGATATCCCCACATCATGCCAACATGTTGGTATAACCCAAATAAGGTCAAAAAGAAGATTAGTAAATCCGGATTGAAGTATTTATTCAATGAAAATGATAAGAGCAAATTTAAACATTGCCATTTAATCAGTATTTATATATGAATTATAAGGAACATAATTAATATAAAAGGGATGATACAAAATCTTAATAAATCTCGTCATTTTAACAATAGGATTTGAATAAATATCATAATGCTTAAAGATATGCTTTTTTAATAGAAAATAATTAAAATCAGAATATAGAAATTATTTAAATTTTCTCTATTTTAAATTTGAATATAAGTCTATAAAACCAAAAGAAGATATATGATATTCATCTTCATAGCAAATTTATTATAATTAAACTAAGTTTCTTTATTAAAAGTGAAGTAATTTATACTAACAATATTAATTTTTATGTTAAAGAATTATAAGTGTGCTCCAAAGAAATTAAAACCTCCTCATTATTGTAAATTTTTAATTCCAATTATCATTATTTATTCATATATACTACACCTTTTATATAAAATGCATGTATATTTCTTATTTTTAAAATTAGAGGTACCATTCTCCAATTAAGTAAAATTAAATGAATAATTATGAGTAGCTTTGATTAATATTTCAAATTATTAGAAAATATAGTTGGAATTACTTAGTTGTTCTTAATTCTGTATAATTATTTTATTAATTCTTTAAATTAAAAATAAAACTACAAATCGAAATGATTCTATTATTAAAAGATAAATGATCCTTTAAAAATATAGATCAGTTATTAATTTTTGAGAAGAGAATAAATATTTTGTAGATGGAAATATAACAAATTACAGACAGTATAATGATACAAACCCTCTCAGTTTATCTTTGAATTAGCACAAAGAGGAATATTTTCAATATATGTTAATTTATGAAGAAGAATTCTATGTCAGAAATAGAAATAATTCCAAATCCTATGGTGAAAGAATATTAGTTAAATGATGTATAACTTGTTTTGTCCATTTAAGTTTATTAGAATCAATAAAACACTACTACAGATTATTAATCATTCTAGTTCAGACTTAAAAATCTTATTCAATCTTATATTTCTCTTCATATTATTTTTTCTTTTACCAAGACAATCAGTTCCATCGTTTTCTTCTTAATGAACACTCATAAACTCGTTGAAATGCTATTTAAGTGGTTTTTTTAATATTTTTTCCATTTCTCTCATGGTATGTAGGGAATCTTTGTTTTCCATTCTGAAAAAGGTTTGAACTGCTTTAGTGTTTGCTTGAAATTCTCTAAGTTGATCTATGCTTTTATGAAAATAACTGACTTATGGTTATGCTTAAATGAGTTTTATAGGTTGATCTTCTTTTTCATTTTCATTTGGACTGACTAAAATATTTCTTGAGGTTGCTATAACTTAATGATCGCTCTTTCTCTTAGGAGCAATAATCCTTTCAGTGTAGCTTTATTGTTATTAAAATGATAAGAACTCTTCAGATTTTTATTTTAGCAATTTACTTGGAGTGAGTTGAGGAGTATTGAGGGTAGTTGAAGAAACGTTGTTGCTAGTTTGATAATTGCTATCTAATTTTTCTATTTTTTTTAAATGCTGATTTGTGTGATATAATTGAGGGTGTAATAATTCTGGAGAAATGGATGCTGATTTTGGACTAGGGACATGAATTTATTTGAGTTATTTGAGTTTCGTTGATTTGATTAATTTGTTAGCTTATTAGGCATAAAATTTTGAATATTCTTAATGAGGTACTTTTTCTTTCTTTTCTATTTATATTCCTTTTTGAAGTAGGTACTTCTTGAGGAGTTCAAACTTCTCATTAACTGATAATTCATTATTTTGTTATAGATGTCTTTTTTAATTGAAACTCTTGATAGTCTCCTTATAGAAATCAGAGGAATCATTGTTTACATCCTATAAAAAATTCAGGTTATTGATTTAATCAAGAACTTGATTTTTGGATTGTTATCTTAAATTACGTTTATTGATGGTTTCTAAAATTCTATGTAAATTATGATGCGTTTCAAGTGTCATTGAGGATTCTTGTACCATAGTTGCAATTTCATTTGGAGAGAAATCTAGTTAGAGAATATCAAGGATTAGATGTTGTTTTTCTTCGTCATTTTCTATGTTGTTAAGCATATCAATTTCTAATTCCAATTATTTGGATATTGCAATAATATGGTTTTTTTCATCATCTTCTTTTTTGAAGAATTATCTGAGTTTAGCTTATTGTTTTAAATGTTAAATAATGATTTGAACTTATTTAAATTGAAGTGGATTGAGCAATTGCAGTCTTTTGGTTAGATCAACAAATGTTTTAATTTTTTGCATGGATTTCATAGTATGTTCAAATCTTTTTTGACGATTTCCTAATCTAATTTAAATGAGGAGAACTTACATATTCTTAGCAAATTGGGGATTTGATTGGAATAGCATTTTTTGTAATTTAATTAGTATTTATTATATTTAGTATATATTTTAAGCAGTTATCAAAAAAGGAGAATGCTAAAAGGAATGAAGAATTACTGATTTATAAAATATTGATTTATGAAAACATCAAATTTGATATGGATTTATCTACTAAAGAATTTGTGGATTGAATGTTTAAAATGACCATGAAGATGGATAATGAGATGGCTAATGTTGAGGTTGAGGTTGATGTGGATGTTAATTTTAATTTTGATGCTGATGTTACATGAATGGCTATTGCATATGTCTGGGTCCTGAAGAATTCCATCTTCTATAAGGATTGTAATTGTTTCCCTTATTATGTTGATCCACCAGACTTCTCAATTCATAAGGAATGTCATTTTAGGATTCCCTAAGAATCTCCACCAAATCTTTGGCCATTCTGGCATCTTCGTCGGAAGCAAAGAATGAAATCGACTGACCATTGGCTCCAGCACGACCTGAAGAATAGATTAGAAGAGAATACCAGTTCTTCCAATTCTGTGTACATAATCTTCGATTACTTTGGGCATGTCGTAATTTACAACGATTTCTATGTCCTTTATGTCTAATCCTCTGGATGCAACATCAGTAGCTATTAGAGCTGTAGATCTGCCATTTCTGAAATGACTCATTACGTAATCTCTCTCCTAAAGGGTAAGAACAGAATAATACGCTCTACTTCTTATCTCCATGTAATGCGAGACATCGAATTCCTTCTCTATCTAGAGTCTTTTAAAGTTAGTCGCATCCCTTCTTGGTGGAGCAAAAGATCAATATTTTTTTGTGTGCTATGTCCTTCAACAAATAGAGCAACCTTAATATATTCAAATAATAAAGATATTGATGATCTTGTATATATATTTTGAACCATCAATAGTTTGATTATACCTTTAATTCTTTTCAATTGCTTTCATCACATAGACGATTTATTTAATCATCTTGTTTGAAGTCAGCTCCACATTCCCTATTTAAATGTGGACTGGCTCTTGTTTACAAAAGTCAAGGGCTAACTTTTGAACTTCCTTTGGCCAGGTGGCAGAAAAAAGCATAGTTTATCTCTGGGGACGGATTTGATCGACGATCTTTCGAATCTAGGGCTCAAAACCCATGTCGAGCATACGATCGGCTTCATCGAGTACGAGGAAACTAACCTATTTGAGGGTGGTACAACCCTAATCCAATAGATCAATCAAACGACCTGGACAAGCAATCAAAACTTAAGGGCCTTTGCGCAATTGACTTTTCTGTATGTAGCGATCTTGTCCTCCATAAAGACAGGCTGCATAAAGTTGAGAGCCCACTGAAAACTTTTAGAATTGTTCATATATTTGCAATGTCAATTCTCTGGTTGGAGCCAATATCAAACATTTTGGATCATGGGACCTAGCCTATGCCAAAATGTGGACGATCGCTGGTAAAAGGAAGGCAAGAGTTTTGCCAGAACCCGTCTGCGCTATTCCAATGAGGTCATGTCCAGTTAGTGCAATCGACCACCCTTGGGCTTAGATGGCAGTGGGTCCTTTGAAACCGGCCTTCAACAGCAAGTCCATCAATATCTGTGGGAAACATTAAACATCCTCAAATCTCATGATAGGATCTGGGACATTTACATGTTGAGATCGAATGAAGATATTATGTTAGGCCCTATATTCTTTGATTGTCTCTGCGCTTGATGTGGATTAGATGGGCTTTCGCTTTTAGAATTTGAATTTGTACATTCATAAACACCTTCTTGATAGGACTCGATGAACGTGGGCGAGGTGATCTTGAACGACGACTGTGATGACCCCTTCTTCTCCTTGAATGGTGTCTCTCTGACGACGAATCCGACGATGAAGAAGAAGAACTTGAATGTCTCCTGTATTTCTTGCTATGCTTCTCTATGCAAATTCAATTTTAAAGCATTTACTTCTATGGCTTCTGCTCGAGCTGGAAGAATGTCTTGGCATTATTTTAATAATTTAAATTCTATAATATCATCCATTAAACATCACTTCATAAATTCCAATTATTACACCTCTCCAGACCCAATAATTAATTAAAGTCAATAAATAACATATATTTATATCAATGCTTGAATTAATTTAGAGTAGCTCTTATGCTTTCTTATTTCTGACTCAGCAAAATGTCCCTAAACTCGTCATGGTGCTTTAAATTATAAGAAACGGCACTCCCTTGTTCTTTCAGCATCGCAACGTGATCTTCAAGGTTCTAGGATACGTCCTATCCAATTTAATCAGACTAGATCTTCCAATTGTTGTTAATTCCAAAAAATACTAAGTCGATAATCAGAGCAACTACTAAAATTACAAATAGCAAAGTGAGGGGTATGACAGTGCTTAATTTGTATAATAATTTATTCGATGAATCGTTCCAATCCTATGAAATCCCCATACCATTCTAAGTGTAAATGTATGGATAACCATATATCAAGACACTGAAAATTAAATGCAGCACAAGAAAGAAATGGATGAATTTCAATGTGATAATCCCCACTGATTTCAATTGCTCCTACAATTTCACCTATTGCTTTTCATTATAAGAATGATATTTCAATAACATGTTCTTATCATAAACATACTGTAATCCTATTTATATGGCTCCTAATAGAGGCAATAGAGGCAGACCTGCTGATACAATAGTTGATAGGAATATACTAAACAATAATTTAGCATATCTAAGTCCAGTCCTAAAAGTTGGATTGCTATTTATCAATGGAGAATCACGTCTAAATGTTTTGCCTGTTTTAATGTCTAGATTCTATCTTGATTGAATGTTATAATTAACACTCTCATCTAAGTTTAATAAGAAGAGAGTTTGATGGGATTGATTATTATTATTAGTATTGTTTCCTGTAGTTTTTTATTATCCAGTCAATCTTTATCTCTCTTCATCATTTTCGTCTGTTAACAAAGAACCAATTAATTACAATTCTTCCTAGTCTCTTATTCCACCGGTTATACATCGACATCCTGATGCAATACTCAAAATTATTAATTTAAGAGTGTAGAAAATAGACACCCACAAAAATATCAACCCATGATTAATAATCCATTTTCTATCTAAATCATCACTAAAAATTAATGACTTTTCTGTTGATGTATAACTTTAAACGACCAACACTATGTTGCCTATTGTTTCCCATGAAATTAAAATTGGTACTAATAAAGTATAACATGTCAAATAGACTATGATTCTAATCAAAATGACCTTTTATTCTTAAACTAAGTATATCTATTTTTCCTTATTAATGATTAACTCCAAAAAGATCCATCCCAATATATCAGCTACAAATATCCAGAATCCTGTGATGATGTAATAGGCTGTTCTTGTAAAATCACTATCCAAACAATACTCAGTGCATTTAACAGTATTGTTCCTTGCATTCTTCAAAGCCATGTTTTCAAATACTATCAATGGTGCTAATAATATGATTGCTACGACTAGATGCATGAGAATAATTTGAACATTGTTTCTCTCTTAATAATCCATGTTTTCCCATTTGATTTCATTTGGATCAGGAGCTTCTGTTACTTTTATGGTGTATAAGCCTCTTAGCTTCAATTCTTAAGGTTAATTTAAAAATAAATAGATGCCATTTCTAACTAAGCAATCTTAATTATATTTCTCATAAAATAGGTCACGATCAACTTTGCTTTTAAAGACAACGAAAGCCTTTATAGATTCTAAGTCATCTGGAGCTAAGAAGATATTGAATTTATCTGCTAGTTCCTTTGTAATATCTTTTAATTCATCAGTCAATACTCTGATGAAGTCTTGTCTTACGTACATATCTGCTTATGATAATCTCTTAGAAAATACTTCTAACTTTTTCTTTTCTAATCTGATCTATCTCTCCTTGAATGCCTTGTTCTTCATAATGCTTAGAGTACCCTAGAAATTGCGCACCAAGTATATCTCATGTGTATTGGATTGAAGAATGGAACGCAAGTCTTCTGGATCTATCGTAGCTGATGGAAATCCATTTACTTCTACGCTCCAAGGTGAGATGCTGGATACTTTGAATTATGCATCTTTGTTGATGGCATTGTATCGTAGGTATAGTAATGACAAAAAGTAGAGAAGGGTTCCAATTGCATCTCCTAAGACTCCAATGAGAAAAGCAGTCTCATTTGAGATATCAAGGTTGGCTACTGTGAAGGTTTCCAATTGTAGCTGAAATTGATTGAATATGCTGTTTCCTGTAATGCAGAATATCAATTATGGGAGGTGGAGGACGGCGAAGATGAGCATTAGGAAAAAGTTCCATTTGAGAATTCTGAAGTAATAAACTATAGAGTGATCAAAGCAGTTGTCGATCGGTGCGAATATGGACTCGGGTGGTTGTTCCATTATATTAGTAATAAATATAAATTAATTAAACCCTTGCTGATGAAAAAAAGATTATAACTATAACTGGTGGATCTGGCTGCTCCAAAGAAGCAGACTGGCCCTTATAAGCAATTCTTGCGTGAACAATTAGCTATTTAACACCTTAAATATCCTCAAAGAACAACAGATGAATTAACTAAATTGATAAATCTTATGTGGAAGGTGAGAGAAAAAAAGAATAATCAATTGTATTTTTAGCACAATGGGTACGTGAACATCAGTGAGACAGAAAGGGTGCCTGTTCCTCAGCCCCCTCCTCCGGTGTTGATAATGTTTAAAAATATATAATGTGAAAAAGCTTCCAAAAAAACATGAGGCAACTCTTCGAGTTTACACATCCAGAGTATAATGCAGAATAGGTGGATCACACCATTAAATTGGAATGGACTTTAAATTCCACCCAAAGATAGAAAGCAGCTGAGGAATTCAGATAGTTGAGACAAGTTTAAATTAGTATAACAATATGATTAGGAATTCGAGAAGGAAAAGAAAGAATTTATTAATAGGTATGGTTTCTGGCCTCAACACAAAAAATCTTCAGGTGAGTCATTGGATAAGACCAAATAATCTAGCCCAAAATTTGATCCCCTGGCTTTAAATCTAATGAAAAAAGTCAAATTGGAATGAAATTAATGAAAAATGAGAATAAAATACAAAACAAAAAACATACTTTGTAAAATCTAGAAAAAATGCAGAACTTTAATCAGTTCTCCTTCTCTCATATCCAGATATTGGAATTACTTAATTTAAAATTAAATTTTTTCTTTTCACCAAAAAGAGCGGGAAAATAAAATACTATTAAGATACTATCTTATCTATTCATTCTTATACATTGGATGACGATATTTATGTGTGTTTACTGTTTTTCACATTACTTTAACCTCTTTTCAAATTATTGTTGTTATATTTATCATCTATGCATAAACTATTTTATTTTATTATATTTAGGATCCTCACCATTGGAAGAAATCCCAACCTCCATAACCATACCAACCTACCAACCAATCCATCCACCATAATTATGTACTCTAACCACCCAATTACCATCATAAACCCTTCAATAATGCATAATATCATTTCAATCACGTACATTTTTATTTTTAGAATAATGAATCAATGCTTTGAACGCTAACTTTTCAACCATTAAACTAATCCAACACACACACAAAGATCTGAACTAAATCATTCATATCAACCCAAGTAGATTAAACTACTAATTCAAAGTTTAAGCTCATGTCCAGATACCACGCTGAAAGTGTCTACTCTACCACCTTTATACTCATTGATTCACTATTATGTTTCAATTACCACATTAATTATCATATTGGATTCTCTAACTCAATTTTATTTAACAATATTTTTGTGTGTATCCTTTAAATTTTGATAATCCCTTTGTGAATATCAAGAACTATCTGAGTATAACGTATTCAAACTTTAAAATCAGTTCAGAATATATGTTAAGTTGAGTATAATTAAAAATTATCTTATATCTTGAACATTCAGTATTTATGAATAATCCATTATTTTTATTATAGCAAATCAAATTCAAAGAAGTTATGTAGTTATCAATTACTAAATTAAATTATTTTTATTGTAGAACCCTATAAATAAAATTATTTAATTGTTGTTACTTAATTTAAAAAATTATTTTTTTTTGAATGTTGTATTTCCAATCGACTCTGGATAATTAAACTAAAATGATCTGAAGATAACCATTGCCAACAGAAATCTTATATTAATTGATTATCCTTAATTTTGGAACTTAGTGTACATAATAATTAAATAAATGTTCGTTAGAGCCCAAGTTCCAAAAAGCAGATCTTCATTAACTCCGCAGAATTTCAAACCAATTTGCATAGAATAACGTGGGGATTGCACCCCGACCAGAAGCAATAACATTAGTTACTATGAACACAGCATTCTCATTTAAGAACCATCTCAATAATCCTTGTAAAATTATACTGGAAGAGTTGAGGAGAAATTACAAAAGAAGGTGATAAATTCTAGTGCTTCTAATTTGAGAAGTAAGTACATTTCAGACAAGGAAAATTTGGTGAGGATTCCTGGACAATCCTTTGGAGGGAATCAACCTTCAAGTAAGGATTTAATGCAGGTTGTGAACAACTTGAAAAAATAGAAGGAAGACATTAATTATACGCTTTCTGAGACACTCAAAAAAAATAATCTAATTCAAGAATAAATGGATGTAATTATTGATTCAAAGTAATTTAGATTGTTAATAAGGAAAAGGAACAATAATCTCTGAATTATTAATAAAGTTTGGATGAATTTATGATCGAATTTAATGAACTCACTTACAAAATATCGTAGTTGGAGGAACAGAATACTAAATTATTTGAATAAAATGAGCATCAGAAATGGTACTTGTAATAGATTCAGTGTTAATCTTCGAGGTATTAACATTTTGTATGAATTTAGATTCAATTAAACTCAAAACTTTGGAACAGGTTGATTAGTTAACTAGAATTGATATTCAATATATATATATATTTATATATAAGAATTTTAAATGGCAAGTTTTGCATCTAGAACAGGGTAGAAAGTAAGAAATCTTCAAATTTTAGATTAAAGAATGGTGGGGAGCTAAAGTCACAGTTGATCCTCAGTTGGAAACAAAAAAGCAAAGGATTAATGAGATAGATCAATATATCAAGGGGTTGTCGCAATCCTTTAGCAATATTTCAGCATTGTTTTAATGTATAACTAATAATTCGATGTAGAAATGCATGGCCATATGGGACGAATCAGCTCGATCACTCAGAAATTGTTTGAGAAGGAAACTGATACGAATAAGAGAATAGGAATTGAAGTCACATCAATGTTTGGCAACCTTTCAGAACTATTCCGATCCAAGGTATATATGGATATTAGAGATTAGACAGAACCTGCATCTGAATTGAATAAAAATTTCGGAGAGTGGTTTTAAACTATAGAAACTTTGAAAATCCAACTTACACATTTCTCTGAGGTTCGATTGGTTTATGATCATTATAAATTGAAAGTGGATGAACTAGAGAAGGATCGATCCAATGCCATTTCAAAGGGATAGCCTGAGGATTTTAAATTATCAGAAAAAATTAGGAGAGTATCAATTTTAAATAAATATTTAGAATCAAAGTAAATTATCAAGTTCTGAAACAAATTATAAATAAAAGCTATCTGAGATTTTAAATAGCATGAACAAATTACTGGGAAATTACTATCGAATGATAAATTAGAGTCTCGATTCTGTAAGAACATTTCCTTATATTAGTTTATAACTATCAATTATGATTTGTATATGAATGCTAAATCAATTGTCAAGAAAAATTAAAAAGCATTTAATAAATTTAAATATCCAGAATTAGAACCCATAATAGATCTCTTAAGAGAGTAGAAAGAGATGTCATCATTATTAGAGAGAGAATAACAAAAAGAGAAAGAATTAAAGGAATTGAAAGAAAAGGAAAAAGAGAAAGAAAAAGAAAAAGAGAAAGAAAAAAATATCAATGAAAAAGATGAGAAACTACAATAACAACCACCACCATAACAAACTCCTTAATGGGAGGTTAATAATAAATTTAATCCTTTTGGTTAGACTCAATAAATGAATTCACAAACTCACTCCATGATCAATAATCCCCAAATGATGAATCCTATGATGAGCTCCTAAACTGATTTTGGTACTGGATTCGGAGTTAATTCAATGGCTAAATAATAATAATTTATGAACCCAATGATGTCTCAAAGGTAATCTGTGCAACCATAAGGTATGAATAACAATTTCGCTATGAATTTTCCACCCAATCAAAATAGACCTGAAATGTTTGATGATGTAGGATTATAAATGATGAGTGATATAAGAGCTAACTAGATGAATGCTTGGTAGTAATAATAATAATAATAATAATATGCCTAGAGTCAAATTCTTAATTAAAATAATTTTGTTAATAATAATCCATTTATGAGTTCACAGCAGATGAACCAAAGGGCTAGTATGTAATAAAACTAAGGATTTTAATAATTTGATTCCTAAATTAATAGATCTTAATAATAAAATCCTTTTGCAGACTTAGACAACGAGTCTTAAAGAAGGGCTATGTATGATAATCCACACACACACAATCAGCAATTTTATGACAATTAAAAGACTAATCCTTTTGCATGATTAATATTATATCTATTTATAAATTCATTTTTATATATTATTTGAATCTATAATGAAATAAAAGTAATTAACAACAAAAAAGTCAGACATTGATCTAGGTAATAAAGATCAGTTAAATTTTATAATTGAAATTCTCTAAAAAGATCAGAGTGTAAGGACCAATCAAGAGGTCGACATTGTAAGGAAAGCTTTTATCTCCTTCAAGTTTTTTCAAGACTTAGAATAGTAGATGGGTCAAGAGATGGTAAGTAACTTATATCGATAATTATCCTATGAGACCATTAAAGCAAGATAAGTTGTGTTCAATCTCGGGGATATTGGAAGGAAGTTTTATATCATACTCTCTGGCAGCGTTTGGGTTCTCATATAGAAAAAGGGACTCCAAGATGGTAATTAAGTAGGAGAAGAAGAGAAAAAGCTTGAGGAAGAACTAAGAAAAAAGAATACAAGGAAGGCTACTTTGAAACATCAATAAAGTATGATGAAATCAAAGAGACTTAAAAAATAGGAAACTTTCGTAACTGAAACGAATCAAGTGCATTTAGATGAAGTGTACGCAAAAATGACGGATGCAGAATATTTAGATTGTCAATTTCCCACGCTATAGAAGGTAAGTTAGATGAAATCAGGGGATAACTTTGGAGAGATTGCATTAACTAAATAAGTTCCAAGAACGGCTACCATTGTAGCAGCTGAAGATACAAATTTTGCAATAGTATCTAGAGAACAATTCAATATTTTATTATCATCATATTATGAACATTTACAATAGCAAAATGTGATGTTTTTATAGAGAGTACCTGCTTTTACAGAATGGAATGAACAGATGTTAAATTAAATTTATTATCATTTTACTTTTGAAGATTATAAAATGTTTGATGTAATTTATAAAGAAAATTAACCTTCAAAGTATTATAATATATTAATAATATAGTAAAATTTACATTGTGAAAAATGGAGAAATAGAGATTTCTCAAAGTATAGAAGTTGGCACTTTGGTTACTGAAACTAATTTAACAATTTAAAAGTTTTTCAAAAAAAATGATAAAAAATATGAAAGAGTGAGAACTGGGATAATCACATCTGGGTTGATTTTTGGTCATGAAGAGGTTATTAGAGATGTGGTAAGAGAACATAAGGCTGTTTGTTTGAGTTAAAAAGCATAAGTATTTTCATTGGATAAGGATAGATTTTTGTAATTTTTCAAAAAAGGAGGAGCTATCTAAAAATTAATTAAACTTGATCAAACTAATTATTCTCGTAAGTCAAAGAGTGTTTCAGTCTTAAAAGAACTTAAATAATTTTCTCCGCCAATTACATTTAGAGATATTCCATTTTTTGAAGAAGATGACAAAATTTCTGATTTTGTAATTAAAAAAGCTAAGAATGCTGTAGATCGCGTTGGGAATGAACCTAAACGTAATGGATATGAGTTTTTGTAAGGCAAAGGTCACATAAATAAAGCACATTACAATTTTCAAAAGAATCTGGACACATTGAAAAGAAACTTGAAATACAGTGTACCTTTAGATATCAATACATGTTTATTTGAATTGGATTCAAATAAGGGGACAGCAATAAGTATAATGAATAAGGTACTAAATTAAATTGAGATTTAAGGTATTTCCAAGTGCTAGTCGTCCCAAGTATGCGATACCCAATTACTCAATGACATCAAGGATAGTGATGCAATCATTAAAGTTGCCAAAATTATTGAATGAAGTTGATGCATTATTGTTTTCGAATAAAGAATCAATGATCTCAAACTTAACAACAACGTATAAATAGCAAGCAGCAGTAAAAGATGATGAGTGATCTCATAGATTAATATGTTTAAAATTTCAATTTTTCTTAATTAATTTTCGAGTTTAATATTGATGATTGTGCACAACATTTTCATCATTGTATTTAGTTGAACCCTCTGCACTATTGATAATTATGGATGGGATACCTATTTATTTTTTGCTTGGTTGTTCTATTTTCTTCGAATCTTCATAGTCTTGTTTCCTTGAATTAGTCTTGCAAATGTCTGCCTCCTATATATTATTGGCTGTTTGATACTTCTAATCTATTGATTTTGGAAATCAGATCTCCTTTCTCTTATAGTAACTCTTTAAGTTATTGAGTCAAAACCACATTTGCTATGTAGAGTCTCATGTATTCATGCTAATAATTGATTCCTCTTTTCTGTTCAAAAGACACTACAACTTCATCCTCTATGTGTTCTCCCATGGTTGGAGTGTATAACAAGCCTTTTCGAATGGAATCGCTATTTAATAGGGTGTGGGATGTACCAATTATCAAGCATTTGAATTCAAATTTATTATTATTAATGATAATGAATTCATATATAAATTTTTAATGACATTATATTTTAATAATATTGTTAAATGATTAAATTCAGACAAATCTTTTTGATTATTCTTGCAATTGTAATTCCCGTTGTTCGAGGCCAAATGGAAGACATCAGTTTTGGAGAGAAGCACATCTACGTTAACACCTTCCAGTAATATATCGAAAAGGTACTTCTCTCTAACTAAGAAGATTATCTTTGGATCGATCGGAGGAATCATGCAATACTTGATTTGCTGTTCCATTGTGGAGTACTACAACCCAATGCCAAAGAATAAACTACGTCTTTAGAATATTTTTAGGGAAATCAGATATGGAATAGTATAACTCATATTCGGATGTTTTGTATCTATGGTATATATTGTATTAACAATTATAAGTCCTTTTATTATTATTTATATCCCTACACTCCATACTACAAATATTTTGAAACCCATGATTATACAGTCTTTCACTTCCTTTATGGAATAACATTTCATTGGCTATGGACTACATGTATAATTGCTTCCTTTATTTATTTCTTATTTAGGTGTGGGATATTGGACTCATAGAATGCTCCACTTGAAATATTTTTATAGGTACATCCACAGTGTCCATCACTCCTTTAAGGAACCTACTGCTTTCTGCTATTGTGCTGCCCATCCCTTGGAAGGATTCATCGAGGGAAATCTCCTTCTCCACACGGCTGAATTGATATTGCCTATTCATCCTATGTAAACCATGATTTATGGAGGAATGATGGCATTCAATGACCTATTCGCCCATGACGGAGGGTATTAGATTAGTTTATATAGTAGAAAATACGATCACTCTGATCACTACAGACACCATCTCTATTATGTAGTAAACTATGGCGATGCCAAGATTGATCGATTCTTCGGAACTGCTTATGATCCAGTATTTATTATATATATATTCTAGAAAAACTATCCAGTCAAGGAGAAATGCACTTACTTACCTGATTTTAAGGATAAAGACCATCCATTATTTTAGAGATACAAATGAAAATATATATTAATATTAAATATAAATTTTATATATGTGTATCGAATTTGCTTTCAAGAGAGGTGGAATTACACTCATCAGGAATTTCATTCATTCAGCTGAAGGAGTCAAGAAGTATTCAATATTTCATTTACCATTAGTGGACTTCCAACTGCTGTTTAAAACAGATTATCCATTAATTACAAGATCAGAACATACACTCAAGGAAAAGTCACTGATGTCAGATGTAAATTGTATGACTTAACCCTTTAGTTATCACTGATCCAGTTGCTGGATATTAAGCCAAAGGAGACAAGAAATGATTTATAATCAAAATAAACAAAATAATTTACGATTTCATAGCATCTTAGAAGTTTGGCATTTTTGCCATCATCTGTTTTTCCCTTTGCATTTGTATTACTTACACACCCTTATGAAGATTTCTTCGTATATATTATGATTAATGTTTCTCCATGTTTTTCAAATCAATATTTCTTTTAAATTGTTAGTTTATTTTTATTTCTAAATTATTTATTTATATCTAATTAAATAAATTATACCATTTAAAAGGTTTTATGAATATATCCTCTTCATAAGAGAGATATTCAAATAATTGAATATTCTGAGACTTTTTTATCTCATTTTTACACATATCATATATAAATAAAAAGTTAAATAGAACTTGATTGTATTAGCACTTTTGAAAATTTGTTTTAGAAATGTCTGAAAACATGAATTTTTAATAAGTTTAATAATTAGATTATTGAATTCTTGTATTAATTCAAATTTATTCTAAATTACATTATAAAACTATGTAAATAAAATTTATTTTAAAAAATCTAAGAAATCAAATTAATTATATACTGAGGTAAATTAATAAGAATTAGTCTAATTCTTACACTATTAGAGATTTCTCATTATTAAATTAGGAAAAAATAATGAATTTTTAAGATTGCGAAATGTTCTTTATTATTACCTTTGAAATTAAGGTTGATTCCGTAACATAAGTATATAATATACATAAGTACTCCAGTGACAATTAATAGATGTCTTTTAAAATATATGTTAAAATTAATGTGTGTTACAACTTTAATAGGTTTTAAAAATTAATTAAAATGTTTTGAAAATATAAAAATAGTTTCGATCTGCAATAAATGGAGTAGATTGAAATATACATGATAGGATTTAACTTAATTTGTTATTTAGAATATGAATTCATTCCACTTTTTGGACTTAAATTTAATGTTCCTTGACAATATGTTCAAGTCCAGCATTTTAAATTAGAACAAAATCTGAATAGCCATGCTTTAATAATATGGTTGCAGCGGTTTTAGCTCTGGCTCCTGAACGACAGTAGATATGTAAGGTTTTGTCCTTAGGAATCAAATCAAGCTAGAAGGAATAAACATGGATATTTACTTGGTTCTCGATTTAGAATAGAGGAATCATCAAAGATCCTGGAACGATTCCTGTGGTTTTAAATTCAGGAGGATTTCTGCAATCAATGAACACATGATTTTGAGGTTAATCTTTGGTATCTAAGAAATCCTTCAAATCAACAATATTTAATTATTGAACTTCTCCTCCATTTCTGACATAATTGTCAAAGCCTCCCTCTAGATATCCAAGGATATTTTCATATCCAATTCTAAGGAGTCTGATAATTGTAATTTCTTCCTTGCCCTCATCTGCGACGATAACAATTCTTTGATCAGGTTTGAAGAGGATGCCAACAAAAGAAGCGAGAGTAGCGACTTAAGTGATGTTGATGGAACCTTTGATAATTCCCTTGCTAACAACATCTCTGGAGTCTAATATCAATGCACCATCTGCAGCGACTTGAGTAAACTCTTGATAACTCAAAGGCTTTGTAACTTTCTATTTAATATTTAGAAGATCGTTAGCCCCTTGACGATTCTAAGATGTAAATATAATATTTCATATAATTACCAATTGTACGTCGTGGAAGAAATACTGAGGAGGAGCTGGGATATCGGTTGATATCTTCACAAAATCTTCCTCGGTAATATTCTATAATGCCCAGTTTTTGAGTTTCTATTCACCAATAGTACTGACAGTGCCAGCTCCGATGGCTTTGCCGCATGAAGATCCAGCTCCATGTCCAGGATAGAGAATGACATCATCCCCAAGTTTCATTACTTTATTTCTGAGGGAATGATAGAGTAGAGAAGCAAGTTGTTGAGTGGTTAAACCTGAGGATTTAGATGCAAGGTCTGGTCTGCCGACTTCTTCAAGGAAGAGAGAATCTCCACTGAAAACTACAAGGTCTTTGCCGTCTACTACGAGCACGAAACAGCTTGATTCTAAAGTGTGACCAGGAGTGTGTACGACTCTAAGATATGCTCTTCCGAGAGGCAGTAATTCTAAGGATTGATATAAATTAATACCTTCATCTTAAGCAATTTTAGCTTAATATTAAGTTACAGCTTATGGACCCAGTACAATTTGGGCTCCTGTAATTTTGGCCAAGTCTAAGTGTCCTGCCACGAAATCAGCATGCAGGTGTGTTAAGATAACATATTTAATAACAGAATTTCTGGATTCAGAAAATTTGCTAATAAATATAGGATGGGTTCTAATACATATATTCTTCGTAGTCTCTCATGGGATCAATTATGGCAGCTTCGTTGTTGGATTCGATGTAATATGAAAATTAACCCAAACAGCTGACTTAGAATTGTTATATGAAGAAGTTCTCTCCGCTTTGTTGAGCCTTTTGAGTATTGACATAGGCTGGTGTGGCAGTACATGCATTCATTTAGGATTATACAAAATAATTTTATTTCAAAAAGATTTAGATTTTGAAATCCTTTACATTTCAATGCAAACCCATAATTTTATGAATTATAAATAATTGCATTAGAATATTTAATTATCCTATTTTTGATTTGTATAAAATTGATAATTCAAACATCTAATAATATTCTTCTTGGATCTTCAATTGAAGTAGCTAATTTCTTAAGGAAAGTGGCAGCATCCTTTCCATCAAGGATTCTGTGATCATAAGTCAAGGCAAGATACCTAAGAGATTAAATAAGACTGATACATCATAGGACGAGCAACAATTTAATCGTTTCTGACAACTGGTCTATTGACTATGGCATGCATTCCCAAAATAGCAGATTGAGGAGCATTAATGATTGGTGTTCCCATTAAACTTCCAAAAACTCCACCGTTTGAGATTGTGAATGTTCCACCGACCATGTCATCTGCGGAGATTTTTCCTTGTCTCCCCTTTTCAGCTAAATCAATAAGTGTCTAATGAAGTTAATAGTCTTAAGTACTTTTTCGATGTCAGCAAAACTGAGACGTTCGCAATTTCTGAGGACTGGTACCATTAATCCAGTGGGTGTGGCAACAGCCATAGAAATATCAATGTAATTTCTATAAACAATATCGGTGCCATCGATAACTGCATTGACAATGGGTTGTTCTTACAATTGTTTGACAGCAGCCTTAACGAAGAATGAACTGAAACCCAATTTAACATTGTGCTTTTTTTAGAAATCCTTCTACATGGCTTCTCTTGCTTCCATAACTGCACTCATGTCACATTCCTAAAATGTGGTAAGCAATGCATAAGTATTCTAAGCATCCTTCAATCTCTAAGCGATTCTTTGTCTCATTCTAGACATTGGTTCCTAAATTGGTATTAGTGTCATATATATACTCTTTTTTCTGTTCTCTAAGTGGGAGTTGTAACAGATGGAGCTACAGGTTTCTTCTCAGCAGGTTTGGCAGCTGGAGGAGGAGTACTCTTTTAGGCTGCAGGTGCTTCTTGCTTTTATTCTTATTTGACTTCTTGTTTTTATTCTTTCTTTTCTTCCTTCTTGGTTTCTGGAGTTGTTGCTGCACCAGCTGGTTTAGCAGCTGAAGTATCGATTTCGTAAAAGGGTTTGCCAACTTCAACTTTAGCACCGTCAGCAGCAAACATTTATGTAATCAATCCAGAGTCTGCACATCTGATGTCGATGGTGACTTTATCTGTCTCTATCAATGCAATCACATCATCTTGATTCACATAATCTCCCACCTCTAACTATCAAATTTAACAAGCATACTCTTCTGCAATTCCTTGACATCTCCTTCTGTAATTGAATCACCCATTGTAGGCACATTCACTACCTTTTCTAATTACTTAATTACAACCATTTACTTGAGAAATAGAATTTTGGGATTTGAGCAAATTGTGTTTATGACACCTTGAACAAAGAGATTGCAAACTATCTCATATCTTAATTAAAAATTTAGAATAATTATCCAACTATTGTTGTGTATTTAACACAAATAATATATATTATCGTAATCATAATTCATCATCACACCTTTACCGATTTATTCTTAAAATAGTTCACGATTATTATAAAAGTAGAGGATTTCTCATGCAATTATCAAATTGTAGGCTGAAAATTGAATTTATGTAAGATATATTATATATGGTTACATTTTATAGATTCATATTGATTTGTCAATGTTTAGCCTTACCAAATCCCACCATGTTAACGTCTCTGTCATAAATGCTCAAGTATTTTGTAAGGAAGATGTCTCCTAGAATCCAAGCTGGACCCTGAGGATCTGGGATGTCTAAAGGCATAAATGCGCCAATGCATTGTTTAGCAGATCCTTCAATGAAGGCAGAGGCTGACACTTCATTACTCAAAGGAATTTCAGTTCCATCTTCTTTCAACTCCATAATGTAATCTTTGGCCTCGAGATAATAGTTGACTCCATCGATTCTGAATGTGAGAGTGGGTAATTCCTTCAAATTAGAGCAATTATCATCGATATTGGTGAGATCTTAAATCACTGTATTGATGTTAATTTACCTAGCAATTTCATTAGGTCATCATATGGACCAGTAATTAAGGAAGTACCAGTATCAGCGACAACTTTGCAACCTTTGGGACAGAATCCTTAATCCTGACCATTGACTAGAATGTTCTCAGCTTTGATCGTCCAATAATATTTATCAATGACAGGATGATAATGAACTGGACCGTCAAGTTTGGTAACGTCATAGCCCCCAAAAGTAAGTTGTGATTCGTAACTGTTAACTTTGTTGCTCATGTAGAATGAGAATTAATTGGATTGTAATTTCTTCTGTTTCATGATGTTATCAAACAACGGATTCAAGTTATAAGCCGCCATGGAAGGATATGCTAAACCCACAATGCCATCGAATCCAGACTTAAAATATTGATGCGATTGATAATACATTTTAGAACACCGCACCGTTTTCTTCAACTATTTCTGCAATATTTTAATCTTCAACTTCTATTTCTCCTAATTTGACTACATCTGAATTGACTTCTCCATTCAAATCTCCAGTACCGAATTGGACATTCAAGGCATATCCAAGATGTTTAGATCTAAAACTTGGTTTGTATTGCGTGTGTTATTTGCATCCTTCATTTTTGCATTTCACAGAATCAATCCAGAAATTGGCAGATCCAGTATCGAAAATAACCTAGAATTCTTGATCACCCACAGTGATTGGTCCAGTAAATTAAGTATTCTTGAAATTATGTAATTTGAGATCTGCCTATCTCTTCTCTGAAGTTTATTATGGTTTTGGCACATAGTCTCCAAATTCTATTTCCTAAACATCAATTGGAGTCTATTATCTGAAGTAGGTTTATTTGGTAGTTAAAAAGTCATACATTTCCTTGGCTGACACCTATTTTGAGTAGGGACGAATTGAATACGATCGTATGTGTTTCCTTTAACTTTATTGTGTAGAGTTTATTTTCTTGTGTTGTAGTACTTTGGTCTTGTAGGAAGGTACCTTGCTCTTGTCCACAGAAGACAAGGACAATCAGAAGGGAGTATAGGAATATGTTCATCGTATAAAAACGATAATAAAAATTTATATGTAACCACTTTGTGATCCAGCACAGGATAGAGTAGTCAAGTAAGTTCCCTTGCCTCCTCATCGACCTCTAGATAATGATCTTATGTTTCCAGCCAAAAATTAAGGTATTAGATGGCTATTGAAAATAGGGAAACCTGACTGGAAACTAATAAAGGAGCATTTGGAAAGAGAGGGAAGAATTGCGAAGAAGGAAGTGATAAAATTAGTATCAATGGCGAACAAAATCTTCAGTAAGCAATTGTTCATTATAGTAAAGAGAATGAGGGTGGTTTGATACATCTTTCAGATCCTTTGACCGTGGTAGGAGATATTCATGGGTATGTTGAAAATATAGGTTAGACAATTTTATGATTTCCTGAAAATTCTTGATGTTGGCGGTAATCCTGAATCATAGAAATATGTGTTTTTGGGCGATTACGTCGACAGAGGACCATTCTCCATAGAAGTGCTTATTTTGTTGTATTCTCTAAAAATCAATTATCCACGGACTATCTATATGTTGAGAGGCAATCATGAATGCAGACAACTCACTTCATTCTTTAACTTCATGGATGAATGCAAATACAAGTACGATTAAGAATTGTATGATGTGTTCATGGATTCATTCGACAATCTTCCATTGGCTTGCATTATCAATAATCAATTCATTGCACTTCACGGAGGAATCTCTCCGGAACTAAGAAATGTATCAGATAATTCATATCAAGGTTGCTGACGTCAATTTGGTAGAGAGATTCAGAGAACCACCCAAGAATGGGCTATTCTGCGACATCCTTTGGGCAGATCCAGTAGACAATGATGATGGAATTTGCGAAGGACAGTTTCGAATTAATGAAGTCAGAGGCTGTTCTTACTTTTATGGAATGGAGGCAGTTAGTAGATTCTTGGAAAGAAACAAGTTGATATCAGTCATCAGAGCCCATGAAGCTCAATTAGAAGGATACAAAATGCATAGATGGGATGGAGGATAAGATTTCCCTATGGTCATTACAATATTTTCAGCTCCCAATTATTGTGATGTCTACAATAACAAAGGAGCCGTCATTAAATTCAAAGTATTTATTTTTTACTACTCTCTAGAACAATGATCTGAATATACAACAATACAATTATAGTTAGCATCCATATCTGTTACCCAATTTCATGGATATTTTCACTTGGTCTATTCCATTTGTCGCAGAAAAAGGTTATTTACTTAATCTCAATATTCTAGTCACTGAAGTACTCTTCCACATCATCCAACCTAGAGATGGTGAAGCCATGGATGAAATAGTTGATGAAGATGATATTGCCAAATTCAAAGAATTAGTAGGAGATTAACAACATAAAAATAAAGATGTCTTTTTGAAAAGCAAAATCAAGTTTGTTTTTAGAATGATGCAAATTCAAAAAGGATTAAGATAACAAAGTGAAAGTCTAGTCTAAACCAAAGGAGCTTGTCCTGACAACCGTATTCCTAAAACACTTCTAGATAGTATTAAAGATTGTAAACATTATTATATCATTTTTAGCAAATGGGGCATTTTAGACTGCTAAAATGGCTGACTCTATCAATGAGAAAAGACCTGGGCTCAGTTAATGATATTCAAATCATATAAAGACACACTCATTTTATTAAAAGTCATATACATTCAAACTCTCCCACTATTGGTGTATAGAAGTGATCAATGCTAACTACTGTCTTACTAACACTCTCAGTCAATATCCACTATTTCATTCTTAAATTGTTCAGTCTCCCAGAATTCACCTCATTTATTTATTTTTACAAGATTCACTAACTCATATTTAGTCTTCTTACTACTCCTGTATGTTTTTAATAATTAAATGATATGGATAGCATTGTATCACTTCATTTTGAATATTAATGATGAAATATTAATCGACATATTGTAAAGTAATGCTTCTTCAATTCCAATTCTTACTCTTCTCTTTCCTGTTTAATGTGCTATTAATGTACTCTAAATTTAATGTTGTATTTCTTACTCATCAAAATTATAAGGAATCTAAAGAATAATGCATAAACATAAAACATATCCTGGAATATCGTTTGCTCCATATCTTTTTGTAACACATCAACATATTTAAGAATCTGTTTTTTAATCTTGAAAAAAATGGTGATAATGACTACATACTCATCAGATTTGTTTTTTTTGGAATAATTACCTCGAAACTATTAATTAATCAAATATTTAAAATAAGTTAGGTATCATGTCGCATTTATCAATAATAAAATAACCAAGAATCTAGGTTTTATTAAAGGCATTTTTTAGCTTGTCTCGCTTGTTAAGTAACATGCTTCAAAAAATAGTCATATTGAGCTTACATTTGAGCTGAAAAGATAACAGCTCTCATTGTCAATGACCTTTTCTTTAAAGTTGTCATTGTTTCAAAGAAGTTTTTCTTTGCTTTCTCATATTGTTTTGCTAACAAAGAAAATTTACATGCTTTTTTACAAAATCTTTCCTGATTTCCTAAAACTTCTAACTTATCTATTCCCTTATTTATATTGTCATTCTATAATAAGTTCTCTTCAACTTAGTTATTTATTGCACCTTATTAATCCTTCCTTAAATATGTATCCAAAGCAATTGTAAATGGCGAAAACCTTCTTGTTTTAGCTGTTATACTTTTCAGAAATATAAAAGACTAATTCTTAAGGGTATTTGCGCTCAATGTATGACAATGCATCAAAATAATTATTGAGAAACACCATATTATCACCATCAGGGTATTTTACAACATCTGTGAATGAATTGCTTTATAAATTTCTGTTAGTTTAGACTTTAAAGTATTAGCTGTAGAATTAAATGGCAAAATTATATTGTATAGCATTTAAAAAGGTTATATTATAAAATTTATTATGAAACTGAGTCTAATTAGAATTTAATAGATTAAAATTTAGGAATAACTCTAATTTATGGAAATTTTGTTTCATTTCAAACAAAACGTTATAGTTTTGGATAACAATCAAACCCTAAAAATAAAGTAATAAAACAAAATACTCTTAATATATCAAAATAAGGAGTATATTACAATTTTATAATTACCAAATGAATGTTTTGCAATGTATCTTATTTTTTAGATAAAAATTATAATCTAAAATAGAATATCTATACTGATTAAAAAAGTGTAAAAAATTCATGTTACATTGAATGAAAAAAAGTTATCAAAATTTTTGCTATTCAGAAAATTGATTAAATTTATGCATGATAATTCTTCACATTAGATAATTTTCTAAGTTATAATTGCTCAATCCAAAATTCAATTTTAGGTTGGAATTATTTCTTCATTCAAAATGATATTTAATTTATTTTCTTTATATTGTATTAAAAATCTTCTTTTTTATATATCCCTTATCAACCGCAACTTCTATCGGGTATCAATTTATATAATTGATTTAATTGGTAAATCTATTGAGTTTTATATAATTCATAATTTAGATTAGTTTGCATTCTGGTTATATATGTTATTATTATAATATTAATCATTTTGGTCCTTGGGCTGCAAGAATGGCCATCTCTTATGCTTCTTAAGCTTCTATTTTTTCCATATATTCTTATAATTATTCCGCAGGTACTTCATCTGGCATTAATTGGGTTTATTTAATTTCATATTCAGGTTCTTCAGGACTCATCATCAATGAACCATCTGCAGGTTAAAATGGTGAATCGACTCCCTTTTAATCTGGAATTGAATCCTTCTCAAACACTGGATTAAGTTGATTTTCTACAACATCAACTGGCATTTGATCAGTTGGATCTTAAGTTTGAATATCAACATTCAAAGCATTCATGTATTAGTCATCATCAGAACCTTTGGTTGATGATAATTGCTATTGCTTTTCTTCTTCATATCTTTTTTATTCTTCTAAATCTAATTAATCTTGCTCTTGGCTAGTTAAACTTATTTCAGATTCTTATTGCTCTTATTATTATGGTTATTCTGTCTATTCTGATTAAATTTGTGTCTCTTAGACTAATTCAGCTTCTTTCTATACAGTTTCAGCAGGTTCTGAATAGCTTTTATCATCATCGATATAGTCAATTTCTTGAGTCTAGACTAATGATTTTTATGAGTTTGCAGTGTTCTATTTATGATGACGAATATTATGGCCAGCAAAACTTAAGCAAACGATCGCTAATACCAATATTGCTTGTTTCATCAAAACGGATTATAAATTTATTATTATGCCTTTATCAAAATTATCTCAATATTTAATACATTTCAATCTCAGCATCTTAAGTAAACAAAATCTAAACAAATTGTAATTTCTAAAGGCTAAACAAAATAATCAAAATTATTTAAACATAAGCTGCAGTATTTATATAAATCTTTAAATTTATATCGAATTAGAATAAATGAATATTAAATTAGTTGAGAAGTTTTGTCTACTTTGAATATGAAATACAAATAATTCATCAAAAATAATCAATAATTCATACTATTTAAACTTTTAATTTAACAATATAAACTGCATCTAAAAGTAAAAAGAAATAAATAAAGCATTTCTACATTCTCTTTTTTTGGAATCATTTTAATTTCATTAGAAATCATTAGAAGACAGAAAAATACGATTTCTCTTCTTAAGATTAATTGATTCTAGATTTTATGATCACAAAGTCATCATTTAGATAAAATGATTAAAAATATGAATAAGTAATTGAATTAAAACTATTTTAAAATACACTATATTTAAAATGTAATATTTATCTTATAAATCAGTGATGAAATTTTTTCGATTTTGCTTAAAAGGCCTATTTTTGATTTTATTTTATTGTTTTTAATTTTAGTTTGAATTGCTATCCACTCAAGATTATTAAATGAATAGAACATAAGTATATTAAATAATATTTCTTTCTTGTCTTATTTTATTTAGATCACTTAAAATTTGATAATCAAATTTATTAATATTAAAATACAATTTAACTATAAACCCATAATTTAATAAATTTAATAATAATATATAAAGGAAATAAAAAGAGTATTAAATTTCATACCTTCTCGGCCTTTTGGCTAAGATCAAGTGTAGTATCTGTTCTTATCAGAGTGATATCTGATATCTCCTACGAGGAGAATGATATCACTGCAATTTTTAAATGGGGCTGGGTTTACTTGGGGCTTGCCCCGGTCCCAGCATAGTCGACCCTGACTTACACGACCTCGGGGAACGGCTAACCCGCTACTTTTTAATTTAAACAAACGAAATTTATTATTATTTATATATCAGGGTGACCATCGGAACTTCGGGGCAAAGATTTATTTGGATGAAGAACTGACTGTCCTTCCGGTAGTGGATGGAAATAGAAATAAATTTTGGAAGGAATTGAATATCTTGAAATTTGATTTTGATAATTAAATAATAAATAATTGCAATGTTCCGTATGTTTGATCCGATGTATTAGTCGATGAACTAGATCCTGGAGGAAAATGGTAATATCTTATGGTTGGGAGATTGCACTGCTGCATATGATAGAAGCTTGTTGGATGCGAGAGGAATTAAGACAGTTTTAACAGTAGCTGCAGGATTGAATGTGTCTTATCCTGAGGGTGGAATAGTGCACAAAGTAAAATAGATACATATGGCTAAGGTTTATCACATATTGGATATTGAATCAGCTAACATCGCACGGCTTTTTGGGGATACCTGTAATCAGATTGCAGAGGGATTAAAGCGAGGAGGTGTATTGGTTCATTGTGCAGCGGGAGTGTCAAGATCAGCATCTGCAGTGATTGCATATATAATGAAGACCAGAGGGCTGAGTTTTTAGGAAACCTTCAATTATGTACGAAAGCGCAGAAGTGTAGTATTCCCAAATTACGGATTTCAAAGATAATTAAGAAATTATGAGAAAGATCTCAAAACTATAAAAGTCAAAGAACCTCAAGGAATGGAGATGCCAATCAAATAGACGCAAAAAAAGCCTTAAGAAACTGCAATGGATAAGCATGAGTAATTCAGTATTTAGTATTTGGAATAGAAAGCAAAACTCCTCTTAAAACCTGCGTCAGGTAATCCAGCATTCAATACTGGTTATTCAACACCTTAAAAATAGTTGTAAAAGTAGAGGATGTTGTACCAATCTGCGAAGGTGGGGAGTCAAGAGCCAAAGTAAAGTTCAATCACATAGAATTCTACCAGAGCTAATTCCTCAATGAAAAACAACATATTTGAACCTTCATTCAATCAAACTTATCAAGGCCCTCAGATCGTGACATACTAAAGAAACAAACTTGTAGAGAAAATGCCAGACATCANTTAATAATAATATATAAAGGAAATAAAAAGAGTATTAAATTTCATACCTTCTCGGCCTTTTGGCTAAGATCAAGTGTAGTATCTGTTCTTATCAGAGTGATATCTGATATCTCCTACGAGGAGAATGATATCACTGCAATTTTTAAATGGGGCTGGGTTTACTTGGGGCTTGCCCCGGTCCCAGCATAGTCGACCCTGACTTACACGACCTCGGGGAACGGCTAACCCGCTACTTTTTAATTTAAACAAACGAAATTTATTATTATTTATAAATCTCTTAGGTTATTCATGCATATAATGAAAATTATAAATTTTGAATACTATTTTTCATAATTTTAAACATTTTTGAATACACAGCATTAATAAAAATGATAGAAGATATCTATTTGTAAATTATGACTTCCCCGAAGTAGAATATATTTATTTAAAATATAAAAGCTTTGTTAAGCTTTGTTATTCTTACAATAACTAAATAACACAATCTTGATTTAATTCTTGAAATGGTTATCTTGAAATGGTTACCTAGCAATATGAGTTAATCAAAATTTAATTCTAAATTATTAATAATTAAAAATGAATAAAAGTGTCTTTCAAAATAATTAAAGAGTGCAATAAGCTTTAATGCACTCCTAAATCAACAGAAACATAATGAAAAATAATCTGAGTGCAGATCCGAATATTAAACCAGAAGAAATAGTTGTAGAATCAGATAATATGCAATAAACAATCCACATTAATCCTAATCAAGATTATCAAAGGGTGATTCCATAAGTTATAATGCCAAGTGTTTTTAAAGGGAATAGATAATAATTAAAGCATTTAGCTGGATTTATGTAGAAGAAAAGTCCACATTTTATCCAAGGATTTTAAAAGAAATATTGCATTTTAGAGAATAGGAAGCTTTCTTATTATAACCCAGAGAAAAAAACTCTATTAGAAGGATCATTAAATTTTGATCTATAAGATTACCAATATTCAGAATAACGAAATAGTTAAAACAAAATAATAGAATTTAAGTATTGACATCATTTATATGCTTTAGATTGATTCCTAAGGGTTGCGAGAAAGAGTTCATATTTAAGAATGAAAACTTGTAGGAGTTGTAGAATTGGGCATAGGCAGTCTAAGAACATTTGAATTAATCAGACGGAAAAACAAAATAGATGACTTTCTTGAGTAAAACACCTAAATTTTGGAAGCATTATCAATTTTCAAACCTCTAAGTACAAGAGGAATGTGATAATGGTGACATAGTTCTATTTAAATCGAAGGACAGATTTGCAGCCACGACAAGAGTACTTCTCGGTTCAGAATTTGATCACGTTGGAATTTTGTATAAAGAAAATTCATAACTTTATGTGTATGAAGCAGTATAGACAGGAGTTGGAACATTTCGATGGGGTATTGACAATTAAATTTAGTAAAATAGATTATTTAAAGCAATAAGAATGGTATAAATTTTATGAAAAAGTTTGCATCAGAAAATTAAATTATGCCCAAAAAAATGAGTATGGAGTCTAAAAAAGATTTTTAGAGTTCATCAATGACAATCTCGGAAATGATTACAGCTTGAATATTGGTAAATTTTTTAGATTTACATCTACCATTAAAAAACCAAACGATAATGAATAAGGAGAAAAAAAAAGATCGTATTTTTGCTCTGAATTGGTTGCTAAAGCTTATAAGGAAATGGGTCTTCTTGATTAGTTGAAGTCTTCGACCCGGTATTATCCAAACGACTTTACTTAGGAGAAACAGTTATAATTATTACAAGGAGCAACGTTGAGTCCAGAATTTCTAGTTATTTTTGAAGGATGATATATAATTCATTAATTATTTAATGCAAACTTCTATTGATTTGCCTTCTCCATTGGGGATTGTTCAAACCTCTTCGATAACAAGTACTGGGAAAATATTAGGTCCAGATTACGAAAACAATTTAAAGAGAGCAGCAAAAAGAAGTGAAGAAGATAAACTATTTAGGAAGTAAAATTAAATGAATGATGCTGATGAATTTGAAGCTATGGAGGTTTAAAATGGTGATCAAACATCCCTAATATATTATTACAAAGCTTTGAAATTGGATGAAGAAATATAACAAAACCAAAATGAGATCATCAACATTGTGCAGAATAGGCCAAGGTTAGGAATGATAGAGGGGAATTTAATGAAGAAAAGTCCCCATTGGTTTTAGGGCTATTCATAGAGAAACTGTATATTAAGAAATAGAGTATTTAGATATTATAATGTTGAAAATAAGAAACTCTAAGGAGTTTTAAATTTTGATGTTTAGTCATTTCAATTATAAGAAATATAAGATAAAAATGGAAATACTTTGGAATTTATGTACAAATATCTCTAATATTCTAGTTTAAAACCAGTGGGTTAAACTTAAAAGGTATTCCAGTTCAAGGGGGGAACTATAGAACAAACGAAAACGTGGGTTTAATTAATAAAATAACATCTATAAGATTCTGTAGGTGCATTGAAGGTTTTGAAGTCACTTAGTCAATATGAACGTTTTTGGAGAGTAATGATTATTTTGATATTAGTTTGAACGCATATCATCATTATAGATAATGGAAGATGCTGATGATGGAGACATTTTGTTGTTTTAAGGGAAAGACATCAATTGCCACATTCAAAGATCGTTGACACAGTCTAATTTTGATCATATTGGAATTTTGATACGTTTGAATGAAAACTAATTGTATTTGTTTGAAGCATTGCCCTTACATGGAGTAGGACTATGTCGTTGGAGTAAGTTTGTTATGTGTAAATGGAATTATCTTTACCATAAGTAAATTGCATCATATACATATATAGAATTATATATAGAAAATTATAGGTCAATAGAGACGAGAACTTTAGATCCAGAATACATGAATTTGTCACTGAGAACATTGGTAAATAATATTCGTTTAATCCAACCAAACTATTCAAATTTAAGTCTACAATGCTTTAAGATCAATAACAATAATAAACTAGAACATTTTTCTCCTCTGAACTTGTCGCTGCTTGCTATAAGTTTGTAAATCTTTTGTCAAAAGAGGTGTCATCCACATAATATTGGCCAGGTTCCTTTTCATAAGAAAATCAGAAGTTATCACTTCAGTAGGGCAGTTTAAGCGAAGAATATATAATAGATTTTGAGGGTGAATGATTTGTGTAATTAATACATTAAAACTCAAACTAATAATCCTATATTCTCTTTTATCAATTTCAAATTCTTGGATGCTATTTCTCTAGCTTTCATACTGCCTTCCTTTAAGATTTATTCTAATTCACTTTGATTGTTAAGTATTTGTTTCTTTTTCTAAGCAATAGTATTTAATTCATTGGCAATCAATTCAGATAGATCTCGTTTAAAATCAACAGTAGTTTTTGTCAAATACTTTTCAATAACTTATTCCATACTCAAATTGCTAAAGGCCTAATATATTCTCAAAAGATTAGAGATTTCAGGTCGTTTATCTTGATCAAAATATATTTGTGGAATTGAATCAGTCTTTGATCTTTTAATCTTTTCAAAGATCTCCTCCTTTGAATCATCTATGTTAATTCTATTCCCATCAATTGCATCTGATTTAGACATCTTCTTATTGCCATCTCTTAAACTCATAATTTTTGGACAAGTAGCTATGATAACATCCATTTTCAATTACATTCCAAATATTATGGTTCCACAATATTCAATTTAAATAGAGAGTTTAATCTTTAGACATAATCTCTAGTTAATTCAATGTGTTATTTTTAGTCTAAACCAACTGGCACATATTATGCCCTAAATAAATTTAATAGTTTACTGATAAAGTATGATGTCTGCTGCCATCAATAATGGGTATGTGTAAAGTCCAAGAGTGGAGTATTCCTTCTTTTTATCCTTATATTGAGTCATTTTATTGAGCCAATTTTTAGGAGCAATGCACGATAGAATCCATTATAATTCTGCATGTTCAGGCACATGACTCTATACAAAGAACACAGATTGTTGAGGGTTGATTCCTGACGCAATTAGGGTGGCTGCCAGAGATAAGGTATCTGATTTAGTGTTTTGATCAAATTTGATCTCATGATCTATGGTTAATTTATCTGTTAAGGCATGCAAATCTACAATGCAATATATATTTTGATTTCCTGGTTATTATAATTTAACCCAATTTCGAACTGCCCCCAAATAATTGCCTATGTGCATTTTCCCTGTTGGCTAAATTCCTGAAAAATACATAATTAAAATAATTTAACATTATCAATTAATGAAAAGAAGAAGTTCATAATTTTAACTCATTTTTTTGATTCTGTATCAAATCAATTACTTTTTTTTAGTTTGAATAGATATCTGGGCCTATCTTCTTTTGATATTTAAATTGATTCTCATTATACTATACTTTTGCATATTTTAATACACAACACTAATATAGTAGATTTATTCACCTAATTTTTATTGAAGTTCCAAGGTCGATTGTTGAAGGCTGTGAAAAATTCATGCAGAAATTTTTTGTTTTTAAGATTAATAAAAGCAAAACCTCCTTCCAAATGACAAGGTATATTTAGATAATCGTATTTCGATGAAAACTTGAAATCTATCTCATTTTGCAATCTTTTCACAGTATAATTACTGGGAATGTTTCGAATCATTAAGGTAGTTCGTTTATCATTGACAATCTAATCTCTAAATTTATATTACAGTTTGGAGCGAAATATTGAACTAATTTTGAGTGTTCTCGTTTTCACTTGAGCATTTCTCTGGAGCTTGGTTAAAAATGGCAGAAAACGCCTCGAACTATTCGGTGGAGGAGGAATCTGTCTCTGTTGAAAAGAGGAGCTTCGATCCTGTTGAAATAGAATTTACAAAATAAAATACTATAACCAAATAGGAAAAGATCATTATTAGTAGAACCAGCAGAGTCTTAATTTTCAATCCAATTCGAGCATTAAGTGAACTCTTCGATTTCTTGAAATAGCGAGGTTTACATCTTTAAATTTATATATATATATATTATTAATCAAACCTTTTAATACTCTAGTTTAGATTCTAATTTTTTGGCGTCTTTTATTTTTCTTCCTGCTTTGAAATAATCCTCCTCAATAACATAGTCTCTATCTGCTCTAATGGCAAACATACCTTTTAATATTATAATATTTATATACCTGCTTCAGTACAAACATTCCTTAGATCAGCTCCATTGAATTCTTCACACAACTTTGCTAACTATTCAAAATCCACTTCTCCTTTGGTTGTAATGGTTCTTGAATGAATCTTCAAAATATCATATCTAGCTTATTCATTAGGCAATGGAATTTCCACCTCTAATGGTTAAATATCATATCAATACTTCTATCCAATCTACCAGGTCTTAAAAGTGCTGGATCCAAAATATCTGGTCTGTTTGTAGCCATAACTACTTTGACCTTACCCAAATCATCAAAACCATCTAATTGATTTAGCAATTCCATAAGAGTTCTTTGTATTTCTCTATCTGCAGATGTTCCATCACTAAATCTCCTTCCTCCAATAGCATCGATTTCATCCATAAATATAATGCAAGGCTAATTCTCCTTAGCGTAAGTAAACATTTCTCTTATCACTCTAGCACTCTCTCCAATGTACTTGTCTACAATACTAGATGCAACAATTTTCAAGAATTTTGCCTGGACATTGCAAGCTAATGCTCTACATTTTATCTTATGATTATACCTCGCAATTAAAGTCTTACCAGTACCTGGAGGACCATACATTAAACATCCTTTAGGTGGTTTCACACCCACTCTCTTGAATAATTCAGGATTAGTTATTGGCAATTCAATTGTCTACAATCTACTATTATAGATACTTCTCTTAAAACTCGAAGTTGATCGTTTAAACCTCCAATTTCATCAAATTTAACCTTTCCTGGGTCTTCGTGAGCCATATGGAACACTTGAGGATCTACTTCTCTTGGTAATATTCTAACTATTGTGTATGTTTCTTAGTCAAGTGCAATTCTTGTTCCAACTACCAACTTCTCTCTATCAAGTTTTGGCTTGGCACCTACTACATATCTAGGACCACTATTCAATTTTGAAATATCTTAATTGAGATTTATCTATTACATTTTTCATCATTTATTTTCATTAATATTTCTCCAACTGCTTGTCCTCTTATATTTAAACTTTTGATATTATCCTCAAATTTTTCAAACTCAATCTTCTTTTATTTTGTTTATGTCCTCACTAATCATTACTATGTAAATTTACATTCCCTCACATGTCTTTCCTTCTCCTCAACTTCCTTTACAAGTTTGATGTATTTTGCAACTAATACATTTCGTTAATTTTGCTCAGTCATCCAAAATATTTTAAATTTAATATATTTATATTAGATTAGGATAATTTATCATTTAATAATGAATTTCATAACCTATTGATATATACTAGGTAACATATATATATATATTAATTAATCATCAATAAATGGTTTTACAATTATAACCTGATCTTTTTTTGTATTCTTACAGTAATTTTTTAGTTAAATTATCATTAAGGGAATGCTTTTATTAATATTATTGTAAGAGTTTCTTTATTTATAATTGATTTTCCAAATAATCAGCATTTAATTTTTATTATCCATTTAAATCCACACTAATATCTTTACGCAACTTGCTTATAAATTAAATATTTACTGAATGTTAAGCTTCTTCAATCTATTCAGCACACGAAAAGGGTCTTGGAATTTGTATAACTTCTTGAGGCTGTTTGCGAAAACTATGAACAGAATTATTGGATCTATTTGCTTCAGTGTGTTAAGATGAAGAAGCCTTCTTTTGAGGTTTAGTTGAATTGAGTGTAGATTTTTCAGAACAACCTTTTATTGATTATTATCTTTTGAATTCTTGATCTTTTGAAATATTAATGATTCTATACTTATTAGATTTAAAACATTTTATGTTGTCTAATTTCTTTGATGATTTATTGTAACTTATGATGTTTCATAATTAGATAAATTACTTTTTCTATTTTTATCTGGATATTCACTAGTTTCAGTTTGTACTCGACTAGCTTAATTATTTGATTTAGTATTATTATTATTATTATTATTATTGGAGATGTGAGTTGAAAATATACGTTTCTATGAATTATTGCGAAATTTAATGTAATCATCTTATGGTTCTGTTCGCAATCGGTTTTCCTTTTAAAATACTGTTAACATTTACATATTCTTGACCTAGACATTTAAATTTATCCTTTTAGCCATTCAATGAGACAGTCTATTATTTCATAAACTCATTTTCAATGTTATCTTTATCTAACTAGGTTTTTTTCGATTATTGTCCAAACTTTATATTTTAAGAATTTAAATCAACTTTTGAATTTAGTTTTATGTTTTGTATATCCTTTTCTTGTATCTTTAGTTTTTGATTCAATGTATTATTTTTTTCATTTAGAATCTTGATTTCAATAATAAAATACTTGGAATTCATTTTTGAGTGTCTACAACTCTTCTTCTAAGTCATCTTTAATTTTGAGCACATCTTCTAACTTTGATTGTGTATTTTCAGCAAACAACTTCAATTATTGTTCAATCTTAATTAGTTCATATGAAATACTCGTATATGTTAACGGATCTCTGCTTCCAACTTGATCAATTATTCTTCATAATCATTTTAGTTTCTAGAGTTGTGATCTTCTATCTGTTATTCTAAATTGAACTAATCTCACTCAAAGAATACTTTATTTTGCAAGACAATCGAGAATATGCATCCGATATAACAAATTAATGAGATGGGATCTGTATATAAATCTTCCTGTTTATCAAGAGGCACCACTTTCTTTATCTAACATAATAACAACTATTAATAGTTTATGATTTAAACTTGGTCTTCTGTTTTTTAGATGCTGCTTTTTATTTATTAATAGAGTTCCACTACAGATTTTTGAAGTTTTAAATCAAATTTCTTTTCTGTATGTTCTGAACTATGTTTAAAATTGGATTCTAAGGATGTATTGATATCATCATGATAATGCTATTACTATTGCAATAAATGCAACAAAGTTTTTGATTTTTACTACATTATTTTAAATAAATAACTGATTAGAATAGAGTTTTAAAATAAATTTTAGTTTAATATATACATATATCTTTAAAAGAATAGAGAAACTATGAAAATAGACATTCAAAACATGCAGCTTTGAGTCATATCAACCGGAGAATGGGTCTGAAGTTCGAATTTAACATCAGGAATAGATTCACTTTCAATTGTTGATAAGTCATCCAAACAAAAATTTTAGAGTTTTTTAGAGTGTATTTAAAGTATATGCTACAAATATATTCAACAAACATACCACTTGAGAAGTTGAATTGCTTTACTGTTAATCTTCAGCAGGCAATAACGATGTTCCTATATAAATGAAATATTATACTAAATTCTATCAAACCATAAGACATCTATTAATATTTCTTGATCTCCATCTATTTTTCACTTCTGTAATTTATTTAAAATAAATTTCGTTGACTTTGGTTTCTTAAAATAATTGGTCTTAATTCTGAAATACGTAGCTTCTCTTTCCTTTTTTCATCAGGATTGATTGTTTGATAAAACAAGTAAAAGCAACCCAACATATAAGTTTTTAGTAGAACTGATTTCTTTGGGAAAACTCTCCCTAAGTTTTCTAATTAACAAGGCATTTTCTAATAATTATTAATAATTCATACAATCTTAACGTATAAAAGATATAAAAGCATTATAATAAGACTAATAATTATGAAATGCATCAATTTTGTTCCTAATAGAAATTTGTTAAATCAAATTACTTTTATACTAAACAGAATTCCATATTTATCAAAACAGGCGTAATTTATTTAATTATTTATAAATGAATATCCAAGAATGGGTGAAATAAATTAATTATTTTGCACTAATAAACCAATTTTTTCCCAAATTCATTTGTTGATAATTTGTTCAATCAATCCAGATATGAGGAAGGTTTTAAAAAATAGTTGAGTTTAGTATTGATATCTTATTTTTACAAAAATAGATTTAATTTTAACAACCTATTCATTCTGATTTTAAAGTTCAATAGTTGTCAACAAGTAGTCAATTAGAATGAGTAAGAGCTAATTATAGTCTTGATAGTTTGATATAAGAGATGTACTAATGTTTGATAATAATTAATCATCTACAAACTCTAATGCGTGGAATACAAATTGTAATTAATTAATGAATTAATAATGAATTCATTATTTGAATTATATTATAATGATTAAATATTTGAGTGCTCACTTAAGATTGGCTCGTCACGATAAACCAATAGGGGCTTTGTTGCTTCATATTCCATGTGTATGGGGAACCATCTTAGGATAACCAACTTTTAATTTTTAAGAAATAATTTGGTACAGCAGTGTATTTGGAGTTGGATCATTCACGATGAGAGCAGCAGGGTGTGTGGTGAATGATATGTGGGATAAGAATATTGACAATAAAGTAGAACGTACGAGACAGAGACCATTGGCTTCAGGAGAATTGCAAATGAAGGATGCATGGATTAGTTTATTTGCACATTGTTCGGTTGGATTATTAGTGTTGACTCAGCTTAATTGGAGTACGATAGCAGCATCGTTTGGAATAGTGCCAATAGCCTTTTTGTATCCTCTGGCTAAACGATATTTCAGTTATCCTCAATTAGTGTTGGGAATAGCATTTAATTGGGGTGTAGTAGTTGGAGGTTTGTAATTGGCAGGAATGCTAAATCCAACGATTATGTTGGGATACACAGCTGGAATTGTAAATACGTTGATATACGATACAGTCTATGGACATTAAGATAAAGAATATGATAAGAGTTTGGGATTATATTCCACAGCTTATACTTTGCCTAAGAACACTCCTTTGTATTTGACTTGGGTGTTTTCTGGTTTGATTGGGTTAACATGTTATGCTGCCTCGTATCACCCAGGAGTGTACCCATTGATCGCTTTGAATCAATTGGACATGTATTTGAGATTGAAGGCAACTGACTTTGACAATCCTGAGAGTTGTGGTAAATTCTTTCGAGATTTCAAATGGTTTTAGGTGACCATAGCATTGATCTTTGGAGCTGGTTCGTATATGAAGTAATGATTGATCAAATTGTTTTAATTTATAATTAAATAAAGTCATTTTTTGGTAGATGTTTGAAAGGAAGGAATTGAAGGCACGAGTGAAAAAAAAGGTTGAATAAATAAGTGAGGGTCAAGAGATCATCTTCAGTATTAAGAGAAAATTTGGAGATCAATGTTATGACAACATATGTACAATTAAACACCATGAATTTAAGATTTATTAAATGACGAAGAAATGATGAGGTTTATCAATTCCAGGAAACAACAAAAGTTAAATTTTGATGATGTCATTAATTAAACGAAAAATCTATCTTTGGATGATGAGACCCAAAAAATGTAATTTTAAATTCCGATTTATTAGTGTAGTATTGGAGAAACTCTAATCTGATGACACTCCTCAATATAATGAAGAAACTCAGTAGTAAAGTATTTTAAAGGATCGAAGAGAACAATTCGTAGATAAATTTAGAAGAGACATAAGGGATAAAATTTTATAGGATAAAAGAAATAAGGTGAGGAATCACTTTTTATCGTAGTTTATTATTGAATTAGAGTAGGATAAGGGTAGTCTCAAGTGTTGTGATCAATAAAAGAATGAGTAATTAGAATAAGACTATTATGTAATGAAGTAAGTGAGTAAGAATTAAATGAATCAGGAAAAGAAAAAGAATGCTCACATGAACATTGATGCTAAATAAATAGAAAAATACTTCGACAATTATTATGTTGATAGTGAACACAATTCAAGTATTGACAGTGAAGACTCTCAAAGGACAGATTAAGATGCTTATGAATATCCTGAAAATGAAAGTTCGGATGACGAAGATGTTGAAGTAGAAGAAGATTACTATGATAACAATAGTGAGGATTCTCAGAGATACAAAAAGTATAGGAGGAAAGATATTCAAGAGAAAGATGATTAGATTGAAATTGATGAATAATAATAAGCTTAAGGAATTGAGATCAATCAAGTTTAAGCTTTCATGAGTTTTATTAAATAACATGAACAAATTAAATAAGAAAAATAATGTTGGAAAACATTTGACTATGAACATGATTTTTGATTTATATATTAATCAATATATATTAGTTTGTAAAGAATCTTGATCAATTTGCAAATTAAACTTTTTTTGAGTTTTTTGATGCTTAGGGCTATTATAATTGTGCAATTTAGTTCATCTCTGCCTAAAACTTTGAAAACACGTTCCCTTGCATTCCATGTTATGATGGCAAAGCTTGAAATGTAACAAAATTTTGAAATTGTTGTTCTGATGATAAACTTTAAAATGAATATTATTATATCGTTGATAGCTACGACGTTTTTTGTGGTTCCTTCAAAACACTCAATTATTGTTGTTTTCTCTTTGGATATTCTTCATCTGAATCGGACTAACTTAACATTTATGGCTATTAATCCCCTTATTTTAAGGATCCTAACTTAGATGTCTCCGGATGAGAAGTTTCATCCTCATATTAGAATGTTTCGACTCTTTCCACTCTCTTACAACATTACCCATTTCCCATTAATATTAATTTAATTAATACTGTATTAAAAAGTAAATTGATGTCCTCAATAAAAAGATATTTAACATTATTAAGCCTCATTTTTATATATTAAGTCTTAATTAATACAATTACATTAATTACATTCACTAAAATAACCAAAAAATATATATTACAATACTATTAATTTAATTAAGTAAAAAACAAAGTCAAATATGGGACAATACGCTGCCATCTAATATTTGACTATATAATTGTTGACTCAACTGTTCATTCTTCTCCACCACCTCCTAATACTTTTGATATAACTATCATATAGAATCAATATCATACCTAAACGTAATCTTATTAGGCCTTCTTAGGCAATTTTAAGGTCTTCTTGTTATTGCTTTATATGATTTTCTCTATCTGCAATCTCAAACTGTCCACTTCCAAAGCCGATGATCTAACCAAATCCTTCAATTTAAAATTCTCCTATTCCAAATGAGTAATTGTTCCAGTCAAATGCTTTATTTTTTATTCATACAATTATTTAAATTACTGAATTTTTTATTGAATTAAATCTATATCAACTTAGTTATTATTTTTAATTGTTAGATCCAAATTGTTTTTCTCCTCTAATTCCTGAATTTATTGATTTTTCTTCTGAATAATCTTCTTATATTCTGTCTGCATGCGATCAAAACTTTCATTTTGAGTCTTAATTTGCTCTTAATAATTCTTGATCTCCTCATGTAGAGTATTATTCTTGAACAGTAGATCCTAATTATCAATCTATAACATTTATAATTGAGTTTTGTTCTATCTTACTTGTTCCTCAGCCTTTATCATTTATTAATAGTATTCATTCTAAGATTAAGTTTCAGTCAATTGCTTTTCTATATTCTGTAAATGCTGTCTTAATTAACTGATCTCATTGCTTTATCCATCATTTTCATTGCTTTTTGTATTTTCAATCTCCTATCTCAAGTGTTCATTTTCAGATACCAACAAAGGCACCATCTGACTGTATTAATGAAGCATTTCAGTCAGATGTTCAATCTATTTGAAATACGATTCGGGATATTGACTAGGGAATAGTTGACTTAATTTCTCCAATTCCCTATCCTTGCATCTACATGTTATTTGTAAGAATTCTATAAATTTTGTCTACTAACTTTAGTTCAATTTGATCGAATAATCTAATTGCTACATCAAATCCATTGCTTTGTAAGTGTCATTCACAAACCCTTTATTAAGAGCCAACCAAACTTAATCATAGTCAATCTATTCTAACTTGGCCTAAGGGATGAAGGCTTCTATTTATCTATCAGTTGGACATATTTCATCTAATGATTGATACAACTCTATAATTTTTGAACCATATATTTTAATTTGCAGAATCATTTTTTCGAATAGCTCTATCTCAGATTCCACATTCTCTTAAGGAAGCACAACGAGATTTGAGTTCACTTATTTGACATAATTCTAAATCTGGTAAAAGTCTTCATCAAATTCAAGGTACATGTATACAAATTTAAATTTAATATTGTTAATAATAAAATCATCATCTTGTTCAATTCCTTTTATTTTATTAAATAAGTTCCATCAACAATCTTTATTAGATTTTCTCCTAATCTGACAAATAGTAAAACTCTGTATCGATGGAGGATGCTTAATTTTAATTGATAATATTAGGTTGTGGCTATTGCTATCTTCTAGTCTCAATTTCTTTCTAAAGTTTTTGATGTTATTTATATTGTGCATAACTCATTTGTAATTAATCAGCCTAAATAGACTCCAACAATATTCTGCCTATTATACTATCACTATAATCAGAATCCTTAATAGAATTTTTGACATCTTTATTTTAAGAATTTCTATTTTCAAAAATTCTTTTTTTTTCATTATCCTATTTCATCTATTGTGATTGCATTTACTTATTTTAATCATATTATATTTGATTTTTGAGACCTATATCCATTTTCGGATAACCCATAATTGAGTTGTCATTGAATTGTTATTCTAAAGCAAATGGCTATTAGAAATTGGTTCCAGATGGATTTTAAACCTTTTAAGACAGATTTTATTAATAGTCCATTATCTTTAAATTTTAATTCTAATTATGTTAATTCTATTAAAATTATTAATGTAAAAGTTGATTTTCTGGTGTATTTTATTGATAGTCAATTTCTTATCTGAAATAATCATAATTTGAAGTTTAAGATGCATTAGGTCCTTAAGAATACACGGGCTTATTTTTAGAATCTTTCATATGCTTTTGCATTTGCATCTACTCCATATTAGCATTTAATAGATATTAGGCCATCCAATATTCATAATGCTGAATCTATTTCTTATCTTAAATATACTTGCTTACTTCTGGATCTTGTATACTATGTTCCAAACCAATTAATTATTAAATTAATTATTATTGACCTTATTATGCTTGAGCTGAATCTTTACTATAGTTTGAACCCTAATTGGAGTAAAGTTTATTGATTTCGTTTTTCTAAATTTCTTGAATGGTGATATTTTTTTATCTCTAATCCTATTTATTTGCCCTTAAAGCAGGGCAGTTTTTTTAATGATATTATATGTTTCTCATCATTATATATTCAAGACAATAATTACATCGTAATGTTCTATTGCCACAGGTTTTCTCATGCTTTTAATACTCACCATAAAGCATTTATTGTTAACAATATTCACATACAATTTATTTATTACTACATATATGTTTTTTCGAATCTTAATATAAAGAAATTGAAAACCTTAAACTTGTTTCTTGCACTCATGGCACTATTAGACTTAATGATATTCTTCATCATGCAATTATTTTTAATTTATATCATAAAATTCCCCACATCTATCACATCTTATGATATTTCTTTGGCAATAATATTCGTGTGATGCTAGTTTATGTTCCTCTATCTATGTACTGCAGAATTGACAATTACTATACATTTTATTTATATAAATTAATAATTTAATTATTTCATAGCGTCTTTTCGTCTATAAATATTCTAAGAGAGCTTCTTATTGTTCCATAATAAATCTATTATCATAATAGTTAAAAAATAGTCTTTAATTATTATTATTATGAGCTTTACGAGTTAATGAATTAGAGAAATTATTGATTTGATAAATAATTCTAATTAATATTGATTTCTGATACTCAAATGGAAGTATCTTTAAAAAGGGAGGTTTTTCATTTTGTTGATGAAATTTCCCAGAGTAACTTCAATTATGATATATTACTTAAATGTATGAAAATCATATTTTAATAAAAGAATAAATAATCTTTCACACTTTGCCTATACAATTTAAAGACCCTAAGAGTCTTTTCTAGCGTATATTAAGATGAAATGTATTTGCTCTCTCTTCAATCTTACGTGAATTAGATACAGTTGTGTGTGTCGAATTACAGACTATCCTATTTTAAGTTAGTTTGGTTAGAACTTTACAAGAGTAATTCTCTATTATTTTAATTTGTATGGGAGAGCATCATTTAAGTTCCAAGGCATTAAGTATATATTAATGATTATAAAATTTATTGATATTATTTATTATATTAAAATATTATATGTTAAATCTTGATAACATAGATTTAGTGAACAGCACTTCGAGTCAAATGAAGGTGTTTTGCTATTCATTCTTTATTTGGACTTCTATATTTGCAATAATTAATTAGAAAGTCCATTTAAAGAAACACCCCAAGAAAGTTTAAGATGATATCAAAAACAGAATTGTATCAATCATTCACGGTTCCCTAACATTCTGGGCTGCCGCATATATAGTGTTGGGTAAAAGAGATATTCATTTGCAGTTGAATAACCAGGTTTCGGTGCAGTTAATTCTCAGACCATGCAATTTACAATGATAATTAGTGCGTCATACTTTGTCTACGATTTCCTTGCCTGTCTCTACTATGACCTTGCAGACATGTCCCTAGTCTCTCATCATTCTTTAGCCATTTGTGGATATGCTGTGGCTACCCTCTCAAAATTCGGAGCTCCATCTTCAATTTGTAAGAGTTAATTTATATGTCTTAGGGGGATTGATGTCAGCTGAAGTATCTAACTTCCCTATGCATATGAGAGTGATCTTCAGACAAGTAGGATTGAGACATACTAAATTATATGAAGCATGTGAATGGGCTTATTTTGGTAATGGATCTAATTAAATTATTAGCATTGTATATCATATTCAGAGGATCTTTGGTTCCTTATATGGTATGGAATACTTGGCCAGAGAGTGATGTTCCTTTATTGGTTAAGATAACAGCCACTGGCCTATTCTTATAATCAGTATACTTCATATTTGAGTAAAGCAATTAATATATATTCTTATAGGATGAAAAAGATCCTTACTAGATAGTATTTCTAGTATTAAGAAAGAAAGAAGAAAAATATTCATCATTTTTGGTTTAGTGTAAACCAAAGAGTTTAAGAATTATCATATATTAACAACTAAAAAAAAGATAAAGTATTTTGAGTATGTATTATGAGAATCTAATAAATTGTTATCATTACTAATATCCTTAATAAAATTTTTATAACTCACTAATTTTCATTTATTTCTTGCGTAAATTGATGTATATGTGAATCTGAAATAAGACATATAATTTCTTTTATTTTTAAAGTAGATCTCCATAAACTAAATTTGACATTCTTTAAATTTAGGGGTAGAGGGTAAGTTGATAGTAAATAGTTTTAAAATATAAATTATAAAATTATAATGAATTTCACTTTAGAGGGAAAACTTAAAATAGATTAATTTCTGCAATTACTCAAAATCTTCTCTAATCCTACTATTATATGTGATGATGAAAGTATTTAACTGATTTTAACTAAAAGAAATGCAATTTTCAGAAATACCGGAGAATTAAAAATTTAATGAATTCAATAAATCAGATAACCCTGCTAGCTATGCGTAAATAAACAATGATTTCTTTAATGAATATTAAACATAAATTAGAGAAAATCATCTAAAATTTGCAGAAACTAGTTGCCTTAATATTAAGATGTAGTAAGATGTTTGTTTATTAAATTCTTAATTGAATTATGTTTGTTGTTAAATTCCAATTGATATGATATACAAAGCACTTAAGTCATTAGCAAAATCACACATAAAGATTTTAAAATTGTCATTTTCCTACTTACTTATAGAATAAAACTATGACAACAAATAAATTTAGTTGCATTTTATAGTTGGAGCCTATTCAGAAAGAGGTTTCTTCACTATCATGAAACCTGTAAAAATGCTTCAATAAAAGGAGGTAGAACTTCCAAATTTAAAAAATAAAGTAATAACTATAAATTATGAAAACTGCAAAACTATAATTCAGCAAATGAAAACTTATCCAATTTCATTAATTTGCAATGTTGATGAAATATCCTTCTCTCCATTATCTGTGGATTTAGAATAAGTGGACATTTGGTCTGGTGCTTTAACATATTATAATTCATCTTTTGTTGAAGAAATCTATGGTAATTTAAGTATTTAATCAATTTATACAAAAACATATAACCCAATTTTGAGTTACTGTGCAAAAGTTAAATAAGATTGCACAGTCTATGTCACTCCATCTGAAAATGATTCAAAAGCAGCCATCCTATATTTTGTATCTAGTTAATCAAACATCATCATTTGCAATAGATAATAAGTCATAACAAATGATGAATCAAAAGAATAGGGCAAGTTATTTTAAAATATTAGCGATGAATTACTTGATGAAATAGAATAAATTAGTAGCCAATTTGAGAAAAAGTTTTCTTAAATTTAAATAACAACAAATGTTAAAGATAATTACAACTGTAGCTATGAAAATTAATCTTTAAAAATGGCATATTCAGCCATAGATGACAACAACAGTAAAATGTATAGTACAATCAATTAAAAGGAGCCTTTATTGTTTGTCCCACCAAAAGTAACAGGATCAATCAATGATGCTATCTTAGACTACATGACCAGAAATTCTTGCAAATAGACCTCTACTACACTATCAAGATATAAATCAAATATTTAGAATTGACAATATATTTTTCATAATATTTTAAATAACAATTTTCTAATGAGTCTTTAAATGAGAAGTAAATTAATAAATAAAAGTCAGTGATTAGGGTTTTAAATAAAGTAAATTAATTCTGGTATAGTTTTAAATGTAAAAGATTATAAATTAATTACATTGACATTTAAATTTAATATACTGACCTTCGCATTCAAATAATTTATGATTATCTACTCTACTGAGTTTGATTAATCTTTAAGAATTTAGAATTCCAATCATACAATAACTAAATATAAACAGAGTATTAGAGTACATAATAATATAATCAAAAAGTAGTGCAGCATTAATTCTTCGGTATATTGTTTTATTAGTTCTTAAGTTTATGTTTACTAACATCAGTATTATAACGTTTCCAATTTTCCACTATGATAACATCATTTTTTTATTTAAAAAACACATTCAAATTGATATTTGCTTCATCCTCTAATTTTTTAGCTTCCAAATGGCTATTGTTCAAACAAGGTCCAAAACCATGATTTTTCTCATTCTTAATCTAACAACTTTCCTCATCTAGTGTTTGTGAATTCATAACTTATAAATTAAATATAAAATCAAAATTACATAATTTTTCAAATTAAGTAATTTGATTATATCAGAATTGATCCTACTGCGAATTCGTTTATTCTAATGGATAGCATAACAAAATCTAATTTAACTTATTTTTATAATTTAATCATTCACTTTGCAGAGGTAAAGCTTCCTTTCTCATTGTAACTGAATAGTAATTTTTATAATTGTGGTTATTAGAATATTACTGAAGACTTTATTAACTAAGAGCGTCATTATTTAATATTTCTTCCATATTGACCGAATAATAAAATGAAACTTGTATAACATTCGCATTCTAGAATATTTAAAAATAGTAATATATATGAATTGCAATCTCTTAGAACTTTTTCAGATTTAAATTATAGTTTTCAATTAAAATCCATTTTTTATCTGATGAATAGTAATTATTGTTAATTAAAGTTACTACTTATATTTAGCATAAGCTTAAAGAAGCATCTCTCAACAAAACCAGAATTCATAATTATTTTAGTTATATAAAAACTAATTAGATGAGCACTCTCAAAATCAATAAAATCATAATAAAATTCATTATCCTGAAAAGCTAAGTCTTTTAAAATTCTTCATTACTACTTCAACTTCCATGATAACTTTTCCATTTGAAATGCTATTCAAAATCTTTCTCCTTGCAAAATCCCCCTTATCGGTTGTTAATGGTGCCAATGTTGTTAATCTAGGAGGGTTTTCCATGTAAAATGATAGAGCTTAAAATCTCCAATCCAAAGTTCTATCAAATTTTGATAGTGAATCGGTATTAGTAGCCAAATCTTCATTTGGTTTTCGTATCTCAAGATCTAAGTTCTCTCCAGTTGGTGTCCATGTTTCGCTAAATAAATATCAATGATACCATGTAACTTAATGATAACCAGCACTTCTTGGAAAAATTGCTGTACCATAACTACAAGCATCAATTTTATTTGATGAGTCCAATCTCCAAACCTTTAATAAAGCTTTAGGCCATCCGATTAAGTTTGATACTGAAAAGTGCAAATCAAATGGATGACCCCAAGAAAAAAGTTGTCCTGGCTATTGAATTATATATTTCATAATTATACATTTGCATAACTTGTTTGAGTTTGAATTCCTTTATTGTTTCCGGGCTGTAATAAATCCCATCCATCCCCACAATCTATGGCTAATTCACAAAATAGTCCATCATCCGTTTGAAAATCAAGTCCACCCACAATCTATCCTATGAAGTGCACCTCTGCCTTTAAATCGGCCTTGGTTTATTTTATTTCCTAATAATCTATTTGATTCCCGGTTTACTGATAAGGCATGCTCATTTTCAAATTTTATAGTAATTAAATATATAATATAAATTCAATAGATCCTTTTCTAGATTTATGCTCATCTACATTTATTCTTGAACGATGTAAATATTATGAAAAATAGTACTTTTCCTTAATTAAATATATATTAGCACATTTAGTAATAGTTTTATAAAGAAATTAAAATTATTGTTAAATATAAAATATAATCAAATATGAGCTTCTAGATAATTCTGCTTGAATAAAAGTAGGAAAATATTTAATACCTAGGTTTATAAATGAAAAAGAATTTGCGATAGCCTTTAATAATTTATTTGAAAAATATTATGTGTGATCACAGAAAAAGACAATTCACATAAGATGAGTTGGATAACTCAAATATCATACCTAGAGCACCTTTAATAAAGTATTATTAAATTTCTATAATCAAGACCATTGAAAGCTTCCTCCATCTTAATACCTGAACTATCATTAACATATGAAAGTCCAAACTATTTTAAAAAAATTTCATTGGCAATATCATCTGAAGATGACCAATTAGAAGGGTTTTAGTTAGCTGTAGTGGGCAAAAACATCAAGAAGAGATAAAAATTTTAAACAGACTCTGCTAGTCACACAGTCATAAATATGATGGATAGACAATTACTAAGTAGAAATTCTTAAAAAATGCAAATAGAAAGCGATTTATTTTGATTTTTATAAGCAACTGTGTATATTATAGTGGTTTACATTGAAAATTAGAGCACATTTTATATAAATTTACGAAAAACTCTATTGTTTATACGAAAGTATTAATAATTTAAATTATTTAAATTGATTCTTATATATAAATTCATTATGCCATTAAGACATTCTCAAAGAACTATGGGTTTTATAATAATTATTAATTATAACTAATAATTTCGTTACAACCTTCCAGTTTTCTAATTATTTTATTCCAATTTCTCAAATCTAACTTCATAGTCTGTTTGGTTCCAAAAATATATTAACAATATTTTGCTCTCGACAAAGCTACATTAGCTCTTTTCTTATCTTTTAAAAATCCTTATTTATCATTTGATCGTACAAGTGATAAAATTATTATATCATTTTCTTTTCCTTAAAATGAATCTACTGTGTCTAATTCAACTTAGTCTATTAAATGTATTTAATCATTTTCTTATGTCAATGCTTCCTATTATAACTTCTTGTATATATTTTCTGTTTAAGCTCTATAAGCACTTATAATAGTAATTGGTTTTTAATTTTTAGGGAAATTCTACCCTTGTAATAGGTATTTAGTCAGAAGTATAATTGCTAAGCATTCTAAATCATTTTTTTTACTAGTTTCTTCGTTGCTTTCAGTGAATGCAGGAGCGCTGAAAAACAGTCTATTGCGCGTCTAAGATAATTTCATTTAAATCCATTCTGGGAATTACATATTATCGATTCCATTTTTCAATTAACCTTTATAAAATAATTAAGAAGTAATTTCAGCAAGGTTTGGCATTTATCTATATTAATGTATCAGCTTTATTGAATCCCTTTTCAATCCCTTTGCTAATCTTTAGAACAAAGATCTATTATAACCATAATTTATGGATTCATTTGCAATAACTATTGGGTTGAGTTATTTTATATCCCCCAGCAAAACAACTTTTTCAATTATCCGATATTTTACAAAAGGTATAAGTAAAGAAGGTTCTAAAGCAGTTGGTGCTTCATCAATAATGCACATTCTTAATTTTACCTTATCAAAGTATTTTTCCAAACAGAGTTTAGAACAACTGTTAAGGGTTGAAACTATAATATGACACTAATTAATTAATAATATTTAATACTTAATCTAAGTAATCTTATTCTATTTCTTCGTATACCTTCTTCTTCAGCTTTAATAATTAGGATAATTATTCATATAATTTTCCATATGCTTCCAATATTTTCTATTTGCGAGTTCTAAAATTTAATTCTTCTATATAACTTAATAAAGATATAAGAGTAAATTATTATTCGGTTTCTTTCAAATAATGTGTAAACTCTTACAGATCATGAATTTTAAGTTCAGATTTGATTTCAGGTGTTATGTACTTATTGTAAAATTCTCGAACATCATCCTTAGCTTTGAATTAAAAAAAATGATTTTAAGATCTTATTTCTAAGCTCTATCTTTAGATATCTTAATCACATTTTTCTGGTCTTCCAAAACGAAGTATCTTTAATTTATCCGGTTTGTTATCAAAGCAGTAAATAATAGAATTTGGTGTATCAATACTGTTCCTAATTTTTCTAATTAAATCATTGACAACACTATTTGATTTTGCTAATACCAGAATACATCCTTGAGAAATATCCTTTGATCTTATTAATAAATCCGCCATTATGGATATAATACCAATAGTGGTTTATGTCTTTCCTGTTCCTGGAGGACCTTTAATAATTGTAAACTATGATGTTAATTATTATAATTTACCCTTTTAGTAAAATCTAAAGCATTTCTGATTGCTCGTAATTAATTTTCATTAAATTGTTTTGAATATGTAAAATTATTAAAATATAATTCCTATTGAACCCTCGCCTTCTCGCAAAAATCTGAAATTTAAACTTGATTTAATTCTTAACATGGACGAAGTAATAGTTTATAAAATATGCACTGCTTAAGGTTGAAAATAGTTTCTGTTTCATTCAAGTATGCGCTCAAAGGGCTAATGGGTTAAAAATACACATTTAATCTTTAATCCCAAATTTGAGATGTATCATTAGCGTAATTTTTATAAATAGTCAAATTTTCATCAGCAGTAACTATATTTTTAAATTTAAACATATCCATCACCTATTTATTATAAGGGAATATTAATGATTCTTCGCCTTGCTTTTTTTAATAGATAGCCAAAGAAGTAAAGTATTGACTTGGTTGATTTGGATTTCTAGAATATACTGCACCAAAATATTGCTATGATTGTTTAAAAATTAAATATTGTGCAAAGTGATTATATTTCCAAAATTCATTCTTAGCAGGCTATTCATCTTTCATTATTTTATATTCCTTCAAAACATCAAACCTAACACCATCCTCTTTACTTCGATCTGCTTCTTAATTAAATATCACTTCAAAAACAAGAGGGTATTAAACACGATCCTTTAAATCGTCCAAAAATCTTGATTACTCTCTTTTCAATGAATGATAGGCTTCATTCTAAAGAAGTGGAAATATGAGGTCTTGATATTCTACTATTGATTCGAAATCTTAAAATCCATTTAAATTCTAGATTTGCTTTGTATAAGCAGCTTTGCGAAAAGCCTAATTCGTAAGCACCCAAATAGGTTAAGTATACTATTAAAACTCACTATCCATATTTTAATTTTATTATTATCCTAAAATCTAATAAATTGCAACATTATATGATTATATCTTGATTAATAGGTAAAATTTATAATATAAATTCTAATATATAAAAAATTATAAAATATAGAATTTAAGTTCTATCTAAAAAGTCAGTTAGAAAGTTCTTCTTTGGTAATAAATTTAAATTTCTTTATTATTACTAACATTGAGATTTAAATTGGCAAACAAACTTATAGCAATATCACATTTAACAAATACGTTCGCTTGAAGAAAAAATAATGTATAAAACTCAACTCTACATTTAGAATAATATAGATGTAATAAGTCAAAATTGTTAATCTTGTCTCCCCTCATTGATTAGGGCAAGAATTAGATTTTGAGTTTAAATTTCCCCTAATAATATTGGCTAGTAGAGTTCTAGTTTAAAGCAATGCTGTTGGATCTTCAAAATTTATTCTAGAACTTAAAATTATTGTGTTTCCTTAAGGATCTTTTTCTTTCTTCCTACTTAATGGTTCTATTCTCGCAGTATGTTCAGATGAATCCATCTAGATTGTATAATATAATATAATTAATATATTTGATATCATAAATTTCGCTCATTTTTTAGTGAAAAACTCACATTAAGAGAAACTGTTGAGAATTCCTGAGTTTTCTGATTTAATTAAAATTAATTGAAATATTTGGTGATTAGATTTTAAAGGGAATTAGATATTACCTAATATATGAATTGAAGGATCAAATATTTTATTAAAAATTTTGGAATGAATTATAATAATAGATTTATATCAATATAATAATCAAATTAAACTTGATTACTTAAATAACCTTTAGATTAGCATTCAAAATTTAAAATAGATTATCCAGGTATTTGATTAATGTGAATTTATGATATAGAATAGAATTTAGAAGAAAATCAATAAATTTATAAAATATTACTAGTAAGTTGGAAATTTTGAAAGTGTTTACTAGTAATAATCATTGTAAATAAATATAATAATGGGAAATGAATGCAAGTGCTTATAAGCAGATGAAGAACCAACTTAAACTCTGATCACAAAGGGTGAGAGATCAAGCGAAATACGAAAATAATTAATTAGCGAAAGAAAACTCTTAAAATCAAGGAGACATAATACTGAAACAATATATTAGTCAAACAATTATAATAATCAAAAATCATCAAAGCATTCATAGAGGAATGATGTCTAGGGTTAAAATTGTTACTTTCAAAGTATAAACTCTTATAAAGAGTTTTATTCTCTCTAAAACCCACTTTAATTGAGTTAGTCATTATCACATTAAAAGGCAGAGTAGAAAAAGCCTTTTATAAATTTACTTTATGATGGAGATTGGGTAACTCATTTGATCATAATAGTTAGGAGAAGTTCGAAATGGATTTGGAGAATAAATTTGGAAAGATGGGGCTAGGTATATAGGGGAGTGGAGAAACAATTAAGCTAATGGGTATGGTATATTCTATCATGTTGACGGAGATATTTATGAAGGATTTTGGAAGGATGATAAAGCCTAAGGGTATGGAATATATATGCATAAAGATGGATCCAGATATGAAGGGGATTGGGATTAAGATCTTTATCATGGAACTGGTTGTGAAGTGTGGGTAGATGGGAGTAAATATGACGGATAATATTCAAAAGGCACTAAAAATGGAAAAGGAATTTATCGATGGGCTGATGGGAGTGTTTATGATGGATAGTGGGAAGATAATAAGATGAATGGTTCTGGCAAATACACTTGGGCAGATGGAAGATATTATGAAGGGTAATGGAAGAATGATATGATGCATGGTACAGGAATCCAAATTTGGCCAGATGGGAGAAAATATGAAGGAAATTTTGAGTTTGATAAACGAAATGGTTTCGGTATCATGGAGTGGGGCAATGGAAAACAATACGAAGGCTATTGGTTAAACGGTAAATAGCATGGAGAAGGTAAAATAATAAGTGCAAATAAAGAAATATAAGTATGCTAATGGAGAAATGGTTAGAGACTATGATATATGATATTTTTTAGTTAATATCAAAATCTTATTAGCAACAACTAAAAATTCATCAATAAGAAAGTACTCATCTGACATAAGTGTGAATCATAATAAAGATAAAGATCTAATAATTGATAATTTCTAAGCTTATTTAAGTTTCAATCAATTATTCTATAGTACAAATAAGATCAAATAACAATATGTAAAGTTAAGAATAGATAATCCAATACTTTTTTAAAATAAGGTTTTATATCAAATTTATCAAAGTGAGTTAAAACAAAATCAATAATATTTGGATCTACAAAAGCAAAAGAAAATGAAAAATTATTTAATACAGTCTTATATAAAATAAATTCTAACGTTTTGGAAAATAAAATTAGTATCAGTTTTCTTAACCTTCAAATTATGAGAGAATTAGAATATGTAAGTGTTCTGTTTGTTATCTTTTTAATTCTAATTGTTATATATGTTAAACAGCTAAAATTTCGAATGATTAAATATATAAAGTTAATTGTAATCATTTTTAGCAAGATTTATTCTTGATCAATAATCATTAACGAAAATAAATCAATGATCTGATAATTTGTAATCAGATATTAACTCTGATTTATTGTGTGCCTAAATTATTCATATGAGTTAAACCCATATTTATTCATAATTTATATCAATTTAGAATTATAAATAACAATTTTTNTAATAGTTAGGAGAAGTTCGAAATGGATTTGGAGAATAAATTTGGAAAGATGGGGCTAGGTATATAGGGGAGTGGAGAAACAATTAAGCTAATGGGTATGGTATATTCTATCATGTTGACGGAGATATTTATGAAGGATTTTGGAAGGATGATAAAGCCTAAGGGTATGGAATATATATGCATAAAGATGGATCCAGATATGAAGGGGATTGGGATTAAGATCTTTATCATGGAACTGGTTGTGAAGTGTGGGTAGATGGGAGTAAATATGACGGATAATATTCAAAAGGCACTAAAAATGGAAAAGGAATTTATCGATGGGCTGATGGGAGTGTTTATGATGGATAGTGGGAAGATAATAAGATGAATGGTTCTGGCAAATACACTTGGGCAGATGGAAGATATTATGAAGGGTAATGGAAGAATGATATGATGCATGGTACAGGAATCCAAATTTGGCCAGATGGGAGAAAATATGAAGGAAATTTTGAGTTTGATAAACGAAATGGTTTCGGTATCATGGAGTGGGGCAATGGAAAACAATACGAAGGCTATTGGTTAAACGGTAAATAGCATGGAGAAGGTAAAATAATAAGTGCAAATAAAGAAATATAAGTATGCTAATGGAGAAATGGTTAGAGACTATGATATATGATATTTTTTAGTTAATATCAAAATCTTATTAGCAACAACTAAAAATTCATCAATAAGAAAGTACTCATCTGACATAAGTGTGAATCATAATAAAGATAAAGATCTAATAATTGATAATTTCTAAGCTTATTTAAGTTTCAATCAATTATTCTATAGTACAAATAAGATCAAATAACAATATGTAAAGTTAAGAATAGATAATCCAATACTTTTTTAAAATAAGGTTTTATATCAAATTTATCAAAGTGAGTTAAAACAAAATCAATAATATTTGGATCTACAAAAGCAAAAGAAAATGAAAAATTATTTAATACAGTCTTATATAAAATAAATTCTAACGTTTTGGAAAATAAAATTAGTATCAGTTTTCTTAACCTTCAAATTATGAGAGAATTAGAATATGTAAGTGTTCTGTTTGTTATCTTTTTAATTCTAATTGTTATATATGTTAAACAGCTAAAATTTCGAATGATTAAATATATAAAGTTAATTGTAATCATTTTTAGCAAGATTTATTCTTGATCAATAATCATTAACGAAAATAAATCAATGATCTGATAATTTGTAATCAGATATTAACTCTGATTTATTGTGTGCCTAAATTATTCATATGAGTTAAACCCATATTTATTCATAATTTATATCAATTTAGAATTATAAATAACAATTTTTATGATTGACTTAATTATTATTATTAAAAACTTTTCCTATTAAATGTTTGTTATTTTTTTTTCTGAAATTACAAATGCAGAAGTATACAGATATTTTTTGGTTTATCTCTTTATAATTATTTATTAGTGGTAAAATGTATTAAGTAAAGAAGCATTAAGAATATTTGAATGATAACCTAGTCATTTTATTTATAAAAAAAAGTGATATAAAATTATGAAACCTTTGAATAAAAATGTTTAGGTAATTCATAATTGGCATGATGCTCCAGTCAGAGTGAATCTGAAAAAGTATTGGAAAAAGAATCCTTTAGATTATGTTTAACTTCCTAAACCATATTCTCAAAAGAATAAGATAACTTACTCGAAAAGAATCATTAATGATTTCGTTGAAGTTGTCAATAATCGGCAAGAGATGGTTAATGGTATAGTTGAAACAGCCAATCATTTCCAGATGGCATCATCAAAAATATAAGATTGCTTTGCTGAGTTTTATGGTCCTGAAACACATTATCAATAAGAATTAGATAGAGTTTTAGACAATGTCAAACCGGAATTTAGATACATAAAGGCAATTGCGCATCAGAATCTAAAAAAAATACATAGTCTTTTAAGAAAACAAAAACAGGAATCACAATAGGATCTACACCCTTTAAAAATATTGACTAAGAAAGATAAATTGTTCTTACTCAGCGATCCAAAAAATGCTGATATATTGAAAAGTGATTCCAGATAATCTAGAACAGAAACCATTGCTATTACTCCTGGAGAAGATAAGTTTACATCTTAATATAAAATGATGATACAAAAGGAACATTAAAGAGAACAACAAAAATAAAATATGATTTAAATAAGATTGTTTGATAGTTAACTGAAATATTAAGGTGATGATTTCGTAAAATAGAATATATTCAAATCAAACATGAAACAAACCTACACTCCTAAAAATATTGATAAAAATTATTATGTTAATAACTTGAGACATTCTACTTAGGAATCTGTTGAATTTAAAACTCCATCTCATTTTAAAACTGCTATACACAGTCGTCAAATAAGCAAATACACCTCTCCTAATGGTTCTCAAGATCTGGTCATTGGTTATGACACTATCAAAGATGATAAACTGGGTCTTCGATAGCACTTAGGTGAAGGAATGAAAAAGAGATCTTATCGCTCCTTTAAGGATTTAATAAATCAGCCTAAAGAATTTGAAATCAAAAATGTGACAGAACTGAAAAAATACACAAGAACTACATCCTAACCAATACTCAGTCAAATATGATTTTAAAATTATCATTTTAATTTAATTTAGAATTAAGCAATACTTCTTTTCATAACATTTACAAGATATTTGAATGCTTTGATCTTATAAGTCAAAACCAAAGCGAAATGTTATAAGAAACTTATTTCATTTGCGAGATTGCCTAACATCGAAAGGAAAGAATTTGAAAGAATCTGGAATCTATAGTGGCTCATTAAAATGAAGGTCAAGAAGTTTAGAGATAGAGGATCTAATTAAATCTATCAATAATAGAATAAATAAGAAGAAAACCCCTTAGTTTAAAGATTTAATGGCTCGAACCCATCAAATTATGTTAATCAAGAATAAGCTTTATAATCATTAATAAGTCAAAAAATTAATGAAAAAATATAAATATTCTGCATATAATACAATCTATAATAAAAATATTATTATATTTTCTTACAGAATTCATCAAATTCTCATGAGAAATATAATTAAACAAAATCTTAAGCTTACACATATTCTCACTGAAATCAAAATATAGCCGTTAGGAGGGTAAAAAGATAACTAACTAACCTAAAATAGTAGCAATGTATTACAACCAATTCAAAGTGTGATATCATCATCAAAACTTCCACCTTTAAAGGAGTATAGAACAGATAGAATAAAGAGCCAAAAGTTTAAAAATTAGCAAGATCTTATCATATAAGAAATAATTTAGATTCTTGCATATATCAAAAAATGTAATTAAAGACCTCTTAATGATTTGATATTAAAGAATGTTTTGTTATTAAAGATGGAATTTTAAATTAAAACAATTATTCTTAATTTATCTTTTCTCTGAGGTTAAATATAAGTTGAAATACTTAATTTAACTTAAAGAAATGAAAAATATCCAAATTCTGCAAATGAAAATTATTAAATTAGTTTAAACATTTAATTATCAGTATATCTATTATTCATTAGGTATTCAAAGAAGTTCAACTATTATATGTACATGATTTCGCTTCTCTATTCTGATCTCTTCTATTTAATTCAGATGTACTTCTATGGCTATGATTATGGAGTATGAAATTTATCAAGATTTCTTTTAATTAATGAATAAATTTAAAACTGCGATCAAAGTATGTTTTTCTATTTAAGATGTAGTTTGGGAAAATCAGGGTGCTTAATGTAGCAGAGAAGCCATCTGTTGCAAGGTCTATAGCAACAGTACTTGCTCGAGATCACACAATAGAAGAAACCAAATCTCCATATAACAAATTATTCAAATTCAATTTTAAGCTTGGAGAATAGGATGCGGAGATGTGGATGACGTCTGTCTCAGGACATTTAAAGAATTTGAAATACCCTAAGTAATATTAAAAATGGGATAAATGGGATCCTCTCATTATATTAAAAGATGCAGAAATTGAAAATGTAATTTCTTATGAAAAGAGTATCATATGCACTAAAACTAGGATTTTTGGAGGAGAATTTATAACGTTTTGCAAAATAATGCAGTCAATTGATCCTCTGGTTGGATTGTGATAGAGAAGGTGAAAATATAGCTTTTGAAGTTCTGGAAGTTTGCAAGGCTACAAATCCTTAAATAAAAGTACATCGAGCTCATTTTTCAGCAGTTACTTACATCGATATTAAGAAAGTAGTTTATAGATCATAATTTTTAATTTTAGGCATTAGAGAATCTAAAATAGCCAGATGAGAATTTATCTAATTCTGTGCTTGCTAGACAGGAAATTGATCTAAGGATAGGAGCTTCATTTACTAGATTTCAAACTCTCCTATTGTAATAACAATTCAATTTGTCATCCATAGTAAGTTATGGTCCGTGTTAAATACCAACTTTAGGATTTGTTGTCTAAAGATAGAAAGAGATTGATTCATTTGTAAAAGAGAAGTTTTGGTTTATTTTATGTGAAGATTAAACAGGATGTGCATATAATTGGAGTAGAGGCAATATATTTGATGAAATGGTTGTTTTGTTATTATTTGAAAGATGTTTTACAGAGTAAGCATAAGTAACTGAGGTATAATAAAGAGAAGTATAAAAATGGAAACCATTTCCTTTATCAACAATTGAGTTCGAAAAATTAGCTTCAAGAAAACTTAAAATATCAGCACATAAAGCAATGGATCTAGCTGAAAAATTATATAATAGAGGTTATATTAGTTATCCAAGAACAGAAACCAATAAATTCCCACCAACTATTAACTTATAAAATATTATAAGAGATCAGACTAATCATCCAGTATGGGGATAATATGCATAAAACTTAATTAATTTCAACTATGACTAACCTAGAGCAGGAAACAAAGATGATAAGGCCCATCCTCCCATACATCCAGTTAAAATGATGTCTGAATCAGATGCCCAAACACCATAAGAATGGGATATTTATTAACTAATTACAAGACATTTCTTAGCATGTTGCTCTAAGAATGCAAAAGGGTCTGAAACTACAATTAATTTATAAGTAAAAGAGGAATCTTTTTACAAACAGGGTTTGATTATTACTGAAAAGAATTTCTTAGAAATTTATCCTTATGATGAATGGTCACAATCATAGGTTCCAAAATATACTAAAGGGGATCTAATCTAAATTAACTTGAAAGTTCAAAATGGGAAAACATCTCCTCCTAAACCATTAACTGAAGCAGAATTAATTGGAATGATGGATAAAAATGGCATTGGAACTGATGCAACAATTCATGAACATATTAATACTATATAAGAAAGAGATTATGCAATAAAAAGGGGTTAAATTATCAAACCAACAAAACTAGGGTTGGCATTAGTTGAATCCTATGAGTTACTAGGTTTTACACTACATAAACCACATTTAAGAGCATTAATGGAATAAAGAATGAATGAAGTAGCCTAGGGAGTTAAATAGAAAAATGAAATAGTCGAAGCAACAATTGATGAAATGAGTGGAATATTATAAGAATTATAATAAAAAAAAAATTTGATCTTGTCAACCTTTGGATAATATTTAGAAGCATTAAAAGATTATGATGAAAATAATGATGATGAAAATCCTTAAAATAGGGAACCCAATTAATAAAATTAATAATTATAATAACAATAATAAAGAAATAAACCATCAAAAAAGGAATAATAATAATAATAATAATAATAATAATAATAATTCAACTTTGAGTAATAATGTAATACATGTGGTACTTAGCTTGTAGAAATTAAATAAACAAATGGATCAATACTAGAGGTATGCTTACAATGTAGATAAGCTCAAGAAAAATCTTAACCTACTAATTCTTCCAATTTCCAATCAAAAACTTTCAAAACATAAACCAATAATAATATTGAAGAAACTTTCAAATGCAATCAGTGTCATAAATAAATGAAAATTAGATAATCAAAAATTAAGAATTCTTATTTTTTTGGTTGTCTAGGATATCCTTAATGTAATTAAGCGATATTCTTACCTGATTCTATCAAATCAATATAAAGGACGGAGAAAAAATGTAAAAAGTGTAATTCGATTCTATTTCAAACAGAATACTCTGAGAATTCGACTTTATAACAAAAATCTCAGTTGCTTTGTCTATTTCCTGGTTGTTCTGAAGGTTTGAAAACTGAATGGAGAAATTAAAGCAAAGAATCTTAATCAACAAATCTAAATTATTCGCAATTAAAAAAGGGTTACATTAAACAGTAAGTTTAATGCAAAAAATGCAATAGTTTTGGACATCTTGAAGATATGTGCAATAATAATGCTAAGACCATGGTTTCCTTAATAGAAACCAATTAAGAGGATAAAAAAGATAAACTCTGCCCTTAATGTGGTGTCACAGGTAGACATCCAAAAGGTTCCACCTGTCCTATGAAAAGAGTGAAGAAGAAAAATTAATGATCTCTCTTAAATTTATGTGTTTAAAATATAGCCTCATTCAATTTTATCATTAACAATATTATTGCCATTACTGGTATATCAATAACATATAAATGTTATTTATCAAATTATTCTTAAGTATACTTTTAGGCTTCTATTAAGGTAATATCAATCTTTATTCCACCTCAAATTTAATTCTAATATCTTTTTAATTTTAATTAAGAATATATTTTAAAGAAAATCGAATAAAACTTTAATATTAATTTCGCAATTGGAAGCTTTAAGTTCAAGTAGAGCAATCGAGAAATAAATTACCTTTTAATTTAACTATAAAATCTTAATAAAATTTCATTTGATTAAAACTGTAATAAATTTAATTGACTTTAAGTAGTTTTTTTTAAGCTTAAAATGATAGATGAATATGGAATTGAGAAATATAGAAATTTCAATTACTTAAGAATGTTTAAGATGAATCTGTATGCTATGGTTTTCACCTGAACTCTAAGGAATTTCAATAATATTAAGTTAGCAGAAAATAATATTTTATGCATATGCATTGCAATAAATACTTAACTTCAGATTATAACAATTTATAGTAATTTACATATTTTATCACTTGAATTATCTAATCTCAGACTTATCTTGAGATTTTGAATAAACCTATAGGGTATAAAATGACTTGCAGGGTTTTCTGTCAATCATTTATAATTTAGTTTGTCGTTTATTAATTGTGAATTGTAAATTATAGATAGCAGGCTATCTTTACGAATTTATTTTAGTTTAAGGAATGTGTGTTTTTTCATTGGTCTCAAAAACAAAATAATCTGTGTATTCAGTTTTAATTTAAAGTTTATGTTATCTTGCCTTTTGAATTCTTGAATCAAGAGGTACTCTTATTCCTTCAATGTAAATTCCACTAGGGCGCTTTGACTTGGACATGGAACTGAAACTTCGTTTTTGGAGCAAGCAATCAAATAAATTTTTTCTACCCCTTAAAGGAGTTTGCTGCATAAATTAATATATAATCCCATAAATTTTAAATACAGAAAAGGTATATTAAATGAAGTGTTAGATAATTAAATTATGAATGTGATGAAATTTGATAGGGACATCTGCTTATTATGATGAACATATCTTCGCTAGCCCTGACTAAATATATTATTTATTTTTTATTGAATTTAAAATAATATATATTTATGATAAAAATATTACTTGGATTGGTGATACTAGTCAGTGTAGTAGCTTAAGATGCAATCATCTGCAGTGGATTCATTCGAATTTTAAAGGCAGATAGATAGGATATAAATGTCAATCAAATTGAAATGAAACTTTTAGGATCCAATAATTAGTTCATTGATTATATAGAGATATCTGAAAATGGGTTCTATTCTATAGAAATTGAAGACGATGGCACTCCACTAATTGATTACATTATCTTCATTCAACCAAAAGTTAAAGGATTTGTGGCCAGTCCAAGTTAAATTAATTTAAAATTCCAATCTAAAACATTTGATGAGGCAAGCTCTTTTTGCAATAAGCAATTGAATTTCTCAATAAAGAAAGCACCTGTGGAAGAGCCAAAATAATAATAATAATAACAATAACAACAATAATAATAGGAATAATAATAACATAAGGAATAATAATCATAAAAAGAATAATAATAATAATAATAATAACAATAACAATAAGAAATAACTTAAACTTAAGAGGAAAAAATTGAATAGTAATAATAATAAATAGAAATAGATTAAAATATTGATTATATTGTTAGTAAGTCTAATGATTAAGATTATAATTAAAATTATGATGAGAAGTAAGATAATGAATAAGGAAGAGAATAAATATAACCAGATGAAATATAGGAAGAATTATTGAATGAAGATATTGATGAAAAATCATTTGATCATTTTAGATTGATTGGGTAAATAGTATTTGAGGGAGATTTCGCTTAAACAGAAAAAAATTTATATTACATTAAATCATTTAAAGTTTTTGATAATTTGGATGGTAAAATATTTAATTTAATTTCTAGAATAAGTTCAAGGAAGAACATTAAGTTTTTAAAATTACTTTGAAGTTGAAACAAATGAAGCAAAAACACTTAAATTATAATTGGTTGTTGAGAAAACTAAAGAAAAAGGAGAAAGTATCAATAAATAAATAAATTTTGAATAAAAAATTTCAAAGATTTCATTGCTCAACAGATAAATAACTGCTCAACCAGTAAGAATATGATTTATTTGTAGGTTATATTTGCTATAAAGAAAGAAACTCCCTAAAAAGAATAAAATAAGATAGGTTAAGTATTTGCACCATTATTAATTTTTGGGTTAGTTTTGGCTATGTTTAATTATGATAAAATATTAAAAAAAAAGTGATTCTATAATATGTATATTTATGTAAAAGCAAATAATAAAATTAATTGTAAAATTAAGATATAAAAATAAAATCTTCATTTATTATATAGTTTTTTGAATGTTATTTAATTTTAGTTTATTTTTTTGAATAGAAAAATATAGATCAAAATCCAAAGTTTTTGTGAGTAATTTAATTATTTGTATTATTTTAAACAGATTGCAGTGACTTGTTATCTTAATTAATTTCAACGACATGTAATTCAATACGAAAATCTTTTTAAAAGGTTTTACCAGATTTATCCTAATGTGAAAATAAGGGATACTTTGCATGCTTTATCCAGCATAAATTTATCAATCATGAGAATGCCCGTATAATCGAAGAAGTCACAATTAAACCAAGCTTGAAAGAGTTTCTCACTGCTTTGAAATTTAATTTCATGTATACCTAGAGAAAAATCCTTAATTTAAGAATTGTAAAAGAACATCACCCTATAAAACGATGTCTCTGAGTTTGAATTCAATATATGGTTCTAATTTATATTCTTTAACAGGGAATTAATTTTTAGAATTGTATTCTTTGTCTCTATTTTAAATTCGAAACCAAGGGGCACATCCTCCCAAAAATTTAACATTTGGTACTGGAATCAATCTGATTTTGACTAATTCAACTTATTTATTTGGCATATTGTCAGGAACCCACTTATTATTGAGAGCTTTTTCAAAATAAAAGATGTATCGAATTTGAGAGGGGATGGTAACACCCTTTAGAGAGATAAATAATTGATTACTTTTTTATTTTTTGTTCTTATCATGCCGTAATATCTCATGGAATCATAAGCATTGGTGAATTGTTTTGCATAAAGCATATAGCAACATATCATGACACCAGTACGACCCTTAAACGGTAACAATATTTATTACTTTTCCTGCTTTGCAATGAATTCCAGCAACATTTTTTTCATGAGTCTTTAGCCAATTATCCTAATTATTTTATAAGAATAAATACCAAATCAAGACAGAATTCGTATATGAGAGAGAATGTAGGTGCTTGATGATCTTGGAATGGAAACTCTGCTACTTAATTAAAATTAGAATGATCATATTTTCTTTCTTCACAAAGATTGTATACTTTATAATGTCCTGGATGTACTGAATCAAAAAATCTTCTGACATCCTACATTGAATTTCTGTATATAGATTCGATATTTTCGGCAGGGAAACCCATGGCTATAATCTTTTCAGTGATATCTAATATAATGATTATGGAATACATGTCAAATCTAAATTAAACCCATTATAATTGTATCTCCTTTTCTATTTGGAAACCAATAATTTGATTGGATTAGGAACACTCGTTATATTTTAATGATTTCCACTAATATGCTGGTTGACTTGGTTGACTTCCTATCTCAATTATTGAGTGCTAACTCTTTCCCTTAAATTAATTTCCTATCCTTTTTAATCATCTTAACTAATCCCATTCGCCAATGCAGCAAAATCAACTTACGACATATAAAAATTGTAATTTTCAGGATCACATTCATCCCCTGAATCTGAGAACATTTCTTCTTCTCCAGATGATATCTCATTCTATTTTGCCCTCGATTTTAATTCTTCTTATGTTGCACTATGCATTATTAATATTATAAATGTCTCTGGTTAAGTGTATTACTATATTTATATTCAATATCCTATAAAATCAACCGTTTGTAGTTTCTCCAATACCGCAATTCAAACATTCATAAAATTTGGTTGAAGGTTCATCGCTTGCCCTGGTTTAAATCTCATTGACCAATTTCATTTATTTTTATCCACAGTTATTGCATAAAGCCAAGGCTACATCCTTATTGATGGCTTAAGCTATATATTTGTTATGGTTCATATCATTTGCTGATAATATTTCTCTACCTACTCCACCTGCAATGGCCAATCTCTATGAAAATTTATGTCTATTTAAATACTGTTGAACTAGTCCAATCCTCTGATCTCAATTGAGCGGCTGTTGGTATATCAATCAATCCTGATAACAATCTATTACGAACACTTCCATCCCTATCGTTTTATAGGTATTTTAGAATCTCTCTGATGGCAGTTTAGTATTGTTTTTCTTTTTTCTAAAACTTTTAGTTAATCTGACATAAACTTAAATGATATACTTCTTTTTCTAATTTCTTGCAAAATTTAATGCTTTCCTATTAGGGAGTAGTTTCATTCGTGAATTTCTGAATTAAAGTCTATAACACCTTAAGTCTTGTAGGATCAAAATCTTAAGGAAGCTCCAATTAAATAATAAAATCATTTTAATTAATTGGAATTGCATTTGGAACATCCACAGATTACCTTCTGTCTGGGGTTACAGAAATCGGTTATACTTTGTCTTAGGGTACAGGCTTCTCATTTTTCTTCAATTTTTATAATGTTTCAGTGGCTTTCTCTTTGATTTACTTAAGATCTAACTCACTTAAAGAAGGGTCTCCAACTACTTCAATTTGAGTGAGTGTCCTTACAGTTTTGAGGATTTTTGAGTCAGCAAGGGCCCTAAATATATTATAAACATACTTCTGATCAATTTTGGGATCCTCTAGTTGATTTAGAATACTAATGACTTATTTTTTTCCAAACTTTTTGTATCCATGAAGCTTCTTTCTCATATCTTGCAAATCTATTTGATCCATTAAGTAATTTTTTTTATATTATTATTATTATGAATAATATCTGTATTTTATAGGATTAAATAAAAGTAGTATATATTTAATTCAGAAATAAATGAATGAATACGATCATATCTAAATATTTACTGAACTTATACTTCAAATAATCAACCTAGAACCCTTTAAAATATTGAATCTCGAAATATATACAATTACAATAAATATACACGCGGCATGTATTTGTTATAAAATATTTGAAAATAATTAAGCAAATTATATCTCTTTCTAATTCTTTTTAATCAATTAGATGTCACTTCAGAATCCAAATAAGTGGCAAATATCAAAATATCCTTATATTATGAATTCTTTATTTTAATAAGAAATTTGAATTAGAGCTGCAATTCAAAGTTATAACACTTAAATATCTTTAATTTTATATATTTTATGTCTATAAGTTGGATATCTAGATTGAAGTTTCTACAGATGAATAATTGTTATAATCCTTAAGAAGATCAAAGTTTTTCATTATTCCTTATTAAATATTTTGAACGAACTAGAAACTCGTTAGGGATGATAAAAATGATTAAAGAGTTCCTTCTTTGTGTGAGGATAGCATATATAAGTTGGTAGTGCACTTCTTGGAATAAAATAGTAAACATGTTGATAATTTAGTTTGTAGTTGATGAAAAATAAAAAAGTAGAAAAATAGAATAGAGATGCTGTTGGATATGTGTGCATGATAATTAATATTAATCAGGCGGTGACAACGTCTCCTCTGACTGTTTCAGCAACAGCGACAGTTTAATCAACCAAGGCAGCAGCAACACCAGCTGAGGTCAAAGCACTTCTTAAATGTCCAATGACTGTAGTGAATTGGGCGTTTGTGACTCCCATGTTGGCATGGACTTCTTTTAAGTTCTAATTAATTATAAATGAAATTGTTTACTCTTCCTCCCCAAGCCTTTGGTCCTCCGAGGGCAGCACATAAAAATGAAGCTGTCTTGTTTGTTTAGTCAGCCATATTGATTCCATTGAAGAAATTGGCAACTGTTGGATCAGCTTGGATGTTGGCATAGAATTATGTTGTGACTGCTGTGACGGCGGCTTCTCCTCCTAATTATTCAAAAAGTGTCATGTTGATTTTCTGGATGTTTTTATTAATCAAAATACAGGATATATTGGTTAGTTTTGAACCTAAGAAAATTAAAGATATTTTCTGGTATAAATTAATGAGCCATGTTGCGTATTATAAATATAATTTAGTAATTAAATTAAATAGTTTATTTGCTGGTTTATAATATCAACAAGCTTAATCAGAATTATCTTTGAGATTTTTCATTTTTTCATCTCCAAACAATCTACCTGAACTTTGCATAAGTGGATCCATCATTTCAGATTCAAAAAATCCTACTTTTTCAATTTCATTTTCTTTATCTGGTGATGGTGGCGGTAAATATTAATAGATACTGAGTTCATTTTCAGGTACCTTATAAGTAGTGAAACTGAATTGACTTTTTTTTGGACATGATTCCAACCTCATAGAACACATATTCGATATTAATTGTTAAGTTTCTTATAAGCGAGCTTCTGGTTGCAATTCCATAGAATGTAGATTGATTATCAATTATTATGAACCTAACAAAATTGATTATTATCGTTTATTGTGTCTCTATTTCAGAATTAATCTGGGATCATTCTTTCTATGATTTAATCTTTTCAAAAGACTCCTCTGACTTTCTAATAGCTTTTAATCTTCACTAAACCATCCATGTTTCAAAGCTGTATCAGGATGAGGTCTCTAAGCCCAATCTTTTTACAGTAATTGGGTAATGAGATCTCTGGCTTCATCTGAAACTCCTTCAAATAACTCAACAGGGAAAGTTATCTTAGCCTCTTTTATGTTATCTATTAAGTCATTTAGACTAATATGATATATCAATATGTACTAATCAGCATTGAATGGCAATTATCCAGATAACATGGAATATAATATGCAACCTGCACTCCACATATCAACCATCTAACTAATAGTTTATCAATGAGCTATTTACTTATATCCTTCTCCTGTGAAGATTTCAGGAGCAGAAAATGCCACTGTCCCAGTATATGTCCACATTTCAATTTTCTCTCTGTCTTTTAAATCTCCAAATTCCTTATATGAATCACTGAATTTGCTAACATTAAAGTCTGTCACTTTGATTTACTTTTTATCTAATAACAAAATGATTAGTACTATTTACACAAAGAATATTGTTTGGTTTAAGATCTCTATGACAAATACCATTTCTATGCATATATTCAATTGCACTTAACAACTATTTAAAGATTTCTTTAGCATCTTCTTCACAATAATGGCCCAAAGAATTTAAAACTTCAAACATTTCCTATCCTTCAATCAGTTCCATTACTACATAAGCTTTACTTTCAGATTGAAAGCTATTATCAAAATCAACATATAATTTATGCACTTTAACAATGTTTTCATGTGACAACTTAATTAGTCTTTTAAACTCAATGATCATCTAAAAGTTTAATCTACTGTTACATTTCTAATTATTTCATCATCCTGAGTCTAAACAATCTTCACGGCATATAGATTTTAAGTCGTCTTATGAATAATCTTTTTAACCAATCCTAAACAGCCTTCTCCCAATACTTCTAACATGTCATAATTCTCATGAAATTCTTTAGTATTGGGACAGATGAATTCAGAATCAATTGAATTTATTTCTATGTCTAATTTTTTGCCTAAATCTTGCAATTCTTCTATTTGATCCTTTGTAATAGGTAGAGGCTTATTTAAAATGTGCAAAATCTAACCTGCATGTTATTTAAATGCAATACCCCTTAAATTATTTTTGATACGATCTCTGTTATTTTATACTTATTATTATTGAGGGTCTTCCTATTGTGTTTTAAGAAAGGTAAATCTACCACTCGGTTTCTTTTCCATTCTTGCTCTGAGAATTTCATTTGGAGAGTCTCGTTTTTGGGTGGAAGGACTCAAATGCATAAATTAATAATTATAATTTGATTATAGCTTAACACTCAAGTATTATTATAGCGTAAAATTCGACTAAGTAGAGAGTATTGTATTGATCTATGTGATTGAAGAATCTACAAATAATCAAGAATTTAATTTATGAGTAAAATCAATAATTAAAGTGTGCAATGAAGGTTGATGATATCAACAAAACTATTATAAAGGATAGTGAGATGAGTGAAGAAGAGGAGTAAGAGGAAGGGCCAAAGTAATCTAAATTGAAATATGGAATAATGATTCTTGGGTGTTTGTTAATGTTTGGAAATAATTATTCATTTGATAATCCACAAGCACTTCAAAAATAATTAACATAAGATTTAGGTATATCCATCTCAAATTATAACTTGCTATATTCTGCATTCTCGTTTCCAAATATATTTTTAACTCTCATTGGAGGATTTATTATAGATTTTTTAGGTAAAAATTCAATTTCAATTTAAGGTGTAAGATTTGGGATCATTCTATTCAGTGCAATAGTAGCAGTGGCCTAAATGATTGTAGCATTGGGAGGAGCATTTAAAATCTTCTGGATCATGTTAGTGGGAAGAATCATATTTGGATGTGCATCTGAAAATTTAGTAATTGCTTAAGCAGCTATAATCTGTAAGTGGTTTAGAGGAAAAGAACTATCAACTGTATTTATGACTTCTAATTCTCATTTTAGGCTATTGGTTACATCATGACGGTACCTGAATTAGCTAGTGCTGCTAACTCTTTCCTTACTCCTATACTCTACGAAAAATATGAGGGATTAGCCTATCCACTATTTTTTAGTGTGATTTTGTGTGTCTTTTCATTTGTATGTGCCGTAGTCTTGTGCATATTGGATAAAAAGAATGAAATGCATAAATTGAGTATTTATTTATAATAAGAAGAGGGATAATTTATAATTGAAGAATAAGAAGAGGAAGAAGGTGAAGATAATGAATAGAAGGATGATATAGAGAGAGTATCATTTAAAGATATTAAAAATTTAAATGGAACATTTTGGATTCTAGTTTTGATATGCACCTTAACATTAGGATCTTATACTCCATTTTTGGATGATGCCAATGATTTTTTATAGGAAAAGTTTGAATTCACGAATGTTTAAGCAGGAAAAGTGTTGACTATCCCTTATTTAATGGCAGGTATTTTTGAGACAAATTAGCAATCACCAGTCCCTTTTTTGGGCCATACATAGACAAAGTTGGAAAAAGAAGAAAATTCATTTTAATAACCTGTGTTCTATTCACTTTAACTCATTTTGCATTTGGAATAATGCCAAATGGTTAACATGGATAACCTAATTGGTTTTCAGTTATACCTTTGATGTTTTTGGGAACCAGTTATGCTCTCTATTCATGTGTGTTAATTCCATCTATTTAATACATTGTTGCAGAGAAGGTGGTTGGGACAGCGTTTGGTTTATTAGGAATGTTTGAGAGTATTGCATTGGCCTTCTTTCCAATTTTAGCAGGATATATTGTTGAGAAATCTGAGGATCCTTAATAAGGATATTCAAATGTAGGATTCTTCTTTTCAGGAATTTCGATATTTGGAATCATATTTACACTCTCCTTATATATTTTCGATAAGAAGAGTTCAATGGTTCTAGATTTTGTAAATCCTGAGGATCCTTCAGATTTGGAGAAGAAAATGCTTAGGACAACTAAATCTGATTCAAGCAGTGATGAAGAGGATGATGAGTCAAGTGATGAAGATTCTGAGGATGATTAATTTAAGAAGAAGAAAGTGTGTAAGAGTTACACAAGTTTAAAGAGCAAGAAGTTATTAACATCTCCTTTATTGAGAACTAGAAGTTTATACAATTGAATTTAGGTTATTCATATATTTGATGTTCATCCATTTTATTAATATAAATAATGTTTTTTATTATAGCGTTTTTGTTTTTATATTTATAGCTATCTGTATATTCCAAGAATTTGAGAGATAACTTATTAGTGGGATAAACTAAGAGATTCAATATGGAGAAGAACGATGAAAATATGATCTATGTTCATTTGATACCGCATTCTCATGATGATGTTGGTTGGCTCAAGACCTATGAAGAATATTACTATGGTTTAAATAATAAAGTGTAATGGGCTGGAATACAATACACTATTGATAGTGTTGTCAGATCATTATTCTTTGACTAGACCAAGAAGTTTATCCAAGTAGAAATTGCTTTTTTTAAATTGTAATTTGTTTAATAAATAATAAAGATGGTGGGATGAATAAAATGATGATGTGAGAAATAAGACTAAATATTTAATTAAAAATGGATAATTGGAATTTATAAATGCGGGATGGTGTATGAATGATGAGGCTACTGCATATTATGAAGATATTGTGGATTAAATGACTTTGGGACATCAATGGATCTTAGATCGTTTCTAAATTAAACCAACTATAGGGTGGTAATTAGATCCTTTTGGTCACACTTCTGCATAGGCTGAGTTGTTCGCTTTGATGGGTTTTGATGGTTGGTTTTTCAGTCGTATAGACTATTAAGATATGAATTTAAGGAAATAGCAATAGAAGATGGAGTTGATATCTATGGTTGATCAATACTCCATATTCACTCACATCAATTATAATCATTATGAAGCACCTCCTCAGTTTAGTTTTGATTCTTTGCATTCTCAAGATCCAATTGTGGACAATTAAAATAGCATACATTACAATGTAGATAAAAGGGCAGAAGTATTAGTGGATTATTTCAAATCACAAAACTAAAGTTATTTAGGCAACGTGTTAATGCATACTTTAGGTACAGATTTTGGTTGGTCTAATGCACCTATGTATTATACAAACATAGATCGTTTGATCAAATACATCAATGCCAATAAGTAAAAGTACAATATGCAAATTATGTATTCCACTCCATCTTAATATTTATCAGCTATTAACTAACTAAATATATAATATCCAACTAAATAAGATGATTTTATGCCATATGCTGATAGACCTAATGCTTATTGGACAGGATATTTCACAAGTAGAGTATCCTTAAAATTATTAATTAAATAATTAGGAAGATTTGCTTAAATTTAAAGAAGATTTGTATCAACTTTGCTATTAAATGGCAAATCATAGTATATATAAGTGAATCGCTAATAAATACTAGATGCTTAGAACATCTTGGATCAGGCTTTGGCAACCAACTAACATCATGATGCAGTCACAGGAACAGCAAAACAACATGTTACAAATGATTATATTGAAATGTTATGCAATGGACATCACAAAATTAGTCAATAACTCTATTAAATAATGAAAGAACTTATTGAGTTTGAAATACAAGATGAAACTTCTCAAATTGTGTTTGAGGAATGCAATTTTAATTAAACTGCTTCATCGTGTAAACTTGTCTATGAATAATTAAAGAATGGAAATGCTGTTTAGATGAATATGATTGAAAATAAGAACCTTCCATTGTAAGATTACTTAAGAATTAAAGTACCTAAATTGAATCTGACCATCTATGATTAAACAAACAAAGTCATAATTGGTGATGTTATTTGTATTAATGATGACGATGATTGTGAACTGTATTTTATTTACAATCGAAATCCAAAATAAATCATTGAATATTTTAGAATATTACCAAATCAAGATAACCCAAGTGCAATTGTAGTTCCACCTCAAACAGAATCCTTAACATACAATAGTCCTTCAGATTACATTTCACTTAACAACTCTAGGCAATTCAAATTAACTTACAAATATTACATCTCATCAGAAGATAAATAATATAGTGGGGCTTATATCTTTAGAACTAATGATGAAGCTCTAGAATTTGGAGAAATAAAAACACATAGATTGTACATTGGTAAGCTAATTCAAATTTTCTATATCGAGAGAGACTAAGTACAAACTAAAATTAAGAAATTAGAACACATTGAAGATACATATGAAATTGAATCATACATAACTGATATACCAATACAAAAAGAAAATGGTAAAGAAGTGGTAATGATAATCTCAACAGACATTCAAAATGATGATACTTTTTATACAGATAGCAGTGGAATGAGATTGTAGTAAAGGAAATTAAATTATAGACCTACTTGGGATTTGGAAGTTCATCAACCAATAGCAGGAAACTTTTATCCAGTTAATGGAATCTTGCAAATCTAGAATAATCAAACAGGAGAAGTTGCAGCTATTATTAATGATAGATCATAAGGAGGCACAAGTTTACATACAGGAGAATTGGAATTGATGATTCATAGAAGATTATTAAAGGATGATGCAAGAGGAGTTGGAGAACCCTTAAATGAGAAATAATCTAACGGTAGAGGATTAAATCAAAACTTTTAGCATACATTAACATTCTTTAATAAAAATAATTAACCTAATCAAGCTAGATATTTTTAATATCTTTAAGATTTAAAGCCAATCATTATTTTCAGTAATTGTAAAAATGAATTATTCCCTCAACCTGTGAAGTCATTTAAAATTACATATCCAAGAGATTTAGAGAAAATGTTTACACCAAATAGTTAAGCTATAACAAAGTTTTATCTATAAACCATTGGTGTTGAATAATATATTTATCGAATACATAACTTGGGAGAGGAAGGAACATTTTAAGTACCAGAGTTAGATTAATTTTAAATTGTAGAAACCACTCTGACAGCTAATCAGTTGTGGACTGAATGGTTGGAGAAGAAATTGAGTAATTTTTCATTTTATTGTAGATTGGAAAGTATAGGAAGGACTAAAATAGCCTATAGACTAGCCAGTGCACAATGAAACTGTGTTACCTTAACAACTAAGAACTTTCAGACTTACAAAAAAGAGTAATTCTAATTAATGAGTATATAATAAAATTATAATGGCATTTGTGTTTAGAAGTGAAGTTAAACCAGCATACATTCCAAAGACTGAAAATGTAGGGCCTGGATAATATGAGCACAATTAGGAATCAGAATCAAAACAAAATCTATATCCATTTAATTCAACGGTCCAAAAATCCACTAACCAAAATTAAATAATCAAAGGACCAGGACCTGGGACTTATAATTTATAAGGATCTTTTGAAACTTAGAAAGTTATCTTCTCATCAGATGAATAAGAAATCAAGATTTTGGAAGTGCCTAAACCAATATCTGTATTCAGGTCAAGTACATTGAGATTTAAAGAGGAGCGATAAAAGGGACCAGGGTATTTCAACTTAATCTACTATTTTAGTCCTAATCAATATTTTATAGAAGAACGCAAAAGGTTCTATTAAGCAAATTAACCAAATCCGAAACCTAAAATAAATGTAATGGAATAGTTAGTGAAAGAAAACAAATATATTAGTATACCATCCATACCATCTAATTATCACCTTGGATACTAAGAAAACTCAGGTTAAACCTTCTCTAATTCCTAGAATCAATTTTAGAACAAAGTAATGCTTTGAATTTGTCTTAAGAAGTTGGACCAGGCTCTTATGATGTCAAAAGTAGTTTCAGCAACCAAAAACCAAGAGGAGTTTCTTGGCATAAATCCACTTCAAAGCAAAAACACATTGATACTGAGAACAAAGTTGGACCTGGCTATTATGATATTATTACTAATTCTTAGCCAATGTATCAAATGAAACCAACAACTTCCTTTAGTTCTAAATTAAGCAGATAATCAGAATTGAAATTTTTAAATCCTAAAAACAACTAAGGATACATCAAAAAAGGATTAGATAATAAATCATATAGTTTTCATCTTTCAACTAATTCTGGTACTACAGCTAGAGATTCAGACCTTGAATCGGAATATAGTTATATTGAAGTATCATACACATCAATAATAGGATGCGACTCCAGGACCTGGTTACTATGAAAATGCTTCAACCCAATAGACAATATCCTAAAATCTTAAATAATCTTAGATCAAAGGTTCAATAAGATCGAGGGCTAAAAGATTTCTAGCTAAATCAAATTAAATACCTGGTCCAGGAAGCTACAAAGTAGATGTAGTATAGCATAAACACTAAGTTACTTAACCACCCTTTTTGATAGGCAGAACTCGTTTCGATGATAAAACATCAGAGACTCCTCCTCCCGGAAATTATAAAGTAATCAATACAATGGAAGAAAGATTAATATCAAGATTGATAAAGGCACCTTTAGGGTAGTTTGGAGCAAACGATAATAGATTCAAGGATCCAAAGATGGATGTACCTGGACCTGGTACATATGAAATAATGGATGAAGATAGAAGAAATAAATATAAAAACGGATTGAAAGGAACAGCAAGCTTTTTAAGTCATATCCCAAAAATTTAAGAGTTGATTATTGCAGATAGGAATCTTTCACCTGTGTCATATCAGGTTGACTAACATACAATAGAAAAAAGAATAGTCAAGACAGAAGAGGATAATCCGAAATTAGCTGTAGTGAAGCCTCCTTTTGGTGTAGCGGAGGAGAGATGGAAAATCAAAGAGGAAAGTGAAGAAGATGATGATGAACCTATATATATGAATAAATCGTAGATTAATTCATTTAATTTATTCAAAAAGAGGAAAAAAGATTAGCCTCCTTTTTTGACTAAGGTTTTTAATTTGTTAATTTATTATAATAGGAGGAAAGATTCGCTTTCAGTGTGCCAAAAGAGTTTCAACCAGGACCATCAGATTATGCGGATGGAACTTTCCCCCATTGGAATAAGAGAACTTTTAATCTCTTATTCGCAGAAATTTGAAAATAATTTAATTATTATGCTTAATTTCTTTTAATCGATTTGCTGCTTTTCCAATCGTGAGAAGCCTGACAAAGCCAACAGACCTATCTAAAAACCAGCTCAAGCTATGTCTATTTAACCTGTAATAACCGAGAACACGTAGAGTCAAGTCTTAGAAAATGATATCATAGAAACGGATTAATACCTTCAATTAGACAACCAATACTATATTGAATAACTGGAGTATATATACATTCTTATTTCATCAGTTTCCAATCCTCTAGTGATATTCCATCTACTCAACAGCCTTCTGACTTCATGTTGTAGGAAGAAGGAATAAACTACTAACCTATGCAAGAAGAAATTGACCAAAGTGCCAAAAAGGAGCTAACTGCAACTAGAAAAGTATAATTCATTTCTATTTCTACTAGAAAAGAGTACTCAAACTTTGGGACGCCACTGAAGATGCTCAATTACGCATCCAGTATGAAAAACACAATGGGAAATGGAATGAAATTGCTAAGCATATGCCTGGAAGAAATGTCTCTTAATGTTGTTAAAGATGGAGAAGATTGCAACCAGTCAAGATTGTATTATATTGTATATATTTATAGATTAAAAGAAAATAATGGACTTAAGTAGAAGATGAAAAAATCCTTGAATTAGTCTAATAACATGGAAAAAATTGGAAATTGATCGCTTTACGTAAAAATTAATTCAACTATAGTGCCTTAGACTTTCCGGGTATTTTGAGTAAACAAATAAGAGAACGTTATATAAATAAAATCGATCCTGAAATTAATACTGGACCTTGGACTGAAGCTGAAGATGCAACCATCATCAAATTGTATTAGGAATATGGAGGAAAATGGAGTCTAATTTCATCCCATCTGAAAGGGAGGCCTGTATGTTTATAAATTAATCTCTAGGAAAATATGGTCAAAAATCGATTCTACTGTTATATCAGAAGAGTTCATCTTGGTGTTTAAAATCCATACTAGATTGTTTATCATGAGAATTCTGACAGTGAACAAGAAAATTCTAACGATGAAATGGAATTTGAATGAAATATTTCTAACCATAATTACATTACATTTAATTTCTTTTAATATGGGGGTTTGTTATTTTATAAAACTTTTTACATTTTTTAATAATTTTACATTGAAATTATTTCTTGAATAAAAAAATGATTTTGTTAATGTTTTTTATTACACTTTATAACCAAATGCAATTTTCTCCAAAATATTATAATAACTATTTATAGTGAGTATATTATTTATTCAATATCGCTCTTTTCACATAGACATTGTTTATTTTAATGTATTTTAGAATAAGTGAATGACAAAAAATTGAAAATAGTTTAATTAAAATGGATTATTAATCATAAAAATTGGATAGAGAGAAATGTGGCAAGGATTCAAGAATTCTTAGTATCTTGGAAACTGGTGGTATGATATTAAGATCTTAAATTAGAATCAATACTACTTTCTACTTGTTTGTGGAAGTTCAGCCATATTAATAAGTAATAGGAAAGAATATTGCTAATAACTAATAAGAACATTTACAATATAACTCCTTAAAGTACACTTGTAAACTTCTTTTCAAAAGTTGTTTCAAGTGTCAGGGTGAAGAGGTATGACTGTTGAATAAAATCACTTTAGAAAAATTGCAATATAATATGTAGCAGGAGTCACAATAAGTAAATGTGGGTTTGAATTTGTTATACATGTACCAGATGAATATGATTACAGATACTCATCATTAGATTTGTAAGAGATTGAATATCTAAAGTAGTCGAGAAAAAATATTGTCTACTCTCTCTGACGTTTATTAAAAGCTTTTAAAAAAGAGTTTAGCAATTTATCTTACTGATGATCTTACGCTGATTCCTTATACTACAACGAAGGTGGATGCTAAGAAAGGAATTTGCAGAATGCATGGCCATCCGATCAATATTGATCCATAAACTCTATCCAATTTTGATTTTTCAACATTAAAGGCGCCTGAAGAAAATTAAAAGTAGCCATCAATCAGGAAAAACTACGATTACTCTCAACATTACAATTTGCTTAAATATTTATATTAAGGGATGTTAGGATAAGTGATCCTAGTTTAACACATAAAATAAGAAAAATATTATGTCTTCAAATTAATGTAAAAGCAGGATGTAATTACTACTGATCATTTAAATCATGCCTAGATAGAGAGGAAACTTTTGGAGATATTTGATCATCCTTTTATAATAAAATTAGTATAAGCATTTGAGACAGATGATTAATTAGTTTTTGTGTTGCCATTCTATTAAGGAGGTGACCTTTATACTCATTTAAAGAAGGAGACAAGATTAAAGGAAGAAAGAGTTAAATTCATTGTTGCATAATTATTATTGGCATTGGGTTATGTGCATGATCGTGATTATTTGTATCGGGATTTGAAACCTGAAAATATTCTTATGGATTCTAATGGATATGTAGTATTAACAGATTTGGGATTGTGCAAATAATTGCCAAATAATCATCTTTCCTATAGTTTTACTGGCTCTGCTGAATACATTGCTCCTGAGATGATCACTGCTACAGGTTACAATAGAATGATTGATTGGTGGATGTTAGGAATATTGGCATATGAACTAATATTTGGAATCACTCCGTTTTATTGTGATAATCAGAGTTAGTTATTTGAGTCAATCCAAGAAAGAGAAGTGAGATTTTCTACTAACATTTCAATCTCTATTGAATGCAAAGATTTTATAACAAACCTTTTAAAAAAGGATCCAAAAGAAAGATTGGGATATAAAAGAGATTTCTTGGATTTATAACTACACCAGTGGTTTAAAGATGTTGATTTCAGAGAACTAATCAGAAAAACAAATTAAACTTGGAAGTTAAATTTGAATGATCCCTTAGATCTCAGGTTTTTCGAAACTGAAGATTTAAATTTAGGTATAATAATTTGAATATCATATCATAGAATCTTTGAATGCTTAATAACAAGACAAAGCACTCATCTAAAAGTTTAATTAAGAATTTCAAAACGTTGAATTCAATCTATGATATTTATGTTTTATTTATGTATATTGATTTCAAATTGAAATTCATTTATCAAATATTAGATAACTTTTATCTGAGATTCAAAATAAAAGCATGAAAACACTTCCATCTTTTCAACATATATATTATAAAATTCATTTAATTTTCTTGACTATTCACTCATAAACCTAATCTTAAGATAGCAATTTCTTGAATGTTTTGTTTCCTATCTATTTTTCTGATGTTCCTGGACTAACTGGTCTAAAATAATATCAGCATAATAATATTACATTTCTTTTTTAAGGATTGCATTCACCATTAGAGTTGCATTTCTTTATGTCTATCTTCTAACAAACTAACTTTTTTAATCATTGTTTATTTCTGCTTAAAATTTAATCTAATCAGTCTCTTTGGTTAAGAAACTTAAACTGGATAATCTTCTTAATTATGGTCTTTTTTCATTTACTTATATATTTAAGTTTTCATATTAGAGTTTGTCAAATTTATTCCTTTCTTCTTACATAATTTTAAAATCGTTGTGGTCTCTATTGTATTTAACTTCTTAATTTTTTACAATAGACAATCTTTTTGAAACTTTATTAAGGATTCCTCTCATTGAAGACATCTTATCAAACTCTTCCTTTTTACGTTTCTATTCTCGAATATAAATTATTTAATCTAGTAAAGCCTTTCTTTGCATTTGATTTTCTAAAAATTTTAATGCTTTTGAAACCTATAGAGGATCAAAAGGATTTTTCAATTCTTAAATGGCTTAATTCAACATATCTTTATTTCTTTTTTGTTTAAGTAGATGTATTTTTTGAGAACAATTAAATTTAGTTTCAGAAGTAGGAGTAAGCGATTTTTACATATTAATTTTATAATGAATTAACAAAAGCCTCCATCAAACTCAACGAAAAAAATAGATTAATCTGTTTCAACAATTACTAGGAAATCACAATCAGCATCAAGAAAAGATTCATCATTTTAATAAGCTGCTGTCAGATAAGTCTTAGTTGGTGGGCAACCAGGAGTAATATAAAATTTAAAATTGCAAAGGATGGGTTATGGTGTTATGCTTAAGATTAGCCTTCAACAAGTCTTCCTAGTATAAAGGAAATTGACTCACAGATGAATTAAAAGTTTAAGTAAATTGAATCCAATATTGAATCAGAAATAGTTGAAACTTTAAGATAATAATGTCATTAATTAGGTTTAGATTTGGAGAATGTGAATGTTTAGAATTAAAATTTAAAGATTGACATTGCTTAGTAAAATAAATACATAGATTAATAAACAAAAAAGCTTGAAACAGCAATGAAGGAAATTGAAAATTTAAGGAATGTTAAAGCATCTCTTTAATCTTAATGTGATACAATTAAAGATCTATATAATAAAACTAAAAGGGATTTAGCAGGAGTGACTTAAGATTTAGAATAAGAAAGGAGAGAAAATGAAGAAATGACTCAATAGATAGCAAAATTATAAGGATTATATTAAGAGATGTAAAAGGCAAATAAAGCAGAAGTTGATAATCTTAAAGAGCGAGTAGAAGAATTGGAAGAAGAGAATGAGGAATTTAAAAGAAAGTTATAGATAAAAGGTGAAATAGATAAGAGATTGGATTAGGAAAGTATGGAATGATTATTAATAGGAACTATCCAATAGAATTAATAGAAGTTAAATTAGGTATCTGAAAATGAGAGGAAACTGGAAAGAATGGGTAAGCTATTGGAAGAAAATGCAACTTTAAGTGAAAGACTCGGAGAGAGTGAAACATTAAGAAGAAAATTTATGGAGAAAAATAATCAATATGAGAAAGAAATTAAAATCGTAATCCCTTAAATTTATATAAATTTAGCTTGTAGAAAGTAAATTAGAAGTAGAAAAACAAATGGTAGCATTAAAAAAAAGAATAAATGATTTATAAGTAATGAAATCAACTAATCAAAAAATATTGGAAGATAAAATCAATAAATTATAAGAGTAATGTGCTTAATAGCAAAAATAAATTGAAAAATTGAGTCAATAATCAAAAAGGAACTAAACTTAATAAATTCATCATCAGCAAAACTAAGAGGAGGAAGCCTCAGATTATGAAGATGTTGAATCCAAACCATAACTCTTTGGAGCTTGATTAAAAGAATCTTATTTTTATAAATATAATTATGTTATCATCGAAGGAATATTAAAGATTTACACAAACTCAGCTATCTGAAGATCAATAAAATTTAGATACTAGTGCATATTTGGAATCACCATTATGCAGCAATAATCGATAGAGTATTAGAAATGTCTAAATTAGAGAGGTTTACTTTTACTATTGAAAACTCTGTTTTGAAGTCTTAAATTGACAATCAACCCAAATCTTAATCCTAAAATAAATATTCTTTACCTGCCCATGAGAACATCTAACTCCCCTTTAAAAAATCTTACATTCTCCAAGGAGCACTCTCAAATCGAATACTTAGAATGAAATAAAAAAATAAACTATAAAAGAGTCAAAGCCAAATTTAAGCCATGAAGTTTCCGTAGTTTAATAATAAAATTCGAAGACGAAGTGGTTGTGAACTCCTTAGTGACAAATAAGTAACCACATTTCACATTATTAGGTTAGACTAGCCACTCTGTATCCAATTACTTATATAGCATTTCATTAATAATAGAAGGAAACTAAAAGAAATGAATTGAGAAAGAAAACTATCTTTAAAAGAATGTCAAGTATTTTAATTAAACATTCAAATAATTTAAAATCTCAAACTAATTTGGGAATTTCTTAATAGAAAATTATAGACGAGATTCCTACCAATTTGGATGAGAAATCATCCCATAATATTCTTAATTAGTTTTAAAAATAAATTGGATGCTTAAAAGAATCTTAAGACTTGTTATAAAATATGGAGAATTCAGAAAAACTCTTACTTTTATAAGAAGAACTTAAAAGATATTCTTAATCTTTAAATAATTCACCTGTTATTAAAAGAAATTCAAAGAAATAATCAACAGAAAAATTTTTTGATTCTTAAAAAGTTGTCTTAGATATAAGTAAGAAATAACGGAAAACTTTTACTTCTGTTCAAAATTACATCAGTGAACGTTCATAATCAAATCAGACTAAATCAGTTGGTGTAATCCAGAAATAAATTCAATTTAAATATCAAAATTTATAAAGTCTAACAGAAACAGATACTTCTTCCCCAGTCAAAATAAAAACCACATAAACTGCTCGTCATTTTACGCATATCAAATCTTTATCAAATCTCCCTGATATAAGGGAAGTATAAACTTAAAGATTAAATAGCAATAGAATCTAAAGAATAGCTGAAAAGGTCAAAAATGTATACATATTTAGTCCTAGCAAAAATAAATAATTTTTAGATAAAATAAAAATGTGAAAGTTTTTGTACTAATTAACATATTTTAAATATCTCTTAACCATCATATATTTAAATTTAGAGTTTTCACCTTTTATTAAATATAATTCATTATGATTTAATCCGTAAAAATACTCAATATATATCCTGAATGTTGTTTGGCAAATCTTATATTAATTTATTGGTTGAGAAATAATTTAATTATATTGATTTTAATTTAATTGAAAAAACCTTGTTAATTATACGAATTCGAAGAAAAACAGTGATGATACATTGAAAATCAAAGAACTCGGTTCTGATTATTTTCTACACATCTATTCTATAAAATTTTTGTTTTCTTAAATTAACAGGATTACTTCAAATGTGATTAAACATTTATCAATAAAAAGGTAAATTAAAGGCAGTTATTGTCTTTTTGAGGAGAAATAGTTAATTAATGAGGGGTTCAAAAGGAATGAATTTAAATTAATTTATCATTATTTTTATTAAAAAAACAAGAAGGTCAAATGGGAGTGTAAATAATTATTGTTATACCATATTAGAGATCTAAAGATGAGACTTCTATTAAGTAACACATTTATGTCATTGGTTGTGGTTGTGAATTTAGCCTTGGTTTCATATTTGAAAGAAAATGATGGAGGTGATTATACTCAATTTTCATATATAACTAATATTAGCACATCAGATCATGATAAATATAGAAATTACTTAAATCTTGCAATTGCTGCATTTGTTTTGATGCTAGTAGGATTTTTAGTAGGAATGGTCCAACCATTTTTGAAATAAGCAGCACTTGCTTATGTGATGGCCTTGTTGATTTTAACAGGATATGTGTGCCTATTTGCAGGAGTATTCATAAATGACACCTTCTAATACAATTTTTCAGATGCAAAATCGTTTAATTACAGTTTGGCATCATTTTTTGGAATGGGAGGAGTATTTATCTAAGGAATGGTAAATTCTTGGAGATAAAGATCAGTTGAATGAATATTAATCATTTATTCAATATATTAAATCATATATCTGAGTGATTTTAAAGTTTGATCGATATTTAAATACAACTATTTATCATTACATTATTATATAATTTTGTATCATTTATTATAACATCATTTTTTCTTTCTTGAATTACTTTCAGATTCATTACTGTCCTCACTTCCATCTGATTGTTCTTCAACGTCTCCCTCTTGAAAATCGTCATCATCTTCATCTGAATCTAAATTATTTAAGTCTGCATTAGCTTTATTCCTTGGATTATATAAATGAAATAAAAAACTTTTTGCTTCTACTATCATCATCGTCATCTTAATCACTTTCGCTCAGTTACACACGAGGGAGTTCCTCTTATAGTTTTCTAACTGCTATCTTTTTGGCTGATAAATATTGAGTTAAGTTATCTAATTCATCTTTTTCAATACTAGAAAAAAGTTGATTTGAATTTTTATATATAACCTTTACATCAAAGAACTTATTCAAATTTGTTTATCCAATCTAAGAATTCATCATAAAATTATACTCTTTAAAAAATAACTTCCTTTATTTCTTCATGTTTGATGTGTAGGACAGGTTTTTGTAAATATATTAGAGATTTCTCTAATGGGAATAAGAATCCAGAATGAGGACCAACAGAACATCTCAAACAACATAAACCATTTTTAGTTTTAAAGTTCTTAGGTGTAACAACCTTAATTCCTGTTATTTCAGATAATAATTCGCATACTGTGTCATATAATGGGCCTGAGTATTCTTCTTTGATTTCTTTCCATCCAATTTCATCAAGTTATTGCCTTTAATATTTTAATTTAATTTCATTTTCATAATCTTTCTTAAATTGCATTACTAAGTAGTTGTAGGCTGTCTATCCTTATTTGAAAGGATGTTCTAATCCTATCACAAGTGATAAATTAATTTCATCAGGCATGGGCAATAAGAAAAATCTTGAGATACCCTTATAATCTGTTGTGAATTAATAAGTATTTCCATGAAATCGAATATCTTTTTTAAAGAAGTCCATAGTGTAACGCCCTCTTTCGAAAAATAATATATCAATTACCTTGGTACAATTAAAGGAACATCATGAATGGTAAGAATCGAGTCAGCACTACTTTGTCCAATTTTAGCCTTAACTAAAATGTCATTCTATAGTTTTTATTAGAATGTTGGTTCTTCTTCTTCTTCTTCATCAACTTTTTCTTAATCCGAATCTCCTCCATCTTATTTTTTTTTTTCTTGTTTGACTTTCTAATTTGATTTCAAATTTTACTTGTTCTGATGGAGGAATGAAAAATCTCACTTCGCATAACATGTCATCACTAATTAATCATTGAAGCTATACTTTTCTCCACATTCCTCAGTTGTCAATTGCAATACGATGTCATTTTTCTAAGTATTTGAATTAACCACCTTTTTGAGTGGTAATTTAATTATGTTGCTAGAGTTATATTTCAGTGATAAATTTTTGTCGTCAACAGAAACTGATCCCCAATTGATTCCTTTGGTACATTGATCTGACATTTTAAATTAAATAATAAACTTATATTTGGGCGCATAAAAACATTCAATATTTGTGATGAGGAATTTTCCTAAAAAACTTTATATATTTGTTAGCCTAAATGAAGGTTCTCAAATCTTCTGTGTGCCTCTATCCAATAAATATCAATTCAAAAGGATTCACGCACAACAACACTATTTAACACATTAAATTATATTCAAATAATTACTACTTTAATCGAAAAATTTTCTTCTAACTTAGTTAATCAAATACAAGCCAAGCTTTATTACAATATGAAATCTCTCTAAACTCTTATCCTATTTCCATGTAAAATAATTTTCAATGGTTTATTACTTCAATTAATCAACTCTATCTTTTTCATAGATTTCTATGAAATCTTTTAGCTCCATAAATATTAAGTGATATAATTAAAATGATATTGTAAAACATAACTTATAAATTATACTTTAGGATATCCTTCTCTTTGATTATAATGTTTAGCTGTTATAATATTTCCTTTGTAACACCTTGGAGATAGTTTTTACTTCCTAGCACAAATCATCAATGTATATGGGATGTAAATCAACAAATTTTAAGGATAAATAATTTACTAGATCCTGAGTTGAATCATTTCTGTAATGTTTTTATAAATTTTTAGTTCATAAATCTATATAAATTATACATTAACGAATATTTATGAAGACTTAAATAGTTAATTAAATACAGGATAATCAACATAAAGAATGTTATTCCAAAAGAATCTTTCTATAAAATATTAGTATTTAATTAGAAAAAATATCCAAAATTCAATAAATATATAAATATTAATAATTAAAATATTAGAATTAGAATCATGAAATAAATCTAACTAAACAGATTTGTAATTATAAAATTAATGAAAAACCTTATTTTCAGATCAATAAATTTGGGTTTAAATAATGGTATTACCAATTAAATTTCCATAGTATGAGTTTGAGAAAACACACCAACCAAATACATTAATTTATAATATTATCCATTTATTTCCAAATATGTGAGGAATAACTTATGATTATTAAACTTATTAATGCCTGACTTAATATATAATTATCTTAAATTCTATTCTTTAACAATTTACTATTAATATCTACATAAACTTATACTAAGAATTATTATTTAACAGAAATATGCAGATTATTTGTGTCTTTCAAAATTTAGGCATTCTATATAGCATGCTAATTTCTATATATTTTTAATAAATTATTTTAGCTTAAAAATGGATCTAATAGTTTTTGTCTTTTTTCTGTTACAATCCCATTTAGATAAAACAATGAATATCTCATGTGAATGTGCTCATATTATTGAGGAAAATAAGTGTAATAATTCGCAAAAGTGTTTATGGAATAATATGATAGAAAAGTGTTAAATAGATTTGAATGCTGAATCTTAAAATCAAAGTCTATCATATTGTTCATAATTTGTGGAGGACGAATGTATTTTAAATAAAAATTGTGCATTTCATTTTGGAAAATGCTAGGAGTTTACGAAATGTGAAGATTTATTGAAAGATAAATGTTTGTCATCATCCTTTTGGTGTATTTCAAACGGATAAATTTGCATTCCGAAGAATGAATGCCAAGATTATTTAAATAAAGAGTCATGTCAAAATAAAAATATTCATGGGAAATTTTGTATATGGGAAGCAACAAATGATGGTTATAAATGTTAAAATATAGAAAGTTGTGAAGAATTGCCTTAATTTTTAAATACAGACAATGAGTGCAGAGAGTAAATCAAGTATTGCACAACATCTAATTAAGGTGGATGTATGAGATCAAAAGATTATTGTAATATGTATACTGTACAGGAGCAATGCTTTGAAAGTTCTCAGAATGTTAAATGTTTTTGGGAAGAAAAATTAAAGAAATGTTTTGAAAAAAATTGCTCCAATAAATATTTACAAATTCATATTGAATGTTAAAATTTTTTATCAAATTGCACCACCGATGGCACTAGATGCATAGATAAATCATCTTGTTAATAATATTAATAATAATAAGGATGTGTAATAGATAATCTAGGAAATCCTTGCATCTTTTATTAAGGATAATGCTATTAAAAAAATTGTGATTAGGCTCCAATAACAGTAAACTCAATGCTTTAATGTTAATCATTTGATAATGGCAATTAAGCCTGTGTTCCAAAAAAAAACGGAGGATGTAAAATCAAACCGTATTAATGTGATTAATTAGAAACATAAGATTCTTGCTTAATAGTTAATTAATTGTCTGGCATATATTGTCTATGGAATGAAAGAATATAACAATGTAAAGTAAAAGAATGCAAAGATGCTCCTCTAAATTTTGATCATAATTAATGTATATATTGGTTGGATGATTATTAATGTATAAGTGGACAAGGAAACGGCTGTATTGATAATTTTGAAAATTGCAATGACATTAAGAATCTAAAAAGTTGTGTGAAAAATAAAAATAGGAAATAATGTGTTATTGAAAATGATGAATGCTTTGAAGAACAATGTACGAGTTTTAAATATCCTAAATATGATACAGATATAAAATGTTCAGATAGATTAAGCATTTGCACTTACAATTATTTAACTAAAAGTTGTATTAACAAAGTATGTGAAAATTTATCAGAAAAATAATGTAATTATGATTTTGAAATGAATAAATGTATAGTTCCATCTGGTTGTTCACATAAAAATTGTGAATCTGCATCATTTTATTTAAGTTCTTATGAAGATTGCTAAAATTGGGATATTAGATGTACAATAAATGTAATTGTAACAACAAATATGATATATATGAATGGGTGTATTACAAAATATATGGATTGTCACCAATTTAAATATTAATAATAATGCATGTCAACATTATAAGGAATTCCTTGCTATTGGAATATTGAGACAAAATTATGCTAATTTTAAACTTGCAATAATGCTCCTCTGTAATTTAATACAATATCTTAATGTTAAGAATGGGTTAAGTATCACACTTAGAAATGTGTTAATAAACAGAATGGTGGATGCATTGAATAATTTCCTTAATGTTAATAATTGACTGAAGAGTTGTAATGCAATATAGGGGCATTAAACAATTCATGCTATTGGAATACTTAGACAAATAAATGTGAAGATAGGACTTGTTTGAATGCAAGTACAAAGTTGAAAACTAATTTATAATGTAGATAATGGCTATCATCTTGTAAATTAAGTAAGTCTGGATTTGGATGTGAAATTGATTCTGGAATATATGATTTATGCACTGATGCACCAGAGATAGAATTGTTTAGCACTCATGAAGAATGCTAAGCATGGAATCCTAAATGTACACTTAAATTAGGTTCTAGTTGTGCAACTAAATTAAATTGTGAAAACTATTCAACTAACAGTGAATGTTTAACTGATATTAATAATTAGCCATGTCAGTGGAATGGAACAAACTGTTAAACAAAGAAGTGCAATGACATTTTAACTATTCCTACTACTTCTACTGATTGTTAGAACTTTTCTCCTTTATGTACAATTTCAACTGATATTGTTATATGTTAAGATAAAAAATCAAATTGCAGTGATTATAATAATAATATGTCCGATTGTTAAGTTAATTCTTAAGGTTAAAAATGTTCAGTGGACACTTAAACCTCAAGTTCAGATTCAACTTCAGATACAACTTCAGCCTCAAGTTCAGGCTCAACTTCAGATACAAGTTCAGGCTCAACTTCAGCATCAAGTTCAGCCTCAACTTCAGGCTCAACTTCAGGCTCAACTTCAGGCTCAACTAAAGCTCATTCTTCAGCTTCACGTCTAGCTTCACATTCATCTTTAACTTAAACCTTAACTTGCGTAGTTGCAAAAGATTTAACACAAGCTTAATATTATAGTTGTAGCTATGATAATAAAGGTCCAGGATTTCTATATTAATATTTTAATTCAATTACTTGTATTGAAACTCCCTCATCATGTGATTCAGTTCCTTAAAATTAATGTAATCTAATTGTAACAAAAAACAATGAAATATGTTCTTATAATGGCACCCAATGTGTTGTCCTCAGTTAAATATCAAATTCTGAGGAAGATTGTAGAATAAAAGAGTCATAGAAGAGTTAGCGTTAATGTAAATTTTATTCAAAATATTGTGAATTAGATTATATTTAATATACTAATTGTACTTTTACATCTTGCTTAAATGTTTTATAAAGTTAATGCAATTTAATTACTTTAAACAATAATATTCAATGCTCTTGGAATAACTCTAAATGCCAAACCAGAAGTTGCAATTATATCAATGAAGAACCTAGTTCTGTTGAGTAATGCATATAATGGTTAGATTCTTGCTCGTATGATTAAATAACAAGGAGTTGTATAGAGAGGATATCATGTTCTTAAGAAACATCTTAATATATATGTAACAAAGTTTCATATATCAATCAATCAGGGTAAAAAATGTATTGCTTTTGGAATTCAAATACTTGTTCTGATATTACTACTTGTTCATAAATTAAAAATCCAACTTCGCATTAAATGTGTCAAGAAAAATTGGCAACTTGCACATCTTAAACAACTGCTTCAACCACTGCTACCTGTATTGAAATCCCTTTATTTTGTAATTAGATTCAAAATCAAAATTAATGCCTATAGAATTCTAAATTTGAAAACTGTGTTTGGGATTATGGAAGATGCTTTTAAAAACCTTGTAGTATCTAATTTGAGATTGGTATCAGGCCTAATGCATTTAAAACTTGCCAATTGTAGCAACCATATTGCGTGTATAATCCTGAAAAATTTCAATGTGTAGAAATAGATTAATGTTAATTGATTCCTAACTTAGATATTAATGCATAGAATTGTGTAAATTTTAGTTTACTTTGTAGAATTAATGAATAATATAATGGATGTATTAGAAATACAAAATGCTCATAATCAACTACCTACTTTGATTATACATGTGAATCCTTTCTATTGTATAAAAAATGCAGAAGAAAAGAGTTTATTTATAGTTGTTAACCTTAGGCCTAATTTTGTCAAGATTACTAAAAATAAGAAAATTGTAAGTTTGATTATCACTAAAATAAATGTTACTGGAAGGCTACTTTAAATAAATGTATTGATTTTTAATGCAATTAAATTGAACAGTCGGTTTAAACCCATTCAGATTGCTAATAAATATCATCTGATTGTACTATCAAAATTTAAAATTCAATATCTTCATGTTAAAATCTACTTTAATGCGATGAATATTAAGATGAATATTAATGTGTTATCAATTTAAATCATAAGATATGTAGTTGGATTGATAACAAATGTATTTTTGATAACTGTAGGAATGCTGCTAAAAATATGATTTATGATATTGAATCATGTGAGAATAATTATGGTAGTAATTGCACTATAAATGAGGATAGATCTGGATGTATAATTAAACAAAAAATGTGTAAAAATTACAATTAATTCTAATGTTTAACTCCTAATCAAAGAAATTTATCTGGTTTACACTGCTTTTGGGATTAAATCAATTAATTTTGTTCAGAACTGATTTGTGACTAAGCTCCTTAAAGTTATAATTAATTATAAGAGTGTTAATCTTTTAATTACAATTGCTAACCTTCTTAATGTAGATTGGTTAAATGCGAAGATTTTAAATATAATTCAGATATGAAATGCTAGTTTGCACTTTCAAATAGTTAATGCACTACAAATGGTTTATAATGTGTATAAAGAAAATAATGTGAAAATGTAATCAATTCTTCAGGATGCACTTATTCAATTGATTTTCTAGATTGTTAATGGTTAGAAGATGAAAATTAATGTGTTCTTAAATCTTGTGCTTCTGCACCTAATAGCATATAAACACACTAATAATGTTAAGAGTATTTCTAAGGATGCACTGCTAAACTAAATGGAGGTTGTAGTTAACTAACAACATGCAATTCAATATAAACTAAAGAAGGATGTTTAATAGATTAATTTAACATGAATTGTTTATGGGATGAGAATACGAATCTATGTATTTATCTGGAGTGTGATACTATTTGTGGAGATGGCATTGCAGGATTGAATGAAGAATGTGATGATGGAAACTTATTACCTTATGATGGGTGTTATAAATGCAAAGTATAATGTTAATATGGATGTAATGTTTGTGAGTCTAAAATGTGTTTAGATTGCAGTATTGGTTATGAATTAAGTTCAGATGGTTAATGTTATGAAATTTGTGGAGATGGTTTAATTATTGGAAAGGAAGAATGTGACGATATGAATCAAATCAAAGAGGATGGCTGTTTTACCTGTAAATTTTAGTGTCATAAACAATGTCTTATATGCGCTTAAGGCTTATGCTAACTTTGTTAAAATGGTTGGGAGTAATACAATAATTAATGCAGATCTGTTTGTGGAAATGGTCAGTTGGTTGGGGAATTTGAACAATGCGATGATGGCAATAATGATAATTTTGATGGTTGCGATGCTAATTGTAATGTTGAAAAAGATTGGGTTTGTAATTAATCATAAATTACTGGAATGAGTGAGTGTATAAATTAAGAAGCTCTAAAAGTTCTCTTCGAAAATCAATCCGAAAAAAGAGATAGTGAATAAATTATCATGATGTAATTTAATTAGTAAATAAAGTTGAAGATGCTTTGCAATTTAGAAGATTATATTAAAATTAATGTAACAAAGAATGTAAACTTTGATTACACTATAGTTCCTATTAAATAAGCTACAACAACATTAAATAATGTTTAATATAGAATATAAATATCATTATAAGAATCAGTTGATCAACCTTTTGCCACCGTTTCATTTATAGAATCAGTTGTTATAAATAATCTCAATCAAGAGTTAATTGGATTATCTTCAACTATAAGTTTAGGTACTCCTCTTATTTTATCCCTTGAAGCAAAGAATCGATTGGATAGTGCAATATAGTTTAATGAAATCATGATCTATGTATTTATAGCATCTTCCACTCTCTCAGTATTAACAGGGAATTTTGATTTATTTTTCAATATGCTTGCACTCTTATAACAATTGTCCTATGTAAGATATTTAGCTGTACCATATCCTAGTCATTTAGAACAATATTTAAAAATTTTTAAAATCATCTCATTCTAACCTTTGTATGATAAATTATAGATTGATTATTATTTCTCCAAATTGAATTTTGGTAAAACTCCTTTTATTTAATCAAATAATCCAAAAAAAGAGGATCCTGAATTAAATAATGCGTTTTTCCTTGTAAATGCTAAGAGTTTTTATTTAACTATGTTCACTTCATTTGCACTATTTATAGTTTCAAAAATAATCAAAAGGTTTGTTCATTTTACATATAATAGTTTATCATCTTTTAAGAAATTTAGAGGTCTAAAATTTTGTTTTTTCATCTTCAAAATTATAAAATAGTTTTCAGAAAAAACATCAAATTACTTTATTTATTCAGGGATGATAAAAGCTTTTATGTCTACATAATATTAGTTAATGTACAGTGCTTATATCTAATGTCCAGAATATCATTTTAATTTTTAATTGTAAGATATATTTGTCACCTTTAACTCTTTTAATGCATTAATTGCTATTTTATTACCTCACTTATTTCTCTTTAAATCTATTGTAGTTCTCAAAAAGTAGTATAAAATAACAGCTAAAAATCAATTTTCAATATTTTATGAAAATGTTAAATAAACTTATTGGGCCAGATATTTTATACCTTTTTCAATGGTAAAAGTTGCTGTTTATATGGGAATAGTTTGCTTTCTTGGTAATTCCCCAATTATTTAGGTTATATCATTAACAATATTATGTAATGTTTACCTACATTATATTTTGGTTGTTCAACCATGTACTTAAAAATTAGAATTAATCAAAATAATTGTAAGAGAAGTGACATTTTTAATAATAGTCTCATCCCTTTTTCCTTATACATTAGAATTGGATGATCAAATTATTAGTTTATTAGGATGGATTCATATAGGATTGTTTTCATTAATTATTGCATCAAACATTCTAATAGATTTTATTAATTAACTAACACAATTATTAAATAAATTTTAGTAAAATAGACTCAAAACATAACAAAAGAAAAAATAAAAAGAGGCCTCCTTATATTATAATAACTTCATTATCATTTCAGATGCTAATTTATAAAACAAAAGAATAAAATCTTATAAATGAAATACCATTAGCTTTATTAAAATCATTATTATTAAATAAATAAAATATTATTATTAATCATTAAAAAGTAAATTTCTTTCAATAAAAATTAAGATCTAAAGTAAAGGTACTTAAAGTGTTTGTTTGTCCAAAGGCGTGCTCAAATAATTATAAATTAATAATTTTCAAATAAACGATAGGTGATTTTTAGGGTTTACGTTAGAACGACTAATCATTTACTAGGAATACATATTATCAAAATCATTAAGCAAAAATGATACTATACTTTAGTGCTCTGATTAGATTGCAATTCAAAATAGATATTGAAACATATGGAATAAAATAGGGGAACAAAAATATTTTTCATATAATTCTTGATGAAGTTAGCCTGGTCATACCATAATAATTAGAGATTCTCTACAAATAATATTGGTTGTTTTAGTTAGTCAAAATGATTTTTTGGCTATTTTTTGTTGATTGGTAATGTTAATTTAGGATTAACAATTACCAATCCTGTAAAACATGAATAAACATTGTCCTAAAAATTGATGCACTTGTTATTGGATAATTAAAAGTTTCATTTTTGTAAAGGTATCTTAAAGTCTCAATATCATCCAATTTATTTATTGAAAATTGGAATTGTTAATTTTTTACAAAACACTCTTTTAGCAACAAAGGGTATGTGAAAGAATTTTATTATTTAAATTTTAACTATTTAACTAAAATTCTAGATGAACCTGACTTATTTACCTTAATACAAGTCTATTAAAGGCAGAATTTAGAATTATTTGATGGCATGAATAGATAAGGCGATAAATGATGAGCTTTAAAGAAACTATTATTAATATATGGATTTGGAAATAAAGATTTATCTTACAAATTATAAACTTAATAAAAGTAGAAACTAGTAATTAATAAAATGAATCTAATTTAAAGCTTATTTGTTATAATTTTAAATCTATTATTAAATTTATTAATAAATATGTTATAACAGCACCCATATTTAAATTAGCCGGAAAATGTTGCTAACAAATACAATAAACCTGTCAATTTGAGCCAACAACTTAGTTTTTCTAAAAGTTTACCTGGCCAAGGATTACAGCCAGAATAAAACTATGCAACTCCATAATGGCAAAAGTAAATGAACCCTTAATTCTCAAATCAACAGCCACAAATTTAAACTATCTAATCAAAGTACATCCCACAACAGTAGACTATTTATCAACCTTAAACAACTTATGTTTAATAAACACAATAATAATTTGTACCAATTGGTTATCCTCAATAATAATAATTCAGATAAAGTTCTCCTCAACGAATAATCAAGGTGAATTAATAACCACAATAACAATAAGCAATCTACCGACAACCAGAAGCAAGAATTCCAGAATATTACCCACCTCCTCCTATCTACTATGATGAGCCGTTCTACTATGAAGAACCTATTTATTACCCTCCTCAAAAATAATCAATCACTTTACCTCCAACTCAGTTTGATAATTATTTTCATCCTAACTAAGTCAGTTTCATTAGGAATCTTGATGATGGACCAAAATACCCAGAGTACCCTTTTAAGGCTTTGGATATTCGAGATTATTTTAACAAAGCACTAATAGATATGGCTACCTAAGAAGAGAAGATTGAAAGAGCTAAAATATAGGTCTGTTCTTTACTTGACTTTAGAATTAATGGTTTATTTAATCAGTTAGATTAAAATTAAACAGGATAACTCTCCAAAGAGGAATTTGCAGTTGGATTAAAAGCATTTTCATTGTAGGCTGAATAATGTGATATCACATTGTTATTTGAAGAATTTGGGGATTAAGGAATGATGGATATACAATAATTTGGAAATATGATAAAACCATAAACAGATCTTAAAAATACAAAAGCATTTTAATAAGATGATGTAAAGGTACTTCCAGAAACTAAACTTTTAATCAGAAATTTATTTGTCACTTTATTAAATGCTGAGAGTGTGTATGAAGGTCTTAGATAATACTTAATATCAAAAGAAGAAGAACTGAGAGAAAATATTCAATATGAGTAGATATTTGAAGACATTTTTTCAAACGATCACCCTAATAATTTAAGATTTTATCTTTAAAATCAAGGATAATATTTTGACATGGCAGTGATTAATAGCTTATTTAATAGATTCGACAGAGAATGCACAAAAAGAATAACATAAGATTAATTTATTTTTGCATTTTAACCAAAGTTAAAGAAAGATGACAATTGCTTGTGATAAATTATTATTATTTGATATTATATATATTACACATTTCTTAAGTAAGTAATTTGAAGGCATACATACTTTTATGCAACTTTACTTTAATTATTCAGAGAATTTATCAACTAATTTAATTGAGAACAAATTATTAATAAATACCTTCTGTTTAATTTTAATATGGACAATAAGATCAAAGATGAATGCCATATGAATTTTAATATTTCATATTTAGTAAGAAAGCACTCGAAATTTAAACTTGATTTGAATTAAAATTTATTTATTTATATAATGAGACAAAAATCTCAAACTGTTCATGAGGGCGGAGAAAGAAAGTTATAAGCAGTCGATTATGATAAGTGTATTTATAATTGTCTTTTGACTAAAAAGAAATTTATTGGAAGGGGCCTGAGATACCTTTATTTGTTTAAGAATTAAATTTGTATAGGAAAGGTATCCGTCTATCTTTAGATTTTGAGTCACCTTATGTTCAGATTCCTGAACGCCAATTTCGAATCAATTCAGAATTAAGAATTCAATGGACTTATACAAAAAATAAATTAAAATCAGTAATCTTTTAAGTAAGCGGCTAACAATATGAATATCATGGAACAAATGATTAGTTAAGAGAACTTAAATAGAAATGTGCATTATACGTTTTCCAAATCAAGATTTAGGATGAATACTAAGCTGAATCGGTTTTAGGAAAAGGGTCATATGCAACAGTTCTCGAATTAACAAATTTGTACACAAATAAACAATATGCTGCTAAATGTATTGATTAGCAACGTATCAATGAAAAGAAAAATGGTTACAAATAATTGTAATAAGAAATAGAGACTATGAGAATACTGTCTGAGAGAAAACACGCTAACATTTTACAATTACATGAGCTCTATATAGGAAATTAAAATTATTATTTAGTTATGGAAATGGCCAAAGGAGGCTCACTATTGACTCTAATGAAAAAACGCTAAACCCTTTTCAGTAGATCAGACATTAAATTGATAATGAAATAACTACTCGAAGGATTGGAATTTATTCATAATCATAATATTATGCATAGAGATTTAAAACCAGAAAACATATTGTTTATGAATAAAGAATTAGAATCTTTAGTAATTGCTGATTTTGGATTAGCATAGTCAGTTGATTCTCATCCCTACACATATCCTAAGTGTGGAACCCCAGGGTTTGTTGCTCCAGAAATCCTTGAGCAAGATTCTGAATTGGCAAGATACACAGTATCTTGTGATATTTTTAGTGCTGGAGTAATTTTATATGTTTTGTAAAGCATTTGAATTATTTTAGATTAATTGGGGAACCTTTGTTTGAAAAAAAGGATAGGAAAGAACAATTAGAATTAAATAGAAAATGCGAAATCAATCTAAGTAAGTTTCCATCTGATTAATTGGATGATCTTGAAAAGGATTTATTAATGAAAATGCTATCCAGAAATCCAGAATTTAGATGGTCAGCCAATAATTTGCTAAAACACAAATTTTTTGTCTCTGAAGATTCCATAGAGAGTGAAGTAGATTTCTACAAATTAAATAATATCGCAATGTATGAAATGGATAAAATATTAGTCTTAAGAAACATGCGATGCCAACTTTCTCTAAAAACCCTTTTATTTAATTTGGTAAAAATAGTGGTCTAGTCAGAGATAAAACTTAAACTATATCTCTAAGATAAAGAAATTGTACCTTAGTAATGTAAACTAATTTAAGATTTGATAAATCTTCATAGGAACAATTAAATACTGAATAAGTAAATGGAATGGGATCTTTTAACTTATACAAAGATGAAATAAATTAAACTAATCCTTGAAAATTAGTTCATTCACATTTTATTTACTCTAAATTTACATTTTATAAATATATAATTCTGAGAAATTCTAACTAGTTATCATTGTGAATACATTGATTACAGGCATTCTATCTAAATCATCTCAAAAAACAATTCCTATATATGTATTGTAAATGGAACAAATAAAGATTTCTTGCAAAGACAGCATGAATGGAGGAAAATTGGCATTAAGCTATTTAAGAGCAGGTTTAGTTCTGCTTATTAAACCCACTTATTTCTTCTATTTGCGAGAAATGAGTAAGTTCAAGGAAACAAGAAAGAAAAACAAATAAAACAAATGATGAGGTTGTTTAATTAATCTAAAAAGAAATAATATATTAATTATTGTAATTTATCAAAACTGATTCAGTCTTAAAAGAGGAAATATTTTGGTTTAAGTAATATGACTTTCTGCTTGGCGTGGTTTACTTTAAAAAAAATATAGATTTGGGCGGCTTTGATTGTTTTTATTGCATAGTTTTTCCTTATGAAATACTATTTATTTTACTTATTAATTTTATTGATGTAAAATTTTTTCAATTATTGTGATTAATGTTCAAAGAAACTAGGAACACTTTTCAGTTCTCATTGTTAAGCTAGACTTTGCTATAGTTGTGATGGAGAATTTCATAATTAGAATCCAAATCACAAGACAGAAATATACTCAATTAATCTGTTTTATAATTTATAATAAGAAATGAGATAAATAACTTATATTCATCAATTGAAGCAGGAGATTCTTAGTTTCTAAAATAATCTCCATAACAATATTTTGAAATGGCTTACTAGGAAAGATAATAATAATGTTAACAGGAAGAAATAGCAAAATTAAGCTTAGAAATAATACAATTTGAATACATTTTGACTTAACAGGAAAGCAAATGGAGGAAAAAAATTGAAATACTAGGAGAAGATTATGAAGAAAAAATTTCGAATTTTGAACTTAAGGTTAAGAAAACTGAGAGCACAATTTCAGGAATAAAAAATAATCTAAATAAGAAGATTAATTAGTGAAATGATGAAATAATTACAAGAATAGCTGGAGGGACAAAAGAAGTATTATTAAAATCTACAATTGATATTTAATTAATCTAAAAAGTCTATCAATAAAAAGAGTAACTGAACGATAAAGAAAAATTATTACAAAAATTTGAAATACAAGAGAAGGATTTATCTGCAGAGATAAATAAAAAGAGATTTTTATAGGGGGAAATTTAAAGAGTTAATCTAATAGCAGTAGAAAGAAAAAGATTTGATATTACATGAAAATGATAAAATAATGAAGTAATTGAATGAAATCAAGTAATTATTCAAAGAAAAGCAGCCTTAATTGGGATAGAAATGAAAAATTTTTCAAATTTGATGACGATGAATAAGAAGGAGAAGATGAAGAGTAAGAGCCTCCATTATAATAAAATGTGGAAGACTCTACAGATGAAGACGAAAGAGTATAATGAGTAAAATCTAATAAGTTTAACTATGAGTCATTCATTGTTATTTTTGATTCTAAACATTTTATTAAAGATATTATTCTATTTCTTCTGCCTCTAGCCATCGTTTTTTTATTCCATCTTTCCACTCTCCATACTTCTTTTCTCCATTTGACATATAATAGACCCCAATTCCTTATTATTTACCTATAAAATATAAGATATACATATACCATTAACCCAGATTCCTTCATATTTCCTACCGTCTCCCCATTCAAACGAACCTCTGCCATGTTTTTTATCTTCAAAGTATTCCTAAAGTATAAGTAACAATGGATACTCCTATATATTTTCTTCCATCTGGCCAAGTAACTTATCCATGGCCATGCATTTTATTTCTTTTCCATTACCCAGTATAAATTCTTTAATCTGGCCATTAATACGTTCCATATCCATCAATTTCATTATCAACGAAAGTGCCTTCATATCTAGATCCATCAGCAAATAATAAAATGCCTTTACCATTTTTCTTACCTGTTTTGTATTCTCCCTCATATTTAGCTCCATCAGGCCAAACTTCAATTCCTATACCATCTTATCTGTCATCAACCCACTAAATAATTGATTTATTGTTTACATCTCCCTCATATCTAGCACCATTAATATGTACATATACACCTTTGCCATTTGCTTTATCATTTTGCCATTCTCCTTCATATACATCTCCATCTGCATGAATCAATTTACCCCAACCACAACTTTTATCATCTTTCCATTATCCTTCATAACATGAACCATCTGGCCACTATTATTTACCAACCCCATCTCTCTTCCCTAACAACCATTCTCCTTCATATATGGCACCTTTATCTAATTATATTGGTCCAAATTTTTGCCTTTCAGTGCAATTCAAATAGGTTATACTTACTTCCTTCACAGATTAAGGTTCTAAATTTTTTTTCATAGACATGCTTTCATTATCAACTTAAAATTTTTCTCTTTCCTTATTGTTTTGTCTTGGAGTTTCGGAAACCTATTGTTATTATTATTAAAGTGATGAGACACTATTTTCTTTATCATCATAGTCATTTTGGTCAGGATCATCCAAATCCACCTCATTCTTTTTAGAATCCTTGGATACAATCTCGCCATTTTTATTAGCGCAGCAATTCACTTAGCAGCTTCCCATTTCAGTTAATTATTTATATATGTGATTTATAATATCAAAATTCTGCTTTCTCAATATCAGGAGGTGGAGGCCCACAGGGTTAAATCATTTTGGTCAAAAATTTATAGCGCAATCGACACATTGGCTCATTTTCGGCTGTACAGAAATACACCTTAACATCAAATAGATGAATACCATTCTACTATGATGACCTATATGTGATGCCAATGTATCTCTGTGAATATGATTATTCCAAACGTATTTTGGAGTATCTGGATTTCCTGTACCTACATAACGGGCATGTAAATGCTCTGTTTAAGTTTAAAAATTGAATCTGTCTTGCATAAATAATTCCAAATATTTATAATTATTATTTAAATTTTATTATTGTACGATCAGAATTATCTATGTTTAATTATTTATCGAGTTAAAATGCTCTATTTTGCCGAAATCTCAAGAGTGATAAATAACAAATGTATTTTGCTTTCTTTATTATATTTTCTAGTCCTACTTTATTTTATTTCGGTTGACCTTATTAGCACAATTTAGTTAGACTTTTATCAGTAATTATTTTGACTTCAAGCACATATTTTCATTACTAAAGGTGAGCGGAAATGAAATAGAATATCTAAAATTATTAATTTATACAATAGAATAGGTGGATAAAAATTAATTTTAGAATAACTTAAAAAAAGTAGAGATTTTCTATCTACTGGGAAATAATTGTTAAATACTGCCTATGATTTCATTTGATATTCTAAAGGTTTCATTTCAATTCATGTCTTATAAATTTCTCAATAAGTCATTGTTAATGAGTAAACTAAATATATCTTCTAATAATTACTATTGGTAACTAGTTGAACACCTTTCCAAATATTTTGGAAATCTTTATTAACATAAGCAACTGTTTTGATATGAGCATTTACATCATGACTTTTTGATGCATCTTATTGGTTAATATAATTTCAGATTCTTTCATTGCCCATTAAAATTCTTACTATTCAATGTTTCATTCTTAGGTTTATCAAAATTAATAAACTAGTTGCAATTCTATTCAAAAAAATTTTTCTCTATTGATTAAATCAATATCCGCTATTTAAATAAAAGTTGGATAAAAAATTTGGGTATTTATAATAAACTAAATTAGAATATACAAATAGTGTAGATTTTGCTTTATCTATCTAACATATTATTAATGTTGATTTTTATAGAAAGATAATACATTATTTTAATTAACGGATTAGAAATTAATATATGAGCGAGTATTTACTGGCATCAAATATCAATAGCTAGGAATAAAATAAACTGTTGATAAATCAATAAATTTATTGAAACTTGGACTTTAGAAAATTTCCAATTATTTTATTAAATTATCAATTCATTTGTTATAGCCATTTAGTATTTCCAAAGAAAGTTGGATTATAATCAAGTTTATTTAATATATATGTTTATTTTTAGGGATAAAAAATGATATAAACTTCCTTATCAAAGGATAAAATTATAATAAAAAAAGAATTCCTCATTGTGTTTTTTGATAAGCAATAGAATAGAATACAATGTGATAAAATAGAATATAATGTGTTTATATATGGAGTAAGTTATACAATTGAATTATAATTCGAAATGTTGAAGAAAGAAGCAAGATTTGTACTACAGTTACTTGATTTTAAATTGCAAATTCTCAAATCATAATCTTAATATTAATTATTATTAAAAGAGCATGAAATTATTTAAACAATGTTATAATGAGTTCTTTCTTCAAGTTTAAATACAAGAACTCTATAAGTACGAAGAATCTTTAAATAGTTTTACTCTTTAATTTTAATCGGAGGAATTAGAACAATCTTATTAAAACAGGTAAATGGCCAAGGTTATAGTGTAATTCAGGATATCAACATTATTATAGATATTGATAAATATAGGCTTTATGATCAACTCAGCAGTTGTATATAATTCAACAGATATAGTGAAATTTAGATCAATTTTTATTGGATGGATGCTCATATGTTTATTTTTATAGAAAATTTCGAAGAAATATTGGAATGTCACCACTAATATACTGGTTTTCATTAATGGTCTTATAAGTGTCTTGTTGTTTGCCTTTTTTACTAAATTTGTGAACACAGCTCAAACAAATATCAATGATGTTATGACTCTTTCTTTAATATCAGGTTTGCAATAAGGGTTATTCGCTATGAGCTTTTTTTTAATTTAGTCTAACTACATCATGCAGAGTTTATCGATGCTAAGCTTCTTTCTTATACTGATGGGAATTTTTACTCAATTTTAGAATTATAGATTATGGACGTAATACCTGCTTCTTATTTTTACATGTTATTTATTAAGATAGAATGAAAAGACAAATAGATTGAATTATCTACTAATTCACAAGTCTCATTAGAATTTAGAAGCTTGTAAGAAACTTTATGATGAAACAGTTCCAACATCTATAATAATTTTGGAAGAGAACATATAATAAGAAGGGGTGAATAAAAATGAATTATTAAATTCAGTGGTTACACAAAAAGAAAAATTATATACATTGGATAACAGACTTATGAATGTAGCATACTTTAATAAAAGTGCATCTATTCATTTTGAAACGGTAGATGAGGAGATTCTAACAGGAAGATTGGCTGAAATAGAAATATTAAATTCAGAAAATTCAGTTCTAAATTCTGAAAAAAACAAACTTTTAGATAAGATTTCAGGATTACATTCCACATTGCAGACTGAAATGCGTTTTAATACAATCAACTCTTTCGATTACTAAATTATGTCAATAAATAGAAAAATGTAGTGTCAGAGAGTATAAATATATTAATTTTAGGTTGTTAAATAATCGTAAGTGCAATATTATGATGCCTAAGCTTAAGGTTGCTTATGGGATGGAAAATAATGTATAATGTTAATACTGAATGATACTACTGATAGAGTATTAAGAATAAAGCATCTCCAAGATTTAGACAATTATAAAGATAAATTATTGGCTGCTGTTTCTCATGATCTGAAAACTCCATTAAATGGTTAAAGTATTCTTGCTAATTTGATTAAAACAAAGATGGAAAATAAACAGTCTATGGCTAAATTTGAAATTTAGGGTATTTTTAAAATGAATAATATTTTAGAAATTGTTGTTCATATAGATGACATGATTTCAAATTAGTAAATACTTTTAGTTATGATAAATGATTTGATTGATTATTCATAATTAAAAAAATAAGGATTAAGATTAAATTACACCTAATTTGATCTTTCTGCATGCGTGCAACAAATTAAGAATATGTTCAAAATGTAAATGGAATTTAAAAAACTATAATTCATTATTTAAGGATTAAATGAAAAGATCATTATGTATTCAGACTAGATTCGACTTTAATAGATTTTATTTAATCTAATTTCTAATGCAATTAAATTTACTTACTAAGGATAAATTACACTGGCAATTAATAAGATATGTTCTGGTAATCAACAATTAATTCATTTCTCTGTCTAAGATACCGGAATTGGAATACCTTCACAAATCTAGAGTAAATTATTCAAAGCGTACTCGACCTTTAATTTAGGAAATTAAAACTCACAAGGAGTAGGATTAGGATTAGTAATCTCCAGAAATCTAGTTGGCCTATTAGGTCCAATTGAGTTTATAGAAATGAGTTCGGTGGAAAATAAAGGATCGAATTTCAGTTTCTCGATATATCTGAATGCTCAGCATAAAGAATGCGATTTTATTAACAGTTTATAGGCTGATAATGGAACTCCTGACAATGATCCATCTCCAATTCATCGAATGCCTAATCCTATAATCAGAAGATAGGATAGAAAATATTAAACAGTTGTTGAAATGTCCACAAGTTTATATTAAAAATTAAAAATACTAATTGTTGACGATACAAGTTTTAACATTTATGTCTTAAAATAACTATTAAAATAAATTATTATTAGATGTGAGATTTATGAAGCTCATAATGGTAAGGAAGCATTAGAAAAAGTCAAATCCATCAGATTTGATATTATATTTATGGATATCAATATGCCAATTTTGGATGGCATCCAGGCTACCAAATAGATAAGATTGTTTGAAAGAAAACACGATTTTTAAAAGTCAATAATCTGTATGCTTTCGGCTTTCTAAGGTGAAAGTGATCTTAAAGAGTCTTTAGCAATAGGAGCAGATCTGTTTTTATCAAAACCCTTAGAAGTTCCAGCTTTAAAAACAATACTGGAATCACTTAAATATATTTGAACTGATTCTGCGATATTTTTATTAATTCTCCATAAATGGAATTTATCTAATTAATTAATTATCATCATAGATAAATTAAAATATATATTAAAATGCTCAAGAAATTCAAACCTATCCTCCTATCTGTCTCTACCTTAGGTGTAGGCTATTTTTTTGCGCAAAGAGAACTCAATATTAATTTGGGAATCTTTGACACATTTTATTATCACCTCTATAAATACTCTCCTCATTATGCTGTTTAATTTATGAAGGTTTTGTCTTATTAAAATATATTGTGGAAGCAAGATCTCCTCACCCAAGAATAGAATCTTAATGACTAAATAAAATTAAAGAATTAACTTGGATTAGCCAGCGGGTTTGATAATGATGGCTCTTTTGTTGTAACCTTATAAAATTTAGGATTTGGCTTTATTGAAGTTGGTTCAATAACTGCTTAAAAAAATATAAGGTTTAGTGAAGATCTGAATACTTATGCAGTTAAAGTAAATTTAACCAAAATATCACAGAATGATAGCATTGAATATTTGAGCGAAATTCCTTAGATGGGAATATTACAGAGCAAAGCCGTTTTGACATCACTTAGAAGAAATTATTCAATAAAAATACCTGTTGGGGTTAGCATAATGCCATCAGAAGAGATTTATAAATACACGCCATATTTAATTGAAAATGATATTTCTAATGTTACAAGGTATAACATGATCAAACAATTAGAGAATTATGTACTGTAGCTGATTTCCTTGTTCTTAATCTTGTTAGTAGTCAAAGAACTAGTAAATTATATAGTGACATTGTTACCAATAATACGGATGTGATTAAGAAGATGATTCAATCAATATAAATCACTTAAATTGAAGAAATTGGACTACAAGCTGCTTTGGAACATGAAATTAAGAACCAACTTAAAGGAGACAATTTAATTAGTGAATATTTAAGCACTACTTAACTTGGATTAAAATAGTAATATTCATTTAATACCTAAGAAATTTAGTTGCTCCATTGTATATAAAAGTATCTTCAAACCTATAAAAAACAATTCTTGATTTTCTGTTGAAAGAGGCAAATGGAAATTAAATTTAAGGAATTATTCTTTAAAAGGATATCAATTAAAATGATTTAGAATATAATAAAACACTTAAATAAGTGAGATAATAACTTCCTAAGTCATGCAATTTGATTAGCGTTGGAGGAATCAAAACTAAAGAACAGTTTTAGGAAAGATTAATGAACGGAGCTGATGCTTGTTAAATTTTTTCATCTTTTATTGCGAAAGTAATTAAGATAATAGATTTTTTAGGGACCTCACGTCATCAAGGATATTTTGCTGTGAATATTCGAACAATAATCAAAATTTAATCAAAATAATTAATTCAAAACCATGCCTTAATCCCTTTACTTTTATTTTTTTTATCTTTTTTCTCATCCGCCTTAAAAAATATTTCTTAGCATATAATTTATTTATCAGCCATTTCTACCATACTCAAAATAACACCTAAAATTGATTCAGCAACTCCAGGATTTCTATTTTATTTATATTTAAACATTTTACTTATTTATAATAGCAGAGAAAAATTATTGGCATAATTTTTTTAATTATTCATATTGATTTTAATATGCGGATAAATCTTAAGACGAGTGGCTCTTTAATTATAAGGCTTGCGGATGATTTTCCAATTATTCCATTTTATTTGATTATAATTATTATTTAGTTTGAATAACCTTAAACTAATTTCGTAATTATATTTATAATTCTTGATTTTCGCTAAATTTAAAAGAAGTTTATTACTATTCTAACTCTATTATTTTCTATTTTTGTTGGAAAATCAAGTCCTCTAGTTTCTATTTCTCCTACTCAAAATTATCGATCAGATTTTTACAAGTTCTATCAATTAGATAAGAATTTTGTACTTATTTTCATCTTCCAAATCGCTAATTTTATTCTAAAGGTCAAAATTTTGTTTATCTAAATAATTTATATGATCCTGCTAATCATTTTCAAAGTCATTCTTTGCCTTTTATCCTTTTTATATTTCTTCAGCTAAATCATCCCTAAGTTGGTTTTCTTCATCTTAATTATAATCAAATGTAAATTTATTTTTTTATTTATTATGAGGAAATGTTTAATCCCTATCATATAATTAGTTTTATAATTCTTAAATATGTTTTTCTCCTTCAAGTATTATCTTTGAAAATTTGTTTTAGTCAGATTCAGTATTTTAAATTGGACTAGGAATGGCACCTCTATTAATAAAATCTTAGAGTAATCTTTAATATAAATTTAATATTCTTACTTGTTTTACTCTTTCAACTAGATGATTTCTTCTTGCAATTAAGTTAATTTTGTATTTAATTCCTATTCCTTCAAATGAAATACATTTTATTATGATAAAATCTTTTATTCGAACAGAGAATCATTGTCAGACATGTTCTATTCATCATCTCCAAGATCGAAAAATTAATCAAATTGACATTAGTTTTAGCTTCTCTTTGATCTATTACTCAAAATTGACCTATTCATTTTTATTTCCTTATATTAATTTTCATAATTCTCGATTTTTTCCCTATGCTCCTATAACTCAGATTATAAATTGTAAATAGTCTACTAATGGTCAGTCATCTTCAAATTATTTATTTTTTATTCTTCTTGTAAATCTGTTAAAATTCTTATTAACTTGTGATTTTCTTCTTTCAACTTTTATACTTCATGTAATTCATGATTTTATTCTTTCTATTGTCTTTGCTTTTATTCAATAAATTATTATAATTCTAATTCTTCATCATCTGAATGCTAACTAATTTAATCGATATCTTTAAATTTGTCTAATTCAAGACAATTTTAACTTCTCTTTGATCTATTACTTAACAAGGACTTATTCATCTACTTTTCTAATATATTTTCATAATCGTCTAATTTATCCTTAAGTCCTTTATTTTCAATTTATAAGTTCGAGATAGTTTATTCATGATCAATGTTCCTTTAAATATTAATTATTATTTCCTATTCTTAATCTGCTAGTTTCCTTCTTATTATATCATTTTCTTCTCTCAGTCTTGATACAATTGCCCTTTCTTAAATTAATTCTTCTTAATCTGTTTCATAAGTCTATCTTTTCCTTTATTATATCAATTCTAGAATTTCTTTCTCTTCATCCTCAGAATTATGGCTTGCATCCTCTATATCATTAAGCTAATCTAATTAAATCGCGTTCACACTTCTTTTGGATCTCGAACTAATTACAGATTTATTTAATTTAAATTCTCTCAACTCATTGATATTTTGTTTCAATTGTTCAATATGTTTATCCTTCTCTTCAATAACTTCTTTTAATTGAGCTATCTCCTACCCTTAGATATCATTGTTTTATGGCATTTATGATAATTTCGAGATTTGTAATTATTATTGAAATTCTAATTAGGTTAATTCCAATTCTTTAATATAATCCTCAATTTACTTTTATAAATTCTCTATCTCAAATTTGTATTTTGATATAAGTTATTGATCAACATTAAATCTATCTTCATATTTATTTAAAGATTATTCTTAATAATTTAATTCATTTTGTTTGGATTAAATTTAAATATCCTTCTATTCAATACTTGCTTCTAGATTTAAAATTTTCAAATTCAATCTCTCCTCTTAAGTTTTTATATCATCTTCAAGTTTTAAGATTATGTTACCTAATTCTTCATTAGTTGATTTAATTCGTTCTTACTCTACTTCTTTATTTTAAAGTTGTATTTATTGATTTTCTAATTTTCCCAAATGATTTTATAATTCCTTCTCTTAATTCAACAATTATTATTCGAATGTGTTTTATAACTATTCAAATTCATTCTCTTTGCTATTTAGTTTACAAAGAGCATTATCTTTTATTTTAGATAATTAATTTATTTAATCTTCATATTCTATTATTCGTTTACTTATTTATAACTCTTAATTTGTTAATTTCTATTTTAATTCATTAATTTCATCTTCTTTTGTCTGAATAATTTCATGATTGCAATTAAGTTTGTCTTATTATTATTAAATTAATTGAACAAATTTAGAATTCTAATCATGAAGAGTTCTTATATCATTTTATATTACTTATTTTTCTATTGAGTATTATTAATTTACCTGATCATTCACACTTTTAAGAGAAAAAATTTCGATATCTTTTTCATCAATAGAACTTTTGAGTTCAAAAAGCTATTACTAAATTTGAATGATTTGAATATTTAAATCTTACTTTGTTCTTCTCTCTTTCTCAAGAGTATCCTATAGAATCTAATTTTCTGAATTTATCGCCTTTTCTATTCTAAACTATTGTTTTATTAAATTAAAACAATCATTGCATTTTTCTGAAAATAAATTTGATTTTTATGTAATTTCAATTAACTTATTGAAAACAATATTCATAAAATTATTCTATTATTTAAAGATTGAGGCTTCAATCATTTTTAATTACTCATTTTATTTCGAAATTAATTCTTCTTATTTGATTTCATATATTTATTATTATTACTTAATTTCTTATTCTATATTTGATATATGTTCATTTTTTTTTATTAATTCTTGATTTAAATTATCATTTTGGTTCTTTATTGCTTAATGATCCTATAGTTATTATTATGCATCTGAATTCCATTTTAATAATTAATCTTAATTGTTCTTTTCTTATTATTTTAATTATGTTTAATATTCTTGATTTTTCTATTATAAAGCTTCTAATTCTGATTAAATTTATTTAGTTATAGACACTTATGATTCAAAACTGGCTGCGTAGTTATTTTTATTCATGTCTAATTCTTTATTTAAATTCTTCAAAATTGATACCTCCCCCTAATACTACAAGCAATTAGTATTTAGTATGTTTTCTTGTTCTTAGGCTTTTAATAATTTTTCATTTAAATCAATAATAGTTTTTGTTGATTAAATATTTTCGCCTTATAACGATTTCATTTACTCTTATTACTACATTAATTTTAGTTTTAGTTTTGACAATTTATTTTAAAGATTTGTTTCCACTTATGAGAATCTTACTGATAATAAATTTAATTATGAATATATGTTTTGTAGCATCGATTATAATTCTTCATTTTGTTATTAGAGGCGCTCTATAAGATCAGTATTTTTGATTATCTAGTGATTCTTCAATTAATCAATATCTTATTAAAATTGATGATTTAATTGTTCTAATTGATGATCTTTTTCTTTTAATTACATTACTATTGTATTAATTTCTTTTTTATAAGTTCTTTCCATATCAAGGGATTAATTTTATTTATTATTCATTTATTAAGCTTAATCATTGATAGTTTATTCTAATTATCTTAAATATTACTATTACTAGAAGAATTAATTATTTAGTTCATTATATTTCTTATTAAGTTAATCGAGCTAACTTTACTTTTCTGAATTATTTGTGGACTCTTCTTAAATTTAGCGTTCTTTATGCTCTTTTTCAGTTGACAATTAACAATTTTAATTCTATAAATTTTGCAATTAATTTTCAATTTCTTTTTCATGAATTTAATGCTCTTACAATAAATCTTAATACTATTGTTTTACAGTATTTTGACTAATTTATAAATCTACTACATATTATGAAGTATCTTTTTTGTTTAATAATACACTTGATTACTACTCCTTCATATTTATAATCTCTTACTTTAACTATTGTATTTCTTACTCTTATTCAAATATCTTTTTTTCTAATATATTGCTTATTGATTAATTATTTTCATATTATTATTCAATTAGTATTTTTTGCACTAAGTATTCCTAATTTAGAGAATTTAATTTTTAGATTTCATTTCCATAAGTAGTATTTTCTCCAATCTACTCCCTCAATTTAAATTCTAAATTTTCTAACTCTTTTTTTAAACCATCAATCTGTTATGATTAGTCTTACAAGCTTTATGTAGTATTATACATTTAGTCTCTTAATTAAATCACTTAATTTTCAAGTTCAATAACTCTTTAATATTCCTTTTCAATCCTTTCCTTTTATAGCTTTATACAATTATCTTAATCTATTTCAATTTTTTTTTAAGATTCTTACATAACATCAAGATCTTCTATCTTTTAATAATATTCTTAATTTTCTTAGATTAATTAATTAATCTCTTATTCTTTATGCTTAATATTCTGTTTTAAATAGTCAATTGTTTTAAGTAATTCTTCCCTCGAACTTCCTTATTCATCATTAACTATACAATTACCATTTTATAATTCCAATACTTCATCATTACCTGGTTCTTCGTTGGTCTCTATTACTTATTAAACAAGCAGGTCGTTAAGGTCTAATAAATTTTCCTTTTATTACTCTAAAAAATTCTTTTCACAAATTTATTATACATGTTCTCTTTATCCAAGTATAATTTAAGTATTATGTATATTTTAGTTACTTTGTAAACTTAGTATCTCATCTTGTTGTTATCTGATTCTGAGATTTAATTTTGAAATTTCAATTTGTAATAGTGCTATTTCCTAATTTACCTCAGTTTATGTTAAAATTAGATCTTCATCATCATTTTTATCTAATTCTTCATTATTAGATTTTTCTTCGAATTAATCTTACTCCTTTTGATTTATTGATTAGAGATTAACTAATTGATTAATTTAATCTTAAATTAATTTATTATCTTGTTGATCGTGTTCTATTTTGGACAGAATTTATTCATATTCTGTGAACTTCTCCTTTAAATTTTAATAATCTTTGACTACATTCTAATATTTTTATTATAATTCCTCATTTTCTACTGATAAAAGATTTAAACTAACTTATAACTTTTAGATTTATTATTCCTAATATGAGTTTTCTTCATTTAATACCTAATTCCCATTTTATAATTTCTCAACTTAATTTTGATAGTTTCTTATTAAATCTAATTATTATTAATTTTAAGTTTATTAATTCATACATGTATTAGTTACAACTTCCATATCTTTATTCATAGACTTATTTAATGTTAATTATTCTTTTAACTCAAACTAACTAAATTGTAAATCTTATAGAAGTTTTGAATTTTCATTCTCCAAAACATTGTAATTTTTTTAAAGTTCATTTATTTGATCATTAGCTATCAATAACTCTTACTTTTATTATTAAGTTTCTTTCCTTTATTAAATTAATTCTTACTTTGTTGAATCAACTAATTCATTTTTTTTAGTTAACATTTCTTCATTATTTTCAATTTGAATTTGCAATTAATTGATTTATAAATTAGAAACACTTATTAATTATTTCAACTCTTTGATAACATCTTCAAGTTATTTAGACTATAATTTGTATTCGGTTAAGGACTTTTCATTTTATAAAAGACTATTCTTTGATTCTAAAAACAAATCATTAATTATTTGGAATTACTATTATTATAAATTAAACTTATGGTTGGTTTAATTAAAAACATCTTCTTTCTCTTTTAAATTAGCGATTATTTGTTGTTGATTCTAATTTTCTGTTTTTAGGGAATCAATTTCTAATTTGAATTATTCATTTTAATTCTTTTAATAGTGAATTTAATCATTCAAATCATTAATATGGTCATAATTTTACTCCAGGTTCTCATTCAATTATTAAATTTAAATGTTTTGTTGTACTATATATTTATTCTAGTTATCAATTAATATTTTATATTTATTTAACTCCTATTTTAAGTTTTCAATTTCTTTTTCAAATTAATAACTTAAATCATTTAAAAATTCTTTTTCATTTTTAGCTTATTATAATTATTCTACTTGTATTTATTTAAATTCTTATTCCTATTAATTTAGTTGCTTTTTTAATTCACTTATTTAAGAATATTATGAAACTATTTATTTTTCAAGCTATTCATTGGTAGAATTAAGTTAACCCATGTTTGTAATGAGACCTTATCTCTCTCGATTTAAAGTTAAATTCTAATCTTCATTGCTTTTTAAATCTTTTTGCAATTATTGATTCAATTATGAAGACTCTTTTAATTCTTGTTGATAAATTATGTATTAATTGCTAAGTTAATCAATGTTATTTTTCTATTGATTTAATGTATCTTGTAAGTTTGAAATTTATGAATTGTATTTTTCTATTAGATCTTCATAATATTAATTTTGCTTCTCTTATTCTAAAAATTACAATTAATGTTTTTTAATTTCACTTTCTAGTTCTGTATTTAAAATTTGATTTTCTTCAGATTAATGCAATAAATACACTACTTGAGAAGTTAGATTGCCATTTTGTATTTATAATTATTCTTTGTCTTCTTTTAGTTTAATAAAATCTTCTTGAGTTAATTTAATTTAATTTTTTAAAGATTGATTTTCTTACTTAAATTATTATTATTATTTCAAAAGGTCCAATTATCCTAATTGAGATTAGTAATCTTATTCCTGTTAATTAATTTGATTCAATAATGTTTATTTTATTTCTAAGAAGTTGTCAAATTAGTCTTATTTTTCCTAAGATAATTAATTTATTTAATTTTTCAAATCTTTTATTTATTATACATATTCGTTTGATTAGGTGGAATGTTCCTAATTCTATTCTTTTAACGATTTTATTATTTTACCTAAATCAAGTATTTATTCATCTTTTAATGATGAATCTTCCCTTTCTTTGATAAGTTGAATTTAGTATTTCTAAATATCATCTTTTATACTTTATTTATCATTTTCAAGATTTTTAATTTTTCTTTAAAAATTTAACTCATTAACTTAATTATTCTGCTTTTGAGAATTGATATATGATTCTTATATTTTGATTTCATATTCCAATTCATCATTTTATTTTCTTAATTTAGAATTATTATCGCTATATTCTTGTATTTAATTTTACAAAAATGAAAACTCTTTGTCTGATTTCTTTTATTTTTCTTAAAAATTTATAAGTTGTAATTCAGCGTCTTTTAATTAATTGTTAAGATTCTTATTTTCTATTTTTAATTAAGTACATAAATCATTTGATTTTTTGAGTTTTTGTTGTAAATCAAGGATTTTAGAATCAAATTCTTAATATGAATCTTCAGACTCTACTTACCACTAATATTTCTAATTATTTTGTTACACTATATAATAGAATTAAAATATACTTCTTTTTTTATCATTTATTGTAGCTTAAGCTATTCTGACTAATTCTGTTAATTAATTTCTACTAACATTGGATATTGGCTCCAATTATTTTTTCAATTTTGCTATTTCATGGGAATAAGAATCATCAGATTATAAGTAATCTTCTTTTTTCTTATTATAATCTGAATTTAATCCAAATGTTTCAAATTTGAATGGGTCAACTGATTTCTGGTTGGACTACTTTTCATTGCTATAATCAAACTATTTTGGAGATTAAACCAATTGATTTGGTGATTGTATGCTAGGAGAATAAGGATATTCTTTTAATTTATATCCACTGCTAAATGATTTGGTTCCATTATCGAGTATTTGCTTGATGCTTGTATAAAACCGTATAATACATCTATTATAGGTCTTAGCGTTGCAGTTGGCTATTGGTAGAATCACTTCTATTAGGTTAAATGGATACTGCATTATGCAGTCTATTCTAAGAAAAATCTTTTATTCTTGCCTACAGATTCTCAAAGTTTTATGCATTAGAGCGAGAGTCTTTTCTAAATGATGGTAATATCAAAATATTACTTTTTAGGTCTATGCGATTGATTTCTGGTTGCTTCACGATTAGGATTCATTTATAACTATAATTTTAAATATATAATATATAAAAATATAATAAATTTCACTATTTTATTTAAGCAAACATAGATTTCCTCTGCATTACAACAGGATGCTTGTCATTTTTTATATTTTCATTGCACATATAATAGTTTTCTCGTACCTCTTATAAAATCGAATTGCTACAATTCAATTGTCTATTTAGTTTAATGCTATTCTAATTATATTTTAATTTCTTCTAATTCAAATTTTAAGTTATATTTCTCGTTTATGTTTATCAAATTACTCTAAATGTGTTGGTGATCCTCAAGCAAAATCTCTTTTAATTATGAATTTGTAAAAGTTGAATTATTAAAACTATTCATAGATACAGATCTTAAGTCTTGAAAGAGTCTTAAAAACAATACATTTGTATCAATAATTGTATCCTTAATGCTGGGGATTTTAGGTTCACTGCATTGATCAACCAACTCTTAAAATTCAAGCATGGTTTCAAATGCTTCTGCAATTTTATTTATGTAAATTAAAAAAAATTATTTATCGGAAACCAATACACTTTATCTTTCAAGTTGGCATCCTATAATAGTTTTTTTCAATCAAATAATAAATTATCACCCTTAATCATAACCTCAAAAATGTTTACACAAATCAACTAAAAAAAAAAAATATAAGTTATTTTTCTTAAAATTATGCTTGTTTGAATGGTTTATCAGGAATTTACATTGGTGGTTGAAAGCTCTATAATTCTAGAAATTTCTTAAATCAATTAATCAATATCAAGAATAGTCGATTACAAATCATACCTGAACATTCTCTTTAATAATTGAACTAGAGAAGCAAACTTTTGTTTTTCAATCAAATAATTTATATTTGGTAACATGAGAACTATATTTTTAGAATGACTTGGCAAATAATATTGAATCACATATTATATTCTATCTAAAGGCTAGATCTGTTCTTATTACATATATTCATCTATAAATTGTTATTGTTTTGTGTTATCAAATCATTTGTATTATCAATTTTTTCCTATTTTTTTAATTTTTATTCCTATTCATCTATTTTTTACTTGTAATCTGGTTTAATGGTTGAAGTATATTAATGAAATGGGGTTAAAATATAATTGGCTGTATCGAAAAATATTTGATATTGATTTAATTGATATAATGTAACCAAACACTTTTGGTATTGTTTCATTTAAATATAACCTTTTTTGTTGATGTATTTTAATTTATTAAGCCATATCTAATAATATTTGAAGCAATTAGGATTCATAAAATTCATTTTAAACCAATTAATTCAAATTGATAGTTCCTAATTCAATTAACAAAGAATATTATTATTGATAATCTTAATTTTGATCTTATTGTAAAATTGCTACTCTTATTGTATTATTATTAATTTTACTAATTTAAAATACAGTTTATCTAATTCATAATGATTGCTGCCTTCTCGAAACATTAAATTTTATATTTAAATCTTCATTCAAAGCTTAAATTGAGTATTAGAATTACATTCGTTACCATTATACTGGAATATCTTTTAAAGATTTGCTATGCAACTTTAAATTACTTCAATTATAAATTTAGTGAAGATCAATCTCCATCATCTACCAAAATTTATTCAAAAAACACAATAATTGGATTTAGAAATTTAGTCTTGTTTTCATAAATTTCCAAACTNTAAGTCTTGAAAGAGTCTTAAAAACAATACATTTGTATCAATAATTGTATCCTTAATGCTGGGGATTTTAGGTTCACTGCATTGATCAACCAACTCTTAAAATTCAAGCATGGTTTCAAATGCTTCTGCAATTTTATTTATGTAAATTAAAAAAAATTATTTATCGGAAACCAATACACTTTATCTTTCAAGTTGGCATCCTATAATAGTTTTTTTCAATCAAATAATAAATTATCACCCTTAATCATAACCTCAAAAATGTTTACACAAATCAACTAAAAAAAAAAAATATAAGTTATTTTTCTTAAAATTATGCTTGTTTGAATGGTTTATCAGGAATTTACATTGGTGGTTGAAAGCTCTATAATTCTAGAAATTTCTTAAATCAATTAATCAATATCAAGAATAGTCGATTACAAATCATACCTGAACATTCTCTTTAATAATTGAACTAGAGAAGCAAACTTTTGTTTTTCAATCAAATAATTTATATTTGGTAACATGAGAACTATATTTTTAGAATGACTTGGCAAATAATATTGAATCACATATTATATTCTATCTAAAGGCTAGATCTGTTCTTATTACATATATTCATCTATAAATTGTTATTGTTTTGTGTTATCAAATCATTTGTATTATCAATTTTTTCCTATTTTTTTAATTTTTATTCCTATTCATCTATTTTTTACTTGTAATCTGGTTTAATGGTTGAAGTATATTAATGAAATGGGGTTAAAATATAATTGGCTGTATCGAAAAATATTTGATATTGATTTAATTGATATAATGTAACCAAACACTTTTGGTATTGTTTCATTTAAATATAACCTTTTTTGTTGATGTATTTTAATTTATTAAGCCATATCTAATAATATTTGAAGCAATTAGGATTCATAAAATTCATTTTAAACCAATTAATTCAAATTGATAGTTCCTAATTCAATTAACAAAGAATATTATTATTGATAATCTTAATTTTGATCTTATTGTAAAATTGCTACTCTTATTGTATTATTATTAATTTTACTAATTTAAAATACAGTTTATCTAATTCATAATGATTGCTGCCTTCTCGAAACATTAAATTTTATATTTAAATCTTCATTCAAAGCTTAAATTGAGTATTAGAATTACATTCGTTACCATTATACTGGAATATCTTTTAAAGATTTGCTATGCAACTTTAAATTACTTCAATTATAAATTTAGTGAAGATCAATCTCCATCATCTACCAAAATTTATTCAAAAAACACAATAATTGGATTTAGAAATTTAGTCTTGTTTTCATAAATTTCCAAACTTTTTGTCCTAGAATTCCATAAATTTCAACTGATCAATAATCCAACTCTCTACTAATTTACATTGGTTCTATCTAAGCAAGCCAAACACAATTACTGATTTTCATAATGTCTTGTATTATTCTATAGAATTCAACACCTTGTGTGATTTCATCAAAATTATAATTCTTATATATAATTAATGTATCTGGTTAATATTGATGAACTTTTAATTCATAAGCCTCTAACAAATTTTGATCTGCTTATTTGTTTAAATTCATTAAGTTCGAAGCTAAAACTCTCTCGTATTCTTTCAAAAATAAAATTCTTGAAATGATTTGTAAAAACAATTTGATCTGATTCTCCAATATCCAGGAACACTCGCTCTAATTTATTTAAATTAACATTTCAAATTAGCTACAACAACTATCTATGAATTTTCTTCAAAATTAGTTACATTACCATCTTTCTACTCCCCCATTGAAGCCAATCTAGTCCCTGAAACTTTCAAAAATCTTTTGGAGAGAAAAGCTATTTTTATACAGTTCTTTGCATAGTCCTCTGTTCCATATTATTCCATATGAATGCTTCTCTATCGATATCATCGCATTCTCATATATAAAATAGAATCCTTTTGAAATTAAATTTCTCAGATTTGATACAACATCTTAGATTTCTGTAATAGAAGCAACTCTGTCTGTTGTCCAAATCTATATATTTGATGGAATGAATGTGAAAGAAGTCCTTATATAGAGGATGAAATTAATGATGGGTGCAACGATCGACCATCAATAAAAATATCATAGATTTTATGTTTATGAAACCTATAAATGCAGAATAAGTTTAGGATGATTCTTAGAGTTTGCAACTTTTGAGATCCTCCACAGAAAGACGAAAATCTTTTCGATTAATTATTAATCGTGTAGTTATCTAAAGACTTTTACGATTGCATTCAAGCTATCTATTAAATTAGGATTTAAAACAATTTCTGATTGTATAATAAGTACCTTTATAGTTTAGATATATTGAGGTAATAGTACATTTTGATTTTGAGTAGCAATCTCCCTTTTAAAATCTATTTTAAATTCTAATGTGAAGTATATAATATATCAATTATTAATAAACACACATATTCATACATTTGATTAATCATTATTTTCATCCTCTAGGGTTTCATATTTAGTCTAAATTTACACCTTTTCTTTTGCTTCCTCCATTTATTTCTCTAATTGTAAATTCAGATTCTCTTTCTTTAGCTTTCTTATTCTTCTATATATTTTACACAAAACACATAATCTAATATTGGATTTGAATTATTACAATACTATAACTACTGTCAAAAATATTGTCACTCCAATAATAAGTTCATTGAACCTATGTTTGTACCAATATAAGGAGACGTTTGGCATTCCAATTTCAGCAACATGGTAATATAGTTCATAATCATTAATGGTTAAGTTGTTAAAAACTAAAACCTAAGCTCTAATAGCTATAAATAATTGAGGATGCCTTGATTATTTAACAACAGCAATATTAGTTACTATTTGATCAGAATAATTGAGAGCATAAAGCCCAATATCAACCTATTCATAATTATCTGAGTGATTTTAGTGATAATTTGCATACCAATTGTATTGACAAAGTCCTATCACATGAGCATACTGAATATTACTACCCCAACTAATAGAATATTTTATTAAACTGTTTATTTCTTGATTAAGATCACAGCCAATGCATTTCAATGGTTTGAATTTCACAGTAATGAAATCCGTATCATATGTCTCAAATTAGTAATTTATTTAACCATCTCCTCCCATAACTAATTGTCCATATGGAGCAAATTCTTGGGCTTTATATACCTGAGTTGTGAACTTATACACACTTTCATTTGATGAAAATTCAAAGAAGATAGGGCCTTGTTTAACTGGCAAAATAATATCAGTTAATTGACCTTCTATTGTAGTCTTACTAGCAGTATAAGTTCTATTAATAAATTCATCATAATTTTAAGTAATAGATACTTTCAACTCACCTAAACAATTATATACTTAAACTGCTAACTTACCTTCATAGGGTATATAAGATTCATAAAACTTCTCTAAAGAATCAATAATCTAATCATTTTAACTTGATTTCTCATCTATCATTAAGACCTCTTTGCTTACAATGCTGATTTGTAGATCAATTCGATTTAAATAGTTGTTACCGAAATAATATATCTCTTTGAATTATTACCTTCTTATCGGAACAATGTCTCCCTCACGATTAAATGCATACTCGACATTTATATTCTCATTTCCTTTGATTTCTAATAAGCTATGGATTTTGATAGTTAATAGACCTTCTAACATTGGTAAAAGGAAAGTCTATTAATTATACCTGCTAGAAATAGGTATAAGTAAAGTGAAATTGCCATTATCTGTTTGATTTGATACCTCCATTTTGAAGTACTCTGAACCCTATAATCTCACACCATATGGAACCATTTTAATCACTAACTATGGCTATTTTCTATAACGATTTTTGTGATATAATGTAATAACAGGTGTTTGTCTACTCAGATAAGCAAATGTAATGATTCCGTCTTGGAGTAGTAAACCATTGCCAGTTGTTGATTAGGTTACTAGAATAGAATAATTGGATGGCAACTATTAGTTATTCTTAACAATAATATAGAGATCATCATCATTATAATGACCTGCCAAGGTATGCGATCCATTTGCATAAGGTGTATAATTAGTTTCCTTTAAGTGTTCTCTTGGAGGGATTATAGCTTAATAGTAAGAGATAGAGGAAGTAGTATTCATTAATTTCTATTATTTGATTATATTATATGGTCCATATTGGTAGAGAGAAGAGTCTAGTACAGCATTATATCCAATCCACATCTATGTGTCACCGGCATTTTGATTAATTTACACCTCAACTTAATGATCTGTGTTATAAGAGAAATGATAGATGTTGTAATCGTTCTCGTTTTCCAAGAAATCTGTAAATGCAATATTTTATGGTAATTAAACAAAATTTAACTAAGAAGTCACTACTATCAATAAATCTACGTTGATTCCAACAGTCTTAATTTTGATGATATATGTGCACAATTCACAATATTTCTTATTGTCATTTTTTTAAATAATATGTTAATTATAGAATTACCCTGCTAAAAATTATTCTTAAATAATTATCTCTTCTTCACATTCCTTATTGATATTGTCTAAACATCTAGAAATTTAAATCATTGATGTGCCTTAAACTTTTATGAATTTAAAGTATAAATCATCATTGTGTTGGATGTTAAAGTATTGATATTAGACTTCTTCTTGAATGTCTAGTTTAATCCTTGTTGGCACTCCCATCATTAATTTATGGCTATTCTTGTCGTTAGATATTTCCAATGATAATTAAAACTTGCTGTAATCAACAATAGAGTAGATTTATATAGTTATATAAGGATTACTAGTGAGATTCAAAGCAGTTAGTTTTTCTTGTATCTGTGCTTGAGTCAACTCTAAAATATTGCCTTCTACCTCATATTCACATTATTCAGTATCAATATGTTCTTCATCATTTAAATTCAAGCAGATTGAACCTTTGCCATAAATTTCATGTAAGATTAATTTGAATCTTGACTAAGGAGAGATGTCGTTGATTTCAGAGAATATAAATTTTCTTGGCTTTAACTTATCCACTGAAACTTAAATTGACTATCCGCTTTTGAGGTCCATATACTGTTGAGTGATAGTGACAAAAACAGTATCATCGAAATTAATTCTTCTATCATTTTGATATTATACATTCTGTCCTTCTAATAAGATTTTCAACACACAATCAGGTTCACAGAATTTAAATGCATTAGAATGAATACTCTTAGAATGCTAGGTTTTGTATTCTTCTTTTGCATAAAGAGAATTAGATTCCTAATCTTAAGAATCAAAGATTTATATTTAATATCTTGTGTACCCATAATGTGAATTAATGTGAAATTATACATCAAGTTAAGGGGAGACTACTTTGTAATATAAGAATGTTTCTTGAAATAGATATTCTAAATTAAAAGTGTATTCTTATCCATCTTTAAGTTCAAGAGCAGTTTGTGGATTCCAAATGTTTAGATTGAATAAGATATCTTCATTACCATGATTTTCAATTATTAGATAAGCTTAACAAATACTACTTACATCAGAATTATCATCAATGTCATCTTATGAAACTCCATTCAAACACAAACTATTTAAGGCTGACTCTGTTAATTTAAGTGTGCTTGAATCTTCACTCTTTGCAAATTAAGAATGATTATCAGGTTTAACATCATTTTACACAGTTAAAGTTAATTTATTATTGCTTTTACTTTATAAACTAATGTAAAATATAGTAGTATTTTTGCTATAGTAAAAACTGAAATATTTAGATTTCAAACCTTTTACTCTATCAACAAATTATTAACCTGCATGTAATGTTTTCACAGTTCTACTTGTTGAATAAGTGAAGGTGTACATGATTTCCTTATCTAAAAATGTTTCAAACAGATTCTGAATACCAATAGTATAATTACCAGAATTCTAGTAATATTAATCTTGAGGTTGGATTGATAAATAGTTATTTGTAGTGATAAGATCGAATAATTGAAGAGATGGTAACTAATTACCTTATTTCAAAGTCAAAGCGACTTGCATTCTTGAAGAATGAATAGCAAATTCAATAGTTGGTTATTCTTCATCAATCACTTCTACATTCGAATCCACTTGATTAAAATTAATCACGACTCTAAAGTAATGGATTTTGGATTCTCCATTTGTCAATTGCAAAACTCCTCTGTAAGTTTCATCTTCCTTTAATACTTTGATATTAATTTCAGCCTATTTAGTAACCTTGGCCATAAATTGAAACATTGTGGTTTCTCTAGCTGTCAAAGTAATGTAATATTGAGTATGTTTCAACTTATCACCTCTAAGAACAACTAGGTGATCCACACCTCCAAAGTGCTTTGCACATTCAATTCGAACAGGGAAACAACCGCTATCTCTACTTATCATGTATACTATATTATGAGTATTGACTGTGAACACTAATTCCTCATCATCATCTGATTTTTAATATTTAAGAATGAGATGCTCTTCTTATGACTATTCCAAATAATTGGTATAAGCAACATCGGATTTAAGAATTCGTTGATTATTATCATTTTAAGTAGTCAACATATAGATATTCTTACTATCACTTGTTACTTCTAATTAGAATCTACAGAATCCTTCTTAATCTTTATTTTAACAATGTGGTGTAACATATACGGCAGGTTTCTATTCATGTTTGTGAAATCTCAAATTGTGATTGTCTTCATCACTAAATTAACAACCATTTTAACATTCTGCTATTCTTAAAATATTAGAACATTTTTCAAAATAAATTAATTTAATTCCCACTTCCTGCTCACTTTCAATAGTTTTGAATTAATAATTGTGTTTACCTTAGTCTTAGATTTTAGATAATATTAACTGATTATTGTATAGTATGGCTTCATCAATCAATTTCACAACCATCAGATATTTCAAAGAACCCCCCTAACTCAAATTGATAGTCACTTCATCCCCATCAATATCCTCTCTTCTCAAAATGACATGAAATGCTTGTCCTCTTTATTACAATTATATTGGTTCTTGTGAACTAAAATATTAATTATTCTGTTTGTGAACTTTCAATAATGGTAACATATCTCCAAATATTCCTATCTATAAAATTTTGAATTATTTAGGCAATTTCAATTAATAAGTGTTTTCTTCTCTTTCAAACAAATAATCAAATACTTCTTAATTGATTTAAATTTCTTCTTCATCTTTATACAAATATAATTATCCATTTATAGTTGCTTCTTCTTTAAGATTCAAATTTCCACTCAAAACAGCCAATAATTTGCATTTCTCGCAATCCTTCCTATTTACAGCCACTGTTAACTAAACTTCATCTCCATAGAGTCTAGCATTCTCTTCAAATATATCTATTTTTATTTTGTCTGATTCATCATCTTCCAATTTAAATTCTCCCACCATCCTACTATATTTAATAGGTAGTTGCATAGAAATCACTTAAATAGGCTATTTCTAAGTCAAAGTCAGCTCTGTACTCTTACTACTCAATTCAATTGCATCATTGCTTATTATTGTAATCCTACCAACACATGGTGCATTTAAGCATTTTAAATTTATATCTTCAGATTTGATCGTAAATAATGCAGTCTCATAAAATTCCATCAACTTAAAGTCCTCTTCTTTACTTTTTAATTGTATCTCACCCAAATCACTCTTCTTTTCATCCTGTAATGGTCGAACATACATAATTAAGAAATCCTTTTCCCATTTCTCTGGTAATTCAATTTGAATTGATTTACCCTATTTTAAATCAAATAAAAAATCCTTCGACTTCTTAGCCTAAGCTAACATTGCACATAAGAATAATACACAAATTCGAATGATCATTATATTATATATTTTATTATTTTATAATAGCACAATAATTCACAATAATCGTTATTTACATCTTATGTGTTTAATTCATTCTTTCTCTAGCTTGAATTCTTATAGATTAAGTTTTGGTTATATATAATTAATAGAAATGGATAATCAGAATTATGAATATCAATATCATCTGAAATATCATATTAAATATATGATCTGATTAATTTTGAAAATATTAATATCATTAATCAAACCAATTCATTCCATTTTCTCTAAAGGATATTTGATTAGAGGATAACATATTGGATAATTAAATGTTTTTATTTATAATTTTATATATATCTGCTGGAAAAGATAGTCATTATTTGGGATCCATAAAACACACTCTTCAACCAAATTAAACATTTGAGCATCAATTCTTTGATGTAAATCAAATTAGATCCCTTGATTTATACTTCCCTGATCCTCCCTATAGGATGATTAATGATGAAGATATGAATTGCTATTGGTCCAATCAAGCGATAGGACTTAAACCAATTTAAACAATTTCAATGAACATCAGCAATTCTTTAGATTCAGATATAGTTTGTTTTGATGAATGCTTTATTAGATAAGGGTAGATGATCTTTACAACAAAGAATTAAACATTGGATCTCCAATACTAAAATTTAAAATTATTAGTATTGCCCTCAGAAGGCCAAATAATTCATTATAATGAAAAAGTTGTTAGTATTTTTGATACTGTCAATATGAAAATAATAAATGATAATATTCCTGTTGATTTTACATAGAAATTAAAGTAAAGTCTAGTGAGTTAATAACATATGGCAACTAAAATAATGTATTTATGCTTAGAAAGTGGAGTATTTGCTTACAACGATGAATATTTTATCATAAATTAATATGGAACTAAATGCAAATCAATAATGTTGCAAGACGATAATTTGTATATAATAGCTGATGGAATATCAATTTATGATATTAATGATCCTTTTGAACCTTTTCATATCTATTCATTTAATATAAGTGGTCATTTCTTTGATATCTATCAGGATTATTTGGCAGTCCTGGAGTTGTTGAGCGATTAGAGAGCGAAATTAAGTTTGTTTAAACTCAATTTCCAATTTGGATTAAATCAATTAGTAAATATTACATAAGAATCGGAAGGAACAATACAACTAGATTCTTAAGATATTAGATTTGGATTGCTCAATAAGGACATTGCTATTATTATTAATAAGGAGTAAGTAAACTTGATAACCTTACAAACTAACTTTCATTAAAAATACAGACATAATAGTGGTTTGGGATAAGCATAACATTTCTTAGATCCAGAAAATAAGATATTCGTTTTAGATTCACAAATAATTCAAGTTAACAACAATAGTCTTATCTTTTATAATATTACAAATCAGAGTTATAATTTGGTATGTAATGCTCCTATTGCACATAAATTAAGGAAACATCTTTTTTTTGGAATTATCAGAAGTGAAGAGAAATGCAGAAGTTCAAAAATTGTAGATGACCGATTCAAAGAGCTTCTGTCCCGAGAAAAGGCTGATCCAAAAGTACAATGCTATTATACTTTTTAATTGAGTTTGAATATCATGCCTTTGCAAACACATTGGTCTTTACAATCAAAAATTCTATTGTGTATATTCTTATTTTTACTTATCTTGCTTATATTTCAATAATTCAAGAATCAACAGGAAAAACAAACTTTGAACAGTTTACAAAGGTTTGAATAATTAAATAGAATCAACCTTTAGAAATAAAAAATACGCATTACTCATGAGGACGAAGAATAGAATAATAATAAAATTGACTTTTATTGATAATTGCATATAATTAATTAAATCAGATATAACTCACATTATTTCAATCTAAATTAATAAAATTATTTTTATATTCCAATGACTTTAATAGAAAATTATTATGATAGTCTTTCTATAATGAATTATCAAAAAAGTAATAATAAATTTAATTTTAGCCAATTGATTCGAACAATATTTATACATATTTATACATTAAAATCAATCCTTATTTAATTGTGAGAAAAATGAACTTATTTTCCCCATCATATTTTATTATTATTAAGGTTATTATGGTGGTTACTATTATTATTCCTAATCTCCTGGCTAGTTCTACTCTTATTATTAAAGTTGGATTTATTTCTCTTATTAATCCTTTAATTGTTTCTATTTCTCAAAACCTTCAATAGCATTCTATTATTAAGTATATATGTTATTTTTACAAATAAATCAGAAGATATCTCTTCATTCAATTCAAAAAAGGCCATAAATTTATACATAATATCTTTAATTGCTCCAAACTTAAAATTAAATAGAAGCATATTTTGTGCCATTTGTGTTAAGATAGTTAAGATCATATTCTTTTCTGTTTGAATCTAATCAAATAGACTAGTGAAATATATATCATATAATACGTCAAGGACTTTTATCTTTATTATTGCTCCTTAATTTATTCATAGATTTATTAGATTATGCTGGTTTCCCACAGATCTCTATTTTCCCAAACTTATAGCTTGGAAAAGTCATTTTAAATAAAATAACTCTATGGTTTACCATTTTCAATATTTTCCTTATGGAATGTGAATGATAAATTCATCAATTATCTTGAAGTTCCAGCATCAAAAGTATCCAAACACTAATGTAAATAAAATATAGAATACTATTTCTAATATTGAGTTAAATAAGTTAACAGCATTTTAAAATCCAATTTGTCCAAGTCTAAATTTAGAAGTCGATCTTTTATATTGCAAAGCAATGATTACTAACTTTCTCAATTGATAATCATCTTAAATCTTTTTTTTAAATTAATTAAATATCTCTGTGTCGACTTATTCTTCTTTCCAACAATCAGAGACAATTTTTGATGCATAATAGGCATTTTCTAGTTTTTGATCTTCGGTTTAGAGAGTCCCTCCCTATTCTACCAGTGAAATGATTTCTTTAACTTTTGGATCATTATTCAATTAAAGTATCTCATCAAACTCTTTAGAAAAGAATTTTTATAAACTGTTGCTAATAAAGGAATTCAATTGAATCAATTCTGTTTTTTCGAAAAGAGGAGGATTCTCCAATTTCTAAGATTAGGCGAACTTCTGAACTTCTTCTTCAGGATGTATCTCATCTGTCTTCTCATTTATTTTGTCTAAATCATACTACACATTTTTAGAATGAGAGACTTCAAAAATCTAATTTATATATGATTATCTACAATCTATCTAATAAGAGTGTCTTTGAATACTGTAATTCTTTTTTCTTCTTATTCTTACATCTGAGTCAGAATTGTTTGGATTCTAGTTTTAGCTGTGTCACAATTTATATTGTAATCTGCAACTGATTGTTTATATCTTTATTCCATTTCTTATGATTCCTTTGTTACTTACGAGACTTTTTAATTTTAACTGAGTCTCTTCTTATCTGGATATTCTGATAGCAGATTATAGACAACCATCACAGTGGTATTTTATTCATATTCTCTCTTTTTTTATTTGTAATCTAAAAAATACTAAATATTATTTTATATTTTACTCTTTTATATTCCGAATTGAGAAATTAATGCTCTTTTTCTATTTTTTTGGCTTCCTCTATCAATTTCTTTGAAGAAGCATTTTATTATTAGATCAATTATTTTAATTGGACAATAAGATCTTCTTTTAATGATTAACATAATCCTTCTGCTTAACGCTATCTACTTGTACTCAGACATTTTAGACAATATATTGGGATTTTAAACATTCTAATAATAAGTGAAAATGTAATACTATTGCTTATCTTCAATTTTGGTTAGATTGTTCACTAATTTTTCTAATGATTTTGCATATTTTTCTTCAATATTTACTCTTTCTTCAAAGCTCTCTATAATTTCTTCAATGATTTTTCTGCCTTGTTAAGATTGATTAGCTACAAGTTAGAAATGTGAAAAAAATAAATCTGCGTAATTTGATTGCATTTGTTTTATAAATAAATAATAATTTTCAGAGATCTAATGCAGATTTACGGCGCCCCAGATTAGGAATAAAGTTGGAAAACACAATTTTAACTTCTTCACTGGCAATCTAATCAATATGATCAAAATCTCTATAATCATTATCAATTTCAAAAAATGCCATTTTTCTCTCTGTTTTATTTGTTGTTTATTTAATAAAGATCTTCTAATTTGGACTTGTCTCTCTCTCTCTCTTTTAAGTATCTACTGTATTATTCCTTTAGTCCTTCCTTTCAGTAGGGAATCTCTTGAATTTATCAATCTAACTTATTTAATAATTATTAATTTGACTAGTTCCGAAACTCGAAATATTCTAACTAATGTTCTAATTATTAGATCTATTGATACTCTGCTTTATTTATTTTTGATATCCGGTGATAAAGAATCAAGTGGTTAGTCCTTCAATGGTAAATTCAAGAATGAACTACCCTTGTGTTCTTAACCCTTATCCTCACTACTCTTTCGAGGATCAGAATCTACCCCTATTTGAACTGGTTTTTCTAAATATTAGGAATGGTACCTATTTTTTATTTTTGTTAATTTGTCCATAATCTAGACTTACGTTTCTTGATCTCTGGAAATCTCTCCCATTCGTATTCCAATGTAGTCTAGCCTTATTATGAATAGGTTTCTTATTGCAATTATTTTTAGAACAGTTCTTTCAGGAATTCATAATCAGGTTCACCCTAAAAGTCAAGTCCGCGGGCATAGATGAATAAATTCAAGAAACACTTAAATGATGATAATTAGGTTAAACTTTTGGCAATCCTTCGCAAAGCTTTTCCAAGGTCAATTGTTATTTAAACTCCTTAATTTTCTAATACTTCTCAGACTTTGTGGTTGTATTCAAATTCATCCATGGTAATTTCCCTTTGGCTAAATAGACTAATACGTATCCCAAACTCTCGATATCATCCCTACGCGATTATTCCTTAGCTTTAATTTCATACACATATAACATCATACATAAATGAGCTGTCAAACTAGCATATCTGGCTGTCCCTATGATTCCCTTTTTATCTACCTATGGTATATGATTCCCATTTTACTCTCTATAATACTTAGCCAATCCAAAATCAATCAAATAGATTTTGTCTACATCCTCATAACCTATACACACATTGTCTGGCTTTAAATCTCTGTGAATCAAGTTCTTTGAATGCAATAATTTCAATCTATCAATCAAACTAATTCCTATTCTGCACACAGTCGTCATGCTAAATTTATAATTACTCTTCTTGAAAAGATGCTCCAAATTCTAACCTAAGTAGGTTTGCATAAAGTAATTGTAATGTTCATCCCTCCCATAAAAGACGATCTAAGGAAAACCTTTATCGATTAGTTTATTACCTTCAAATTCTTAAACCTCAATCAAAACCTTTATTTCTTTCACTAACAAACTCACCCCATTGGAATTCTCATCCCTCTTCTCGAATTTAGTTGCAAATATATCTCCAGTCTCCAAATTCTCTGTCTTAAATATCATACCAAAACTCCCTTATCCAACTTTATCTATTAATTTGAATTTCTAAGCAATAATTTATCCAACTGATAATTTGAAGGGATTATCTGAATGCGTAGTCGCATGTTTTTTTGTGGATCTCATTATTATTTTTCAATCAATTATATATATATTTATAAATACTCATTACAAATAAAGATATTCCTAAATTATATTATTTCTGATATTATAATAATAGCATTTATAACCATTAATTATCTCATACAAAAAATTATTTTGGATTGAAATCAATAAATATGAATATTAAACAATTTCAACTAACAACAAATTGAAAAGCGCTCCTCAAATTTTTAATATAAAGTGTTGTTTAAGTGATTTCTCATGATAATCAAATTATTTAATATTATGAATATTACATTCATTTCTATAAGATAAAAACCAATGATTTTAAGCATAATAAATGCGTTCTCCTTAATAATTATTTGTTAGTATTATTATAAATTGTTCTTCTTTTTTCAGTTGTTATTATTTCATCAATTAATCATGTGAACTAAACCAGCACAGAATTACAGTTATATAATATGATAGTAAGAAAATTATATTTTACATTAGCTATTACAATAGAAATTTAAATTTTATAAGTTGTAAGTACTTGTGAAAAATGAAGAAAGGAACTCCAACTAATTTATTTAAGATATTCTAAATGCATCCATCTCAATCTTGATTCAAATGATTAACTAGATGAAGAAGAGTATAAGTATATCTAGAAAATCATTGAGGAATAAACATTCTTGTTTGAAGGATGCTTTTTGATTATAATGGTTTATTATTTTATATATTCATAAATATATATATATAAAATGAAAAAATGGGATGATGATTTTCGTATGAAGAGCTATGTTAATAAAATCCAGAATGCAAAGTCTACAGTGCCAAGTAACCAAAAAAAACCAACGAAAAGTATTTATTGGAGAACATTATAATAGAACAAATAAATAGGGATACAGAATTCAGTAGCCATGCATCATATCGATCTGATTTAACCGATTTCAAGGAAAGCTTGTTGTTCAAGTAAGTGAAGGTTATATTAATAATAGATAGTTAGTTGAATACAATTTATAATAATACACAAATAAATTACTATTGAGAGGCTATATTGGAGGGTTATAAACATTAGCCCAATAACCAATAGAATCACAAAATCTGGTATTGCAAGAGATTAGATTGCTGCCTGGACATAAATAGAAATTTTTCGATTTGTTTAAATATTTAAACGATCATTATGATCCTCACAATTATAATGGCCAATCCTCCTTAACTCCAATTAACAACAAATAAAACAGAAATACAATGCCTGGATAATAGAATTCTCATGGTAAATTTGAACAAACCAGAGATACTTATGTTGAAATACTGAAACCTGTTAATAGGCGTTCTTCTTTAAAACACTTCTCCCCTCTCTAAGATATAGGAGTAATTAAACCTAGAGTTTTACCTAAATTAGAGAAACACTCTAATAATGGTAACAATGAAAAAAGTCCTTAATTTAATGATACCTTATCAAAATAATTAATTCTCAATTCAGAAACCATTCATGGAAGTTCATTATCAATAACTAAAGAAATCCAAAAACCATTATCAAAAACAATTAATCATGCTGTCGTCAAAATTAAATAACCTAAAAAGAAGAAGTCTATGATTAAGTAAGGCACGGACAAAGATAATAAGTTATTGAAGAAACTATAATAAATCAATTCAAAAAATAGTATTGGAACTGAAATTCATTTATAGTAAGATCAGATTTAATTGATGTATTAATCATTTGATAATGGAAAATTAGCTTCAACCCTGATCAATATTGATATTGAAGAGATTAGCTATTGTGTAGGAATTACTCTCTAAAAAATGATTTCGATTGTTGATTTAGAGTAATAGAGATATCTCGAAAATGAAATCTAAGAAATTCAGCAAGCAATTTTTAAAGAGTCTGATTAATATCAGGAGGTAGAATCCAGAGGTAATAATATCTAATGATTGTGTAGATAGAGAAAGATATAGTGAGGATTGTCGAGATGAAGAAAATAATGATCAGACAGTCAATATGTCAAAGGTAGATGATACAATTTGTTAAGATTACCTAAGAGAAGCTATAATTGAGCCTGAAATCACTGATTAATATTATGGTAACGAGGATGTTGCCACTGAATAATTTTAGAAACTTGATCAAAGTGAATAATCAAAACTATAGACAGAGTAGGAACAATAGGAATACATTTAAGATTAAGATAATAAGTATATTAAATTAATTTATTTATTAGCGATTAAATTTCTAAATCATATTTTTCAGTTGATACCACATATAATTTAGATGATTATCTTTTGTTTAATAAAGTTTTTGTTGATAAAACTATGTCTAATTATATCCCAAATGTTGACATCATATAAAATTATTGTAAGAACATAATGACAACTACCAAAATGGAAAGGGAAGTAGCAATCATCTCTATGATTTATATTAACAGATTGCTCTCTTATAATTAGGGCTTAGAAATTAATTGTTTGAATTGGCAGAAAATATTATTTACAGCATTAGTTATGGCATCAAAAATTTGGGATGATGAGTCTTTTGAAAATAATAATTTTGCTAAAGTACTGCCTCAATTTTCTACTGTATAAATTAATGAAATGGAAAGAGTTTTCTTGAAATTCATAGAATATCATCTCTATGTTAAATCTGGAGAATATGCTAAACAATATTTCATCTTAAGAGCTTATGCTGATAAAAAACAAAGAAGTTATGCTCTTAAATAATTAGATATCTCAACTGTTATAAGATTATAAAGAGGAGGTTAATAATAAATTTCAAAACAGTAATATTTAAATACTTAAAACAAAAGCTTTTGAAGATTACTCTATTTTATAATTGTTTATATATATATGATTTATGTCAATTTAAAGATTTTTAAACTACTCTAATGTTATTTAAAGTCAACCTATGTGGTTATTAATCTATACTCATTTCTAAAATATTTAGGGAGACATATTTAATATGATTGAAATCCATCTTATCAGATTAACTACCAATATTTCTTCATTATTCTATAATCATTCTTATTAAAAATCAGTCCTATTGATCCAAGAATTTCTATTCTTTTTTTTTAGATGGTGTAAATGAGTTAAGATTTAGGATCCATGTCATCAACTGATATTTTTCCCTATTTATTGATTATATATTTTATATATAATCAATAATAATGGATAATAGGGATTAAGTAAGCTTATTCTTATTAAATTATAGTCCATTTTAGTTGATGAAGAGTTTTGTGATAAGAATCTGTTTAATCACTGTCAAAAAAGAAGAACAGAAAATGCAAAATAAAATCCCAAAATTCATCTCTAAGACTTTTAACTTAATACTATTAACAGATATCATATAGGATACATAGACCATCCTCACATCAAATCTAGTAAAATTATAATCCCTAATAAATACGAGCTCAAAACATTTCAATCAATAAGCATCAATTAAAAAAGCACAACTTATAGAAGCCAGTCTGTTAGGAACTCGAAAAAACTAAAGAGCCTCTCAACAGAAATTCAACAGTTTAAGATTTACAGTCCAAAAATATGTTTTTTCAGAGGCACTCAGGCTTAGGTAAACTTAAGCCAATCGTATAAAAATAAATGCTAGTAAATCCAATCTCTTAGACATCAAGATTAACTATTAAAAAAAATACTGAAACCCCTGCTATTGAAGTAAGCAACAGTAATTACATTGAACAAAAGCCAGCGTCTTTTCGCTATAATGATCTCCAATTGAGTCAATATTTGGAAGAATTTAAATTGCTAAAGTAAGAAACCCTAACTAATGTGATTTTACCTCATCTCTCATATAAAACAAATAGAACCTAAAACAATCACACGTAAACAACGAATAGACAATAAACTAATAATCAATATTATAATAGTATACTCCATAAAAATAAAGTTAAATAAAGATAAACTCATATAGAATCACAAAAACAGAACCTAACTCTAAGTGGATGGAGTGATTATTCAAATAAATGATTTATCTTCTATATTATTAATTTACAGAAATAACTTTATTATTGAAGTATATCTTCTTTTATAAGGAATTTATAGGTATTACAATTATTCATAAATCATTAAAAAAATAATTTATTATTATGAATCCAGCTTAAAGTATCGCCTAACAATTCCTACAATAATACTATTAGACATTGATGACCAATAAAATGGCTTTGATTTAATTTTACACTGATGCATCAATTATGACATATGGTAATTATATTTACAATCTTTTAGGCGGAGAACAATACAATGGATTAAAAGCAATTAATGAAAAATTAGAATCATTAGCATTCTAATAGATTGTATATAAGGTTGACGACATGGATGTTTAACCAGGAGCAGTTTAGAATTCTCTTTTCCTCTTTGTTACAGGGACATTGCAAATGGATGGCTCAGATACATTTAAATTCTCTCAGAGTTTTCAGATCCTTCCAAATGGTTAAGGAGGATTATACGTACATAATGATATTTTCAGATTGGTTTATTGAAATATTAATAATAAAATTATTAAAAATGGGATTTGAAGATTAGATTCCACCTATTCCAAATAGAGATCAAGAAAAGAGATACATTGCTACAGTAGAAAAGTCCTTCTATGATCAACCCCTCTATAAATTTTATATGAATGAAGCATTAAGAGAAAGAAAGATGGACTATGCTGATAAATTGAACACATTCAAATATGAATGGATTCTCAATTTTGCTGCATCTGGCATAGTATTTAGCTTGTTATATGTAAAAGATTAACAAATTAATTAGTTTATTCCCGTTTCCCACTTTTATAGACAAACAAGTACAGGAGTTCCAACCTATTATCAGTATTATTTAATCTTATATGTTAGACCTAAGAACAAGGCAGTTTTTAAATAAGGATATTTACAAAATCAAAATTGGAAAAGATTCAAGTTATATTCATTCTTAGTTTTTGGATCAGCATTTATTTTTGCTCATACTTATACAGACAGATCATAAATTCATGATGAATATTACAACAATGTAGGAGTCATTAAGCCAAAATTTGAATGAGATAGAATTAAATAAGAATAATAAAATTATTATAGTATTATCAAATAGCATTAATATAGAGATTCTTTAATAATAGGCACTTACAATTTAGAAATTTAAATGTATATTGCAAAAAGTTAAAAATGCATACATCTTTACTGCTGCTATCAATTTTATATTGTTATTAATCTTTGATTTTTCTAATATAATATACTTTCAGAAATTAGAGTTTAATCCACTTAAACATAAATATTTTCGACTTAAATCAAGCAACGAAGATAAAGAAGGATAATCACAGGGATATAAATGATTGAACAAAATATAGTGAAAATAGTTTAATAATCAGAGAAATCAAAGATTATATAATATTTTAATTATTGAGATTATATTTTTTAATATAAATAAATCTCTCATATCGATAATCTCAAAGAGACTAGTTAGAAGTGGATTAAACTGAACACAAATATCCTAGAATTAAGGAATTAATCAGAATTTTATAGCTTGTATATTAATAAAAGAAAGATAGAAAATTAAAAAAAAAACAGATAATATTGAAGTTAAACCAAACCTCAAAATGAATAGAAGAGATGCAATGTCTGTAGTTATTTAAATAAAGGTTTAGATAGATAGATAAATAAATTATATAATATTATAAATTATTTAAAGAACTTATTAGCATTGTGTGCAAAGAAATTTTATGACAATACAATTTTTCATAGAAATATTCCAGGATTTATCATTTAAGGTGGAGATCCTACAGGTAATCTAAAATATGGATTTAGTATTTAAGGAACAGGCAAGGGTGGGGAATGCATTTATGGAAGATATTTTGAGGATGAAATTGTTCCAGAAATAAAACATGATAGAAGAGGAATAGTCTCAATGGCAAATGCAGGAAAGGATACTAATCAATCACAGTTTTTCATTACCTATTCGAAATAAAATCACTTGAATGGTCTCTATACTGCATTTGGTAAAGTTATATATGGATGGGAGGCTCTTGATTTGATGGAAAAGGAGACTGTGGATAACAATTACAAACCATTGAATGAGATTAAAATATTTAAGACAACCATCATGCAAATCCAATAGCAGACATCGAATAATTTTGAACAAATTTAGATATATCATTATTGGTAATCTGAAACAGATGGACATTAACATATAAGATTTCTATCTCCAAAAGCATTATTAATTCTGCTCACGGTTGGCCATACCTTGCCTCTCTGTAGAACATAAGGCAATGGGAAAGCAGCTTCTTCTCTTGAGTATTTATGATTCCAACCACTATTGATTACTTAATCTTATGTATGAGGAGCGTTTTTCAAGGGATTATCATTTTTATCATATTATCCATTTTTGACCTTCTCAATTTCTAATTTAATGTTCTTCATAGCTTCAATGAATCTATCTAATTCAGACCTAACAATTAATATAAATATATACTTAGATTCACTTTCAGTGGGTTCAATCATGAGTGTTCCTGGGACTGGGAATGACATAGTAGGAGCATGGAATCCATAATCCATAAGTCTTTTTGCAATGTCTTCTTCAGTGATTCCACTTTCTTATTTGATAGGTCTGATATCAATAATAAATTCATGAGCACACATTCCATTTTATCCAGTGAATAGAACTTTGTAGTCATTTTTCAAACTCTTCATTAAGTAATTAGCATTTAGCATAGCCATAGCTGTGCATTTCTTTGCCCCTTGCCTTCCAAGTTGTCCAAAGTAACTATAAGGAATTGGGAGTATTGATGCAGAACTAAATAAAGATGAAGCTACACTTCCTAAGGAATGCTCTCTGCCTGGAAGATATGGTGCCAATTTCTTATTAACAGCAATAGGACCTAATCCAGGACCACCTCCTCCGTGTGGGATAGAGAATGTCTTATGAAGATTCAAGTGACAAACATCAGCCCCTAAATATCCAGGAGATGTGTATCCAACCTAAGCATTCATATTGGCTCCATCCATATACACTAATCCTCCATGCTCATGAATCAATTAAATAATCTTCTTTGTTTGATCTTCATAGACTCCATAAGTTGATGGATATGTAATCATAATGCATGCCAATGACTTTTCATTCTCTTTAATTTTCTTATTCAAATCATTCAAATCAACGTAACCATCTACCACATTTACTGGTACAACACTTAACCCAGCAAGAACAGCTGAAGCAGGATTAGTACCATGAGCTGATATTGGAATTAGACATATATTTCTATCCTTTTGTCCATTCATAATATGATATTTTCTGATGCATAATAAACCTGAGTATTCTCCTTAAGCACCACTGTTAGGCATTAAGGACACGGCTTCCATTTGTGTAATATCGCATAACCATTTTTCAACATTTTCAGTCAATTCTTAATATCCTTAGGTGCAAGACAAAGGGGAAAATGGATGTAATTGCGAGAATCCTTAGAATGAGACAGGCAACATGAAAGAAGTTGGATTCAATTTCATTGTACAACTACCTAATGAAATCATAGACTTAGTTAGTGAGACATCCTTCTATCTTAAATAGTTGATGTATCTCAACATTTCGGTTTCACTATGTAATGAATTAAACACCTTCTATTACATAAAAGGTGCTCTTTCAGATTTATATGGAATCACCTTTTGGATGACTGACATAAAATCTGCTTTTTTCTTTGAGTAATGTTGAAGATGATTGAATAAATCCTCAATATCTTAGACTGTGTGAGTCTCATCAAAACTAAAGATAGTGTCTTGTCCTACTTTCCTGACATTGATTTATGCATTGTAATGTAAATACTCTTGCAAGGTTTCTGTGTTGTGTAACACTACTGTATCAAAGATCCTTCCTTCTTTAACGACTAATCCTAAACTTTTTGCTAATTTAGCAAAGCTTCTTGCCAAGCAATTGACTCTATTGGCTATCTTTTGCAATCCTTAAGGGCCATGATAAGTTGCATATAATCCTGCCATATTTGCCAACAATGCTTGTGCTGTACAGATATTGGAGGTTGCTTTTTCCCTTCTAATATGTTATTCTCTGGTTTGCAATGACATTCTATAGGCTGATTTTCCATTGGCGTCTTTGGAAATACCAATAATACGTCCTGGCATTTTTCTTTTGAATTCGTCTTCTACTGCAAAGAAAGCAGCATGTGGTCCACCAAAACCCATAGGCACTCCAAATCTTTATGAATTCCCATAAGTCACATTCGCTCCTTAATCTTTTGGTGTTTTATTGATGGTTAAACTCAACAAGTCAGTTCCAATTACTTTTAAGAGTTTGGCATCTTTGAGAGTGTGCTTGAAAAGATCACTCCAATCATGAACTTCTCCTAGATTATCTGGTGATTGAACCAAAACTCCACAATATTGATCTGCATCTTTGAAATCATAAGTTTTGGCATCTCCAACAACGATATCAATTCCTAAATAATAAGCTTTGGTCTTGATATAATCGATGCTCTGTGGAAACACATGATTGTCTACAAAGAATTTCTTCTTCTCGAACCAAGAATTTGCCAAGAACATTGCTTCTCCTGCAGCAGTTGCTTCATCCAATAATGAGGCATTAGATACGTCCATACCTGTTAATTCTGTGATTACAGTCTGATAATTGAGAAGAGCTTCAAGTCTCCCTTGGGAAATCTCAGCTTAATAGGGAGTATAGGATGTGTACCATCCTGGGTCTTCAAGTACATTTCTCAAGATGACATAGGGTGTGTGAGTGCCATAATAGCCTTGACCTATGTAGTTTTTGAATATCTTGTTCTTATTGGCTAAGGTTTGGAGATGCTAGACCATAGATGATTCAGGGATGGCGTCAGGAAAATTGTCTGGATTTTAGAAGGCTGCCTCACTGCGAATCTCCTTGGGGATAATTTTGTCCACAAGCTCGTCGAGTGTGTTGGCTTCTACTGTTTTCAACATCTCTTTCACTTATTAAGGCTCAGATCCTATAAAGCGTGATTCCTAAATTTAGATCGAAGCATACAATGTAGTCACTTGACTTGAACCAGTCAGGGACTTTGGGATTTACTTCGTGGGGATTGGCCAACCTGCTGAAATTAGCAACACGTTTTATTAATCTTATAGATCTAAGCATTAAATATTAAAAAATGATGCAGTACTCTTCCCTGCATTTATTTATATACATATATATATAGAAAAACTGTTATAATGCATTAAAGAGTACTAACAAATGAAAGTCCATATCACAGGCAAATCTACAGAAGACCTCGACTATAATCTCAAGATCCAGGTCGCAGAGTCCTGACAGAAACTGATACGAAGACAAACATTTCAAGAAAATTCACCAAATTCGACTTTGATTCTGTGCTAACAATTAGAACAAGTAAGGGTAGCAAGAAGTTTAAGCCACAACGCTTTGAAGCTAAACCTATTGTAAAGTATTTTGCAAAGCTAGAAAACTGAAGTCGACTCAGATTTGGAGACCTATTAAAGAATGGTTCTGGCCAAGATGAAAGAAAAGAATATTCTGCCAAAACAACGTTCTCTAAGCAATGCTACACCATAACAAAAGAGCTAAGATCGTTATGCCTCTTTGGATTCACAAAACAGAATTAACAACAAATAAACTCAAAATGTGCATCCTAAGATTTTGTGGGATATGTCAGAAGAGGAGTGGCAATAATTTGGTGATCGCTTTCCCCAACACTTTGAAAAGAAGAAGCTACTTGGAAGAGGTGGATTTTCATTAGTATGGTTGGGAGAACACAAAAGAACCAAAGAAAAGTTTGCTATCAAATAAATCCTTTCTACCAACACTCACCAATCCCACATGAAGGAAATTTGGTTTGGAATTCATTTCTTCCAAGATGGTCAACCCAAAAAGCAGTTTGCAAATTTTCCCGGCTGTAAGAATCTAGTACGTTTCCTCACATACGACATCAAACCTCAAGACACTTGGATATTTTAGGAAATTTGTGGAGAGAGTCTTGGAAATCAACTTTATGATCTCAAAGGAAAAAATATTAATAACGAACGCATGTATAAGGTAGATACACTTCATTTATATTTCAGTTGACTCATAAACCTCTCTATAACACATTTCGAAAAGATTTGACTGAACTCAAGAAACTAATCAGAGAATTAGCATAGGCTCTTGATCTCTTGTAAGATCAAAGAATCGTACATTCTGATCTTAAGACCGAAAACATTTTAGTTAAGAAAATCAAGAACGAGAACGATCTACATGAACTAACTTAAGTTAAATTGATTGATTATGGCAGTAGTTTTCCATTTGATGATTTAAAATAATTTTCAATGGCCACACCAGAGTAACTCATTTTTCTTATTTTAGATACATGTGTCCAGAAATACTTAACTATATCTTATATGAGAATCAAATGAATTACCGTCCTTGTTTGATGAAGTATTTAAGAAATTACAAGAAACCTTGGGTAATTGATGTTTGGTCTCTGGGTTGTGTGGTACTTGAGATTATCTCAGGAATTCCCCTTTGGATGAGTCTTAAAACTATAGTTACCAAAAATGGAAAGGAAGTAATAGATTATGGATTATTTGCTGTTAAGGGTAGAGTTTTTGATAAAATAATTGATCGTTAAATGGAAGTTATTTAAAATTTAGATAGTTATATTGATAAAAATTATTCTGGTATGATTATAATGTTATAATCAATTAGGCTTAAAGATTGACAATTAGACACGATTTATCTTGAAAGAAATGCTAAGTTTGGATCCAGAGAAAAGATTATCCCCGAAGCAAATAGTCGAATACTTATCAACAAAAAAAGAACACCTTATAACTCAATGATTTATACTATTATACTTGTTTGTTGTCGACAGTTTTAGTTTATTTAATTAGGGTTTCCAAAGACTTTCGACTATAATAATTGAAAAATCCTCATCTCATTGAATTAAATTTGAAAATAATTTTGGATGTCTTGAATAATATTTTAATTAATAATTCATGAACTCAGTATCCACAAATATTTCTTTTTCAGATATTCGGGATGTGAAAATCTATTTAAAAATTCATTACAATGCTTTATATGGATAAGCAATTTACTTATGTGGTGACGACGAAAGGTTGGGAATTTGGGATTCTACTAAAGCAATAAGACTCTAATGGAATGAGGTATAGTATTGAAGTTCAAAAAGAATAATGAATGGACTACCTGTCTTAAACTTCCAAGAATTTGTAAGAATTTTGAGTACAAATTCCTCTTAAATGATTATGATAATCCATCTCGATAAAAAGAAATTTGGGAACCTGGAGAAAATCGTATAATTACCAAACATTTATTATTGAATGGCAAGAAAGGGGAGTACTTTAATTGTAATAGTTCATTGAATTATTGTAGAGGAGCATTGGGGTTATAGAACAATCAAATTAAAGCTCAATCATAATTTATAGTTTGGGGAACGCATGATGATTATAGGTTCAATACCAGAAATAGGTTCTTGGAAAACACCTGTGTTAATGAAATAATAATAGAAGATTGATATACGTATTACTCAATCCATAATTCTGAAATAGTAACATAAGAGCCTATTCAACAATGGTCCATTTCATTTATTGTAAATCCTCTTAATTTTTATTTCCGATATTATTATGTGATTAGAAATGATGAATCTGGGAATATGATATGGGAAAGAGGGAATGGACGTTATCTCAAAACTGCTGATCTCTCTTCTCTTCGATAAGTACTTGATCAATATGCACTCCATCCAATTAAAGTCAAAACATAAATCTACACAGCATTTCAAACAAAGCCATAATACAAAAATGGCTCATTTTCAACTACTAAAATTCCAAAATCAAAGATCAAACCTAATAGTTAAGGCTATTAATTTGCAGACAAAGAGCCTTCGTTCTTTTACTATGAAGAATTCGGAAGGTTGAACAAATTGGATTGGAATTTCGTAGTCTAGTTTCAAACATACGAAATAAATGAAAATATAATGATTGGTCCTTATCCTCAAAACGAATAAGACATTTTATTATTGAAATAAAAATAAGTGAAGGCAGTCCTCAACTTGTAGACTCGTTTAGACATGTTTCATAGAGGAGTTAATTGGGAATAAATAGTTGATGCATACAAGAGATAGAATATAGTAATGAAGAATTATCAGATCTTTGATATGGATGCAGAAGATTTTGAGAAGAAATCCAACAAGGCCGTATAGATTCTCAAGAAATTAATCAATGAGTATGAGTACGTNTAATAATTGAAAAATCCTCATCTCATTGAATTAAATTTGAAAATAATTTTGGATGTCTTGAATAATATTTTAATTAATAATTCATGAACTCAGTATCCACAAATATTTCTTTTTCAGATATTCGGGATGTGAAAATCTATTTAAAAATTCATTACAATGCTTTATATGGATAAGCAATTTACTTATGTGGTGACGACGAAAGGTTGGGAATTTGGGATTCTACTAAAGCAATAAGACTCTAATGGAATGAGGTATAGTATTGAAGTTCAAAAAGAATAATGAATGGACTACCTGTCTTAAACTTCCAAGAATTTGTAAGAATTTTGAGTACAAATTCCTCTTAAATGATTATGATAATCCATCTCGATAAAAAGAAATTTGGGAACCTGGAGAAAATCGTATAATTACCAAACATTTATTATTGAATGGCAAGAAAGGGGAGTACTTTAATTGTAATAGTTCATTGAATTATTGTAGAGGAGCATTGGGGTTATAGAACAATCAAATTAAAGCTCAATCATAATTTATAGTTTGGGGAACGCATGATGATTATAGGTTCAATACCAGAAATAGGTTCTTGGAAAACACCTGTGTTAATGAAATAATAATAGAAGATTGATATACGTATTACTCAATCCATAATTCTGAAATAGTAACATAAGAGCCTATTCAACAATGGTCCATTTCATTTATTGTAAATCCTCTTAATTTTTATTTCCGATATTATTATGTGATTAGAAATGATGAATCTGGGAATATGATATGGGAAAGAGGGAATGGACGTTATCTCAAAACTGCTGATCTCTCTTCTCTTCGATAAGTACTTGATCAATATGCACTCCATCCAATTAAAGTCAAAACATAAATCTACACAGCATTTCAAACAAAGCCATAATACAAAAATGGCTCATTTTCAACTACTAAAATTCCAAAATCAAAGATCAAACCTAATAGTTAAGGCTATTAATTTGCAGACAAAGAGCCTTCGTTCTTTTACTATGAAGAATTCGGAAGGTTGAACAAATTGGATTGGAATTTCGTAGTCTAGTTTCAAACATACGAAATAAATGAAAATATAATGATTGGTCCTTATCCTCAAAACGAATAAGACATTTTATTATTGAAATAAAAATAAGTGAAGGCAGTCCTCAACTTGTAGACTCGTTTAGACATGTTTCATAGAGGAGTTAATTGGGAATAAATAGTTGATGCATACAAGAGATAGAATATAGTAATGAAGAATTATCAGATCTTTGATATGGATGCAGAAGATTTTGAGAAGAAATCCAACAAGGCCGTATAGATTCTCAAGAAATTAATCAATGAGTATGAGTACGTGTATGTTCATTGCACTGCTGGAATAGGGAGAGCCCCTTCAATTATTGTTTTATACTTAAGTTCGATTCTTTAATATGATTTAAAAGATGCTATCGAATTTGTTAAATAAAAACGATAATAGTTTTATGTTAATTATTGTAAATATCAGTGATATTAATAGCTATGCTAAAAAAATCTTTGCAGAAGACTCTTGTGTTTAATCATGGATTGGGTTACTAGAATTTGGCTTAAACTTTGTGAAGGATGGAATAATAATTTATATATAATTAGTTAAAAAATTTATAATTTCAAGGCCAAACTTTTCCAGTCGAATTGAGATGAAAATATTATCTAAGAATTTTATTAATATCCCATACCATTTATAAATATAAATTTTGTTTGAATTTCATTAAATTATTAATGATAGATATGGAAATTATTCATGCTTTTTAATGTTTGATCTCATTTCAGCAATAAGAACATCATTAACACAAAGCGCATCTACAATTTACTGACAATAAAATAAATCTACTTTTGAATACTCAGTGTTTTGAAATAGAAATATCCTATAAATTAAAATTAAAATGGAAATGCCAAGATAGCAAATTAACTTCAATTCATTTTCAGTAATTCACAATTTAAGCTGACAATGAAGATCTCCTTAAACTCAAGAAGCATTTAGATTGTTCAGCCACATATGTCGGAATTAGAGAAATTTATGATAATGTTATATTAATTTAATAAACAGACTTTGCTAAAGTAATAAGTGAATTTCATTTTTAGATATGCTCGCTTAAAAACAAATTGGATGGGAAAAAGTACTTTTGTAAGTGTTATAAAAAAGCAGAAGTTGAGAAATATAAAATATATGAGCAATTGGTTATTCAGCGTAAATTAGGTGATTTCAAGAATGTTGCTCAAATAATTGATTTCTATGAATCATCTAATTCCTATTATTTTATATATGAATAGATGAAGAGGATTCATTATCATAGTCTGAGTCATGAAGATATATAATCGATGATGTTTGTATATTCAATTTTATATTAGGATATTTTATGTTGTGTAAAAATGTTGATAGTGAATCGTGTCTTCCATTCCCAAATAAATTTAACTAACATTGTAATGGATAAAGATATGAATTGTAAACTTGTGGGTTTTGAACATGCTGAATTATTAAATGAAGAGAGTGCTCTATAAAATTCATTGATGTTGACAATGGTAGGACATGTGATGGTCAAATTGTATTAACTAATCACTTAATTAGATATCAATACAATTCTATTAACAAGGAGTAGATATCCATCCCTGATTATGGTAATTCCCTTGTGTAAGGATTGTTGCAAACTGATTTGGATCAGTAAATCAATATTGAGCAGGCCTTGAGTCATGAATACTTCGAATATTTCGATTACAATTCTAGTCCCATGATGCAAAAATAGATTGTACCAAAATTGAAGTCATTCATTACCTAATAGTCTCTTTCATCGCCTATAGAGACCAACATCTGATTTTTATATTTACTTTTATAATTTAATTTTACTCAAAATTATGATTATCTCCAAAGATGCTGAATTAGGATCTCCTGAAACTTAAATGGAAATCATGTAATTGATAGTCCCTAGGTCTCTCCTTATAACAAAATTTAACAAAAAGCAATACACCACAACATCACTCTGATATTAAAAAGGATACTTGAGATGAGAGATTGCAATCCTTGGATGATAAATCATATATTCTCATTTCTTAATTACTATTTATGACTTAATCTTTTAAGATTAGTTTCTTCTCAATTTAACAGTAGAACTATTAGAATTACTCACTAAAAGTGGTATCCAATTTTACAATACTCTAATTTAGCTGTCTTCTCCACTTCCTATAAAACTCCACAAATAGTATACAGTCTTATGTCTGTTTCTAAATTAGATTTCGTTACTGCCTAAACAAGATCTAGAATCATTAAGATCATCTCATTTCTATTCAGATCATCATTAGCTGTTTTTAACTCAGATCTTATGATGGTCCCTTATACTAAATTTATCTCCTTATTCTAGAAGAAGCAATTAGGATATTTGTGCCTGCTACTCTTGAATAACCCCTACAGAAATCCAAATAGAAGACAGGACACTGTTGGATCTAGAAATTAGAGTGGCTATGAACAATAAGGTTTTAGTCAATATCCATATAAATAGAATGATTAAAATTAATTACCTTATAGATAAAATTATTCAAACCAAATCAATAATCAAATATGTATCAAAATACCTGCTATTTAATAATTTGGATATTAATCCTAACCCTTATATACACAACCTTAATATAATCCTCTATACTTCAAACCTCAGTTTAAGATTATCTAAATTTGAATTCTACAGAATTCAATGAAGAAATGTTGAATTTACCATCCAAAATTTAAGTGATGGAATTGATACTACCATACTCTATTATTATGGATAGTCTAGAGCCAATTTTAAAAGATTGTCAATTTATTAGAAATTGCAATGAGTCCCAATTATTTATTATCTAAGAGTATGAATCAAGAAAAGTCAAAGAAGCAATTAAATAAAATTAATACAAAGGATAATGAAAGCTTTTACTTATCAACCCAAAGAATTTTAAGTAATATTCTATGATGTGATATTAAATTATCAGATTTTTAATTTGATGTGCTCACTGTTCTAATCATGATTGATTCACAATCTCTAAGAATTTAGAAGTTGGGATTTAAAATACTTTCATTAATGTTTGATCCATATAGACTCTAATTTACCAATCATTTACCTATCTAATTTGAAAACTATACTAAAGTCGAATGGATTGGACATTAGATGGATAGAAGGTAGAGGAATTCTAATACTATGCTCTTTAAACTTTCTCAAATTTGGCTATAAATGATTACATTAGAACATAAATACTACTTTAAAAGGAATTGAATTTTTCTTGAAGGTGTTGAGAGAAAGCTATAGAGTTATTGCTCATAGATTGGCTGCCAAAGGATTGTTAAATTTATCAATTAAATCAAGAGAAACTAAACTATCAATTGTCTTCTTGTTGGAGGAGGAAATACAAAGATTGCAAATGGGAGAGATGAACACTGTGGTTTAAGGATATTTTATTTTGTGTAACATTCAAAATAATTATAAGTAAATCATAATGTTCAAATATATTAGTTTAAGAACAAAAGAAAGAGGATAGTTATTGTGATTTATATACATACAATAACTAAATATTTTTTTATCCCAAGGTCAAATAGATTTGGTACTTGAATTTTGACACTAATTGAATAACTTAATTATTTCTTGATAATAGCTAACTGAAATTCTCCGTTTATTCATGATAAATGAATTTAGTAGATGATACTTCAATATTCTCATTTAATTTTAAATCATTTTAGATAATGTAATTATCTGTAAGATCTTTCTATAAATTTTTGGTTTAATCAAATACAAAGCAACTATCTTGCATATTATCTTGGAAATTCAATTTTCAAATTATAATTAGTATAACTCTCCTTTAAAGATTATTATTATAAATATCTTAATGATGCAAAGCTCTGCAGTATCATTTGCGAAGTGTTCATGATTACAACTAAATGTGGAATCTTCGAAAAATAATCAAGTAAGTCTGTCCTTATGTATATGATAGATAGAATTAAAAATAAACGTTTCATAATTTCAACATTTTATAATTCATTTCATTTTCAATAAATTTCTTATTGTTTCTGAGTTGATTGAATTATTGTATCCACTCTTATTTACACTATTATTATGTTTTGTCTAACTTCTGTTTTGTTGTATATTACATATTTCAGCTAGAGTCTATCGGCCTTTCATCATATATTAACTAATTTAGATGTTATTTGATCGTTGATTATTAGAGGCCTACTATTGTTACAATAGCTTATTGTATCTCTTAAAGAGTTCATCACATGAGCTTCTATGAGAGGTGTAACCTCCATGTTGAGAGAAGGAGGATAACTTCTTTGGAGAAATTTACCTCTAAGAGGTAGACCCATCATTACTCTAATCCTTTTTCTTTGATTCTGATTAACAACTATCATACTTTACTCATACTTAGATTTCTTTAATCTAGAGAGACCCTCTTGTAATCTCTTTATTTCTTGATTAGCCTCCTCCAACTTTGATTATAATCCATCCTAATACAATTTCATCTACTATTCTAACTAAAATTAAAAATGTCTTCATACACTTATGTGATTTCGGATGTCTGCTTCCTATTATTGCAATACAGATTCCAACTTCTTATAATCCAGATTGCTGTTCCTCAGTTATCGAGACAACTTGCTAATTCGCTGTATCAGATCCTGACAACTCCAATTCTCAATGCCATTGATCTTCTCGTTACAAAATATCATCATCTGATGTAATATGTTAAAGTCTTATACTTCTTCTAAAAGATTGCGCAATCCTTATTCGACTTCCTATTTCTCATGCCTGTTCATTTAACGAAATTAATTAAACTAAATCTCAATTTTTTAAAATGGAAGAAGAAGACTGCACTATTTTTATTGAAGAACTCAAAAGCGATGATCCCACTCTCAAGCTCAATGCCGTAGACAAAATCGTAACTATAGCACAAATCCTTGGCCCTGCAAGGACATGCCAAGAACTCATTCCTTATTTAATAGACATCATTGAAGAATAGGATAACGAAGATGAATTCCTCATTAAATTAGCGAAAGAATTAGTCAATCTCAAACCTTACACTGGTGCCAATATTCATTTGTTAAATGCGCCTTTAGAAATACTGAGTTCTATGGAAGAGCCTTTAGTCAGAGATAAAGCAGTCGAATCCTTAATCTTACTTGCAGAAGGAATGCCTAACAGTAAACTCAATCCATTTTAATTTTACTAGGTTTTTTTGAAAGTCACTTTTTTTAAATTGTCCAATAACTAGGCCAATGGGACAACTTTCCTTCCAGAATATCAGCAGCTAGTCTTCTACCACTCACTTACAAACATGTTTCATTAGAAAAATAAAATACTCTTTGGGATTTATTCAAATAACTATGCGGAGATGACACTCCCATGGTTAGAAGAGTTTGCGCAGGAGTTTTGCCTGATCTTGCCAAAATGAAATGCTAACCATAACAATTAATATAATTATGGGAAGCACTGCTCAAAGATCCCATCGACAGTGTTAAAATTAAAGCAATTGAAGGATCCCAATATATGCTCAAATTAATTGATGAAGAACATGAATTAGAAACATAGATTCAAGGATACTTTGCTCTAGCTGATCCCAAAGAAAAAAGTTGGCGAGTTAGATATACTGTTCCTGAGTGTTTTGAAAGTATAATTGACATCATAGTTAAACTAAGTAAGAAGTTGTTTTAAAAATTTAAGATAAAAATAAAAGTATTTTAAAAAATCAAGCAGTCCCTGTGTTTTAATAACTACTTAAAGATACCGAGCCTGAAGTAAGATCTATGGCATTAATTGCTATTTATCATTTATTAAAAGAGCTACCTGCTTCTAACAAAGATTCATTTTTACCATTATTCTAAGCTCTATCTACAGACACTTCATAACATGTTAGGATGTCTTTGGCAGAACAAATTTGCAAGATATCCAAATAATATCAGGTTTAAATCGTATTGCAAAATTTCATACCCTTAATTACAACTTTGATTAAGGATGATGTTGTAGAAATCAAAATCATGCTCGCTCACAATTTGGATCAGTTGTCATAAGCAATTGGACAGGAAAACTCAAAAAAACACTTAGTTCCACTGATATAGACCTTCGCATCAGAGAAACAATGGAGGTACAGATTAGAAATGATGTCTATCATACCCAAACTTCTCAAGGTGGCAGGTTATGACAGTTTCTTAGAGTTATAAGAAGTGTACCTTGAAAAGGGTGTTTTGAATCACTATTAAGCAATTAGAGATTAGGCTATAGAAAATCTAATCCAATTGAGTGAAGTCTTTGGATATGATAAGATCAGGGAGTTCATTTTAAAATGCATCAATAAACAATTCGAGCATTAGAATTACATCTATAGAGTGTCAGCAATGCATAGTATTGCAAAATTAAAGAATACATTATCGAAGGATGATCTAGTAAATTAATTTAAAGTATAGAATATCTACTATTAATTACAAAGGAAGTAACCCAGAAGTCTTTGAATGATAAAGTTCCTAATGTTAGACTGAACATTTTCAAGTTGTTCACAGCAATCCAAAATAAATTAGACAACAAGACTCAAAATGAGTTCAAAAATAAAGCAAGAACTCTATAATAGGATTAGGATATAGATGTGAAATATTTTGCATAAAAAATTTGATTGATTTCTATATATATATGTTTCAATAACATAAATTTTGATATATAGATCATTTCTATTAAATTTCAGTTTTTGATTCGCTTTCAAATGTGTATTAAAATGCAATTGGATTTGTAGCAGTAGATATTTTTTTCATATACCCTAGAGTAGTATTTTGAAGAAAGTTATCTCCTTTTGGCCCAACAAATGAAGTTGATTTTCTATAATTTCTATCTGTGCTCTGACATACTCTCAAAACTTAGGAAGCTGATTTCTCAATTTTCTATCTTTTGGTTCTACTTGTTAAATAAATTTTGACATTCTGAAAATACAATTGCAATTCATCCTACTCTTTTTTTGTTGGAACATACCATCTAGAATATGAGATGAGATTACTTAGGTTGGGAGATGTTGCAATTTTTGAAATTGTTACTGATGGATCCAAATTATCTCACAGAGGCTGTCAATTTGTTATATTCGTTAAATAGTTCATAGACTTGCAATGCTTATTTCTGATCTAGCTGTGTGTAACACTCCATAAATTGTCGTATGAACCTACAATACTTAAAAAGAGAATTCATAAACCGTACCTTTCAAGCATCAAATACATGGCTATTAGATCGTTCCAGATTAGTAAGTAAATTTCCATGACCACTGTTCTGTTGTGGAGTTTAGAGATACTGAGGAATAGCTGAAACTAGGAGATATTAATACATCATATTAAGCTAGGATGAAGTTTAGACAATTGATAGCTTTGTAGAATTGAATGACCGATGTATCTATATCTTTGAAGAGGACCTCAATGTTGATTTTTAGTTTGCTTCTATTTGATATTTCTTAGATGCAGGAGAGTTTATGGATTATCATCGTTTGAATGCCGATGAACTTATTGAGGATGTCCTCTTTGTTGGTAGGTGCCCAACCATTAAAGTAATTTAATTACTATACAAATAATCTACCATGTTTGACATCTCCCATAAGCACATGCATGGTGAGCAGAACTTTTAGCTTTTTATGATTGTCTAGTGTTTGGGGGATGAGTCTTAGGAATTCACGACACACTTGAACAATAGTCATACTTTAAACTAGTTAATCAATTTCGGACAGACAAGGAAATCCTAGATACTATTGAAACAAATCTACCTTGCAACATCTACTTGACATCTTCCAGATCCACAGTCTCTTGATTATCGAATATTGAGGATTCGAATAGTTTTCTCTCAAATCTGGATTGTTTCTTAAAGAAGTTTTTTATAAACATTTTTAATATTTATATATATAATTATTTATTGTAATGAGCGAATAAAGAACTGTTACAGAAACCAGTTAAGATGAGGAAGAATAGAATAAAAAGAAATTCATCTATTAAACAGAAAAACTCAAACTACTTTTATAAGTGCCGATTGAGTAAAGAACTCAACCGATTTGCAAGGATATTGCTGAGATTGCCCAAGTAAATCTCCTAAAATTTATATCTACTTTAGTAAATTAAATTCCTCTCCCAATACAAAAAAAAACCTGACTTCTTGGAATTATGTAAAAATCTCTATCTCAAAACATATGAAAAAAGATAGTATATCTTTAAATAAGGCGATTAAGGGGATGCCTTCTATGTGATCTTGAATGGAAGTGTCAAAGTGTACATAGATGAACCAACAGAATTTAAGAATTTCATGCAACTTGTAAGAATAGATTATTTTATTTAGAAAGAAATAGCTCAATTGGGTAAAGGTGATGCATTTGGAGAAATATCTCTACTCTACAATTCTAAGAGAACTGCTACAGTCATAGCCAATGAGAGAAGTGACTTGATAGTATTAGAAAAAGATGCTTTCTAAGAATACATGAAAACTATAGACAATACCAACGAGATGAAAACAGTTGCACTCAACAGATTACTTTAATTTTTAGAATCTCTTCCTGTCTTCCAAATGTTTAACAAAGACTTACTTGTATAGCTCTGCACCAAATGTTAAATACAAATGTATCCTTCCTAATAGATACTATTGAAATAGGGAGTTGAACCAACGCATATGTATATAATCAAAAGTGGAAGGGTAAAAGCAATCAAAAAGATTAAATGGAATTTGGAAGATTACCCATCCTCATTGATTAGAGGTTAGACTACAAGTAGCACTGATTTATTTAGTCAGGATGTCTACTTCGAAATTGATGAATTGGGAGATGGTGAGATCTTTGGGGATTTCGCTTTACTAAATGAAGAAGAGTCATAATGTTCTTATATTACCTCAATTCCTTCTGAGATTGTTTCGATTAGCTCATTTAATTTAAAGATGATTGTGCCTTCTGATAGATTGGAGGCATATTAAAAATAAATTAAACAATATCCTGAAGATGATGATCTCAAATTATTGTATGAAGAGAAGCGAAATTGGAATTAATATAAGAGAAAACTAATCACAAATATTTATGTCGATAAACAAAATAAAAAGGGATTTGACAATCGATTGAGACTCCCAGAATTAAAGGGTAAGTCTGCCTTGCCTCCTATCAACATCATTGACATTAAAACTAGTGACAATAGAACATACTTCAAGTATTTGGAATCCAAAATATCTCCAATGGCTGAATGCAAAAAAAAAGTTTAATCCTTAACTCAGGTTGGATTGAGCATGCAAGGGTTGGTCAAATAATTGGAATAAAGCACAAGTCAATTAAGCATAGCAAATTCTTTTTAGAGAAAATTAAAAAAACTCAACATCAACAGATCTTAATGAAATTAATCAATGTTATAAATCATAAAATGAAAAAGAACTTCCTGGCTATGTTGAATTTATTCTCCTATGGTTTTATTCTTTTGGCTAAGCTATTTTACGAACAAAATCCTTAGTCCTTTGAGAATAGATTTTGTTCTGTGATTGCACATTCTCCTAATCAAGATGCGAAGATTGCTATTACTACGCCTTCTTCTTAGGCTATTGAGTACTAGAAATAGCGATTAAAATCTTACCATCTTTATGAGTGATACTGATACAAAGACTCATTCTCTATCAGAAAAGATTGGTTAGCAGTATGAGCAGTGATTGGAGATAATGATTACCCCTTGTGCCCATTTGGAGAGTGAATCTTCATTTGATGCACATCCCACAAAACCGATTATTCTAATTCCTCTTGACTTCTCCGAGTCTACTCTCTAGTATGAAAACTCCTCTTAGTATTCTTTAATGCTGGACTAGTCGGTATGGTTTATGCAGGTTGAGTGTATGAAAATGCAATTTCTCTAAATGCCTTGTCCAATTAGGATTTCTCAATCTTACAAATTGCTTGTTCCAATAAAAATAATCCCGTTTGCACTCTCTACTCAAGATGTCTTCCATTTGCGTTTCTGCTCCTCCATAATTTAAAGAAGGTCTCCTTCAATGATAATTCATTCTCTCTCTTGGATAAAGTGTTTTCCAACATGGCACTACTTAAACACTTAGATTTCAATGCATTCTATATTTGCATATTCTGCAATTCCAATTCATATTAATAAATTAATCTTTATTATTGATCTTACTCCTATTAAGAACAAGCCAACTCATTTCTTAATTAATCAACAAAAACACTTTGATTGATCCTCCACCTATTGAAAAATTTAGATTTCATCTTCTACTAATGTTATTCTGCTCTCATCCTTATAAATTTAAAAAACTCCAAATACTTCTATCTTAAACTATTGATACCATTAGTCAAAATTAGAGCTATCTTACTCAAATATTGAGTTTACATATTTGATGAAGTTATTAAGAATATTTCATCATTCACTTTCCAAATGTGTCGATTCTCGAATTCGATATTCAAATTATTAGTTAATTCTGTATTTAAGTTTAGAGTTAATTAATAGAGAGTGTTAAATTAAGAGATGTCGTCAATGTCCTCAAAATACTCTTATATTAACCCATATTCAGGTAAATACGAAGTCAATGACAATATCTCAATATTAAGAATGGAGACGGCTAACTTTTCGCCCATCAATTAAGCTACCTATTGTAAATACATCTCGATAGAATTCTCTGATTATAATGCCTGTAACATGATTATCAGATCGTCATTCCCAATCAATTACCTTATAGAATTACACTTCAATCTATTTTAGTACTTTTGCAATACCATAAACAATTATATTGCGTGATTCCTTTGATTCTTTTTTACTTGTTTGGCTGCCTAAAGAATTAACTTACAAAGATTATTATTGGCACTCTATGATTTTTTCGTAGAATAGTAATAATATTTCAACCTTCTAAATCCAACCTGTTGAATCATCTTTTTTAACTTCTTCAATTAATTAGTAAACTATTTCATTCTCTAAAGAACCATTGACCTTTTCATCCTTTGTTATAGTAATACAATCTTACTGAGCTTATTCATACCCAATTCTAATTTGCATTATTGATTACTGACACTTAATCCAATGTATTATTAAATCTATTTACAATACGAAGATTGGAAATTCAAGGCGTATATTACTTTTCTATTAAAATGGGTTACTGGAACAAGAGTAAATTAATCATCAAGACTATAAATCTATTGTTAAATCAAGGACTATTTAATTTATCTATAATCCACCTTCACATTTGACTATTAATTCCTTAGTACACATGACTACAATTTTGAGATGTTGAAGCTGTTTATTGACTCTCCTATTACCATTTAATCATTGATACAATATTCATAATAACCACTTTCATTGTTCTTTATTTAGGAATAAAATTAAAGGGGATTTTAATATTGCAATTCAAATACATTCTTATAATTTATTGATTGTTCTATGGATTTGGGTATTTACTAATGATATGGCAATTGCTTTATGAAATTTGAAGACTGTGTCTACAAATAACTTCGCTTTGAATTTTATTGAGTTGGAGTTTATTATTCTAAAGTGGGTATTACGAACTCTTTGACTAACTGTTCAACCAATTAAAACATTTATTCTGGTTCATTGCTCTTCTTAATAGATTCTTAATCAAGAGAATCAAACAATGTTACCAATCTTTGCTTATCCTACTCTTTGGTGTTGGAATTTTCAATCAATGAATTTAATTATGCAAATATGGGTTTAAATGTTTAATAGTAATTGAATTAAGGTGTTTCCTCCTTTTATTTTCTTGCATCTTCCTTTACTGTTTGTTAGGGAATTGATATCGAAAGTTTGAGATCCTATTGTCTCTATTATTTTTCAATCTCATCACGCCTTTTTTAAATGAGAGTCTTCAATTAGCCAAATTCATTTTGCATTCTTGAACTCACCTTTTCTGTTTCCTGCATTGATTTTTCAAATGAACGATTATGTATGGATTTATCACAATCATTTGAACTAGTATGGAATGAATGATTGCGTTTTGGACATATTTCTCTAGGTCTTAGCATTTCAATCTCCCTTTTCTTATTCATTAGATCCCAATCATAATTAAATGAGGCATTAAAATTATGCTTTGGAGGTAATTGAGTATTATGTCTCATTTGAATTTAAATTATTATTAGTAACAAATAAATAATCATTCCTTGATAGAACAAAATCAATTCTCTAATCTAAAATGGTTTATTAAAACAACATCTACAATGTAACTTGTAATTAATCGAAATTCAATTCCTTTAGTAAATATAGAAAATTATTTATTAAGTAAAATAAATTTGGTCTATTATTAAGTTTACCTATCTTTAATATTCTTAAATTATAAAAGTGTCGATCAGGTTATTTGTAAATTTGGTTTCTCTATGTATAATTATATAATTTAGAATTATTGAGACTAAATCTGAGTGAATAAATATAAAGATATAAATTTATTTATATTAAAGAGAGTCTAAATACACTTAATAAATCTATAAAGTCATATATATATATCTATAAGATTTTAACTAAATTATCTTAATGAATTAATATATAACTAAAGCTAATATAATTTTGTTTTATAGATGTTTATATATATATAATATTGTCAGTTTTTATAGATTCTAATGATATCCTATATTTTAGTTCTGCAGATAGGGCAATCCTTTAGGTTTTTACTGCATTTCAAACAGGCCGTGTTATGTTTACAAGGCATATACAATGCATCACGATCATTTTCAATGCATATTATACAATTATTTTCATGACTTCTATCAGCAACCAACTATGTAGTTCTTTTACATAAGTAAGTAGATGTAGTTCCAATTTTAAAAACTGTTTAGTTTTATAATGGATATAACTATGAAGGTTAACCTTCTCTTGATAATCTTAGCCAAGATCTAAAATTTGAGATATTAAATACCCATTCGTAGATCCCATATCTTCCAAGTATACTCTGCCATCAATCAAACAAATTTTGGCATGGATATTAGAGAGATGATGATCCTCACTAAAAGTCAGATCAGCAGTCTGTTTTCTGCCAACAGTTGTCACACTTTTTTGAGGTGTTAGATTAATCACATGTTTTTCAGGAGTATTTGGTCCTTCGATAATTGTCATCACAACCTAATATATAATTATATTGTTACATCAATGTTGGCACCATTTACATTCACTTATTAAATTTCAAATTGATTGCTGCCTAGTTCAACAACCATTCCTATTTGTAATAGTTATTTTGTTTCAACTTTAATAAATGTTCCTGTTGTTGATCCAATATCTTTGATATAAAACTATGTTAGATATATATATATACTTCTTCATTTTGAAAGATCACTTCTGCATGAAATCTACTAATGCTCTCCTCCAATATTAAAATTTAATTGCTTGAGTGTCTCCCAATTTTGCCTCCTGATTCTTTAATACAATAGAAATTGGTTTATGGTCCTTCTGTTGGTTGGATGATCAATTCGTTTTAGACTTTTGAAACTAATTTTTCTAGGTCTTATTCAATTACAATGCCGGTTTATTGTTTTTTTTAAAACTAAGCCTTGTTTTCACTAAATGTTAAGTATTATTATTACATCTCACATAATGGCTGTTGAAATTGTTACGAAAACATTTCATTATTCTTAAGATAATTAGTCATCATATCATGAGAGATGTTAATCTATCCATATTGAGGTTATGCAGATTCAGTATTTTCAAGAGTAGCATTTTCCTATTCCATCTTTTCGTAACGTCTGTCTTCGAAACTTGTTGATTTTATATGCGATGCATATTCTTTCAATCCTGTTTTAAGCCCTTTGTTATTACTAAAAGTGTATACAATGCATTAGCTTTTTTCTAACTATCTTATTTGTGATTCCCAGATCTTCAATCAAGTCATTTTCCTCAATTAACTCTAAGCATGATCCATCGATTGAATTTTTAGCTACAATATGAGTTCACAAATATACTGAAAGTAGTCTGTAGTTATTGTAACCCAACAAAATTGAGCCACGACGATACATCCTCCAAAGACCATTTCTTCGGTTCTTTTGGAAGAATTGTGAAGAGGGTTTCATAATCCATATTTTAAATTTAAAAGCACTAACTGAAAATAATTATTCACACATATAATTATTTCATCTTACTATACGACAAATAGACTAATTCTGGTATTACCATTGTATAATGATTAGCACCAATTATTATCTTCTTATTTTCTAATCCCTTCTCAATCCTCTGCAGATTCTCTAAATATCCAGGTTAAAATTGAATGAAACTATTCATCCAATGTTTCTTAATTATCAATTTTGGATCCTAAACCTTGATTCCTAAATGGGAACTCAATTCTTCCAGGACCTAATCATCATTCACATCCTTTATTGTCATCACAGTTAGACTGGTTGAACCTTTTGGAAACTGATTTGGAAATTGTAAAGAATCTGCTACCATTCCTAACATATTTTGATTCTAATTTGGATTTATTAAATATCCCAACCCTCTAAACTAAAATAATAACATTCTAACTTACATCTGGTGGTAATATCTTTTAATCCCAACAAATGTTTCTTGTTATCATAGAATTGTTCTTTATCTTCTTTAAATCCTCCTTGATTTCATTTAAAGTTGAATTTTCCATCATATGCACTATTTCTGAAGATGGTACATTTAAGAATAAGTAATCATATTCAATTTTCTTAATTTCTTTATTGTCATTTTCTGTCACCAATTATCTTTATTCAATATGTATTTCCTTTCCTTTTGTATTCAATTGAATATCTAAATTTTCTACTTTTGAATTATCTTATAAATATCTTAATATTCGTTTTGGTAATGAATCCAACCCATAAGTAAATTTGTAACTATTTGCTTTATAAAATCAAATTATATTCGATACCTTTCCTTAATTTCTTTATTCTTATTTATTCAAATTCAGCATCGTAAATTAAATCCTTTGCTAATTGCTATTCATCGTAAGAAGCCATATGAATTTTAGAGAAACACATATTCTTTGATAGCTTATAAACAGATTCTCCAAATAACCCATAAAACACAGTTTCAGCATACTTTTATGTTAATTCTTTGCCCAAAATTTCATCTAAATATTCTCCTAAATTATCAGATTCTTAATTATTAAAAAGTATTTTTGGATATGCTTTGATTAAATTCAGAAGTTCATCCTTTCCATTATCCTTGATAAATCTAGAAATTGTTTGTAAATTAATTTATTATGGAATACTCTTTAATCCTCCGTTCCAATAAACATAACTATAAGGTTGTTGTACACCAGTTACAACTAAGCATATAACAGCTAAATACATTCAGGATAAAGCCCAATTTTGTCAATCATGTAAAATAAAGGTCTATCATACTTTCCTCTTTTAATTGAACGTGGTCCCTCTTCACAAATAAATTAATTTTCTTTTCTTGTTGTTATCATTCCCCCCACTCTATTGGAGGATTCAATCAAAGTGATTTTGGCTTTGGGATACAATTACTTTATAAAAAAAGCGTTGCTCAAACCTGATAAACCTGCGCCAACAACTACAAATTTATAAGACATTTTATAAAAAATAAAATTTTGATTTTTCAAACAACCATAAATTATTTTAAAATATTCAACAATAAGCAGGCTGTTCTTATCTGAGTAGAATTATATGATGAAGTTTATAATAAAAATTAATTTATTCGGACTTTTACTTTTTGTAGACTGAAGTTAATACTATTGTTAAAATTAATAAATGCTTAAGCTAAAAATATTAAATCTAATCTAATAGGTTGACAGATGTATTTATTTAGGAGTTGATATTTTAAATTATTTTTGAATTAATTATTAAGCTACTTATTGTTTAATGTAATCTGAAATAATAAAATGCTAATAAATAATATTTTTATATCCTCAGATTTAATTTTTGTAATATGTTAAGTAGTTGTACTCTTTGACAATTTAATAATCAGGAAAGAAGTTTTATAACTCAAAATGTGGATGTATAAAAAAAATTGATATTTTTTATGATATTTTAATTTTTTTCTTTTAGACATAAATAATATTAATATATATAATTGTATATAATCCTTAAACCTGATACTATTCAAGATTGTATTAGTAATTACAATAATTGAAAATGAATGTAGTCATAAAGAGTTCTTTTATTTTAACAAAGCACTCAGAGATCTAAAACAAAGAGATAATTAAGAACATAATGTTTAATATTATTTAAGATATATCGAGTTAAAAGAGCCTGATGAATAAAATCAAACATATTCTATCTGTTATAATATTCCTTGTTGATATTATCCTACCCTAATCTTATATTCTTAATCAAATATTGTGGCTCTTCCTTCCAAATTACCATCTTTAAATACACCGAAAACTTTGGCATTTTTATAATGCAGCACACCTTTACCATTAAATTTATATTATTAATCCATCTATCCTTAATAGTGTGTCCAATTCTTTTCCATCTATGTAATGCTTTATTTATCGAAATACTTATTATTAAAATCTTTATTATAACGAATAGCTTTTCGAGTATCAGAATATTCTATTCTCTAAAATTATTAAAGCAAAGCTGACTTTCTTTGTTGTAAAGCAGCAATCTTTTAATTAATAGATAAAATTTCATTTAAAGTATCAGAAGAGATTTATTATGAAAGTTACCTTGAAGTCTTTTAGATAGGCTCCACGAGAGTTGAAGGAGTACGAATCTTTTTGAAATTTATGGGACTGATTTAAGGTTTTTTTATTGTTGAAACATCACTAGTTAATAAACTGTATTTCTCTGAGGATTGTCTTGTTGTATCTAAAAGTGAAGGAGATTTTTTGTGCTTAAACATTTAACGAACACAAATAATTAATATATAATTTTATTATTATTGTATTTCAACACATCTGATATTGTATTTATTAGAAAAAAATCATATAAATCAACAATTCAGTTTTTTGTTATATTTATAGAATTTTTGGCTTAGGCTTTCTCAAATAAGTGAATTATATAAAATTTAACTATAATCAAACTTTGAGGAAAAATGCAAATGTTAAAAAAGAGGAATATCAAAGATTAATAATATATATGCGCAGATCTTGAGAGTTTTATTTTAATGATATATTATAAGAATCTTTAAGAGGAGCAATTACAAACTATGGAGGGAAGTCTTATTCATTTATTTAATAAAGGTTTTTAACAAAATTTTGAAGATATTCTGCTGAATTTATTAACATTAAGGAATAAATAAAATATTGATGCCAAAATAGCAGTTTTAATCCAAAAGACCATACTATAAGATATCATAATAGAATAAGGATGCTTTGAAAACTTTAGTATTCCACTAAGGATTTAGTATCAAACAAGTAATACAATTATGATATTCTTTTCAGGCTGCTCATACACTATCAATAAATTACACTAGTGCTAAGACAACTATCCTCTAATTTAGAAAGTCATAGAAAAGAAGGAATGTTAAATATTTATCAATGAAACCTTGTCTTGTTAAAGAGGCTTCAAAATATAAATATAGCCTTAAAATAATTTCATAAACTGGTGGAGTGAAAGTAGATGAGAAGGACTATTGCTTAAGATGATTGATGCAATATACATCTAATATAAAAACTAATCTAAATATATTAACTGATCATTCTTAATATGTATTATAATGAAGTATGTTAATTACTAATAGATGAGATCATGATAAAATACAGGTTTCATCTAATTATTGCTGATTTATTTGGAGTTTGGCTTCCATGTGCAACTTTTTCACTAAAAATAATAAGGAATTTTGATTGTAGAACAAGTTCATAATCAAAGACAGCGTAAAATAAGGAAGTCTTCGATTCAGTCAAATTAATTTGTTGTTCATTCAAAAATTATGATGCACTTTAAATAGAAATACATCATATATTATAATATAATTAAAATTTACAATAATCTTTAAGTTTATAATAATTTATTAAATTTTTGCAATTAATAAATGAATGATTAAATAATTCTTATAATGAGTATTAATAATTTATTCCTTTATTAATATGCATCAAATAAAAGATTTATTTCCCCTTTTTTTATACAATATATAGAGATGAGTATAATTAAAAATAAATTTAAGTATAGCATCAAAACTATGGCTAAGATGTCTGCTACAAAAAGATAATATGTCAAAATTTCTAAAATTCAAAAGCAATCGTTACTTCAATTAGTTTTCGACAATGGAATGAAGATTAGAGAAGTAATTATATCATCAACAATTAGGCTTCCCAGAAATTGAATTTGAAATATGCTGCCGCTAAAACCTTTGTGTTATAATTTAGAAAAAAATTACTAAGAAAAGAATTTAATTACGCTTCTGATAAGCCTTGTCAGACTTGTCCTAAAAGAGATGTGTATAACCCATTTAAAATCGTATCATAGATAGGAGGAAAAGAAATCAGTTCAAAAACCTACACATACAATTGAATAATATAACTAATTTTTTTTGTATATATATTTTATGCATTATTATACGTTCTTCAACATTTAGCTTTGACCATGAATTACAAATTAAAAATACTTTCAGCATAAAGGAAACAAATAAAGTTGTAAAATCAGTTAAAATTGAATGAAAACTAATTTGATTTGTTTGAGTTTGAAATTGTGCCTCTGCTTGTCTCAATTTGACAAATTGGAATAAAATTTTAACTAATACATTGTTTAAAACACTAATAAAATGGAAAACTATGGAAGGATAAAAAGTATAGATGATAATTTAAATCTTTCGATAATTAAGTTAAAATAATTAATAATCAAGTCTTTATTTGTTCTAGAAAATTTGTATTTTTAATTAATTATGATTCAACGACATTATTGCTTTTATTATTACACATATTAAATTGGTTTATATGTTATGAGTATAAGAATTATTTATGAGATAATCAAAAATTCAAATATATTTTAATTAATATATAAAATTAATAAAATTCATCGTCTTTGTAAAAGATGAAATACTGATGGGTGAGATATCAAAAATATATTTTAACATACGCTAATGTTCTTTTCTTAATAATTGTATTTAAATGATCAAAGTAATCAAAGGAGACAATAATCTTTTAGCTCAAAATGGAACTATTACTTTTTGATTTAAAAGTTTAGATAACAATTGTTAATGTATAAAAATATGTAATTTAGCCAATATTTTAAGTGTTTTTGATTAGTAATTTGTTTTATACATCTTGGTATTGATTCTGAAACAACTATTAAATAAAGGATATTTTCTTTTTAATAAATATCTCAAAAACGTTAAATTGACTATTTTTATCAAATATAATGACAATAGGTGTATTTTCTGAGTCTGATCATCAATAGAAAATAATTTTGACTTTAGAAAGCATTTTCAATTAAGGTGCAATAGAATTTTTTATCTCTCCTATATGGTGCATATAGTGATAAGAGTCACCTCATTTAAAGGGATTTAACAATAGATATGAGATAGGAAATAAATTTAGATCATATTTTATACAAGAAGTATTGCAATACTTTTTCTTAATTAAATTTCTATTAAACTTTTAAAGTAGCATTGGACTAATTTGATTGATTAAGATAATGGAATGCCATTTTTTTATTTCTCCTTGGTTTGAAATAAGGAGTGGAATAGGTATAGCGGTTGTATTTTCAAGGTTGAGAAGATTCTTAATAGATATTGATTTAAAGAGCAGATGTAATAATGAACATTATTAATAAATATCTATTTTAAATAATAAAGTCGAAATGGGACCATATCTAAGCCAACCAAAAACAGAGAAGACTACAGTTGCAAACTAAAATTAAGTACTCTCATATGCAGCCACTCATATGCAAGGTATTAATGATAATAAAATTAGGATGGAGAAATACAATGGAGGATGCTCACATTTCTGATTTAAGCATAGAGCCAGATGTCCATTTATTCGCTGTTTTCGATGGCCACGGAGGAAGTGAAGTAGCAATATTTGCAGAAAGACATTTCAGAGAAGAATTGATGAAGAATAAAAACTATCAATAAAAAAATTATGAAAAGGCTTTGACAGAAACATTTTTCAAGATTGATAAAATGTTATAGGAGCCATCTGGTTAAGATGAGTTGAATAAAATTAGGGGAGTAACTGATGAAGGTAATTAATGTCAAGATTTTAGCATCTTTGGCTGGATGCACAGCTAATGTTGCTTTGATTGTTGGCAAAACGTTGTATGTTGCCAATGCAGGGGATTCAAGGTCATTTTTAAATAGAGACGGAAAACCATTTGACATGAGCAAAGATCACAAGCCAGATGACGAATAAGAGAAAAAGAGAATTGAGAGGGCTGGAGGTTTCGTTTCCGATGGTCGTGTTAATGGTTGAATATATGATTATATTTAAGGAAATCTATCTTTATCAAGAGCTTTGGGAGATTTAGAATACAAAAAAGATAACAGATTCAAGCCAGAAGAATAGATCATCACTGCTTTACCTGATGTTAAAGTAACACAGTTGAGCGCTGCCGATAAGTAATTAGCATATATTTATTATTTGATCAGGTTCTTGTTGATGGGATGTGATGGAGTGTTTGAAACATGGGACCATCAATAAATACTAAACTTTATCAATTCTGAGTTGAGGGCTAATCCAAATTTATCGAAGGCTGCAGAGAAATTGCTTGATTAATTGTTGGCTAAAGATACATCATGTAAACATTAAATACTATAATCTAGTGGGTACTGGATGTGATAATATGACTTGCATTTTGGTTCAATTTAAATGATGAATCAATTGAGTATCAAAAACATATAAAATAACATATAATTTAAAATTATTCTATGATTCAAACCATCTACTCTTCAGATAAGAAACTCGTACATTTGTACATTTTCAAATTCATAATTTTTAAGAGTTCATTTCAATAGAATCATTCCAATATTTGGTTCCTTAATTAAGTAAGAATTCTCTGCAGTCTGCTTAGACGGTTATTAAAAGATGATAAAATAAGTGAAGTAATAGTGATAACCAGAATTAAATGAGATATTTTGGATAGATGCTTTCACATATAACATCAATATTAGTTATTGAAAAATATATGTATTGTCATGTAGAGACATTAAAATTATTGTAATATTAAAATGTACTATGAGTATGACAAATCAATCTAGAGCTCCAGCTATGTTAAATTTCGTAGATAACAGCAGAACGCTGATCCACAAACTCCATGAACTATTAAAGCACATGAATGAGAGTGAAGCTCTATTCATTTATATTTGCAATGAAATAAATTTTCCTTAATTATCCGATTAAATAATTATGGTTTCATACCTGAATGAGTTTTCTACTTATTGTAGATCAATTGGATTCTTGGCACTCTAAGAATCATTCAAAGAGCAGAAGAGTACCTTAGAAGAAACATTATTGATGCATTTGATTACACAAAAAAGGGAATAACTGATTGAATTATCCACTCGTATTGTAAGGATATGGAGCATCAATAATAGAGATCAAAAATAAGGATCCTCGCAAGAAAGCCAATAAAGGAAGATGTCTGTTAGTGAAATGCATACTAAATCTAGTTCCTAATTAAATCATCTCTATGACTAACATATATTCAATGAGGAGAACCAAATAGTCAAGCGAGATTAATAAATCAACCTCCTTATGAAGGAGTGCACATTCAAACCTTAAATAACAAAAAAGAGCCAAAAATTAGAGTTGAATTCACCAGCCCATATTAGATTGAACAATTATGCAATGGACTCTAAAATCAAATTACAAATAGTCTAAGAACTTAATTAGAAATAAGAATTAAAGGATTGCACTTTCAAACCCTCAATTAATATCAAATCCATTGGTAACAATCAATCAGTTGAAAATCCGTTTGATCGACTCTACTAAAATGCCTTGACCTAAAGAAATAAAACACCTAGAAACAATGAAGATTCATAATTTACTTATCGTCCTCAGTTAATCAGCTCTCCAATCAAATTATAACAATAAGAGGGAGTTTCGGTAGAGGAGAGACTTTATAATCATCATTTCGAGAAAATGAATAATATGGCTTTGAAATAAGGGGAGCTCTAATAAAATGAATTAGATTAATGCACATTCACACCTGCTATTAATTAATAAAGTAATTGCAGACAAAATGAGAAAGTATTTGAAAGACTCTATAATCACAGTAGTGTAAAATCAGTTTCAGAAGTAAAAGATCATTCAATATCACATATTAATAAGAAATCGGAATCCTTAATTAAAAAGCCATAGTCAGAGAATAATTCTTATGTGACTTAATTTTAAGTAGAATCCAATCCATTCGATCGATTGTATTAGGAACATTAAAGATAAGAGAAAAAGAAGAAATCCAATTAAATATAATATTACTAATCTATACCTTTTTAACCAATACTAAATAAAAAATTATCATTATAATGAATTATAAAATATATTTAATACTAGAATTTAATTTCAAAAATAAATATAACCAAAAATGTGATTTGAGGAATGAATAAATTCGTTATCCTAAAAAAATTTCATTTTTATTCTATAAATTAATATTATCAAGATGAAATATTAGATAATTTTCAGATGCTAGATTAAACTCTATATTTGAAATAAACAGAGTATCTCATGTTTAATATAGGTTTTTTAATGTATTATGATAAAATATATTTATTGTATCAATTAAATCAGAATACACAAGATTACACCCAACATTTGATATAGAGATTATGAGTTTGTAGAGACAATGAGAAACAACTTAATAATTTAATCACAATATATCATCTCCTTTAAATAATAAAGTAAATTACGAATGTTTGGTTTTGCACATATCCATCCAAAGGAAGTTGATAAAACATCATTTTTAGATAATTAAGTCAGCATGAAAGATAAAGCGAACGTGCTTTATCATATAATTAAGTCAGAGTTCCTGCCAGGATTGTGAAATAAAATGAGAATAATTTGAGATCTGTCAGATTTCCATAAAGTTGATTTGTTAAAATTTACAATTAATCTTTGCTTAAAATTAATAATTTATAAACTTCATTGGAATATTTGAAGAGAGCAATACATATAAGGAGTGTTGCTTGTATGGGTGATAATAAATTTCTGGAGATTACTATTTAGAATGACAAATGAAAATATTTTATTCAGTTGATTAAAAATAATTTTAATATTGTTTATGTCTTCTTTGTTTAAGGAAGTGCCACTCCAGAAAGTTATTGCAAACAAGGCATAAGTAACAGTAACTATATTAGATAGAAAATAGCCATTCTTGTAATGATGTTGAAAGATATACAAAAGGAAGAGGAAGAAATTTTGAAATAATTTAACAAAATGACCAAGGATGCTCGAACGATCAATGAATTGTATGAGATTATGGAAATGATTAACTACGAGATGAGTGTGAGGAATGACGACAAAATGATGATCTTAGATGAAATCACTCACCAAGAAGAGTTGTTGTAAGTGCTTGTATTATATATAATAAAGATTGACAGAGGAGGCGAGTCTATAGAAACAAATCAGTAGCATATCCAAAGATCTGGAGACATCAGAGAAATTCTAATAAACAAGATCTTTACGTTAAACCGGGAGATTCCTATAATTCAATCACAATAATCACAATTTGAATGTTGAGACCAAAATACTTTAATCGAATATAATTACAAGTTACGATTTTGAAGAGTAATCAAAGTTGAATGACAAAATCCAAGATAACATATTCAATGACCCAATCAAATACAATACTCAAGAGGGAATCGATGAAACATAGGTTTATGATTGGATCCTTGATATAGATCTTATAAACAATGTTCAACAAGGGTGGACAGTCTATATCAGCAAGTAGTTCTAGGCAAACAAAGAATTGGTTGGATTATCTAATAGCGATAGCAAGGCTCAAATAAAATGGGAAGGAGCCACAGTTGCAGTTGTGGGTTTATATGATAAGGGTAAAACGTTTGTCTTGAACAATCTAACTTAATCTAATTTGCCATCCGGAAAAAAGGTAACAACCAAAGGAATTTCATTTAAACATGTTGATGTCGATTCAGGTACTCAATTAATATTGGTTGACACTGCGGGAAGTTATTCGCCTGTTAAAATTTAGTCGGCTATGAGTATTGTGGAAAAAGAGGCTACTGAGCATTTCATCATAGATTTAGTGTTTGAATTGAGTGATTATTTCATTTGCGTTGTGAATGACTTTACTTCACTTGATCAGAGATATCTGGATAGATTATCAAGGTATATCTAAAATAGTTCAAAAACATTCAGAGAAATAATCGTAGTTCACAATTTGAAGGAAGTTGAAACTGCTGAGATATTACAGCATGTTTGGACCACCTAGGTGACTTAGATTTATTCAACTGGTGGATCAATCCAAAGAACCAAGGTTGCAGCCACTAACCCAAGAATAAATGAATTGTAAGAGAAACATGTTTTATGGTTTAAAACACAATACACAAGACATGTTTGTTTAGTTAGTGATGACAGTCAATTGGGATTGGATGTTAATCCTTGGGTCTTTTCATTATTGAAATATTGGCTAAAAGCAGTCTTTGTTCCAGTTAATCGACAATTCTCTGTTTGTGAAAATATCCTCCAATATGCAACTAGTAAACTTACTTAGTATTTCAAAAGAGAAGTCAATGTTAAATTGATAGATACTGATAACTAATTTGTTAAGAAAATTGTGTAAATGGAGGCAGATTTATAGGATGGAGAACTGAAGATTCCTCAAACCAACATTGATCAATCTGGACTCATATTGGCCAGACCTGATTCATTTGCTCCTGCTACTGATATCATTGCTAATGATAAATACATTATCTATATGGATGTACCTGGAATCAATGAAGAGGATATTGAAATGTATAGATAGAATGTAGTTACAATTGTTAAGGGTAATAGAAAAAAACCTTATTAAGAGGAGCAAAGTGATCACATTAAGAAATAGGAGAGAAAATATGGAGAATTCACTCTAAGTTTCAGGATCCCTGAAAATTTTGAAAGGAAATGGAAACATTTTGGAATTGAAAATGGAGTATTGAAAATTGTTTATGAAAAAGACAAAGATGATATCATTCCGAGCAAATTTGTTAGTTAAGCAGAATGAAGAATATTTTTTTTTAGACATTCTGGTTTATATTTAAATAAGTTTCAGTCTTTTTAAGGATTAATATTTAATTATCATGCAATAATTCTAATAAATATAAGAACCTGATTGTTTCGTTTGCGCTTGTGGTTTCTTTTGTCAGTACATAAAGGAGAAGGAAATGGAATAGCATATCGATTCTTGTCCTGTATATAGTGCATACAGCGAATTTATGAAATATATTGAGAGGAAGGATATTCAAAATGCTAATGAAGATCAGCTTAGAATAATGAAAGCAGAAGCAAAAGTGTATGTATCCAGATTAGAGATGATGCTAATGATTTGTACTAATAGATTTAAACTAAAATAGATTCATAATAATAATAGCCTATGTTACAGAAGGCTCCTTCATAGACAGTTCTATGTGAAAAATGCAAGAAGCAATTCGAAGCTAATTCAGATTTCGATAAGGTTTGGTATTTAGAAAATTGTTCGCATATCATATGCAAAATTTGCATGCTGAATATTTGTAAAGAAGACTTTTTGACCAAAAAAAGCAATGTAACTTGTGTTTGTGGGGAGAGATTCAAGGATGAGGAGGTTAAATAAATCTTGGGAAGAGACTTATATGAACAATTAACCGAGAAACTCAATTTGTCATTATAGAATATTATTGAGTGTTGTCATTGCAAGGAACGATTCTGTTTCTAGAAGGGGAATATAGAGGAGAAGATATAGGATTAGAATGGTAAATTGGTACAGGGAGAACAATTAAAACATTACATTGAAAATAGGTTTAAATGCTCTAAGTGTCACACTGAATAATGTAAGAATTGTATGAGTATACCATATCATACAAACATGACTTGTGAAGAATATAAAATTAATAAGGCAGCAGTAAAATGCAGATTATGTGAATAACCAACAGAAATATAAAAGAATTAGCCTGAAGCATTATAGAAAATATGTTCATAACAGGAGTGTCAAAATAGAGCTAAAAATTTATGTACTCTTAAATTAGCATGTGGACATTTTTGTTAAGGATTAAAGAACACTCCTTGTTTGCCATGTCTAAATGAGAAATGTGCCAAGGATTAAAATGAAGATGACTATTGTAATATATGCTTTACAGAAGGATTAAAATCACAGCCTTGTGTTTAGACTACTTGTGGACATGTATATATGATAAATACTATTATTAGATATTCCATGAAGATTGCTTAAGATAAAAGTTAGAAGCTAAATGGAATGGTCCAAGAATTGTATTCAATTTTATGAAATGTCCTTTATGCAATAAATTTTTGGATATTCAAGTACCTCATTTCAAAAAGTCTATTGAATAAGGACAGATTTTATTGAAAGAAGTGCAAGAAATGTGTTTACAGAGATTGAAATTAGAAGAAAAGGAGAAAGATAAAGAATTATTGGATCCTACTCATCAGTTCTTCTAAAAACCTTTGGATTATGCCATGCATATTTATTGCTATTATTTGTGTTTCAAATGCAAAAAACCATATTTTGGAGGATTGAAGAATTGTTAATAAGCAGCAGATCAAGATCCAAAAGTAGAATTCAAGTAGGAAGATTTAGTTTGCACAAAATGCTGTCCATTATTGACTCTTGAGGATAAGTGTAATAAACATGGAGTTGATTATATTGATTTCAAATGTAGACATTGTTGTTCAATTGCATTATGGTGGTGTCAGTATGATATTAATACTATTATTAAGTGGTACAACTCATTATTGTGATCCTTGTCATAGAAACATCAAGACTAATATGACCAAACCATGTCCAGGACCAGGAAAATGTCCTTTAGGAATTCCCCATAAACCTAATGGTGAAGAAATGTCGTTAGGTTGTTCTTTATGTAGAGCAGAAAGGTTGAAAGCCAAATGATTATCGCATATAACACTAAAAAAATATAATATCATTCTATTTCCTTCCCCAGGGTATCATAAGGTAAAAAACAATTAGTGAGACTGGTCATAAATGAAATGACTATGATAATTAAGTCAAGGTACCTGTAAATAATAAAAATGGACTTAAAAGATCCATAGATGACAAATAAAGACAGATCCATGGCATTATGACTCCACCTAATCTGCCTACTCCGTTTGCCATTCCGACTCCAGTTGTACGGATTTTAGTTGAATACACTTCCGCGGTATATTAGAATGAAAAAATAAAAGTCATAGATAGAAAGAATTTACAGAAATTTGTCCATAACATAAATCTACTTGGATCATCAAAATAGGCAGCTACACAACTCAAAGCTTAAATAAAAAAGAATAAAATTAGTGAATTCTTCCTTCCCAAATATTTTATATCTATGATCACTGAAGCTGCTGCTGCTCCAATTATATCACTTATTGATGATATCACCAATTATAATAGTTTATGAACAGCCAAATAAGAATCTCCTAACTTAAGTCCTTGTAAAAATGTGGGCAACATCATTACAATTCCATAGTAGATAAACGAAAGGGTGAACCAATTAAACCAGACCAAACAAGTTACAAACCACTTCTCTTTATCAAATAATGATGATATTGATGCCTATTACAATTATTCAGTAAATTACATTCTCTTATTATTTTGCAATCTTATTCATCATATTTGCCCAATTTATCAATTATTATTTGACATCATCTGTCAAAACAAACTGAGAATGGTTTAATGTAGTCATTTATTAAATTATCTCGAATGCTTCCTCCTTCCTTCCATTCAATAATGCAAATCTTGCTGACTCTTATAATTTCAGCACACATAATAACCAGGCCAACATTCCTGGAATCGCACAATAAAATGTCATTGCTCTCCAATTACCCTTTATTTCTATATTAAATTTATACATCATCGAAGTTGATCAAGAAGAATGAAGCAATCCACAAACCAAATAATTATCCTAATGAAAAGGTCAGTGTGATAAGACTCATATATCTACCTCTTACTTCTATTTGAGTTATTTCAGAAAGCATTGTCACCCCACAAGGTGAAAAGAATCCAACCAACACCCCCATGATTCCTCTTACAAATAATAACTAGTATATATCCTAACATAAAATAGTTGCCAAAGTAACTAGACAAGTTAGGAATGAACTGTATAAAAAGGGACCTCGTCTGCCAAAACGATCTGAAAATTAACCTGACATCATAGAACCTGTTAAAAACCCTACAAAAACAAAACTTGCTTGGAGTGAGTTCAATGAGTCAGGAACATTCCATTAGTTCTTAAGAATAGGTATCATTAATGTAAATAAAGTGATTTAGGCACCTTCTGTTACACCCAACAACCCCATTATTAAGTAAATCCATAATTAGTAGGATCCAAATCCTACCTGAGATAGCAACTGGTCAAATGAAAAAAGAGGTTCTTAATTGTGAATACTATTATTCTCAGTATTGGAAACCAATTTTCTCATTTGAATACTTTGTTAATCATCAACTTTTTTTGATTCGGACATTCTTAGTTTCTCTAATTGCACTTATTCGTATATTTCTTCAGTCATTGATGTAAGTTGATGTTTTGTGCTAAATGAAAATAAATTATAAATTATATTCTTAATTATCACATTAAATCCAACAAATTCTAATTCTCCACTTTTATCGGTTAATTTATTTCTAAATCCAATAAGTTTACATCTTAAGCATTTAATTACTATTAAGCTCTTTAATTTTGCTGTTTATTTACCACAAAAACTGAAAGAAAATTTTTATATGAAATATTTTTCATAGTTTTTGGATCATACAATTTTATCCCCTTTATTTGATGGACACCACAGTTATATGCTACTACATCTAACTTAATTCTTCTTGTTCTCAACCCTGGGGGATAGTTTAATTTCTAAATTCATATAAATCTCCATCTTACCATTTAACTCATTCCAACAATCTTAATCGCTTTCATTTCCAATTCCTCCAATTTAATAGCCAAATCAAGTTGAGGGACATCAAATAAGATTCCCAATTCAATGTCAATTTCTATTGTTGAAATAACTTCTTTCTCAATTTAAATTGATTTTGAAGGTCTTAGATTTATTGGGTAAATCCTGACCAAACAAGTTTTTTAAGTTCCATAATAATTACCACAAGTACCCCATTCTAAATGAATCTACCCCAACCTCAAATCATACTCTGTCAAATCCTCTATAAAATTGTTAAGAATTAGAAATACTCTTCTGAGTCAATACAGTATAAATAGCCTTTAGATCTGATGTTTCAATGAGAATACGATATATGATTTTCACACATTCATCCTGAGCCAACACTATTGGTAATTAGTAGTCTTTCTACAGAAATAGAATTATGCAATATATATACCAATTTCTGAATGGACATGATATTTTCGACTTTAAATTCAATATTCTTCATCTCCAGAGGCTACGATGACACATTTAAGCATTAATACTCTAAAAATACTTCCGGAAACTAAATAATTAAATGAAATAATTTACATTCTCACTAACCATTGAATAATGAGACTCAAAAGGTTGAAATGCTTTGAAGGTATGTTGTTATTTTTTCTCCAAGCGTACCTATTCTTGACTAAGGGTTTAATATTAACTATAAGTTACACTAGCTATGCTGAATTTTGAATCTTATAACTTAGTAGATAACTTAAGGAGTATTCATCCTATTCTTCTAATTTGCTTTCATTAAAGATTAGTAATTCCTATCCATCTTTTACTCTCTCAAAATAAGACGAGGATAATTAGCGATATGTTTTATTCTTTTTTAAGGACTCTAGGTTCGTCTAAATAGTTATAACCATTTTGTGTATACTTCAATTGTTATGGAATCCATTTCATATAGACCTTTGTATTTAATTAGTGTCAAATATTGGACTGAATATCCAACGTAGGTTTTGCCTTGCTAAATTTCTTTTCGACCCACCAAATACAGATGACCATCATTTATAAAATAAATAGGTTCATTGATGAGTTTGCTTAAAGAATGCGATTTGCCTGTCTGAGCAGATGAGACAGTATAAGTTTATTTATTGAATGTGCTTAGATTGTTTTTGAAGGGAGGAATTTACTAAATTTCTTATAATGAGTAATGTGTAATCTCAAAGAAATCTTTTGGGTTCATCTACAATATAAATATATTATTAATGATTCATGATTAAATATATATAAAAGAGAGAGTACCAAAAAATTGCCCTTTGTTAATATATATAAATTATTGATCATTAATTTAACAAGCTGAGGATGCCAGGGATTTCCATGAGCATTGAATGGACATCTTGTTTCTACTAAAATCCATTATTGTTCTCCTCATCAGAAATCGGCTCTAATTCTTTTTTCTTGGAAGGAATCAATTATCCTTATTATTTTTTCTGTTATGCTTTGTGATTCTCAATGACTCTCTTGAATTGAATGTGTTTCAATACATTAACGTATTGAACAGGTTGAGGCAGAATAGTATTTGTGCACTCCTTTAAATCCTTGACATAATACACGAAACATAAATGTGGTTTAAACTTCTCCAAATTATGATATTTAGTTAGATTATCCATGACTAATTGATTCCTAAAAGAATATTTTAAATTATTTACTCTAACTCTTCCTTCATTATAATCCACTTAGTCGTAGGCTTAAGTTTATTCAAATAATCGTAGTAGATCAAGGTCAATCCTACATCTCCCAATTTGGTTCCAACACATTGTCTAGAGTGTTTCAACTTATCTGCCAATTTAAATAAGTCCCCAGCAACATTGATATCCTTTGAGTATAACCATCCTATCATCATTCTAAATTGACCTGGTTTCCTCTATGTAAAATACTCCATAACTTCTTTCACAGGGGAGAACGATTCACAAGTGACTGTGATGTTTTCAGTTTTTGGGAAGTGCTAAGCCATATGATGTTCATAAGTCAATAATTGTGGTTTGATGAGAAATGATTCTCTTGAGTCATTCACTTTTTTCTTAATTTACAAATTAATTTCTCCAAGGTTCATCAATAGATTCTTTTACTTTTTGCAAGGTGTATCCACTTGTCCATCTGGATTGTATAGAAGAACATCATTAGCTATTTGGATTGGTTGAGCAATAATAGTTGGTTGTTTAGGAGGTTCAGGTTTCACTTTCTTCTCTAACTCTGGCTCACTTTTAATTGAATGTTGAGAGATTAATTTTTAAGCACTTGCAATTTAGGGCACTTAAGGCTGTTATTATTTCTTTATGACTTTGATGCTCTCCAATTACAAGGCCTGTTTACTATTGGTTTGTTAACTATTTGATTTCTTTTGATGGAGATACTGTTTGTAAGCCTTTTTCATTTCTTCATAGTTGAGTCTATAAAAGATAATATTGATATTTACTCTATCTATTTATTTTGTTTAATGACTGCTTTAATCTTTTCAATTTCTTTCAGATACTTGTCCTTATCGAAACTCTGTTCCATGAACACCTGAGCTTCCAAATTGCGTATCTATTGTTCATTTACTTATTTCCAATTTGAGCACTTTTTAAAACAGATCTATAGATCAAGTCTTTGAGTTTATCTCATATCCTCAGTAATCCCTTCCAGAACTTATTAGCTCTATGACTTTTTCTTCTTTATCTTTTGTTCCTTCTATTGCTTTTTTGTTTCAATTCCAAATGTCTCGCCTATATTTTAACTACTCTCTTCCATCCATCTGATCCATTCAAAATCATCTTACAGACTCTATAAAGATATAATAATAAATTCTTACACAATCAATGAATTTGAAATCAGTGTTGTTCGTGCTCTCCTACTTCCCTTTATAAGTAAGACTCAACTTTTAATACCACTCCTCACCTCCTAAGGCCACCAAGAGATTGATTTCTTCCAGTCTTTGCAAAATCTACTCAGTAGGATTCAATTGTTTCAAACATTTTAATGATTACTACTTTATCATGTTGTACATCAATTGGACACAGAAGTTCTTTACTTTCAAAAAACAACAACAGTAATAGGTCCTTATCTTTTACAATTGCTGAATGTACAGACTATTGTCTGGTTGTTTTTAGACTAAGTCATTATATTATTGCAACACTTAGCGTACTTCTTACAAGTCTTCGCCCAAATCTTTTACTTTGAATATCGGATACTCTTTGGCTTATATATATATCTAGTTGATCTACTCTGCGTCTGGTTTGTTTTCCAAATACTTATAGTAAGATTTATACGATTGCAAATTGTTGATTTACTCTCTGCTCTTAACCCATAGGAATCGTTATTCTTGATATTCCTTGAGTTTTCTACCCAAATCATCCATGATGAAGATATGGTCCTTCAGTTTCAATAATAAAACATTGTTGGAATCTATGTTTGCCTATGTGGCACAGGAGATCAAAGTCTTGTAGGCTTAGGGATTGGCTTTTGCTTCAATGAACTCCTCTGCCTTTTACATCCACAGCATCTGAATGTAGTATTGCCACAATTTAGTTTGTAAATTGTTATCTTGATACTGATTCTTATTGATTAATTTGATTAGCTAATTGAAATGAGGAGCCACTTGACCAGCCAATTGATTCTCGAACTCCTACAAGTTGATAATCCAACTCTCGTATTCCTTCTTGATCTTCTAGAGTTGTTAGGTGTAGAATGGATCTTAGATTTGGGGATCAGCATTTAACAAATGAATTATTTGGCTGATATTATATTTTTTATTACCCCCTTGGATCACCAGTTGATTTGATTGATCTAGGATTTGTTAGCATTCGCATCTCCATTTGAGTTATCTGAAATTCAATACTACTGATTTCAATTCATCATAGACGATTTCTGGAATTGCAACTTTGTAAAGCAATTCATTATTGAAATCTAAATCTGAGATATCTTTTACTTTCTAAATCATCTTAGGCAATGTATCATATGAATTGTATACCAAATAATATAATTACTTCACAAAGTCTATTTGCTATTCAGTTTACTTAATGTAAGTGTCCAATTCAAGAGACTTTAGTTTTTTGAATTCATCCAATGAATCACTCAAACTAGGTTGGATATTTTGGATGATCTCTTGCGCTTAGACCAATTGCTGTCTCCTTTGTTCTACATCCATATCAAATCCAAGTTAAAAGCATTCATGTTCAATCTCCTCCAACTGTTCCAGTGTGATTGATTCATTCAACCTTTTGTAGAGTTCTCTGAATTTTAGGAATTTAGCCTTTTGAGATTCCATATAGGTTGATGTTAATAGGCACTTTGACATCAAATCTAATATTTCATGACAAAATTAAATAGTTACTTTTTTTTAAGTCTGACACTTCTAATGAATTTCTTACAATTGATTATATACACTCCTTATTACAATCGAGTCTTTAGCAGCCTTTTGGATGTTTTCATATGTATACACTCCTATATACTCCTTTTCAGTCAATCTACAAAAACTCTCAATCTTCAATTCCAATTCCACTTTGAATTCATCAATAAATTCTTATTCAAAATATGACTATAACTAATTTGTGAGTGTGTCACTATTGACTGGGAATTCTATAATCTTCTTATACGAGTTCAGAACATTATCTTATTCCAAAGAGTTGAGTTCTTCTAATAATTTATCAATAATCTTGAGACATCCCAAGGTAACATTATTATGATTGGCAATCCTCTTTAAATCTATCAATTTCAATTTATTAGGTTTGTTTTTTTAATTCTTCATCAAAATCATTTATTTATATACTGTCAAATCAAGTTGATTGTCAATGACTGGATATTCAATTTGCATTCTCTCTGCTTCAAATAAAGATCTCAAAGTGGTCTTGATTTGTTATGCCACTTTGTACCTGTTAATAAGTTGGCCTAGATTATCATTAGGAGATTTGAATATTTTTTGATTGTCCGTGACATTTTCATTGAGAATCTTAAAAGTGTCTTCCATCAGATAGCCTTCAGAAATTCCTTTCTATATCTGTACTTTGATATCTTTTCTTGACAACACAAAGGATTTAATGAGTTTGTTTTCACCCAATTCAAAGTAGTAACCTTTAAATTTAAATGATTTAACTAATTCTTCTGCAAATTGTTCACTCTATTCTAGTTAGGTGGGTATGAGAGAGTGCATTTTCTATTTTAATTCTTCCTGGAGTTTTTCCTTCAATAAAATCTTGTCTAATTGAATTACAGTAGAAGGTTTGATGGGTAATGATGCCAAGAAGAGTTTGTAAAATTTGATATTTCTATAATCATTCTCGTCCAGAGGAATGGATGGCAACCTCTTCATGATAGCTTCAATGTATAAGAGCAATGGGAGCAAGTCTATCAAGTGTAAAATGTAGACACTTTTAGGCACAACCAAATCTTCAAAGTTTAGTAATTTAGGATCCTCTAAATCTATCTTAGTTCTCTTGGCACTCCATCCTTTACAAGCTTCGCAGATGTAGCTGTCATCCTTTACATTCTTACGTTTAATACATCCAAAATGATACCATTCATAACAATGATCACATTATACCATTTGCTTATTATTCAAGGATTTACGACATATGCAAAACAAACGATGACTCTCCATATGCACTTAGCAGTAACTCTCTATCTTATTCTATGATGACCATTGTTGACTGCATTATTGTAGAGTGTAATTGTCAAAAATAGATTCCAAAGTGTTTTTTACATGTTCCTTGTATTATTGTGTCTGGTTTCCCCTTTTCTTCTATTTGTCTTGAAACTTGTCAAGGGCATTGTAAAAGGCGTCCTGAATCTCTTTTAACTCACATTTAATCTCACCTGACTCTACATCCAATTGATTTGGATCCTAATTATTAGCTTGAAACTTTAAATGGAAGATCCACTATTCCGTTTCTATGTCTTCTTGTGCCTTCTCTACTTGTTCTACAAAAATGCAATGAGGATGAGCATAAGCCTAACAATCTAGACATTAGATGTTTGCACCACTTTTTCCACAATTTGAACATTTCTCCTTGGTTTTTTTGTCTATTTAACTTTTAGTAGCAAATGTCATTGTATGATAATTGATCACCTGGATATGAGGAGCGAAAATTGCACAAGAGACATGCACATACACTCCACTCTGATCGGAGAGTCGTTTTAGTAAGCCTTTCTATCCACAGATACAACACAATGGTTTCTTTGCTATGTCTTAGCATGGATCACATACTCCATCCAAATTATTGTATCCATAACAGAATCGATGATATTTCAATTTGCATTGTTGACATTCCATTTACTAACACCCTTTATCTTTCCTCTCGAAATTTAATCCACAAACAGAGCAATTCATTTATTATTAATATTACTAACGATTAAAAATATGGGCATTTGTACTAGCAAACCAAAACCAAGATAATAATAGAAACTCGAAGTCCGAATCCAAACAGTCACAAACACTCAAGCAGACAGGTAACTATCTTAAGCATCCTTTTATCGTTCTATTGATAGAGGCTATTAAATTGCCCAAGAACACGATGCCTTTTGAAACCACACTCAACAAGACTAATTAATGAACTTAATACTCTTTTATATATATATATTTGTGCCATCAATCAACCTTTACTTATATGCATGAAATTCATCAATCCTTTTATTTTACTTTACACAACTCTCTCAATATTATCACACTCATTAATCCAGCCTCACTTTAAAGAACTATGTCAATCCTACCTACTTAATCGAATTGTAATCCGAATTTATTTTCTACCTCACAAACTAACTCTATATCATAAAGAGTACAATATCCTTGTAATATATATTTATTAATATACAAAATCATATATATTTATACAATATTTGGAGAGATTATGTTTTCTCCAACTTATCTATCCATTTTTTATTTTTCTTGATCTCCACGAGAACTTAATCTTTCAAATTAGTATTCTCTATCAGTGCCAATAACAAGTATATTGCCTTGCTGATAAGAGTTACCTTCAAATTTGAAATCAAAATACTCTGTATTTTTAAACAGTAATTATTAATGATGTCGCTGAATTCACCTTACTAAATTATTAGCATATATAATTACAGCAATTAATTATTGTTGTATAAGACATTTAGCAATTCTCTATGCTTCTGGCTATGTCAATATCCAATAGTTTCCATTTTATTCAACATCTCTGCTGAATATAGTGTCCACTTTGAAATAAAGCAATTATTTAATTTATGCTTTGATGAAATCCACTGCTTAAACTTAAGTGTACTTTATGATATATGAAATAAAGTAGCAAATGAATTAATTTATATTGCTTTCTAATAAGATGCTGGTTTCACTTGATTACAAAGAATTCAAAATCGATTCAAAACAGTAATCTTATAGTTCTTTAATTCTAATTTCATCATCTTTCAAACTAACTGTGTTTTATAAACCGATTGTATCAAATTTTATGTCATCTCTCAGTTTAGGTTAATAAATAGATTGGATTATTTTAAAAACATGAATAGAATTTAACCATTCAGGTAGGATGTCCTGCAAAATTGACTTATTCACTTATTTAGTGTCATCGTATGTAAATATCACCTTCTACAATGCTAGATAAAATTATGAGTTTCTGTGTAAGTGTTCCTATGATTATTACATGTAAGTTTATATGTTCTTTAAAAAGTTCTTCCTTTCCTTTTTATCAGTGACATTCAATATTGCACAGAAAATCTAATATAGTTGTAAAAAAATACTGAAACGCCATCTTTATGCCTAAGATAATCTAGATTTTCTAATTATTAAAAGTATTCAATAACTTTCTATCTCTCCTCTGGAACTAAATTTGGTAATGCCACTTTTAATATTTATAAACTCAACAAATGATTATGAATTCCTTTTTCTATGATTTTCATTGCTAAATTATCAATTTTTTCACTGTGATTCTAAAAAAGAGCTTTAACCTTGTTGACTTATTAGGTAGTTGCTTCTCTTGTTAGGAATCTATCTAAAACTATGCTTGCATCCCCTTGGGCTACATAGTGATTTGCATTTTTGAATAAAATCTCAAAAAATTAATTTCTGAATTCAGGAACCATATTTCTAACCATCGTAATTCCAATGTAGTGACCATATTTAGATTATAATAATTCTCCGAATTGTTTGTCATTCAATAATTTTGAAAACATCTATTATCTTACGTTTTGATCTGCGCATTTAATTACTAATTAGATTGTTCTGCCTCCGATTTTGGTTTAAGCAATTTAGTACAATATGCCTTCAATTTTAGTAAAGACTTCTTCAGCTTTTTATTGCTTTTGTTCATTCTCTTGATTTCTGTGCTAAATTAAAAATCGAATATCCTCTTTTAAGAATGAAATGAAATCAACATCTTTGCTGATTTTATTCTAATTTTTAGCAATTTTCTTTTATTTTTTATTGTCTGCTTTTGCTTTCACTTCTTAGAGTTCCTCTGGCTCTTCATTTTAATTTTCTTCTACAATTCTCTTTTTCCCCATATATTAATTTTATAATTTTTATTTAAAACATCTATTTGAAGTATTTAAAAATTTAAATTTGACAAGCATTTTCTTTTTAAATCAAGTTAAAAATTTTCATTTCCACAGTTTTCATTAGTGTTGATTTAATATCTTAAATTAGAATTTTCCAGAGCAATCATGACTTCTAGTTAATGAATAAATTGCATTTAAATGGCAAGTTTGATAAAAAAATTAGTTAAATATTTTTTATTTAATGGCTAAATTGTGGCTCCTAGACTCTCCTTATGCAAAGGCATTTCACCTTATTCAAGAATATTAGAAATACTAATATATTAGTCTAAATGAAAAATCTCTAATTAAGGGTAAAATTATATATATAATTTTCAGACTTAATAATTCGAAAAGATGCTTCAGCTTCTAATTTACTAGGTTCAAGGAGCGATTTGGAGATTAGAGAAAATCTATAAAAATTAATTAAAACAATTCGTTTATAATAAATAGAATAATAAAATGAGGACGATGATGTTTCGACTAGCAAAAGTCTTAAATTCTTTTTGAGACAGAAATTAAAGTTAAAAATAGCTAATAGCAACTTCGATTTAGCTACAAATAAAAGATGAAATTTTTTATAATAATGAATGCATAATATGTTTATATGATTACATATATATTGTTTACATTCTCTGGTTAACCTCATGGTTACAAATGTTTTTACAACATCTAGTTATTGTAAATTTTATATAATTCTGCCCATTATGTAATTTGGTCAATCTAACCTGGAAATTAGGATTAGATTGGAATTTGATAATTCAGCAATTACTATTGTTACATCATTTCAATGAAAGGATTAACAAAATTCAATCTGGTCATTTGATTTAATGAATATGACATTTGCATTCTGTCAAATTAGGTCTGTTTGAATTGTTATGTATTCATGATTGGTAAGTTGTGCTAAGGATAAATGAGAGTAGTCTATTAAGATGGCATGAATTGGCTGTTAAAGATAACTGGAGAAACAGTGGAAGGGATCATGGCAACTTACGGAATAGCTTATTAAATAATGGAAGGATTATTATTAAAGTGATCACATTTTAATTAATTTTCTTCCTTTATATTAATTTAATTTCCTAAATGAGTGTTGTAGCTGGGAGAACTCTGAACATGTTACAACCCTTAGATAAATAGAATTAATACCTGAATTATTTTCATTGTTTTAATCTTCGTTAGGAGTGTCCTACTTTAAACTATCATCGTTTTATTTTTGATTTTTTGATCTTGTCATTCTTTGGAAATTTTCGACATCCTCATCTTGTACCACCACCTTTTTGATTTTAGGTGGTTCTTTTTTGCCCTTCTAAAGCCTTCTCCTTCTTTGTAGGTTACTTTTTTCTTCTTCTGATGAGTTTTAGGATTCTTCTTCGAAATCTTCATCATCTGAATCACCTAAATCACACTAGAATCTTCTCTTTAGGTTGGCATAGAATCGGTTTTTGACCATATTTTCCTAAACATTTCAAATAGAAATATACAGGTCTTCCATTCAAAAAACTTGAAATGTAGCTCCATTTAGTACCAAACTTCTTATATAATTTTAAGATCAGTTTGTCTTCCTCCTCGGTCCATTTGTCTTAGTTTATTGTTCCTTAAAGCTAGTTCAGATAACGCTCTCTAACTTATTTTCCTGTTCTCCAATTCATTACTGTACAGATCTTGCTCCATTTTTTTCCAAACTTTTGCACTAATTCCTTCAATTATTCGTCCTCTTCAGGTGACCATAACTATCTAGAAGGCGCCTAGATAAAAAAATAGTAATTACTGAATCTGGATGGAGTTATTACCATTTAAACATACACTCTAAAGGCGTAGGTCCGTTTAGTAACGAACTGATTGATTTCCAGTTTCCTTGTTGTAACACATGGAGCTCTTTCAGTTTTTCTACACTCTTTGTTGTCCATGTGAACTTTGTCTATTTTATAATATACATCAAATATACTTCAACAGGATTCTCTTTGAATTCATTTTCATCTATAGAATTAGATGCAATACTCATTCTATTGACAGAAAATATTTTTTTTAAATATAATGAAAAAAATCATACATTTTTGCTTCCTTTTATATACAAAAAGTGACGAATTATTAATCCTGTAATTTTAACAAGTTTTTGTTTTGGAAATTACACTTAACTTACCGCTTATTTAATTAATTTCCCCATTGAATGAAAAAAAACATAAACTTTAACGTCATCATTTATTGTTATCAAATTTTGTATACAGGAGAAATATCTTCACTAAATACCTCATTTTGAACAATAAATTTCTGGGGAATTTTAATATTTTATTAATCTCTTGTTTTTGGATTAAATTTGGTTATATTTTATAAGCGTTACTTATTAGAAAATCAATTATTTCTAAATAGGCAATTTTTAAAGAATGTATTATTGTGTAACACCACAAACTGTTACTTAGAAGAATTCTAAAACATAAATATATGGAAAATATATTAATGAAACTAATGGAATGTTATTAGAATTAGAAAATGATAAAAATAAAGATCAATAAAAAACTACTCCATATATTAATATTGTATTTAATAATTATATAATCTCAATATGTGGGATAGCAGATAAAAGAACAATCAAGATCTATTGGTTGTGAATGAGTTGTCAGAGTATTCTTCTGTTTCCCTAAAGAAAACTTTGTTATCAGGTTCTTAGAATCAAATTGAAATGATGCCATTAAAGCCAAAGCCGGTTCAGATTGTTCCTTTGAGTGAAGAATACGCTTATACAATGACTTAGCATATCCAATTGATAGGAGATTTAGCAGCAACTGATAAAACAGCAGTTTGCACTCAAAATTGGAAAGACGTAATTAATGTTAATAGTTGATAGACTGTTCGTAAACAATTCAATACTTAGACTATAACTCAATTTAAAACATCATACTAAATTAATAGAGAAATATAATTGCTAACTTAAATAAAAAGGACTTATGTTAATTTGATGCCAATAATTGATCCACAAAGTTCTTTCCTCTCGTATTGGAAAATCCCTGTATTGATAATCACATTTGTAGTATTCATAGAAGTCCCACTAATAATATTTTTCGGAGATGACTTCTATTATACGTTCCATAGTCCAACATATATATTCTTTAGAAGTGTAGTGATTGTACTAATATTAACATAAACATCATATAGCTGATATTCATGATGGATATCTTCATAGAATTTCATGTGGCATTTTATAAATACGGAGCCTTAGTAAAAAATAGACGTAGAGTGGCTTTACATTATTTGATGGGTTCATTTACATTTGATTTTGTACCATTAATTGAAATTTTGATTACTACATTTTCCTACACAATGGCGAATGTCTACACATTCCATTTACTATTCCTATTGAAAATGTACCCAGTTTACGAAATCGATTAACGATATCAAGATAAATTGTAAGTGTATCCAAAATGGAAAAGTATATATATGATAGTGAGAATGATAATTGAGATNTGTAATTTTAACAAGTTTTTGTTTTGGAAATTACACTTAACTTACCGCTTATTTAATTAATTTCCCCATTGAATGAAAAAAAACATAAACTTTAACGTCATCATTTATTGTTATCAAATTTTGTATACAGGAGAAATATCTTCACTAAATACCTCATTTTGAACAATAAATTTCTGGGGAATTTTAATATTTTATTAATCTCTTGTTTTTGGATTAAATTTGGTTATATTTTATAAGCGTTACTTATTAGAAAATCAATTATTTCTAAATAGGCAATTTTTAAAGAATGTATTATTGTGTAACACCACAAACTGTTACTTAGAAGAATTCTAAAACATAAATATATGGAAAATATATTAATGAAACTAATGGAATGTTATTAGAATTAGAAAATGATAAAAATAAAGATCAATAAAAAACTACTCCATATATTAATATTGTATTTAATAATTATATAATCTCAATATGTGGGATAGCAGATAAAAGAACAATCAAGATCTATTGGTTGTGAATGAGTTGTCAGAGTATTCTTCTGTTTCCCTAAAGAAAACTTTGTTATCAGGTTCTTAGAATCAAATTGAAATGATGCCATTAAAGCCAAAGCCGGTTCAGATTGTTCCTTTGAGTGAAGAATACGCTTATACAATGACTTAGCATATCCAATTGATAGGAGATTTAGCAGCAACTGATAAAACAGCAGTTTGCACTCAAAATTGGAAAGACGTAATTAATGTTAATAGTTGATAGACTGTTCGTAAACAATTCAATACTTAGACTATAACTCAATTTAAAACATCATACTAAATTAATAGAGAAATATAATTGCTAACTTAAATAAAAAGGACTTATGTTAATTTGATGCCAATAATTGATCCACAAAGTTCTTTCCTCTCGTATTGGAAAATCCCTGTATTGATAATCACATTTGTAGTATTCATAGAAGTCCCACTAATAATATTTTTCGGAGATGACTTCTATTATACGTTCCATAGTCCAACATATATATTCTTTAGAAGTGTAGTGATTGTACTAATATTAACATAAACATCATATAGCTGATATTCATGATGGATATCTTCATAGAATTTCATGTGGCATTTTATAAATACGGAGCCTTAGTAAAAAATAGACGTAGAGTGGCTTTACATTATTTGATGGGTTCATTTACATTTGATTTTGTACCATTAATTGAAATTTTGATTACTACATTTTCCTACACAATGGCGAATGTCTACACATTCCATTTACTATTCCTATTGAAAATGTACCCAGTTTACGAAATCGATTAACGATATCAAGATAAATTGTAAGTGTATCCAAAATGGAAAAGTATATATATGATAGTGAGAATGATAATTGAGATTGTTTACTTGACCCACTTCTTCGGTTGCATCTTCTTTGGTACAGGCATGTACATGTTGAATCATTATGATAATCCAGATGAAGGCAAATACACCAATTCTTGGTTGACCTTCTCAAGTGGCAATTTTGGTACTATCCTCTATTACGATTGGACCAAAAGATACATATTGTCAACATATTGGGCATTTGCAACTTTGACAACTGTTGCTTATGGTGACATCACACCAATGAATGAATTTGAAATCATAGTTGCTGAGGTGGCTATGATTGCTGCTGTCTTCTTGGTTGCCTTCAATGTCAATAACATTTAACAAACATTTGTTGATTACTTTGACGAAAAAAGAAAATACAATAAGGAAATAGTTGCAATCACTAAATTCATGAGATCTAAAAATGTTTCAGAAAAAACAGAGAAGGAAATTAGAAATTTCTTAGAACATTATTTTAAAGAAAAGAGAAACAGGGATCAATATTTAGAAGATCAAGTTTTTCAAAAATTGGCTCCCCAATTAAAGAATCGTTTAATGTATGAAGCCTACCAACCCTATTTATATTAAGTCCCTTGGATTACCAACAATTTCTCAGATGATCTTATGCGAGAATTAAGTTAGGTTATGGAGGAAATTGATTATTCCAAAAAGGAAAATATCTTCTTAGATGGTGATGCAAATAGAGATGACAATGCCCTTTATTTTGTATAAATTGGACATATTGAAATCTTTGTTAATGTTCCTGAAACAGAAAAGCAAGAAGTCATTATGGCTCACTTAAAGTCAGGGGCTAGATTTGGTGATTATGCCTTTGTAACAGGATTACAACGAAAAGCATCAGCCAGATCTAAGAAATATTCATAAGTAGTAAGATTGTCAAGAACAGACTTCATGGATAAGTTAAAGCTATTTCCATTGGATCACTAGCGTTACTGCTTCTTAAGAGATGAAATCATTTTCAATAATGCATATTATGAACTAGGTATTGAATGTTTCACTTGTGGTTCTACTGATCATATGAGTATAGATTGTTCATTAACTCATTTGAGTATCGGTAAGGAAATTATCAAAAGGGTTAGAAAAAGCATTGTTGAAAAGAAACTTAGGAAATTATCATTAAGTATAGCTATGAATATATAATCCCATAGATATATAATAAAACAGAAACTACTAATTTTAAAGAAGTAAAAAATAGAAAGTCAGAATTATCAAAACCAAATAGCCAGAATAAGCAGAATTAGATGAATACAGTTCGATAATTAATAAGAAAGTCTAATTCGAAGCCTTTTATAGTGAGAATTAGATCATTATTGAATGTAAAGATCACCACAATATAATATAGCCTTTACAATAGATAAGATTGATAACTTTGTCAATTATTACCCTAACTTCAATATTGACTTTCTCATTAGTAAGAATAGGAAAAAGGAGAAACTAGTTTTTGCTAGAGAAGTTAGATAGAGAAGTGTAAGTTAAATCATCAGAAAGAGTGAAGCCATAATTTGATTTTATATGTTAAATAGTTTAGTTCTATATATTTAATATAGTTTATTCTTCAATCGCCATAGGCAATAATAATTTAAATGATTAAAACTATTGTAGATTATCTAATATTATTACTGCAAATAAATTTCATAATGAAATTGATTTATTTATTTAATTATATCATAAATGGGGTGTGGAGCATAAAAGAATTCATCAGGTCTCAATGAGAAGCTTAGAGCTAAAGCTCTGGAAATATTTCGAAGAATTGACATCAATAATTCAGGTTCTATAGATAAAGATGAAACTTAAAAATTTTGGAAAACTAACTTTGCAAAAGTTAATACTTAAGCTTTATTCAATGCAGTTGATTTTGACAAGAGCGGATAGATATCAGAGGATGAATGGATGGCATTTTGGGAAATTGTTAAAAAAAGTGGTTATACAGATACAGAAATCTCAGAAGAAGTACTGAATGTAACAATAAAAATAGCTAGATAATTTAATGGAAGGAAAGGCATGGGTGTAGTTCAGAAAAGTAGATGAGTTTGTAAAAAGGGATTTGTAGAGAAAGAACAGTTAAGTTTAGGAAATTGTAAAATAGAATTCAAAGAGGAAGTCACTCGTTCAATAATAATAAAGCTTTCATTAGCAATGAATTTATTATATATCTTCATAATTTTAAGTTACTTATTATATAAATGCTGTAATTTTATTTTCCAAAATAATGAATATAAAATAGGGGGTATAGATTTAATTATATATAATTTTAGTTAATATAAAAGACGACTAAATTGTTTAGTTGTCTTTTATATCAAAAGAGTCTGAGATCAATCTTCCAAAAATTTCTCCTAGATTTGGATCATCTAATTTTGGATTGAAGTAACCTACTATTGATTGATTTACATTTTCTAAATCAATTATGACAATTATACTTTGTAAATATCCAATGATTTTGAATAATCATTGTAAGCTTATTTGAAGCGACCTAATTCCTTATGGCAATCTGCACAGTTTCTTAAAGTAATGGCTAAATTGCCATGCATTTCTCCACAAATTTAGGTATAAATTTTTATAGATTCTTAAAAACAATTAACAGCTTCTTCATACTATTTTCTCTCATAATATGAACTTCCCAAATTATTTAATATGATTGCAATGCTTGCATGACTCTATCCATACAAATCTTATAAAATTTGCTATGATTTTATAAAATACCCTTCAAATTCATTTGAACTCTTGTTATAGGCTTTAATCTTTCCTAAGGAATGATAGCAATCTGCAATATCTTATGAGGAATGGCCCATAATTTTAATGTCTATTTCCAAACTTTGAATAATTAACTTTTCTGCTTTTTCTAAATCTACATTTTCAAAATAACAATTACTTTCTGGTGTAGTTTTCATTCTAAGGTACAAATTTCCTTTCAGATAAATAGATTTGGCTGTTTTAATATTCTCATAACCTAACTCATTAATCCATATAGTGATGGCTTAATCAATCGAGGTCATGGCATTTTCAATCTACCCCTCGTCCGAGAACAACTGAGCTAGTAAATGTAATGAATCAGCCACTTCCTAAAATATTAATGACTTTTACTATTGAATTACTTGAATATAGGTCTTCTCTAATTTTGATGCTTTCAAGTAACATTTATTCAGCCAGATCATCTTGAAACATGAACCTATAGTAATTTCCCAACTATGTTAGAGTCAAGGCATAAACTTCGGTGTTGGTGAGATTATGTGAGATGAGCAATTGTCGAGCATAATCCAAAAATTTGAAAGTCTGTTCATAATAGCAGCAATAGAAACAACATCTTCCTTTATTTAAATTGAATTCTTTAATTACCCATTTTGGCATAAGAATTACAGAGTCTCAAAATGTTATCTTTGTTATTGGATGCTTTACATATGTCTTTGTCAATTTTTATCATTTTTATCAAATATTACATTGCTTGATAAACTTAATTGATATCAATGAAAATAGTAGCGAATCTCTCAAATATTTTACTTTATAAAATCTAAATCTTAATTATGCTTTACTAAGTCATCTTCTGGAATTTCTTCTGGGTTAATAATTTTTTCATTGAGTTAGGTTTAGAGTTGTGAAAGTTTTTCGATTCCTTTTTAAAAGTTTTGTTTTTTGATGAAGATGTCTATTTCTTTTAGTTAATCTGCCATTTTTGTGATGAAATAAATTTTATTAAACCAAAGTAATAAAATGTAATTAAACTCTATTAATACATAAATAATATTTAATCAATAATTTTTGTAATTTGTTAGTTCGAAATTAAGGTCATCGATTTCTGTTAATATGTTTTATGAAAAGCTAGATTTATCTGATGTTTTATTTTATGAAAGTAATTTCATAAGAAAAGTAGAAATCTTTTGGTTATGAATTTCTGTGATTAAACTCATTATAATATGATTGTTCTCCGAATAGTTGATGTCTTTATGACTTAAAACTTTTTGGGTAATCCTACTTTTAATTATATATGTACAATTAAATAAATACTAGGCCACAATCAAAGTAGTCTTTCTCTTGATAAGCATTTCGATATGTTTAAGTATTTAATTCTGAATAATCCTTTGTAGTTTTTGAAAAGTAAGAATCACCAGCAATAACTGATTAATTTTTGAACTAAGATTTGCCAAAGTCGACTAGGGTTATTTGATTCATCAATGAATAATAATATATGTTTTCTAATTTGATATTCTAATTGGAGTATCCTTCCATTTATATAAATTTAACCACTCTTAATAATTCCTATTCATAACATCATATATTTACCTTCATAATATTATACACCTATTGATTGTCTAGAATGTTGTTCTTAATGCAAATATCGAGTGGGTAGCCTTCGAATAGATCATAAATTATATAATTATGATTGGCTTCAATGTAGTATTCTCTAATTTTGGGTAAATTCTTGTGTTTTAAAAATTAGAGAGCCAAGACTTCATTTCTAAATTCCTAATAATGATTAAAAATGAATACTTATTCTAATTCTGGTCTGCCTTGCTTATAAATTTTGCAAGTCACCAATTCTTCATTTTGGAGATTTCTCATGCGTACCATCTACATTATAGAACTATAATATACAGATCCAAAATTTCCGTTTGAGATGATTTTTGCTATCTTGAAATGATTATTGATTCCTTAGAAGCAAACTTTTCCACTTAAAAATTCCTTCAACATCATTCCCTAAGAGGAATCTATCTTGTAGATTCTGCTCTTCCGATTGTCAAATAACTCAAATTGTCCTATATCGGAAATGTCGCATTTTGACCACTTAAATCTAGGCTGAAAGGAGTTAAGTTTTATTATTTCAATTTCATTTTCCTACATAATATAGAGATATACATTCTATAAATGAACCTCGTCTTTTAACATAAAAATACTGTACTTCTAAGATGAAAAGAACCTATACTTATAGCAGATCATCCAAATTTTTAATTATAAGATATTATATAAATAAATTTCCATTTATAACTAAAATAGATCATATATTATCAGTTTTTATTTGTTTTATTATTGATTGAGATGATTTTACTTTTCAAACATATTACGGAGTAGCAATAATTAACATTAAATCATAATTATTTCTGTTTTAATTTTTATTATGTAATCAAAATCCATCTTAAGTGGATAATATTTATATATTCTAATTATAGACAATTGTAAAATGAGAGAACAATCTGTCCATTAACTTAATGTTTATGTGATTTAACTGTAGAATTAGACCGATTTGACGTAGAATTAAATTGTTGTACTCAGATTTTGTGGATGAATTGAGAATGGAAAATAACTATTGAAACTCTACAAAATTTATAATTATTATATTAAATAAATGTGTTGTTCAAGGAAATAAAAAACTAACAATTAGAGAGAAGAAATCAATAAATTGGGGAAACTTACTCGACTTACAGAAACTGAACTGATAGAATTAAAAACTAGATTTGCTAGAATGTCCCAAGGTTCTAATTTTGTAACTAAGTTTTAATTTCGAGATAATCTTGGCTTACTTGGCATGGGAACAATGCTACATTTATCTGATAGAATCTTCCACATAATGGATGACGATAAGGATGGTAAGGTATGAATTTAAATGGAAATCTCTCTAGATTCGATTTGAAGATTTTGCCCTTTATTTTGATAAAGTGAGTCATGGAGATGCCAGGGAAAAAGCAGAAATAAGTTTTAAGTTGATTGATAAGAACAAGATTGGAAGCTTTACATCGACTGAATTTAATGATACAATGTAAGGAGTGATTAATAGCTGGATAGCCATGACTGGATAAAATCTAACGAGCGAAACCAAGAAACAAATTGATAAAAGAATCAAACTAATATTCTCAACCATGGATATTGACAAGGCAGATAGAGTTACACTATAACAATATCAAGATTCCGTAGTGGCAGATCCAGCACTCTTAGAAATATTTGACTTCGCTAGAAGGGGTGTCACTCTTGAATCCATAGATTATAGTATATATCAACAATAGAAATATGTTTAGAATATAGAAAAAAAGTTGGATCAATTATTAGAATTTATGAAATAAGATAATAAAAAATAGGAAAAAGAACTCCCTCATTTTGTTTAAGGAACTGTTGAATAAGAATAAAAATTAAGAAATAGTCAGGTTGACAATCTCCATTCCCCTATAGTTAGTCTTTTTAAGTATGATAGCGAAGAAAATAATCATAATAACAACAATGGCCAAGGGATTAATAAATTCTTTGCTTCAGATCAAATTCCATCAGTCAATTATAATCATTTTAATGAATTATCAATTGAACATCTAAAAAATGATTAAAATCAAGATTTCTCATTTTATGCGTAATCAAAACCTAAAAGGAAATTTAAAGCATTATTTCAACAAATCCCATAAAAATAATTTGAGGGAGACAATCAAAGTCCTCTAGAAGAAGATTAATTTTATTACACTGAAAAGAGTTTTGAAAGTGATCATGAGAAAGATGAATCTAATTAATTTGTAGAACAAATGACAACTGATTAACTTAAAGAAAAATACAAATCGATGATCACTTATGTAGCAGATATCAGTAAGGAAGTGTAAAGATTGAGAGAATTGATAGATCAAAATCAAATCAAATAATAGAAAATGGATATCATCGATTAGATTAATGAATAAAGATTGCATACAATTATCAATATACCAAGAAAGACTTAATCTATTAAAAATTAAAAACAAACCAAAAAACCTAAAATCAGTGTATCATTCGGACATGAAAACTTTAATTTAGTTTTAAATATGATGATAGGTATCTAAATGGCAGTAAGCAGTATCAATATTGCTGACGACTATGAAGTAGGCCCTAAGGATTTTAAATTAAAATATTATTTCGAACTTCTTCCAAGAAGAGCTTAAGGCGATAAAAGCTCATTTAAAGTATGCTAATTCTTTGATTATGCTCCACGAGTATTTAATAGTATTAGAACTATATACGGAATAGACAATCATTAGTATCTTAAAAGTATTGGACCCGAATCTATATTACAATCATTAATCAAGGGAGATTTATCTTGTTTATAAGAATTGACATCAACAGGAAAGAGTGGAAGTTTCTTCTATTATACTGCAGATGGGCAATTCACTTTAAAAACTATTCATCATCAAGAGTTCAGATTTTTAAAGTAAATCATGAGAAATTATTATTACCATCTCAAAAACTACCCAGAAACACTTATCATAAAGTAATATAAACATTTAAAATAAGATTATTTGGAATGCATAAGATTGGAATAAAATATTAGACTATGTTAAGGGAAAAGGTTATTTATTTTGTTATAATGAGCAATGTCTTCTCGACTAATCAAGAGATTAACGTGAGGTATGACTTAAAAGGTTCAACTTATGGAAGATATACTATTGATAAGTAATAACTCTTTATTTATTGTAAGTGATCCAACTGTTGCCAGAAAAGACTTGAATTTCTTAGAAGACAAAGAAAAAAATATGAAATTGAGTATCAATAAGAATAAATCAATGCTATTCTTTAATTAATTAGAAAAGGATTGTAAATTCTTTGAAGATAATGATATTATTGATTATAGTCTTTTATTAGGCTTACATGCCAAAGGAAACAAACAACTTGATAATGAGTCTTCTGTATATTCAGAGAATCCCTAACTTGATAATTTTAGTAAGATGGTAACTGTTGATAATCAATACACATTGCATATAGGAATAATTGATATTCTAACAAATTTCAGTACGAAGAAGAAGCTAGAATTTTTATCAAAGCGAGTCATTTATGGACCAACTATATCAGCCATACCTCCAAGAGATTATGCTGAAAGATTTCTAAAGTTTTTAAAGGATCATTTATTTGCAAATTGAAAAATTATTACTCATTCATTTAAACTGCTTATAACTCTACCCAACACCATCGATGTTTATCTGACCTATCGTGATATCAACGATAAAGGTCCCAATTTTTATTCTATAGTGTCAATTTCATCATGAATTTTAAATCTTTGCATGGACATAGTCTACACAGACAACTTTTGTTCTTCATTAGGCATATTCATAGAATGTTAGATCTTAAGAATTTATTCAGTTTCCTTTTGGATCTATCAAAATGATAGGATTAATTACATTATCACTTATCCGATTGATGGAATGAATCTCATTTGATAATAGAAGATTCTCTATTGTATCAGTTAAATATACAAGATCATCATAAAGGGTCAGGTCAAATTTGTCAACAATTTTCTATTCTCCATTTATGTACTAGATTTCTCTCACACAACATAATTTGCTGATTTCAGAGAATTCCACTAATTCTTCTCCATTTGGCTTAAGGATTATTTTCCTGAGACTTTTTTTTAAGCCTATAAGTTACTTAATTACTTAAAACAATTTCCTCTCGTTATTTATGTATTTCTTAAATAAATGTCAATTCATACTTTAAGATTATCTAAACTATATACGAGTGCAAAGATTTGCTAACTAAATTTGATGTAGGATTGAGATTGAGGATTTCTGATACTGGATACTAATGCAAGAGATTTTTTGGAAGAGCCTTCTTTTACTTTTTTAAACTTAACATCGCCATATTATACTATTTCAGTTTCAGTTCTGACCTTCTTATATTTATTTTGTTTTTAGGTATTTTTCTAAGATCTTAATGTATTCAAATGATCTAAGTAATCTTTGATTGTTTTCTCATCACTGTATACTGTTCGAATTGTTAGGTTCTGTTTATAAGTTGTTTCCTTTGGAGATGTCTTATTTATAACAGGAAAAGTGATATCAGTTTTATTAGCTTACATTTCTACAGTTGGTTAATGTTTGTCCAGACTCAGTTTTTGATCTTTTTATGTTTTTTATTAGGTTCTCAAAGTTGTGATTGAGTTGGATTTTTAATTTTTGAAAGGAATAGTTTCATTTAGTTTGAAATTAGGTAATATTAGATGATGCTTTAATATTAAGCTCATTAATTATATTAAAATGATTTTAGATTTCCCTGATAATCTGAATTCTAGTCAATCTATCATGCCTGAGAAATAAACAAAAGATTGGCACTCTGAATTGAAGTTCTTGCATTACTTCCCAAAAAATAAGTGTTTTGGAAAAGAGGAGCAAGAAATCACCAGAAATATTAAGACTATTGAAATGCATTACAAAGTATTCATCTCGGCATTAAATAGTAAAAAGTATAAGAAATGGTATCGTAATTGCTAACAGACGAATAAGGCACCTTGAATATCATACCTAAAAAAGCAAACATAGATTTGAAGAGAGCAATCCAACCTAAATTAGATAAATTGAAGAAAAAAACAGAAAGAGCCATTGTGGATATATTAAGTATCTATTTGAAATATAATAAAGATGAGAGATTTTTGAAAAAAGAGGTTGAAAAAAAAGAGGAAGTCATTGAACCATAAATTACAACCACTGATTAACCAATTAAGGAAATAATTAATGTCTATGATAAAGAAATTGAATTTGATGATGAGGACTATGATGATGATTACGAAACATTATGATTGATATTATTAATTACAATAATCCTAAAACTCAAGTATTTCTCAATGTTTCATTCAATAAATTCGATATATCATCCTCAAAATTTAAAATTACTTCAATTCAAAATTTGCTATACTTATAAAATAAACAATCTAGAATTGCAAATTGTCAATTAATTTCTCATGTTCATTATATTTTAATAATTTTATAAATGAGTTCGTAATAAGAAAGAAAATTAAAATACAAGATTATCTCCGAAACACAAAGTTTTGAAATTGAAAAAAACCTCGATTTAAAAATACCATAAATTTAAAATTATGAAGAGTAATTCCAAGTATAGGATGATACAAAAGTAAAGGCAATAATATTTCTAGATTCTTGATAAACTATATGCTGAATTAAAGTTCGAATAAGTAAATATTCCAGGAATTGATAAAGTCACAAGTTCA